TATTAATATTCTTTTAAAAAATAATTAAGATAAAAAAGCTTAAGTTATTAATCTTTATAAATTTTCATAAAAAAATAAGAATAAGTTTTCTAATTAGCTTAATAGTATACAGATAAAGATTAGGATTAATTAATAACTAAAAAAAAATATCAATTAAACGGGCTTGATATATATTTATATTTTTAAATAAAAAAATTAAGATAATATTATCCTATAAATTGAGACTAATTATAAAAGATATTATCTTTTTAATTATAATTTTAATTAATTATTCTAAGTTAATTTACAAGAACCCTATCTATTAAAAAATCATTAATAAATTATTCATATTTTATTAAGAAAATCAAATAGTTAATCTTTTTGTAAAGATTAACAGCCTGTTAATTAAAATTAATTATTATAATTGACAGAATATAAATTAAAAAAATCTTCTGTATTAAGTCTTAAATAATAATATTTATTAACAAATAATCAATATTAAATAAAAAATTGATTTTAAAGAGTTTTATTAATAAATTAAATAAGTAATAAATAAATTAATAAGAGTTAATTTATTTTTAAAGTAGTTTAGATATTCTAATATCTAAATAAATATTATTATTCAAAAAAATAAAGTTAAATAATATTATAAATTAAAAATTAATTATAGTTAGTACTAAACCTGCTTAATAAATCTAATAAATATTAAAAAAAACTTTAAATTAATATAACAAATAATAATTATATTTTTATTATAAAATTTTAAATTATTATATTATTAAGTACTCTTACCTACTCTTATAATATTTCTTAAATAAGAAAAGTTTAAAAAATAAGATTTTCCAGATTTTATTTAAGAGAAATCTTGTAAAGAAAGTTAATTAAAAAGTTTTAATAATTTTCTAAATCTTTTCAAAAAAAGTATAACTTTTTTCAATTATTATTTAAAAAGATATTTATTAGTAAATTATAATTATAAAAAATTTAAAAATAAAGTATAGAGATTTAAAAACTATTATATCTTCTTTATATTAGAATTAGTTAATAAATTTTATTTTATAAATATTTTAATTAATATTAACTATATGCTGTACAGAATAATTAGTTAAAACTTTATAATTAAATATAAACTGGAATATATACCAATTAAATTATAAAATATCAAAGATTTAAAAAAAAATGTCTTTATAATTAAACTTACAGAAATATTTTTAAATATTAATAAAAACTTGTAAAAATATATATCTCTATATATTTTATTATATATTTATAAGTATAGTATTATATTAAGATTTTAATAAATAAAGTATTAAAAGATAGTGATTTAAGTTAAGAACTTAATTCTCTATATTCAGAATATAAAAATTAAGATTTAATATAAATAAAATTAAAATTAAATCTTAATATTTTATAAGATCGTTGTTAATATATAATATATATAAAAAACTAAAAAAAGATTTTATAAAATTATATATAATAAGTTTAATAAATATTAACAAGGCTTTTTACAAGCTTGATTAACTAAAAGATTTAATAAAGATTAGATATAAACTATCTAAATCTTATTATAAATATTTAAATAATTTTAATAAGACTGTAATAGATATTCTGCTATCTTATTATTTAGATAATAATTATATTATTAAATTAATTAGAGATATACAAAAATAAAAAATAAAAGATCTTTTAGTAATTTTTATACTCAATAAATTAATTAAAATTTTTGATATTATAAAAAATCTTAATTACTTTTATTAGAAAAAGAATTTATATATATTAATAACTTTTTAATAACTATCTTTATATTATTCATCTTAAAGTTTAATAAAAATTTGCATTTTTATATAGATTACTGAATCTTTAATTAAATAATCATAAAAAATTATTATTTTTTTATTTTAAATTTTGAAAATTCTGTAATGTATCTTTAAGATTTATTATTTTATTAGATTAAATATAATTTAAATTTTTTACTGTATATAAATTAAGGAAGATAATAAGTAAGAAACTATTTTTTATATGTGTTTTAAATTATATAAATAGCTGGTAACTCTGTTTAGCCTTACTCATTATCTAAATATTTTTTAATAATATATTAATTAAGTTTTATAAAAGGTTTTTAATAAATTTTACTTTATATATATAAATGATATTCTTATTTTTATATATAATAAATTAATTTAATATTAAATTTAAATATTATAAATTTTAGAGTGTTTACACGGTATAAATCTTTAAATAAATATTAATAAATATAAAGTTGAGATTATCTTTATTAAGTATTTAAGATTTATTCTCAAAATAAAAATTAAGAAATCTTAACAACTACTTGTAATGTCCAAGCATTTTTAAATTTATTGATTTTTATTAATAATTTTAAAGATTAAAAAACTTATTTAACATTCTTAACATAATTTATATAAAAGAATATTAAGTTTAGTTAGATTTCAGAGATATAGACTTTTAATATTTCTGAAAATATTTTTATTATAATTTTAATTCTAATATATTAAGACTGAATAAAAAATATTATTAAAGATAGACTTATGTAGATAATATATAAGAAAAGTTTTATTTTAATAAAATAATTAAAGGATTTTTTAGCCTCAGACCTATTTTTTAAAGTAAAACTCAATAATAAAATATAATCATTAAATTTATAATAAAAAATTATTAATTATTATCTAAGTCTTATAAGAATAGAAACTAGAACTAATTATTTTTTTAATCTTAAGATTCTCAGTAATTACTGAAATCTAAAGTACTTTGTAATTTAATAATAACTTTCTAAATAATAAATATATTAAATATAATTTTTAAACTATTTTAATTTTATAATTAATTATTATCTGAAAATAATAAATATTAGATTAAATATTTTATTCTGAAAAATTTAAAATATATTTAAAAAAATGATAAGTATATTATAAATTATAAGATTTACTTATTTTATCTAACATTAAAAAAAGAAACTATCTATATAATATTCATTAAAAATAACTTTAATAAAAGAGGATTTGAAGGATTAATCCTAGATAAAATATAATAGAAATTAAAAAAGTAGTGAAAGACTAATTAAAGATTAATCTAAACTTTTTAAATAATTAAAACTAAAGGTCTTTATTATAGAGTATTGATTAAATATTAATAAATATCTACTTTTCTAGAAATAGATTTAGATCTTTAACTTCAAGATTTTATAAATCTAAATTATTTAAGAAATTTATAATAGAAAAATATATTTTTAAAAATATACAGTTATAAAAAATTATTTTTAATTAAGTAAAAAGATTATATTATATTTATCTAGAAACTAGTTATAGAACTTTATAAAATAAATATCTAAAATATTTAATATAAATTTATCTATTCTTTTTTATTAATATCTATATTAGTTCTATTATATTAAGATTAGGCAGGGAGTGGTTAAAAAAGGGTTAAACTTTATTAATTATTTAAAATTGAAATATTTTATATTATGATCTGTTTAGTCTTACCACTTTAAATTAATAATATAAAAAAAACATAGAAATTATTTAATAAAAAAGAAGAAATCTGAGAAGCTTTTTAAAATTATAAAAAAACTGGTTCAAAGATATAAGAACTTCTTAATATTATATAAAAAATCTTTAAGAAAGATTAGCTATAAGAAGAATTATTTAATCTAAAGTTAGATAGCTCTTTAAAGAATTTAATTCCTACTTACTATCACATACCTTGAGTAGTTCCTGGGCTCTTGAGCCTGTCACAATCCTACCAGCCTGCACCTTGTCACTTCTTACAGATATTTATATCTGTCAATAGACTGTAGGCTATATAACTTTTATATCTTATTAACTAAGTTTTGTAATAAGATTAATATAAGTATAAACATCTCTCATAATATAGCTCTATCACAAGTATTGTAGAGATATGTATTCTTACACTGTATGTGGAGTCTGTTTAGATTATATAGAGTCCAAATAACATTTGCCTAAAAATAAGATTGAATTATAAAAAATAAATAAGAATCTTATTAATATTTAATAATAATAGAAAGACTATCTAAATTACTAAAAAATATAATAAAATTTATTTTATTTTTCATTTTAATATAATAAGTCAGATAATAATATCATGCCTAGTTAAGCAGGTAAAAGAGTGTAACTCTAAGCTTATAGGGTATGACTATAATGGCTTCCTAGTGCTTTCACTCTGACTGTTTTCTATTACACCTTCAACGGATGTCACAGATTATCAGGTAGGAGTGCTCAGGTTAAAGACATCGAAAGACAGTGTTCTGTGGCTTGGCACATGATTATTAGGGCCTAAAGCCCGAAAAGCTCAATCGGTAAAGGTTTACTAGACGTAAACCGAGGCTTTACAGGAGTTGGAGGCGGGGGAAGAGTGAACTTTAGTGTTGTGGTAGCCTTGCCTGTATAACAGTACCGCTTTCTGTATGATACCAACACTGGAAGTGGTATATCATTCCAGCACAACATGCGGTCTCCCCAGAGCAAGACACGACTACATACAGATGCCAGCGCAATAGTACAGTAAGGACTGAACTTTATAGCAGTATTTCTGAATATTTCCTCCCCCCAAAGATGCATTTATATTACATTATAAAAACGCATTGGACATATATAGTAATCGTTATCATGAGGTCTTCAAAGACAACTGGAGAAAAGAATTTTGAATCAGGCCGAGTTACAGTCCAAGATGGAGGCAGAGAAAACAGTAACAGTCTAAGAACGTCCCATAGCGTCGAGGCACAAGCATAATTAACTAGTCAATCGATCAACTCCGGTAACCCTTCACCTTAGACGCGTTCCGTAAAATAGTAGTACTACTAGGCGATTACACGAGAGATCGACTAAAACTGACCTTAATCACTTTTAGTAGGACTATCGAGCTTGATAACAAACTAGCGTGTATGCTCAAATCGATGAGAAGAACAACTTGCATATCCTGTCATTCATCGGCTAATGACACTACTTATTTTTTTAAACATAAACTTATCGTACTTGGAGCAGTGACACCGTTAACCGGAGACGGCAGAGAAACCAGAATCCATGACTAGCCGAAGTCGACTGCCTAAACAGTCTCAAGAACCTGTTCCTTGAACTCTCTCTCAACCTTGTGTCCCTTATCATCAGTCGTGGACTCGCCGTGCAAGTTAAGCAGGGCACCAAGGTCGAACTTGGGGGACTTCAGGAGCTTGACTTTGCGGATATGGACCTGTATCGGCATTAGACAGTTCTTTGAACAGTTACCTTATTCAAGGGCCACCGGGGGTAACGAACGTTTTGGAGAGGGTAAATTCCCTGTGTGGCCTTCTCGATTTCGCGACCGATAACTTCGGGGATCAGCTTGGTAGTGAGCTGAGAAAGAGTGCAGCTGGCGGCCTCGCGCTGGATGATCTCGGTCATCTTCTTGCGAATAGCGCGGATCTGGGACGAGCGAGCGTATGTGGTCTTCTTAATTTGGTTGGGGCGTCTCTTCGTGAAAGCGATGGCGAACAAACGGAGAAGATAGTCGTCGGTCGTCTTCACGGTCACATTGGCTTCAATTAGAGACTGCCACTTGCGCACAAGGGATCGCAGCTTGTCGGTCGTGAAATCCAAACCATGGAAGTTGGTGAGGCAGTTCTTTCCTTGGATTTCGTCCACACGAAGCTTGACCTTCCGGAAGGCATGATCCTCGTCGTTCTGGAGGTCGGCGAGAGACACTTCGAAGATCCGGCCCTTCAGGGAGTCGTTCGCATTCTTCAGACCACTGGTGCGGTTCACCAAGGTCTTTCCGACACTTTAAAATAAAACCAATTGGTCAGTCCCTGTTCAGGATAAAGCGAAGACACGTGAACACAATAAGATTATGAGGCGAAAACAGAACTGAACGTCAAAATCGAGGAAACGGGGCCGCTGCCATACTCTCTGATCTGGAAGGTAGAAGGAGCCTATTTGAAGTTAGCGGACCCCTTAACCGTGTCCAATCCAAGGTACCTACCTTGACGGAGTACTCATCCTTCCGGGAGAAGGGGTCAACGGTCCTCTTCTTGATACCCTTCTTGCCCTTGGACAAGCGCTTGTTCCTATAATGATATGAGTAACAGAGCGCAAATATCGACTTGGTAGCGCTCCGACTCGCGAAACTGAACGGGGGTAGGCACTCGCATACTTTCCAACGGCCATATTTGCGACTCGGGTCTATCTTGCACGGCTTGAAGACAGACTAGGATATCACACCACACGCTCTGGTGGAGGTGAGTCGAATCGATTGTCGCTGCTTGCTGCTCGATCGCGGGATAAGAGCAGAAAACGAAATCCCACAGAAAAGTCGGCTAAGCGAGGCGTCGGCCCTATCTAGTTACATAATATTGCCTTCCCCACCAAGGTCAATTGAAAACTTTTATGATTGGAGGATCTCTTCTCTTGTCACATGATTTATGTTTTCCGTTACAGACTTCGTACCTTATCGACAGACGGTATTTGCCATGCCCGGGAATTAGTAGCCCAAAATGGTTACGTACTACTACCCCCAGTATTCCTTGTTCTACTTTAGTATCTAGGTCATGAGAGCCAGACCATAACATTTAATTAGCCGGCCTCTGGAAGTATGCCCGCTTATCCATTTATAAATTTTATATTGCCCCTGCTATCATTGATTCTACGCGGCTATCCTTACTTTTCTGCATCAGCATGCGTTTCACTAATTGCAAATTGTGACCTGATCGCACCATAAATTTAGTTTCTCACGCAGTAGGTATGATGTGTGGTAGAAAGGCAGGATTTGGATATTTATACATTGATCACCTAGTAGTTGTAGTATTACTAACCGACCCCTGGTTGCTGTACCTAGATGCGGGCTTCTGATCACTTGCGCCACACTACTCTGTATCCATCTACCTACCTACCCAAGGAAGCCTCTAATCTTCCGCGGAATTACTGAAACTGCCAGACAGGGTGGTAAGCAAGTTCAGCTAACAAAGATCTAGTTGCCTGCCACCGCCGCGTCGTCTCACTAGACTCCCGTCTCTCCACAAGGTAAATCTGTGGGGGGTCTGCGCCGGTCCTTTTGCATCATCATACTGATTCCAGATCAGTCATTGAGTTGACAGACCCGTCAAGCGCACGAGTGGAACACGTTATACGGTCTCGAAAAGACAATTCAAGACACAGGCCAGGCTACTAAGACTGCCTGAAGCATGGTATGCCACTCATATGATTACCAACGTACCTCTTTCCTAAGGTTTTATTTGTACAGGGTAAGCGCAAGAAGTCCAGCAGGCAGCCAGCGCAACCCAAAAAGGTGACCAACTCGACGATCATTATAGTTGTTGTCGCTAATTTCGAGAGTAGAAGGAACCATTGCCTACAACATTTGCCTGCCTTTTCTGCAACCACGAAAATTCCATCGTCGTGAAACTGGATAAGAAGCTTGGTCTAGGGAATCTATCTTGCAAAGTCTGTGGACAACGATTCCAAACAGGCATTAATTGTAAGTCCACTAGAGAATGCATTATTTATACGGATGGACCTTGCTTATGACATCTTCAGATCTCTCTGCTGCTGTTGACGTATACTCGGATTGGGTGGATGCTTGCGACGCCGTTGCTAAGGATACCGCCACAAAGTACGAAGAGAGTGATGTCCGTGTTAGACGCTCAAACGATTTTACTACTTCTGCCAACACTCGAGACACCGGATTTGAGGATACAGATCGCGTCGACGCATATGCTGATGATTACTGACTATGATTAGAGCATTCCGCAGCGTACAATGTGAAGGCTCAAAGAATTTTCCGCGTCATGATATTTGATGGAGAATACTATACCTTATATACTGTGTTAATGGAATCCTCCACTAACATGGCTATAATAGAGAACTCTACAAGATTCTGATCCAATGATGGACAGTGTTCTAGGACCCGGAGTCTCTACTTGTTGGCTACAGCGTATAATATCGATCACCGAAATCACCGAGCCCTGGGATGATGTATCTAGAATAACCATTGTCAGTAATATTCTCTAGCCTTTCTAGTTCAGAGCACTCACTTCTTATCATCCAAGCCTTGGTCTATGAAGGCTGTAACTACTCTCAGCCTGGGGAAGCGTTCTGCAAAATCCGCAACACCGGAAGGACTCGCGATTAAGTTGAGAAATAGGATACGATCTTCCGGGACGCCTTTTGCCTTCAGGACCTCAACGGCAAGTGTTGCAGACCCCCCTGTATGGTATTAGTTCAATTCGACTACTCGCGATGACAAACTTGCCTGTTGCAAACATAGGATCGAGGAGGAGCACCCAGCGATTGGCAATGTCTGCAGGGAGTTTTTCATAGAAAAGTTTTGGCTTGCACGTTTCCTCGTCCCTCTGTATGAGAATCTTTCCAATTCGGACCGAACGGCAGCAATCCCGCAATCCCTGTTCCATAGCCTCGCCTGCTCTCATGATGGAAACACCACATATCTTCCCCTCAAACTTGACCCCGAGGTAGACGCGACCTACAGGGGTTGTGACTGATTGTTCAACCACTGGCAGATGGTTGAGCCCCTCCTCCACGAGGAGACGAATGATTCTGTTCGAGTAAAATATGAAGTCGGCACGGCTAGTTCTTTTATCTCTGATCATGCTACGAGATATGTCAGCATGGTTACTGACCAGTAATATCAGCATGGAGCTCTTGATTCGGCCATCATCTTACGTCAACAGAGCGATCAATTGGGGAGATTGAGGTAGAATGTGGACATTCTCGTACGAAATGTCTTTGGATACTGTTGCTGTGGGCTTTTCACCATCGGGTCTGTAGAGGGGGCCAACACCTTGGGCAGGGGAGGGAATGGGTTCCGACACGTAATTTGCCATGATTATCGCAGTGTCATGTCCTCTTTCCTTTTGCTTTCATCTATTCTTTCCCTTTGTTTTCTTTCCGTGGGTATGAGAAGTATGAAACAAGATATAAACCAAAGTACACTGCCAATTTCCAACAGGGGGGCGGAGGAAGTGGGAAGTGTATGTGACCCTAGACTGTGATTAGTCATATAAGGCAATCTCTTACACCGTAGTTTAAATGCAATTTATAAACAACTTACAGTCGGTAAGAGGGAAGTACCTTAAGTTACGTAGCATACACATCCCTCGATTAAACACTCATTATACCCGGGTAACCTAAATAATAATCCCAATCGGCCCTAAGCCAGCGTGCTAGATCCATCCGAAAATCGTCCATGACTCAACAATCCATCGTCACCTGTTTGAGACTGTTAGCACATGTTCGCACATGTAGTCAAATCACCCCCTAGCCATTGAAAGGCTGATATACAAATTTTTATCTTTACTGTCTAGCAAGGATATAGGCCCTGTCTCATTAGGCGATGCGATTGTATTTTAATTATGTATATATAAGTACTATCTATAAATATTTTAAGAAGCCATAACTTCTTTATCTAAATTGTACTAGAACCTCCTCAAGCGGACATCCTGGGGCTCTACGGGATATATGGAACCCCCATTGATTTGTGAGGAAAGCCCTTTATGTAAGGTAAGGCGAAGTAGTAGAGTATACCTATAGTATACCCAGCCAAATATATCTCGTAGCTATATGTGCTGATGTAGAGGATGGTTAGTAATGTCTTTATTACTCCGGCATTTATTACTCCGGCGTCAATGAGTGGAGCTCAATATCCTGAAGAAAACGCTTTGTCTCCATGACCAAGAATGTTAGCATGAGAGGACATCTGGTCCGTGCCACGAGTCACTATCTACTACTAGCAGAGATACCTTGCCTTGGCTTCAGGGACCAATTAAGCCACTGTAACATAACCGACTAACTACAAGTTGGTACTGGTAATTTGCTTCAGCTGGTGGGAAACATCGAAATAGGCAGTAGGCCACCATTACTAATTACCTAGTTAATAGTAGCTCCGGTTCATAGCCTGCAGTAAGGCATTCCCGCAATGAATTGTATACAATCTTGGCCTTAGGTTGAGACATATGCACTACTATGGTACATATCTACCTGAGACGGACGTGTGTTAAGGCTGTGATATGATTGGCTAGATATAAGATGAATCAGAAATCAACAAGCATACGGAGTACATAATGGTACTAGTAGTACCCGAGCACTAAAAATGTGGGCCAATGCGGAACTGGCAGGTCACTTAGATACGTACCGAAGCGCCCGGCTCCGTACAAAGGTGGATTCTACCTATTTTCCCCAACACTGTGTCCTTGGTAGTTGATACATTCTTTATTGTCTGCTACCACGTGACTTGGAAGTCATTTAATTTTTCGCTCGTTACAATTGGGCAATAATATGTTCACATCTATTTGACTGAAAGGCCGTGTCGAGATGTCTCATAATAAGCCAGACAGAAGACCTCTGGGGGCTCCTGGCAGTTCATCCACGGGGGTCTCCCTTGACATTCAACCGCAAGCATCCAAGAAGGAAAACGATCCCCATACCGCCATTTACAAGAGTGGGTTTTCCACAAGTCAACATCAACCCCAACTGGAGTATACTTCATTGGATACATGCTCGCACAAAGTCAAACCCAGCCGAAAGAAGAGGAGATTCGCATCCCGTCAGCAATTCCAGTCAGATCATGACCAAAGTGATTTACAACGCGGCAGTCAGACAACCTCGGATAGCCCCGAGACTGTATATTACGGGGCTTCACATACGACACCGGTCCCGGACAAACTTGTGTCTGATGCTGGTGATAAAGTCATTAATCGCGAAGGACCCGAAGGTCGCCGTTTCCCGCACATACCCGCTACTGAAATGAAAGGGCCAGAGCCTATATGCGCTTCACATACATCCGAATTGCAAAGACAATTAATCCCCAAGGGTAACGCCCAAGACCATATTTCGGCGGGTGAAGTCAAGGAAAAGTTGCAAAAATCATTGGCGGGCGCTGGGCATAGTAGGGGAACTGTCTCCAATCGGAAGAGATTAGTTGACTTGCTAGGTGCAACAGTGCCTTCGAAGAAAACTAGGTTGACCGACTCCGCTTCGATTTCAGCTGAATCCAAAAGTTCCTACAACCCGGGAACCGCCCCAGAAACTTTGTGCGCAAAATCGAGCGAAAACGCAGATGATCTAGGGAACATCGATGCGGGAAATGCCCGTGAATCAGCCACTCCGATGTTATCTAGATTACGGGGCTCTAGGGTCACTTATGCCCGCCAACGGTCTTTTCTGGGGGATCAGCTGAAAATGGCGGCTGCAGAACACGGCGATGCTTCAGTTCCCTCTCCAGATCCCAGCGAAGCAAGACAGGCGCTTATCACCGACCGGAATGCCCCTCGGACTTCAAACACCGATGACGATGAAATTGACTCTAGGCCTGTCCGCAGCATCCATGAGCTCAGGCAGGCTGGAGATAATGCTCGTTTCAGGGAGTCGGTTGAATCGATTTTTGAAGACATTGAAGACTCAAATAACTCGCTCTCTGGGAAATGTAGTAGCTTCACACAGCTATGTGCAAAGCTTCTTGAACCTGCTTTTGTGCATCGTTTTTCGGAGTATGGATTCAGTGAACGGCTTGTTAAGTGCACAACAGACAATCACGACGTCCTCACAACGTTTTTGATATTATGTGCATATAGATTGACCTGCCTCAATGGCGCCTCCTCACATACATGTTTGAGATATTTCTGGACCAGAGTCCTGCAAATTTCTCACAGGCTTCTTAGTATGAACGATGATATCTTGACTTTGGCTGCTAGGCGAAGCATTGGCCTGTCCAAGGCTGTGCAAGGATCCTTGAAGAAGCTTCTCCCCCAGATTTCCTCTTTGATTTTCGAACAGGACCCACCACTGAGGCTTTCTCCATGCTTGGTGACCCTCTCTTGCATCCAGTTCTGCCTTACTACATTTCTTGAAAAGGGTGACGAAATTGGACCATTGCCAGCTACAATAATAAATCAAATCGTCAAGTTGCTGATTTTGCAACACGAGTACCCAAGCTCCCTGTTGGTCTCAGAGAGCTTTCAATCAATGGAATTGTCCTTCTTGATTCTGGAAACTCACTCGATGCTACCAGGAACACTGCGCTATGATTATCACAGCTCTTTCCAGCTACTTTTTGAACACCACCATAAATTCCTCCAATCTGGGCAGTGTGATCGGGATAGGCAGATCTCAATTTTCTATACCAGAGTGGTCCTCAATCTTACCAACAATGAAGCCTTACTCTGCGGAAAGTTCGCTACCCCTGATATGGTCTCCGACTTTGTCAAACTTGCCACCGCGAGTTTGCCCGACGCACCTAATAATAGAAACGGGGAGGACAACAATTCATTTAATGCTGCGATACTGGCTCTGGGCGTCCTTATTAACCTATCAGAACAGAGCGAGGTTTCTCGAGCTGCCTTTCTCAGGCCGGTATCATTGCTTCAATTGCTTATACAGTATTTTTCCGCAGGTCTTGTGTTTGTTGACCAGGTAAGATCCGATAATCTGATGTTGGAAAGCTGCAGCTAATGCAGGTAGGCGCGCTCTGTTTCCGAAGTGCATTATAACGTTGTAATTGGGTATCTGTCGATCCTCTTGGTTATTCTTTGTCTCGATGGGGATGCGTTCACGCTGATAAGAGAGTCCAATTGTGGTGAAGGACTTGGTTTAGTCTTATCGACGGCTGAAGAATTCTTACAATTCCACGAGAAGGTTGAGCGAGACTCAAAACTTTTCGAGACTTGGAGAGAAGGAGGAAGTAGATCTACCACGCACCTGAAGGATATCCTTAGTCAAATACGCCGGAATGCATCCCTGTAGAAACGATTGAGTGAAATTCATATGTTTTCGAACTTCTTTTTTACCTGATTGTTACTTTACATTCCCTGGTGCAGGGGACTCCTATCCCTAAATTTCGGTCAATGGGCCGTCAAAAGCATCGAGAAAATGAACAGTGGTAGATTGGAACAGGGGAGAGGAGCTGCTGTCACGAATATGTTCACAAATATTTGAAACATAATCCAAGGTTTTGGTCTGATTACTCACGTGTAGAAATACCATAACGTAATCCACAAGCGAGTGGGCCGCACAAGCGAGTGGGCCGGCGCGCCCGGCCAAACATGCCTCCATGAAAAGATGAAGCTTATATAGTCCACTATATCAACAAAATAACGTGTTTAACTGGTGTTTTGACGTGTTGGACATCTTGTTCTTATATGCCCAATTGTTCCACACTCGCTGCAGCGAGATGGTGCCCGGCGGCGAGGCTGTTCCTCGCCTGTAGCTGATTCTACAAGCTGACTTCCACTAACTTGATCAGCCTCGCAAGTCTGTTTGAACGCGATTTTAGCCTCTTCAACAGTGAGGCCGTTAAGGCCAGCCATTTAGCGATAAGACCTCTTCTTCTTAGTGTTTTGCCTCTCTAATCCAGCCTGTAATTCATCGACTTCCTGCTCAAGCAAAACAGCCCGGTTGAAGGCGATTTCACATCCTTTTATAACATAGGATAACACTGCTTTTATCTGCGAAGATAGGCTAATTGTATGTTCACAAAGAAGTCTTTTAATAGTAGTTTCATGCCTCCGCAATTATCTTATATTCTTGAATATTTTTAGTACTGTTGATATAGTAAAAATACTGCCAGTTAGAGTAGGCTCATAGAGCTGTATAACCAGTCTATCAAGAACCTTGTCTGGCTGGAATGGAACCAATCCTGAAGCCTTAAAGGCGTTGCATATAGTTGATTCTTTAAAGATAAGAGAATATATATCTGGATATATATCCAAGAAATCAATCTTATTAATATGATGGATGCCCTAGTGAATCAGCTGTTTTATTAAGCTTCTATATACTTATTTTAATAATACAAAGCAAGTAATGTCAAGCGGTTGATAAAGATATAAAGAATATGGAGGCATGTAGATAGAAATAACACCGTTTTAGCTATATATATTATCAAATTCTGGAGTTAAATAAGAGTCGTATCTGTCAAGAATTAGAAGGCTATATCACCCAATCTGCTAATCCTTAGTAGAAGGAATAAAGTGTTCACGAAGCCAATGTAAACCAATCTTATTAAAAGTCTAACTATTTAGCGATAGATTAATACACTAATCAGATAGAATAAGGCCTTGATATCATGCCTCTATATGAATCTTTCCCTTAAGAATCAAGTACGGTGCTAACACCACACTGGCAGCATTAATACACTCAATTGAGGTCACCCATTCGCGGTTGCCAGGCTGTATAAGAAACAGCTTGCTTATACAGTCAGATCTTGTGATTACACATGCTATAGCCACTATATCTATAATAAAGCCTGTTTTATCAAAGTTTCAGATATCTTCATTAAGAATACCTTATTCCTTTCTTACAGCTTCAACCCGATCGAACCACTCACTCAAGAGCTTGGAATCTTCATATTTCGCATGTTAGATATGATATCTTTAAGAGAATTGACTCTTTAAAGCTAGTGTACGCTTAACAAAGTTATATACCCAGTTTTCGCCGACAGAGACTGCGGAATTTGAGGCACGTTTTTGAAGAATAGATACCATATTCCGAACATATGACGGCCGAGGATGAAGCCCACGCTTAACAAGTGAGAGTATCTAGTCCTTTAAAGCCTCTTCTTCAAGAAGAGTCAGTTTTATAGACTTGATATGTATATCTGAACGTGATTTGACTCCTTTAATATGTCATTGCAGAGTTGAACGCGGAACATTGTAAGTGCTCGCAGCTTTGTTTATATACAAAATTCTGCCACTTTGAATAGCCTCAACAGCTAGGCAGATACGGCCTTCTTGTTCCACCAAAGATTTTGACGATTGAGGCATGTCTGGTGGAGTTGTTGGTGGTTAAATAGCTTCAAGTTGAAGAACGCGAGAATAACGCGCGCGCCGGCCCACTCGCTTGTGCGGCCCACTCGCTTGTGGATTACGTTATTTAACTGTCCTGACATAATGTATGTAGTAATAATACCTGCTAATTATGTGTTTTGGTTTCCGTTTGACTTGTTTGCGCTCCTAAATCGCAGTTTGCCACCCTCGGGTGAGCTCACCTGTTATTTGATTGCCATCCCTATCTTAAGAAGTGCAGCTTGATTACCAAGTTTGAACTTTATCAGTGCATCCAACAACCGTTATTTCTGCATTGAGATACCTGTTAATGTCACCAGGTAGCTCATATCCCTCGCTGTGCTTCAGACTCGCAATATTTAGCTTGACCGAACAGCTTCTCGCAACACTCTAGCTGGTAGCCAGTTTCCCACTCTGTATCTAAAAAGAAGATGCCTAGTGCACCGAAGCAGCGGAAGATAGCTATTGTTGGCAGTCGCTCTGTGGGTATGGTTGTCTATTTTTTTGATAAGCTCTTCTTGCTTGACCTGCTATTTCGAGCTCTTATTCCCGCGTACCTGCTAACACTTCATCCAGGTAAATCTTCCCTTACAGTTCGATTTGTTGAACATCATTTTGTAGAAAGCTACTATCCAACAATTGAAAATACATTCAGTCGAATCATCAAATACAACGGTCAAGATTACGCAACTGAGATCGTCGATACAGCTGGTCAAGTAAGGAGAAAACAAATGATTGGCTCGATACTCTAGTTCCTGGCAGATGGCTAATTTTGCTACAGGATGAGTACAGTATATTAAACTCGAAGCATTTCATCGGAATACATGGGTATATCATTGCCTACTCGGTGGCTTCTCGCCAGTCGTTCGATATGGTGAGAGTTATACGTGATAAGATCTTAAATCACCTTGTGAGTACTTAGGTTCGACACTGCTGTATTCTCCAGTAGCTGACGTGAACACTAGGGTGCTGACCATGTACCCCTTGTACTCGTCGGAAATAAGAGCGATCTCAAATCTGAACAACGACAGGTCTCGCTGGATGAAGGCCGGCAGCTTTGTGAGGAATTTCATTGTGCATTTACCGAGGCTAGTGCTCGTCTCGACTACAATGTTGCGAAGGCGTTTGACTTAATGATTGGGGAAATTGAAAAATCCCAAAATCCGTCGCAACCCGCAGGGAGCAACAAATGCGCTATAATGTGATCTAAAGCCTAAGGTGTAACGGGATTAAGCGTCCGACCGGGATGGCCTGGAAGATGGGCATGTCTCAGTTGGATACCATTTCAAGCATGGGAAAGACTCCATAGGTGCCCATTTCCCTTCAGTTGTTATATGTCTGGGTTATTTTGTCTTTGTTGCTCTCTACTGGTGCAGATGTGATTTTTCTATGGCGCTCAATTTATCTTGCTATTGTTTGTCGCCAGTATCTAATATTACATTATCTAATACATTTTTTCAATTCATATCATGCCGTGAAAGTTTGATTAAAAACCGTAGTAATTTAGCCATAGAAACGTGTCTAATCAATCTATCTTTCATAGAGCCCACAGATTCGAACTGCGCAGAAGACCCGGCCGACTGACTGCGATTACCACATATTAGTACGGAGTATGCTATGCCCAATTGGTCAGCCCCTAAATTTCTACCCCTCCATTTGATCCTAACGCCAACAGAGTTCTCTAGCCCCTCTTTTCTATTTATTCACAAATTGTCCTCCCCGCGTCAACTGACGCCGATACACTGTTTTTTTCTGAATACCTTCTCACGTACTACCTTCTTGTATTGTACAAGAAAAAGCCGTCCAACATGCTTGATCTCGCGGACTTCATCAGTGACCGTGGTGGGAACCCAAACAAAATCAAGGAAAGCCAGCGGAGACGTTTCGCTCCCGAAAGTGTCGTTGATGAGGTTCTTGCCTTGTATGAGGAGGCCCGGCGTGGTATGCTATTTGTGTTCAATCGTATATATCTTATACAGTAGATTGGCTGACTTGAGTATACTGTAGCGCGGTATGATGTTATGCAGATAAACTCCCAGCTTAATGCGGTTCAAAAAGAAATTGGGAAGAAAAAGAAGGTTCGCTGGCTAAATCCCGCTGCCTTACTGTTTGTGCCCTTTTTGCAGTAGAATATTCCTAACTTAGCCTTTCCTTAACAGAATAAGGAAGATGCAAGCGACTTGATGGAACAAAAGGCCGGCTTGGAGAACCGCAAAAAGGATGCCGAGGAACTTGCCCTTCAAAAGGAAAAGCAAAGGGACGGTAAAATTCGAACGATCGGTAACCTTGTCCACGAATCAGTCCCCGTTAGCAATAATGAAGTAGGTATTACCCTCATGGATGGAGAGAAACCCCAATTGACAGAAGCACTACTATTAGGATGACAACGCTGTAGTAAGAATGTGGACGCCGGAAAATGTCAAGGTCGAGAAGCGCGATTGCCTTTCTCATCATGAGGTACTCACACGTCTTGATGGATTTGACCCAGAGCGTGGTGTCAAGGTGGTTGGTCACCGCGGTTACTGTTTGACAGGATTCGGCCTTTTTCTCAATCTCGCTCTGATAAACTATGGCCTAGAATTTCTCTGGGGAAAGGGCTACAAGCCCAACCAACCTCCGCAATTCATGCTCAAGGAAATGATGGCGAAAACCGCCCAACTAGAGCAATTCGATGAGGAGCTGTACAAGGTCACGGAAAGTGAAGATAAGTCCACGGACAAGTATCTCATTGCTACCTCGGAGCAACCTTTGTCTGCTCTGCATGATGGGGAATGGCTGCAAGACAAAGATCTTCCAATCAAGTGGGTTGTCCATGCATTGTCGGCTTCTGTTCTTTTGGTTGTCTTTCCCATTCGGCTGACCAGCACGCAGGTATGCCGGGTATAGCACATGCTACCGGAAAGAGGCTGGTGCACACGGTAAAGATGCCTGGGGTATTTTTCGTGTTCATCAGTTTGAAAAGGTGACAAGCCCTCGACCACCAATGACGTCTACTATCTCAACTTACCTTGGCGCAGATTGAACAATTCGTTCTCACGAAACCAGAAGACTCTTGGCAAGCATTTGAAGAAATGATGGCTACCTCGGAAGAGTTCTATCAATCTCTTGGACTGCCGTACCAAGTTGTCGCTATTGTTTCGGGGGCATTGAACAATGCTGCCTCAAAGAAGTATGACCTCGAGGCGTGGTTCCCATTTCAAGGAGAATACAAGGAACTAGTGTCCTGCTCCAACTGTACCGATTACCAATCCAGGGCACTTGAAATTCGGTATGGCACAAAGAAGGCCACTGATGTGAAGAAGTCCTATGTTCATGCTTTGAATGCGACTTTGTGTGCCACAGAGCGTACACTATGCTGTGTACTTGAAAATTACCAAACAGATGATGTACGTCCTGACCTCGAGCATACTCTCATGAATGGCAGTGCTGATAGACTTTCTAGGGTATTATTGTGCCGGAGCCTTTGAGGAAATATATTCCAGGCGCCCCCGAGTTCATCCCCTATACCAAGGAGCTAGCCAAGGACAGTACTTCTAACAAGTCTAAGTCTAAGCAGTCTTCGAAGACTACGAGTGGGCCTGAAGAAACCGCGAAGAAACTAGAAGGCCTTCAGGTTTGAGCGTGGTCAGTCTAATACTATTAGACACGGACATTTTCATTAATGATCCAATTACTGTTTTTTGAGCATCCCAGTCAATCGAAGGAATTAGATTGTAGTGGACAAGAACCCAGGCATTCGAGTTGGCGGATTATCTCAGTTGCGAGAGATCAAGCAGCAAAAACAAGAATTGCATAATACCAAGTCCTAAACCAAGAAGACTATGTATGCTTGGGCTAACTGCCTGGGTACCTCTAAAACATTTTCCAAGGTACCTTAACCATTTTGTAATTGGGAGAGGTACTCCGTATACCTACAGGACGGAAATATAAGGCCCAAGGTTGACACTTTGGAAAGATTTGTGGGAAAAACGGATAGGAAGGATGCTCTAGCCCCGCCCTTACTTGCCCCTCCGCAATTGTTTTTCCATGTGATGACTCAAACAGAATATAACGCCATGACTAGTCACAAGAAATGTGGAACACCGCTGTTCAAGTCCGGTTCCGGAGGACATAAAACTCAGCCCCTTCTTCTGTCACTCTAGGCTTTGTTGTTCAATAACCCGTGCTTCTTTTGATACATATCTTCTCCCTTTTACATTTGTATTATTCTTCGTCACTTCCTTGCTTCTTCAAAAATGGCTACATCTGCAAGGGACATCAAGCCCCATCAAGATGCCTCTCAGAGCTTAAACTTCTCTACCTCTCCCACTGCTTCTTTCCAGTCTGCGCCCTCCAGTCATGGAGGATCAGTCTTGGGAAGCCGCACAATTCCACTAGCCAACGCAAAACACTTGAAGCCCTTCGCCACAGAGGATATCAAGGTCCTGCTCCTGGAAAATGTTAATCAAACCGGCAGGGACATTCTTACCAAACAGGGTTACCAAGTGGAATTTCTCAAATCATCACTTCCGGAAGATCAGCTTATTGAAAAAATCCGGTTAATACCCCAATATTTGCCCCTAATACATTTACTGACTACAATTTCCCATGTATAGAGATGTGCATGTGATTGGAATCCGCTCTAAGACAAAGCTGAGTGCTCGCGTCTTGAAGGAAGCCCGGAATCTCATTGTCATTGGTTGTTTCTGCATTGGGACAAACCAGGTTGACCTCCAATATGCAGCCGAACATGGTATAGCGGTCTTCAACTCGCCGTTTAGCAATTCCCGGAGTGTTGCCGAACTGGTTATAGCTGAAATCATCGCCCTTGCCCGTCAATTGGGTGATCGTTCGAATGAGATGCACAACGGGACATGGAACAAAGTGAGCAACAAGTGCTGGGAAATTCGCGGAAAGACCCTCGGTATGCTCATCATCCATCGCTATTAGTTGTTGACTAATGCTTTTGCCAGGTATAATTGGTTATGGCCATATCGGCGCCCAACTGTCGGTTCTAGCAGAGGCTATGGGCATGTCAGTCATTTTCTACGATGTAGTAAACTTGATGGCATTGGGTACTGCTCGCCAAGTGTCGACTCTTGAAGGCCTTTTGTCCGAGGCAGACTTCATCACATGCCATGTTCCCGAGCTCCCAGAAACACGGAATATGATAGGACAACGCGAGTTCGAACAAATGAAGGCTGGTAGTTATCTTATCAACGCCAGCCGAGGGAGTGTCGTAGACATCCCTGCTTTAATCCATGCAATGCGGTCTGGCAAGGTTGCAGGTGCTGCCCTTGACGTCTACCCCAATGAGCCTGCTGGTAATGGTGATTATTTTAATCAAGGTCTCAATGATTGGGCGACAGATCTCAGGAGTCTTAAGAACTTGATACTGACTCCGCATATTGGAGGTAGCACCGAGGAGGCGCAGCGGGCAATTGGCATAGAGGTTGCGGAGGCCTTAGTGAGATATGTCAATGAAGGTACCACATTGGGGGCTGTTAACATCCCGGAGGTTGCTCTGCGGTCCCTGACAATGGATGAACCCAGCCATGCCCGGGTGAGTAATAACTTAGCAAGCTCTATTCTGACAATGATTAACTGTTTCAAAAGGTCATCTTTATTCATCAGAATATTCCGGGTGTTCTACGGAAAGGTACGTGCAACGAATCTAGAATTATTTGCCTGCCTTGCTGATGATACCCAGTCAATGAAATCCTTGGTGATCACAACGTCGACAAGCAAATGACTGATAGCAGAGGCGATGTATATGTCCACACCTTGACACTTCTATCGGGCATGGGGCTGACGATATTTAGGTGGCCTACTTGATGGCTGATATTAGTAACGTCGACAATATGACAATCAAGGACTTATATGAAAGGCTTGAAAGCCTTGGATGTATGGGATCACTTTCTTCACTTCTAACGGCCACTTCACTAACCGAAGTTCTCCTTCGACCTTTTAGCTCGAATCATGACCCGTATCTTGTACTAAAATCCGGTCGTTCTGTCACGCCAAATTCTACCTCTCGTAGTATGAAGGGTGCAGCAATACCGTTTCCAGTGAACAAAAGCAACCGAAAGAAAAGAAGGAATGATAGAATTGATTGAAATCCAAGTTCCAGCCGAGGTCCCTCAACGGCACTCGTCCGGTGCAACTGCAACGCTTGATCTCAATGCAAGTGTGAATGATTTTCAACCTCAGAGACCGGCTTGTATCTAGTACACTGGCTATTCCTCACAAATTGGTCACCACCGCGGTGGGCTAGCCACTGGCCTTAATCTTACTAGCCAACTTATGACTTTGTCAGCCTATCGGCAGCATGCTAAGTTTCAAGCCCGCTGCTAAGTTCGCCTAATATTCACTAGCTTAATTTTCACCAATGTGCACAATTAAGGTAGTGCCTTAACATGTGTTTTAGGATCCTTAGAAGTTCGAAGATCAATAATGGACACAACCCTTGGGTATCTCGCTGCTTCGATATTTCCTTTCTACCACCCTGAATCTTATAAGTAACCTGGCCTCATCCTTCTTAAGTGACTAGTAAAAAGATTATTTCTCAAATTGATTTGACAATAGTACATTTAACCTTTCGTACGAAAGATTAGTCATCTGCGATGGAATGCCCTGGCCACATCACGGCCTTCTCTAAAGTTGGGACTCCGACTTCTTCGTCTTGAGAAGTTCTCTCGCGAATAATCCCTCCGCATAGATTGGTGGGCCTGATCACTAGTGAGCTCGCGTCGATCCATGTTGCTTGAACTGTGATCCCTTTCCCAATGACGGTCGCCCCCACCGGTGTAGTTTGGTATGTAGGAATCTAAGTTCCCTTCAGATCGCCCTCGACCCTGGTGATTTCTGTCTCGTCCCACTCTACCTATATTACCGGAGGCCCATGCCTGGTGGTTTGACATGGGCGGGCGAGGTGGTAGCCCACCCTTATGCCAAGGTCCTTGGCCGGACTCCTCCCCACCTGATCTCGATCTAGCTGTATGCGTCTCACAGTTGCGATTGTCGATGGAGCGCTGTGGAGGGACCCCCTGTGCTCCGTGGTTCCAATTCCCACGGGCAGCGTTTGGAAGGCGACTATTTCTACCATCGATGCCCGTTCTGTTTCCAGAGCAGGCTGCCCAGCTTCCATTCGGACCGCCAGTTCCTATAGAGCCCCCTGCAGGTGCCGGTGGCATGGGTGCCCTTTGGCCACGAAACCGTCTCCTATCAAGCTCATGGGAGTCTTCGAATGAAGGCAGTTCACCTGGCCGCGCAGGAAGTGGGGGGCTAAAAAAGTAAGGATGTTTTAAAGCGTCCATCGCATTAATTCGTTTCCGCCAATCGAGCTTCAAAAGCTCAGAGAGCAAAGATATGGCAGCGGGACTTTGACTGTTAACATGTCAGTTATTTCATGATTTGTCTCAGCTGGCTTCTCAAGGAAGGAAGGGTTTGGCAATACTCTTTAAATATTTCGCCTAGATTGCCAGGTCTGTTCCCGAAATTCTTCACACCCTCACATCCTGGCAATGAAGACCACCCCGGCATGCTTTCTTCTGTAGGTGAACCTACAAGATTGAAGATCAGCTGCGCCTGGTTGAGATCGCTATTGCCAGCAAGGATTGGTCTTCCCTTGAACATTTCACCGAATACGCATCTGTAAACATTAGACAAACGTTGTCACGAAATTAGGCCATTTCATTTTTTCATTTACCCGACACCCCACATATCGATCGCCGTAGTATATCGCCGGAGTTGAAGCAGTAGTTCGGGAGGACGATACCATCGAGTTACAACGAGCGTAGTGTAATCCCTTCTTGCTTCGCCCCCGCCTTTTCCGGGTCGAGGAGGGGGTTCTTCGTACGGTCGAGCCAACCCGAAATCAGCAATTTGAAGTATCCCTCTGTTGCTGATAAGAAGATTGGCAGCTGTTGGGGTGTTAGCTGAAAATCCTGCTTCGCCCTTCAAGGGTATGTTGACCTTTCATGTCACGATGCAGAATACGATTCTATAACAAGTCAGGACCAAAGCCATAAATGTTTCTCGCGAGAACCTATACCTCATGTAGATACCTGAGCCCCTCAAGGAGTTGAAGCATATAACATTTGATTTGGGCCTCAGTGAAATGAACGGCGGGGTTCTCCAGAAGGCCCGAAAGATCGTGTTCCATATATGGCGTTACCATGTACATGCTTGGTTTCTTACGTCCTTCCCCTGTCCTCGAATAAGCACACTTTCACATGAGACAGGCTGCCTTGCTTACCTTTACTCCGTTCTACTGCCATTTCTCTAAGATGTAGAATATTAGTGTGAGATAACATCTTTAGAAGTTTGACCTCACGAAGAGCGGTTATGGGGAACTTCGAACAGACTGATTAGCCTAGACTAATGTGGTAGACCTGGTATTCTTACCCCGTCTCTCTCATTGTGCATGAGTATCTTTTTGAGAGCAACAACGGTATTGTCCTTCTTTGATCTTGCTTTGTAGACCTCCCTGGGGAATTTTAGTATGAAAGCTCGCATTTTTTGATCCCCCAGAACCTACCCAAAAGTGCCTTCACCAAGTTTGCCCAAGAATTCAAAATCGCGGATGCTGGTACACCCACGGAACCTGGTGTTGCCATTGCTGTCTCTCTCGAGTGATACTATGACCATGTTTTGCCAACAGTCCGCTTCTCACAAAGAGTAATCATATGTGAAAAATACCGTCAATGGTCTGTGACGCAGGAGCACGTAAATTCTTTGGCCCGTCTGACACAAACCTAGACTGAGCTGAAGTCTAGATAGGAACCGTCAGTGTAAAGGCAACGGTGTATGTTTGACCACAGTGCGACTCCTAAGTTGGGCTACCGCTATAGCTGAAAGCCTCAGTGTGTGGGCAGATCGTGGTATGGGATGCAGACGTTCAGCTTGTATCAAGGGAAGGATTGCAGGTATCCAACAATAGTAGCTTGATGGCAGGAAGAGAATTGGGTGAGTGTTTTAAGGCAGTAAAAGAGGCAGTTCTGTAGCTGGTGTTATAGCCCCAGATTTCATAGTGCTTCTCGGGAGTAAAATCAATGTATCGCTATTATTACATCAGTCGGGTTGAGAAAGATCTCTATGTATACCCTTTAGACCATGCTTTCTGTTATTCTGGGCAGAGTCCTTTGAATCACGTGATAAACCGCTTATCTGCTTCTACCTCTCAAACACTTGCCTTACCCTCACAGCCATCGAACGTTTCTACATAGCGGTGGGCCCTGTCTCATAAGTCCCTGGACTACCGAAAGTATGACACTCGAGTTGAATGAGACATATAATTTCGAAGCTAACATGCATCGAACAGGAATGGCTGCAAACCACCCAATCCATATTCATCCAGCACGACCTCTTTATCGCTTCACGGCCACTGCGTTGGGAGCTAGTATGTGGTTCTTTGTACGGATCTCGCGCCATTTTATGTAACGGACATAGCTAATCATACAACCTCTACGGACTTACAGCTGATGTACAGAACTAAGAAGGACGGGCCTGCCTTGTTGGGTTGGAAGCATCCTTGGGACCATTGAGTGCATATTACACTCGGCTCTATTAAACCTGACTGGTGTCAAGAGTGGAAGAGTTTTGATTTCCTTAGAGGGTTCTTCTCTATACCTCAAGAAAGTTAAAACAGAAAAGACACGCTATTCATGTCGTCACTCAAGGAACCAATGAAAACAAATCAAACTGTAGTCGCCATCACGGATGTTTGAAACAATTAAACGTACAGATGGCAGTGGACAAATTTCTTTGCATTAGTATATAATATGGACATCCATCTACCCTTGCATTTCCTCGAGTAGTACCTTGTACTGCCGGCGCTTTTTGGGATGACCTGCCCGCAACGCTGTGTACACGCGCCCTAGAGCACGTGCCAATCTAGGGAAGAACAGTCTTTCTGCCAACCAAGAGAACAAGAAGCCCACAAGAGCGAGTGCCAACAGCCAGCACGCGAAATTGTTGGGCAGGTATGTCAATTGCATAAATTGTTCCAGCCATTGTGATGGTTTGAAAAGCATGTAGCAAGAGATTATTAGGTCCACAATTATCATAGAGAGGAATGGTTCTAATAGCCGTTAGCAAATTGACGACCGGACATGCGAGTGGGGACCAACTATTAGAGCTCATCGGTTTTCGGAAAGGCGGCCCAACGCTAAGAACAACGCTTGATAATATGTATTGGAAACTAGAAACCAGGAAAAGCACCGTGTTTTCGGAATTTTCGATATTGCTTTCCTCTAGATCTATCCGAGGAGGTTGGAACCTATTTTGAAGTCAGCAAATGTCATGAGTATACCTACGAGAAAGCACGCCACGCACCATGGTTGTAGTTGGACGGTTTGAAAAGCCACGAGCTGGGTGAAAACACATATTGCAATTTGGCCTAGTAGCGGAACCAAGACTTTGCGTGATACAAGGTCGGCAGTTGGTCGTTTTTGCGAGAGCACAGGGTACGGGTTGGTCCATCCCACTGGCAAGGAGTTAGCTACATGGTTGCTACGGTGTTTGAGGCCGGGGGCCGAATCCCTTAGTCTAGGCAAGATGACTTACTGAAAATGGCGATTGGTAATATCAGGCACAGGTCAATAAAGAGGAACTTCCAATAGTCTGTTAGTGAAAGCACTTGTCGTTGAGAGGAGCGGGAGTATCACCTGGAAGTCTCCAAGATTTGACGCCGATGCATATAAGAAACTGACAGTCGAAAACTGAATTGCCGAATAAAGGCTCATATACTTGAAGCAGCAAAAGCTTGTGACCAAGGCACCGCGACCTTCCCTGTTTCTCTGTTAGATGGATTCGCTGATGCACAATGGAAGATATCCGGTACCTAATGAGCGTTGGAACACAAGATATGTCAAAGCGACGGCTCGTGAATGGAGCAGCAACTGAAGCTTCGGCATCTGATAAAGAAACGCCGACATCTGCGGCTTTCAACGCCCCACAGTCATTGGCACCATCACCACAGAATCCACAGCAGTAGTCAAGGGATTGAAGTTTTTCTACAAGCTCGTGTTTCTCGTCGGGTGACATTCTCGCAAATACCTTGCCACGCACAAGCATCTGTAAACATAATCAGCGCAAGATTTGGATAAGCCTGACTGGCCCGTAGAAGGCATGCCAGCAGATGAATGCGACTATACATACCCTCTTTATGAGTGTTTCGCTTCCAAAATCCACGATCCACCGGAACACATCGCCACTAACGGCAAGGGAATAATTGCGAAGATTGCAAACATTGCCTGGTATAGACAAATCGACTGCCGTCGAATTCAACAAAGGCTTCCTGTCATTAGCCGTGCCCATTGTTTAGAGGATGGTGGCGTACCATGAGAGTGCTCGGGTTAAGGTTCCATGCTGGGTTATCTACACTTTCCCAGCAAAGAGAAGCATCGGAGCCATGATCCTGTGGATGGCCTGGTGCAAGGGTTAACCAAGGAAATAAAGTCTTATCAGATGCGGCCAACCTTGCACGAAACGTGGAACGAAACATTGTTCCTCTCCACTAATCAGACCACATTCGCGAGCAACACTGACTGCAGTGAGTATGTTATCACCTGTACACATCACGTTGCGTATTCCTGCCTTGTTTAGCTCAGAAATCGTCTCGGTAGTCTTTGGCTTCAGTTTGTTTTCAAAGATGATGAAGCCAAGGAATTCCAAGTCACACTCGGCATCACCACGGGTCATTTTCTGGACTCTCATCCAGCTTAATTTTGGCTCATATTTGGCCGCACAAGCAATGACGCGATAACCTTTATGGGTGTAATGACCTAGGAGGTCGTCAAAATCATGTGGTACTAAAAATATCGTGCATCAGCTTCAAAATGGAACTCAAAGTTGTGTATGCATACTAACAGCTCCCCGGAAGACATATAGCTTTAATGCTCTCCGGTGCACCTTTCACGAAAGTGCTAGCACCATTGTCACCATATCGCCGCACAATCACACTTGCTCGGCGAAGGTGTGACACAAATTCAAAACCACGCAGAATACCGAGTTCTAATGGTGCCTATATTACATCATCAGTTTCAGTCGGATGAGTAGTTTTCTCAGCATCGGAAGGGGTACTAACATCCAAGTTAGTTTGCTCATAACCACTAGCATGGCCTGCAGGAAGGGGTGGCCTTGCAATCGACGGTAATATCGTCTCAGAATCCAATTGTTCAGTATGGCCCCCACCCTCTTCAAAAGACCAACCAGTGAACTGAAACATCTTGACATCTAAAGGGTCCCCTAGAAGTTCACCGTCTACAACCCTCAAAGAGTGACATGTTGCCATGGTGTAAAGAGTGCTGTTATACCTGCTCACGCCTTGAATGCTCTTTGTACGGGATGATGTTGGGAAATCGAGACAAAGCTTAGGAAGTAGTTTTGAAAGTCTGGGACATGGTCAGTGGATATGTGGAGATGTAATATGCACGTGTATAAACCTTTTGTTGTCGTCAACAACTCGCACCCCAAGGACATCCAGGCCATCTTCTGTAAGGGTTCCCGTCTTATCGAAACATATCACATCTAGCTTTCCACCAACATTGACCCTATTTGAGAGCTTAGCACAGCCTACCTTGTGGCCTTCGCTTTTCCCTTACCTTTGTGGACTGATACAAAATATCTTATGCGCCTTCAGTCGTGAGAGAGCAAAATTGGTTCCAATACTTAGCGTGGCTGGCAGAGCTGGAGGCACCACGATCGTGATCAGGTCGAGTGCTCTGACGATGATTAGATGCCATGAGAGCTGTAAGTTGTTAGCTGCCGACGATTCTGCTTGGCTCCAAGCTATGCTTACTCCAAGGTGGATGAAATTAACAAATGAGGCCACAAAGCCCATAATAGCAATAAGAGCCATAACAGATATATAACGGAACGAGTCCCGATAGAAACTGAATCCTGAAGGCTTTGGGAAAAGCATAGATCGAACAAGGGCGCCTTTCGTCGTCAAAAACCCTGTTCTCACAACGACTGCCAAAGCAATGGCTTCATCGTCAACGGCTTGTGGACGACGTGCCCGGATTACCTTTGTGCCACTGAATAAGAAATGTTTTGCAAGAACGGGGTGAACTGAGGGGGCACTCAAGTTCAGGTATTTGAGAGCATCGTCCGTTAACGGTACTTTGGAAACGGGAACAGATTCACCTATATTTTCGTTAGGTTCTTATCCACTACCTTAGATGAGGTGTCAAACCTGTGAGCATGCTCTCATTCACGATACAGTCCCCAGAGAGTAATATACAGTCACAAGGAACATGATTTAATGAGGGGTCAGAGAATTCAAAAACATCACCAGGAACAAGTTCCCGAGAAGGAACAGATCTCCCTGCCATGGAAACATACTGTTAATTTGAGCATGTATTGCCAGGACGATTTTAAACTTACAGAATCCATTTCTTAGCACACGTATATCACATTCAAATAATGAAATTTGTCTTAAGCGATTCATAGTCTGCTTATGATTAGTAAACAGGCACAAAGCTTTGGTGAAGGACCGCGGACCGCTTTGGTCTCGATTATAGTAGCACTTATACTAATAACGGAGATGAGGAATATGCAGACTGCATAATAATAATACTGATCGAGTGACCAAAGGACGAGACTGGCAAGCTGGAAAATATAGAATGGGTGAAAAGCCTGAAACCGTAAGCATGTCAATACGACAATTCATGTCATTGAACAAGTACCTCATCCATAAGAAGTTGAAGAATGGGCTTTTGTTGGATATCAATGAGGTTTTTTCCAAACACCTGTTCGCGGCTATCACGATCATCGGCATCGAGTCCAGCTCTCATTCCTTTCGCGTTCGTCCAAAAAGGGTCTTTCCAGCCGTTAACTAAACAGAATTTGTCTTCAACGGGGTGGTAGAAGAGCCGGAGATATCTATAGTCGATGTACCGCAATTTCGAAATAGTGGGATCGTTGTCTTCGTCGAACATGTGGTATTCGGGGTCAGTAAAGACTGTTGAAAGGGGACGGCCGTAATCTTCATTATGAACCGTGTGAATGCCAAATTGATTCCATTGATCCTGGTTCAGACTCAGTACATGGAGTATCAGCATTATGTACTTCCGTACTTACCTCAACTGCGACCCATTGACACACTTGAAGAGGGGCCGGGTTCCCCAACAAGCGGACTCGGTACCTCGGAAACCACCGAAATAGAAGATAAAAGAGCCCGAATGATAACAAACATAATGAATAATACAATACCATGCCAGCGAGGCTCGTCGAAAACCCCGCAACAACGATGGTTAGGTCTTCTGAGACGATATGGACTTTCTGGCTTACTCTTCTGTCGCTTCTATAGCCTTGGACATAAGAAGAGGCTGATAGCGACCGCTGCAGGAGAGGATCTTCAGCAGAATCTCTAGAGTAAGATGGACGTTTAGAAGATCTGATAGACTCATTCGTCACGCTAACTCCAAGTTCGGGCATGTCGTCAATATCGCTCTCGGCAGCTTCATTTGGCCACTCCATGTGATCTTCATCTTCTTGAAAATAAGTGAAGCTTGTGGTAGAGTCTCTCCGATTCCGACGGTGAGAAAATGAAACCACGCTGGAAGGGATACTCTCTGACATCGGCCCATCATATATCTATTACAGTTACATTGATTGTCCTGTATTCTTCAGCCTCACAATTGATGAACGCACCTCATTGCGAGCCATTTCAACGTCTGAGATAACACTATAGCTAGAAAATCATCAGTAAACCCAACTGAAGAGTTGTGTCTGGTGATAAGAACCTGCTTATCATGGAGCTGCGCCGATGATCAGTCCCAAGGAAAGCCATGGAAGACTGGTTTTCCATTGGTGGCTGTACATCGTTTTCCATGTTGATGGAGATGCTCTCAATTTGCTTCTCAATGTCTGGTGTAAGTCGCAGTGGAAAGATCAGTTTTGTTTATATTAAAATCAACAGGCCAGCGGTGATGAGAAAGCCCATGCAGCTGTTTTCATTCCGAGTGATCCCACTATAATTTTGAGCGAATGATTTTAGCCAATATCTAGATATGTCGTTTATGGACTGTATATATGCATGGAAAAGATAATGAGTTAGAAGATGTTATTAATGACCGACTCACAAAAAGTCTTATCTTCACGTGACAGCATACCTAGATGGCGGGAGCCTATCTCGTAAATTACCAATCCCCACTGACTGACTATGGAGTACTAGGGTGTATGTAGTAGACAACTCAACTATGGTTTCTTTCCTACTCCGTTGCTAAGTATATGTCATTAATATCGATTTTGGGAATACCTAATGGTCCATATTTCCATGTAGTGTGCGGGTGACTTTCCTTATATTTGAATTTCTACACATGCTCTTGGAATAGGCTTCCTGGTCCCGGTATTCATTGATTGATGTGGCTGCGTATATAGATAGTACTAATAACCTACCATGTAAAACTATTCACTGATTACTGGTGGAAAGAAAATGATATCATTCTACCCAGTACCAAGTCAACTTTTAAAACCCAACTGCCCCTGACTGGCGCTTTGATGTTACTACTATCTGAATTAACAGAGACGGCAAGTTCTAAGGTATTTTGAGTAGCAAGATTCAAAATAAATAGGTTGCAAGACATTCTGTACTAATAATAATCGATGTTGGAAAGCCAAAGGGCTAAGGTTGGATTCGGTATGCTGGAGGTAAAACTAAACTCAAGCGTCTTATATGGTATATTATTCCGAGCGGCTATGCCTGTTCTCTACTATGTTATCCTTGTGACCCAGGAGATAGAGAGAGGTAGGGATGATAGGACTCTTTTTGTCTACCGGCACCAGCGATTGATACAATATTGTTGGGAGCTTTGAAAAGTTCTCAACAGCCAGCGCCCCCGTCCCGCCAAGCCCCTCGGCCCAAGGGCGCTAAGGATCCCACCAAGCCAGTATTCCAGACCTCGCAAAACCGAAGCGTATCAAATTCTTCCTTAACCCTCTTCGACAAACCCCTCGGCCATCCCGTGTCCTTGTTACGTGATTCCTTTAAACAACGTTATCACCATGTCTGAGCCCATCAGGAATAAGAAGGCGGAATTCCCCGTGGCCCCGTAAGTATCCCTTCTTCTGAGCTACCGACCTCTACCGAATTTTGCCGCATGCTATGTCTTGATTTCTGATCAGATGTGACGGCTACAGGACTCCACAAAACACCCCAGCCAACAATGCTCCTATCTCTTCCCATGCTCAGCAGCCAGGGATTGCTAGCATCAAAGAAGGTGAACTAAACTGTTTCCTCAAATAAGGTGCTTCTTCCACCTAACACAACCTAAATCTAGAGTCTCTTGACCATGCTACGGCGGCTTCCCTGTTTGCACGCAACCCCGGGCTTGTTTCAATGATCCAGGGAAAATTGGGATCCCTTGTTGGCCGCTCTTCAGGCTACATTGAATCCTTACCTGTCTCAGTCCGCAGACGTGTCGCTGGCTTGAAGGGTATTCAGAAGGAACACGCTAAACTGGAAGCTCAGTTTCAGGAAGAGGTCCTGGAACTTGAGAAGAAGTACTTTGCCAAGTTCACTCCTCTGTACCAGCGACGTTCCACGATAGTCAATGGAGCCGCGGAGCCTACGGATGGCGAAATCGAAGCGGGACAGGGTGAGGAAGATGATGACGACTCTAAAGACGAGCCTGAGACCACGAAGGACGAGGAGCAAGAGTCACCAATCACCGGTATACCCGAATTTTGGCTTTCGGCTATGAAGAACCAGATTTCTCTTGCAGAAATGATCACTGAACGGGACGAAGATGCCTTGAAGCATCTCATCGACATTCGCATGGAATATCTCGATCGTCCAGGCTTCCGCCTTATCTTCGAATTTTCGGCTAATGCCTTTTTCACGAACAAGCTCATCTCGAAGACATATTACTACAAGGAAGAGAACGGCTATGGCGGTGATTTTATTTACGACCATGCTGAGGGCACTAAGATCGATTGGAAGGCTGATCAGGATCTCACTGTCCGCATTGAGAGCAAAAAGCAGAGAAATAAGAGTAAGTTTCAGCGCAGTCAATGCTGGATGAACTTTGTCGCTGAACTCTTCTAGATACGAAACAGACTCGGGTTGTCAAGATTACCGTTCCCACGGAGTCATTCTTCAATTTCTTTTCTCCTCCTCAGCCCCCAACAGAAGATGATGACACTGTTGCCACTGATATCGAGGAGCGACTTGAACTTGATTACCAGCTTGGTGAAGATATCAAGGAGAAGCTCATACCTAGAGCCATTGACTGGTTCACGGGGGAGGCTCTTCAGTTTGAGGAGCTGGGTGAGGACATGGATGAAGATGAATTTGACGACGAGGACGACGAAGATGAGGATGAAGAGGATGATGACGATGAGGATAGGAGATCCGACCGGGACGTTGACGATGATTCGGAAGAAGAGGTGCGCACCTATTACTGTTTCTTCTACCATTTGTGCATGCTAACCAAGAACAGGATGGTGCCTCTAAGCCAAAGAAGGAGGCAGCGGAATGCAAACAAAGCTGAGCATGTTCGTGAATGTAGATGAGGAAAACCAAGCTGGAGCATGCATGACCCGGCTTCTTGACAGCTAGCCACTAGTGGTGTCTCCCATTGTCATTGTCCTGTTTCCCCCTTTTTTCTATTATTATTTACAATCTCCCCCTTCTAGTCCTTCTGACGTTTTCGTTTCCACCTAGTAATCTTGTCTCAGATTGTCGTCTTGATGTCTCGGGAAGCGCTTCCATGGTGCAAATAATCCATTGGCGCTTCTTTGTGTAAGGCAGTCTGCGCAGCTCTGGTCTAATCATCTCACTCATTTCTAATCTCCTTTCGTGCATAATTGTGTCCAGGCAATGATGTGAAGTATGAACATACTCCAGGTTTAGTTTGATGGATACATGCAGGCCATCTGTCGGCTTAATTGCTTTGTGGCGATGAGTTGAAAAGCGGCCCCCCAACCCCAAGCCTATTACTATCATAGCCGTTATCATACCGTCTAAAGCACTCTGGTGCATTGTTACCAAGTAAAGTCTAGAAGCCGTAGATTCAATGGCGAAAGTCGCAATGTGTACCTGTGGAGTATCTACACTGGACAGCACACTTGGGTCATTATCACCATGGATCGTTTGTCATCGGTTTATAGGTATAGCCAACTAACTAATCACTAGTGTTTTCTCACCGCCTGTTCTGCCCCCATATTCTGTTGTAACATCGTGGGCTCAATCCAGTTTTCATGCGATGCAGAACATATTTGTGAAGACTTGAACTTGCAGCTGCATATAAACCCATAAAATTGCCCGTTCTCAGTAACATTGTACTTCTAGTTGTGGTTATGGCGAGTTTGTGAAATACTTCTACGGAGCAATGTCCATACTTTTTGGCTCTTGGCGCTGGTGCTGACAACTGTGGGGATCATGTCGACAAGTGGCGCCGCTCTCAAGGCGCCGCTTCAGGGGTTGCGGCTCGGTAACGCCAGCTGTTAGCCAGTTCAGTAATTTCTTCCTGAAGTGAAGCATGATGCCTGTTTTTGACTTATAATCAAAAACAGAACCCGTCATTGCTGCCTTCGGACGGGATTGTTCCGCTCGATTTGACTTGAACTCGCTGTCCTTGTTCCTATCTCCTCACTAGATGCCTTTTAACATCAATTGTTCAAACAGATCCTCCGAACGTCCTGCATAGGTTGCTTGCTCCAGTCACATCAAGATATAGGAGGATAACAGATCCATATAACCTAGCGCGATGGTGCACAATTACGAGGTCGGAACGAGGGCCTGGCAACCCGATCCGACCGAGGGATGGGTTGCATCTGAAGTCAAAGAGAAGTTGGTCGAGGGGGACAAGGTGCAACTTGTTTTCTTGATGGAAAATGGAGAGGTTTGCATATCTTTTCTACCAGTTTCTTGGTGTAGACAGCCATAACAGTCCACTGACGAGTTTACGCATAAAGACAAAAACTTTGGAAACAACCCAGGCCGAGTTACAGGTAGACAACAACCCAAAACTGCCTCCGTTGATGAATCCTGCTATGCTCGAAGCCAGCGAAGACCTTACGAGCCTATCTCATCTGAATGAACCAGCTGGTGTGTGTGCCTTCTAACTTAGGATTATGGTTGTTGCTGAGTACCTTGAAGTTTTGCAGGCTATAAAGTTACGTTATGCGCAAAAGGAAATATATACCTATAGTGGCATTGTTCTTATTGCCACCAATCCCTTTGCTCGGGTCGACTCACTCTATGTTCCGCAAATGGTGCAAGTATATGCTGGAAAACATAGAGCATCCCAGGCGCCACATCTTTTCGCCATCGCCGAGGAGGCCTTCGCGTAAGAGCTGCTCTCTTCTCTGATACACGTCTGGTTATTTACAAATTATTGTATAGTGACATGTTACGAGACGGGAAGAACCAGACGATTGTAGTTTCTGGTGAATCAGGTGCCGGGAAGACGGTCAGCGCAAAGTACATCATGCGTTACTTTGCAACACGCGAGTCTTCAGATCAGCCCGGGAAATATACTACCAGTCGAGCAGATGCTATCAGCGAGACCGAAGAGCAAATTCTGGCCACAAATCCTGTCATGGAAGCATTCGGCAATGCCAAAACGACTCGCAATGACAACTCTTCCCGTTTCGGAAAGTACATTGAAATAATGTTCGATGACAGAACCAATATAATTGGCGCCAAGATACGAACATATCTTTTAGAAAGATCCCGACTTGTGTTTCAGCCTCTGAAAGAGCGCAATTATCACATATTTTACCAACTTGTCGCCGGTGCGACGGAATCTGAAAGACAAGAGCTTGGCCTTGCATCCATCGAGGACTTCGATTATCTCAATCAAGGTGGAACACCGACAATTGATGGCGTTGACGACAGGGCTGAATTCAATGCAACAAAGAAATCCTTGGGCACTATAGGGGTCCCGGAAAAAACACAAGCCGAAATATTTCGGGTGCTCGCTGCTCTGTTACATCTTGGAAATGTCAGAATAACCGCCACAAGGACGGATTCGAGTTTATCTCCGTCGGAACCATCGCTTGTTCAAGCTTGTGAAATGCTCGGGATCGACGCCAATGAATTTGCAAAATGGATAGTCAAGAAACAGCTCATTACACGAGGCGAGAAAATTACATCCAACTTGACTCAACAACAGGCCACGGTTGTCAGGGATTCGGTCGCTAAATTCATTTATTCTAGCCTATTTGATTGGCTTGTCGATAAGATCAATCGCGGTCTAGCTACTGATAGCGTTCTGAGCAAGTTCAAGTCCTTCATTGGCGTCTTGGATATCTACGGATTCGAACATTTTGCAAAGAATTCGTTTGAACAGTTTTGCATCAATTACGCCAATGAAAAACTGCAGCAAGAGTTCAACCAGCACGTGTTCAAACTCGAACAAGAAGAATATGTGCGAGAACAGATAGACTGGACATTCATTGACTTCTCAGATAACCAACCATGTATTGACTTGATTGAAGCTAAATTGGGTATCCTATCCCTTTTGGACGAGGAATCTCGGCTGCCCATGGGCTCAGATGAGCAATTTGTGACCAAGTTGCACCACAATTTCGCTGCAGATAAGCAGAAGTTCTACAAGAAGCCGCGGTTCGGCAAGTCCGCGTTTACGATATGTCATTATGCAGTTGATGTAACTTACGAGTCCGACGGCTTCATAGAGAAGAACAGGGACACTGTTCCAGATGAGCATATGGAGATCTTGCGCGGCTCCTCCAACGACTTTGTGAAAGAAATCCTGGATACGGCTGCTGCTGTTCGGGAGAAGGATTCAGCATCTATTTCATCCAAGCCTGTTGCTGCCCCAGGCCGAAAGATCGGTGTCGCTGTCAATCGCAAGCCAACCCTAGGAGGAATATTCAAGTCTTCCTTGATTGAGCTCATGAACACCATTAACTCCACTGATGTACACTACATTCGCTGTATCAAGCCCAATGAGGCCAAAGAGTCTTGGAAGTTCGAAGGACCAATGGTCCTCAGTCAGTTGAGAGCCTGTGGTGTCCTTGAAACTGTACGGATCAGCACTGCTGGGTATCCTACACGTTGGACTTACGAGGAATTTGCGATCCGATACTACATGCTCTGTCACTCATCGCAATGGACGTCAGAAATTAGGAACATGTGCCATGCCATTTTACAGAAAGCCCTCGGCGATGGTACCCAGCAGAAGCAAGATAAATACCAGTTGGGTCTAACGAAGATATTCTTCCGGGCAGGCATGCTTGCTTTTCTCGAAAACCTTCGCACGTCCAGATTGAATGAATGCGCGGTGATGATTCAAAAAAATTTGCGATGCAAGTATTACAGACGCAGATATCTCGAAGCTCGTGCTTCTATTCTCACGACACAGGCCCTGGTCAGGGGATTTCTTGCCAGGCAGCGTGCAGCCGAGATACGGCAGGTCAAGGCAGCTACGACAATTCAAAGGGTATGGCGAGGACAGAAGGAAAGACGGAAGTATAACCGAATTCGTGCCAACTTTGTTCTCTTTCAGTCAGTCGCAAAGGGTTTCCTTTGTCGACAGAGTATCCTGGACACGATACACGGCAATGCAGCGATAGTGATACAGCGGTCTTTCCGTTCTTGGCGACAGTTACGTGCTTGGAGACAGTACCGCAGAAAGGTGATCATTGTCCAGAGTCTCTGGAGAGGCAAGGAGGCCAGAAAAGAGTACAAGAAGCTTCGCGAGGATGCCCGAGACCTCAAACAGATATCCTATAAGCTGGAAAACAAGGTGGTCGAGTTGACTCAGTACCTTGAGTCTTTGAAGCGTGAAAACAAATCATTGAACTCGCAACTGGAGAATTATGAGACTCAATTGAAGTCATGGAGGAGTCGTCATAATGTACTCGAGAATCGCTCGAAGGAACTACAGGCCGAAGCCAATCAGGCAGGTATCACTGCAGCTCGGTTAACTGCCATGGAGGAAGAGATGAATAGATTACAGCAGAACCATAATGATGCACAGGCAACCATCAAGCGTCTCCAAGAGGAAGAAAAGGTTTCACGGGAATCCATTCGCTCTGCGAACCAGGAGTTAGAAAGACTCCAGCAGCTAAACACCGAGGCTGAAAATGAGAAGGCGTCTCTTCGTCAGCAGATTGTGGACCTTGAAGAACAACTGGAGCTTGCGAAGAGAGTTGTACCCGCAAACGGCACGAACGGCGACCAGCAGAACGGTGGGCCTATACAACCGCCCGCCAGCGGCTTAATAAATCTTGTTTCTTCCAAGAAACCTAAGCCCAAAAGACGGAGTGCCGGGGCCGAGAGAATTGATATTGATCGTTTCAGTGCAGCTTACAACCCGAGGCCAGTCTCCATGGCCATTCCCAGTTCAGCTATGGGACGTCAGCACTTTTCAGGAAATGCCTTTGCTCCTGGACTTGATTCCGTTGAGGTAGAGCTCGAGAACTTGTTATCCGAAGAGGACGAACTCAATGAGGAGGTAACTATGGGCTTGATACGCAACCTTAAAATTCCGCTACCCAGCTCTACCCCACCGCCAACGGAGAAGGAAGTCCTATTCCCAGCCTACCTGATCAACCTGGTTACTTCAGAAATGTGGAACAATGGCTTTGTGAAAGAGTCCGAGCGCTTCTTAGCCAACGTGATGCAGTCAATTCAACAAGAGGTTATGCAGCACGATGGTGATGATGCTATTAATCCCGGGGCCTTTTGGCTTTCTAACGTTCACGAAATGCTGTCTTTCGTTTTCTTGGCCGAAGATTGGTACGAAGCACAAAAGACAGATAATTTCGAGTATGACCGTCTCTTGGAGATTGTGAAGCACGACCTCGAAAGTCTCGAGTTCAACATATATCATACATGGATGAAGGTGCTGAAAAAGAAACTCTACAAGATGATCGTCCCAGCGATCATTGAATCCCAATCTCTTCCTGGGTTTGTTACAAGTGAGACGAACCGGTTCCTTGGGAAGCTTTTGCCCTCCAACAACAACCCTGCCTACAGTATGGACAACCTTCTCAGCCTCTTGAACAATGTCTACAAAGCAATGAAGGCTTTCTACCTCGAAGAATCCATCATAACGCAGACCGTCACCGAGCTGCTTCGTCTTGTTGGTGTCACTGCTTTCAATGACCTTCTCATGCGGAGAAACTTCCTCTCCTGGAAACGTGGTCTGCAAATCAACTACAACATCACCCGGATCGAGGAGTGGTGCAAGAGCCACGATATGCCGGAGGGTACACTTCAGCTAGAGCATCTCATGGTAAGACCTGCAAGTCACATATGTGTGCTTATTACTAACGTTAAACCCTTGTAGCAAGCAACCAAGCTTCTTCAGCTCAAAAAAGCCACCTTGAACGATATTGAAATTATTCAAGATATTTGTTGGATGTGAGTTTGAGATCTTGCTTTGCTTTCTAGAGGTACATGCAGTACTGACGGCGTCTAGGCTCTCACCAAACCAAATCCAGAAACTTCTGAACCAATATCTTGTGGCTGATTATGAGCAACCTATAAATGGCGAAATCATGAAAGCCGTGGCGTCACGTGTCACCGAGAAGAGTGACGTTCTTCTTCTGACACCTGTGGATATGGAAGACAGTGGTCCGTATGAAATTGCGGAGCCACGGGTTATTACAGCTCTGGAGACATACACGCCGTCATGTAAGTCAATATGTTGAACAGTGCGCCGAAAATCGCTGACATTTTTGTAGGGCTCCAAACGCCACGACTAAAGCGACTGGCTGAAATTGTTTCTGCCCAGGCAATGGCTCAGCAAGAGAGGCTGGAGATAAATGAAGGCGGCGCAACGCCTATGAATTAGTGCTTGTACAGAGAATTAGTGGACTTGCAGTTCCCTATAAGCCATGACGATGAGTGTTTGTATCTTGTTGGCCACTTTACACCTTTGTAAGCAGCCCGGTGAGGCTCCATCACGGGCTACAAGGTGGGGCTGCGGGGAACAAGAATCCTAAGCAGTAGTAGTAGACTGACCGAACCTAAGCCCTGCCGCAAAAAGCATCTATTCAAGTATTTAGCACTCCGCTATTTAGACCTCCTTTTCGTCCGCCAACCTACTTAGCACTGCTCACCTCTCTCTTTAGCAGTTCTTTTCTGGCCTACTGGCATCACAATAATGGCTACTCCTAAGAAGTTGAACTTCATCACCGGTAACAAAAACAAGCTGGCTGAAGTCAAAGCGATATTAGGAACTGTAATCGACGTTGAGAACCAAGCAGTCGACCTACCCGAGATACAAGGCACGATTGAAGATATTGCCAAGGAGAAGTGCCGACGAGCGGCAGAGGTGGTGAGCGACCAAGCTCTTCACCGCATTACAACAAACCATACTGACAAGCCCTGGTCAGGTGGGAGGACCGGTGCTAACGGAGGATACTGCGCTTGAGTTCCATGCTCTGAAAGGGCTTCCTGGACCCTACATGTACTCTTTCCCTAGGCAGACTTGTGACTCTGGTGCTAATATCTACTCAGAAAGTCGTTCCTTGATGCCTTGAGTCATGAAGGTCTTAATAAATTACTTGACTCATTCCATACCAGAGCTGCGGAGGCTGTCTGCACATTCGCGTTTTCTAGCGGGCCCGGTTCGGACCCAATTCTTTTTCAAGGTAGAACAGAGGTAAGGTCCAATTTGAACCACCACATCTTTCATTGGAAGCTGACGCCTTTACACAAGGGCACCATTGTGAGACCAAGAGGACCTGCGAACTTTGGTATGTACAAGCGACTCTTACTTACACGAACCAGTTCTCACTAGCTCCACACAGGCTGGGATCCGATCTTTGAGTATCAAGGCAAGACTTATGCGGAAATGGACAAAGAGGAGAAGGTAGTAGAAATGGCTCGTCAGACCCACCCAGCAGCCGCTAATAATGGAGCAGAACTGTATTTCACATAGATATAAAGCTTTGGTCAAGTTGCAGAGCTGGTTGACAGACGGACGTTTCTGATCTGACTTGTGGAGTTCATGGTCAGAGTCGGTGCTGGTTCTGAGGGGGCCCTTGGATAATTGGGACAGGCTCAGTATGATTTGTCTGCCCGGTCTCTTTTCCAAGACCCTACCCAGCTGGAAATTCTTGCGCAGTTGGACTCTACATCATCGTCCTTCTCGCTATTCAACTCGACCACAACTGCTTCGTCGAACGCTTCTCGAGCCTCTTCAAGCAAAATACCAAATATCTCAGCATCTAAGTTTTCCTGTAGCTTCGTTTGATTGTAACCCCTGCAACCGACATGCTCTAGTTAGAATTTAAGGTAAGGATAAGGCGAGAGTGAAACAATCATGGGGTGTACCTTGTTGCGAGGCGATCGTAATGAACAGATGTAGATGGACAGCGTAAGACCACCACCAGATCAATCCAGGATTTGGGGAATAGGTCACATGCATGCCAGTCGATTAGATAGCCGCCCTGAAGCACCTCATCCTCAACAGCGTCCAGAAGCTGCAGTATGTAGGTTAGGTAAGCGGAAGACGAGAAGAATGAAAGCCGTTTTGACTTATCGGGCAACTAGGGACTAGGGTAGAATAAACGTTCCACAACACGTACTTTGTCCTCGTCCACGACCCAGGTTTGCAATTCTTGGTCGTAGGTATCGTAACAGCCTCGGTCTTTTGCGACCTGATTTATTGAAAGATGCCGCAAACCAGTGTCCTGAGCCAGTTGCTCGCAATGAACGGTTTTGCCTACGCCGGGCGTGCCTGTTATTATCACATTCGGGGAGATTCGCATTATGAACCTAGTTAAAACGTGTGATGTGATCGATAAAGATAGATAAAGTCCTGATAGCGAGGGAAATTTTCCGTGGGGTACTCCGTAATCAGCATAACTTCGGATTATCAAACCTTCCGATATCCTACATACATGAATAGATATCATTACTCAAGCACTATTCTGTAGATAAAATTGGATTTGAATACTGGTGTTACTTCGATCTTTCAGCAGAAGCTGCTGTGTCTATGGATGTTTGGTTTTAGAAGTACATACGGTCACCACCTTCTTTTCTGAGCATGCCAGATTGTCCCCTTCCATGGGCCCGATTAGGTAATAACTTCTGGATGGTGGTGGTGCAATGGTAGAAGGGCACCACTGGTGGCACTGATTAAGAAGTATGATTGGGGGATCATAGTCAGGAAGCTGCAGATTTAAACACTGCTAATGTTATTACCCTAGTAGTACCAAGGGAGACTCCCTCTCCTGCTTCTCAACCTGTACCAAGTACCATCAAGATATCCTTGATTAACCTATAATCTCTCTTCTAAATTGAGATAACTAACACCTCTATTTTTATTTAGCCTTCACTTAATCGTATTTATATGAGTTGATAATATCCTTTTGAGACAAATATCATTACCTAACCCTACAGATCGGGAAGAGAAAGTATCCGATCAGGATTTAACCTTTGCTTATACTTAAAATTATCTTTCAGATCTTCTGTGTTGTAATAATCCTGGCTTAGCACGTGTTTAACGTCCCATGGGAGACGCTAGAGACTGGATAGTTACTGGGTCATGTTATATCATATCATTTATTTAGTATAAGGGTTGCAAGATGGCTCCGTTTTCCTCTCGAAATACGTTCACAGAATACTACTACCATGAGTAGTAGTTAATAACTTCTGTATAAATACCATCAGTCGACAGGCCCACACCACTGTGCCAGTGACACCTACACAATAGTACTACGTGGTTTAGTGGATTACAGTATACCGACTTATCTAGAGCATGCAGACACAAGTCTAGTTGCTTCCTTGATAACACGCTGTGAGAATCTCGAGGTGATGTGTTGTGGCCTCCTGGACCTATTTTATGTTCATTCCGAATACCGATGATAGTAGGCAAGAAGAGTCAAACATAGTCACCACAGTACAGCCCGATTTCCATGCTGGTCGTCAAGGGGCTGGTGATATTCTTTACATCTTCAAACCGAATTGCTTCGCCTTGGGATACACAGTCTGCCGAGGAGTGGTACTATTGCTCGGGCAGATTGGCAGGATCTTTAAGTCTAGGGATGTTTAGACAAACTTCCACAACAGCATGACCAACACAACCATCATCAACATCTCAACTTACTTTAGAAGTTCGAAGATCTTGTACTTCTGTAGGTAGGCTGTTCCTCGCCTGTATCCTTTCAATATTCGCGCAGGGTCTGAAGTCAACGTCTGGGCTCCTTTAAGACGCTTCACTGCTGGGGGTGTACGAAACATAGGGTCGAAAACCAATATGTCGGCGCTACCATTATCCCGTATTTCGAAACCGACAATCGTCAAAGAATGCCCTAGTGATGCGCATTCACCGATTAGGTACCATGTCTCAAGCGTAGAAGAAAGGAGTTCTCGAACCCTCGTGCTGAAAGTAGATAGGAGGCAAGCTTGTCTGTATGACTTTATTATTTCCCTCCAAGGAACATGCATCTCGAAAGTAAGCTGCAACATTCATAAATAATGCATCGTGCGCACGCATATCTTTTGTTGCTCCGATACTATTGGCTTCACACCTGCTGGGGGTTAGAGCCTCGTTTACGGGATTGAGAGCAAAGTCTTACTGTATCCTGAGACTTGAAAAGAGGGCCTGTGCCTGCAAATTGACTGATAAGTAACAAATTAAGCGGCAATAACAAAGGTCACCATACCTCGGGTGTGCCAATATACTTCCTGGTTCCTCGGATGCCCCCAGTCTCGACCCTTCCTACACTATTGAAGCCCTTGTCCCATGCATTTTCGATCATGTCCTGAAGTTGGAAAATCGTAGGCAAGTCCCCATGGAAGCGCTCATGCCCTGGCATACGGGTTTCATTTATGAAGGTGATCAACATTTGGATGTTTCTGTAGCCGCAGAATCCGCCTTCCTTTGGGATCTTTGAAATCTGGTGGACTTTTGGGCTGCAGAAAAAAGCACGCTGAACTGATTTGTCTTGCTCGCATAGGCGAGCAAGCACAGGGATGACATCCCTAGTTTCATTCTCCGCCACCTCACGTCTCCGAAGCGTGCCATCCACAGCAATTGTGTTTGTTAGGATTGATTTAGAACCCTTTTCTAACATTCTTCGCAACCAAGACGGCATTTGCTTTTCATGAGCGTGGGGTCCTAACTCGGTACGCTACGTAAAGTGTCAGCATTCCACGTATCATATGACATCCTAACATAGATGAAGGGCAGATGAGAGTCTTAGTACCCCTAGCCGTTTAATTCCTCCAGAAGGCGCTGTTTTGGAGTCGCCAGCCCGTACCAACGAAGTACGTGATATATCATTCTTGAGTGATGGCCCCAGAAAACACTCGTTTAGCTGCGCTTGACCCTTTACGCCAGGGCATGAAGTCAATGCTTTTAAATCGCAAGGCAATTCTGGCCGGGGTGAGGATGTGTCTTCAAGGGCAACTCTTTCGGCAAAGTGCATATCAAGGTGGGCGGTGATTTCGGCATCGATTACTGTTTCCCCGCAGCCATGTGTACATTCGATGTAATTGCTCGAGCATTCCTCTTTACCATTTGACGATGGTAAGCACTGCCGTTCGGGTGACGCTTCGAGCATGTCCGAGGACCATCCGCCACGTCCATGTTGGGTGTTAACTTCAGGATGGCAAATCTCCACGTGTTCTGCAACAAAGTTGATGTCCGGGTCAGAAACTGGACAAAATGGGCATATTGGATCCCCATCATTTCGATCATCCATAGCGGCCAGAGTTCTTGAACCGATTCGGAATAGAGATATGTTGCAGGTGGTTGACTAAAAGGGACAAAGGAAAGAAACGAATGGGAACACGGGTAGAACCAAAACAGACGTGGCAGTTGGTAAACCAGGCAACGATCCTTAAGTCCAGCTAAGGAGTAAATGCCAAATGGACCATGAAATCATGTGCTAGGCAGATTTGATCGAAGATCTAAATCGGCGACTGGGTGGACCTATGTAAGGCTGCGATAGGCTACCTTGCCTTTATGCTGTTAGTAGTGTTATCTATATGTAGTCGAGGATTAGGCACTGCAGTGAAGGTGCTTTACAGACCTTCCAGAGTCAATAGATACTACTGCCTGGCCTACCGATTCCAATTTCTTTATTCAACTTGTTAGCATAATAGAGGCCTCAGTTGCCTCCTCAATATTTACACAGTAGTGCTAGTGCCCCTATTGTACCAGTTCGTACGGAGTACCTTAGTTGATGATGGTACAGTTGCGATACGTTACGACCTACATAGAAACGCATATAATGCACTCCGTAGCCATGGTACCTAGTAGAAGTGCATAGCAATTTACCCCAGATCAGCTGGGGTAGCCACAGCAATGAGAAGGCATTCTTGATACAAAGTACTAGGGACAATATCAATGTAACCACTCTGTAAGGTACTGAGCGAAGCCGAATTGCCTAGGATTTGCAAATTCAGTACGGAGTACACTAGGCTACCTTGGTACTAGGTCGTGCCTTCATAGTCTCTTCACCCAAACCGTTATCTATTAGTAATGTGCTTTGAAGGATTATTGTTCTTTTGCCATCATTATTGTACCTCCCGCCAGGGGAAGGCGGAGGACGGAATGAAGCAAATTCATTCGTCCCTTCATGTCATCGGCATGTGCTCCGCTTTCGCAACCCCGCCAGTGCACATAAAAAAAGGCTGTCCCGCTACCGGAGCCAATTGCAAGGGTGTGTCATTTCTCGACTGCAAGGCTTCAACTTGCCATTCAAGTGACCAAGTATGGATGACCACCAGCAGTACAAGGCAGACCCTTCGCAGGTGGTCAAAAGTGAGTCAAAAGGCTCTCCATATAGCAATTGGGTCGTACAGAAGTTTGGGGGCACCAGCGTTGGAAAGTTCGCTTTGAATATTATCGACCAAGTGGTATTGTAAGTCCATTCATTTTCTGAGCCGGTGCTTGACGTTGGTCAGACTTGCTTACGATGGTCTCAAATTAGACCGAGTCTTCTGGAACATCGCGTGGCTATAGTCTGCTCGGCACGAAGTAGTTCAACCAAATCTGCAGGCACTACGAACCGGTGAGTCATACGCCTCAGTCCTCTACATTTTGGAAGGCTAGCTTCCAAGCTCCTTTCGTATACACATTCTACCAACTGGATTGCCTGCCTGGTTTATTGCTTGCTCATATCGAATTTGACTTTTTATCATGCAGTTTGTTGCGAGCAGCGCGGGACGCAGAGGACGCTCTATCACAACAGTATGCCTCCCTTGTTGAGGCAGTCCGCTTGGAACATACCCAGGTAGTCGACAACCAAATCCAATCTACGGTGCTCAAGTCCCGTCTTGTTTCAGAAATAAACAACGAATGCGACAAGGTTCTCAGAGTCCTGGAGGCTGCACAGACATTAGGGGAAATCAGTGCACGATGTGTGGATAAAGTTATTAGCACTGGGGAGAAATTGAGCTGTCGGCTTATGGCAGCTTATCTTCAAGACCGAGGGGTAGATTCGCAGTACGTGGATCTTGCTGAGATTATTGATTTCCCAATCTCGAACCAGGGTCTTGACCAGGAATTTTACAATAACCTCGCCGCTGCTCTTGGCAGAAAAATTCGAGCCTGTGAGAACAAAGTCCCGGTTGTGACTGGATTTTTTGGAACTGTCCCTGGAGGTCTTCTAGATCAGATCGGCCGTGGCTACACCGATCTCTGTGCTGCTCTTGTTGCTGTTGGGATAAATGCCAAGGAACTCCAAGTCTGGAAGGAGGTTGATGGAATATTTACTGCAGACCCTCGAAAGGTGCCCACCGCACGTCTTTTGCCTGCAATAACGCCAGCCGAAGCAGCGGAGTTGACATTCTATGGCTCTGAGGTAATTCACCCCTTTACCATGGAACAAGTCATTCGCGCCAAGATCCCGATTCGCATAAAGAACGTTATGAACCCAAGAGGGGATGGCACGGTTATCTTTCCGGACTCCACATTTGAATTGGAAAAAACGACCCCAGGCCATGATCCAAGACTATTCCGTACCCGAAGCCCCAGTCTTATGCAACGGCCCAAACGCCCTACAGCTGTGACGATTAAGCACAAGATTCTGGTCATCAATGTACACTCCAACAAGCGCTCACTTTCACATGGATTCTTCGCCGGAATATTCTCTGTCCTTGACCGATGGAGACTCTCAATCGATCTGATTTCCACAAGTGAGGTCCATGTATCAATGGCTCTTCACTCGGAAATGCCTCTGCTCAATGGGGTTGGAAGAGATGAATACCAAGTCATTGATGAGGATCTCAAAGGTGCTTTACGCGATCTACAGAAATATGGCACAGTTGACATCATCCCGGAGATGGCAATTCTCAGTCTTGTTGGAAAGCAAATGAAGAATATGATTGGAGTTGCTGGCCGGATGTTTTCTACACTCGGCGAGAACAACGTCAATATAGAGATGATTTCCCAAGGTAAGACTTGATGGAACATTCCCATTGCTTACTGAGTAAGAGCTAATGATATATTGTCTTGAAGGCGCAAGTGAGATAAACATCTCGTGTGTCATTGAAGAAAGAGACGCTGATCGTGCTTTAAATATCATCCACACCAGCATGTTCACATTCTTAGACTAAAAATTCTTTCCATCTTTTCCCATACTACTCCTTTGTACTAAATTCCAGGTATTCTGTGTCAGCCCCTTTAATGCTATGATATCCACTGTGAACTATATGTCTCCGAAAACTACAAAAATCACATGCATGTAAACAGCGATAACAGTTGCTTTCAAGTATGTTCTGGTTGCATGTGTGTCTAAGGCAGTCAGCTTTCTGTTTTTTCCCCCTTGATTTTTCTTCTTGCTTCACTTTTTCATAGCCTCGGTTTTCCACGCACTGGCGCTTTAGATTGATTAGGTTGGATAGAATCGCTTACTGTGATTGATTTATCCTTCTCCCAGCTTCTCCTGCTCCATGAATGTTTCCTCTCTCCCCTCGACTTATTCGTAAGCCCCATCTCTCAACCGCGTTTGATTTTTACTTCTAAAGATAAATATTGAGTTGTTTTTTCTTATCTCCTCATATTTAGATCGGGAAAGGCCACGTGGCGGATTATTCAGTCAACTTCCTTCGGATCGGGGTCAGTACAAATATAGTACTCCGTAGTTATTGCAGACTTGAGATTCAACCTATCAATTATACATGTGTGTTGGAATTTGATTGACGACCTTGCTTAGACCTGCATGCCTAGAACAGTATATTGGATATTACTGTAATGTATAGTTGTTGACATACTAGGACTGACCAACACCCAGCTGTGGTTTTTGGTCTAGTTGACAAGTCGTGTGATTGCTTAGATAGTTCGCACCCGATTGTGTGAGCTGAAGAAACAGAGGCACCCTTACCGATGACTATTATGATGACTGGTCTATGATTACTGGTGGTAATTAATAGTACTTAGCTGGGCGATGCTAATCAATGTTGAGGATAGCAGAAAAACCCCTACGCCCTTCCTCCCCAAACGATAAGGTGATTAACGACGTTTGTCCCCGTTCAATTTATTGTGGTGTACTTACTAGGTACTGTGCTTAATATTAGGCCCTTTGATGATATAATATATACATTTGGTTGTATGTGGAATAATTTGCTTCGAATGGCATGATGTAATGCCATACAACTGTTTTGACGAGTCTGAGATTGAGGCTTAACCACGGGAGTCTGTCAGGTGTCATGAGTGAGGGCTGATAATTGAGTATTGAACTCCATAAGGTATGCATTTATAGCAGTACGGAGTACCTGAGACGCCGCTGCCAATGCACCTTGCCCACACCATTAAAGAGATACGACCCAGGGGATTATGGAGCCAATTTGCATATCTGACTTTGATCTTTGGATGACTAACAGACATAGGCTGGGTAAGTATGGAGTACTGACCGGTACGGACCTACTCCCTAGCCAGGGACTATCTGTTTTTCCGTGAGACAGAGCCAGACTGGCCAGAAGAAGTACCCATGGTGCTTATAATTCCAAGTTTGGAGTCGTTCCACCTTAGATGATAGTGATGTATTAGGAATCTGGGGTACTTTATGGAGTATATAGCAGTGTCTATGATGAGACACGCAAGTCAGCATGAGCATTACTTAAGGAGTGCCCTCTATGGTCCAGAATACGGGTACAGTATCCACGTAGGTACTCCGTTAGGTAGCCTAGACTGATTTTGGTAGGCTGGGACTCATACCTATTACTTAGTACTGTGATACGTGTCGAAAAGATTGTAACTAAGTGGGTCAACTTATATAATCATGTTTCTGCCGTTATTATAATATCAAAGTCCGCTGTTATGTAACTATTTAAGGAAACTAAGTTACTAAAGAAAGTAGTGATAAACATGATTACATGATGTGTATGGCTTCAGATCCTTACTATTAGGGGAAGCGGTACAAAGGCGGAAGGGGTCCAGAATCGCCACCTAAGGCCCACTTACAATCTTTACGACATGTATCACAGTACCTATCTAGTCTACATGCCTCCGCCCTCTAGGCTCCAGGCTGCTTCATCAATCGATCAAGGGACCCATGATCTGCAGAAATCGCTTGTTGATAAGGTGGGACTGAGCAAGGGGACAAATCACCATGGGTCCAATAGGTAAAGTACTACCGCTAATACTCGTACTAGTACATATCTAGTACTAGTGATGGTTTCCACTGGCGGCATCAGGGCCCGCATGCCTCAGCACTATAGTAGTACTTGGAATAGATGGTAATGTTACTGAACTTATTGGTGACAATACCGGGAACCCTACTTTGATGGTCCGGGGCCTTCTTGACGCGTGACGCGAACGCGCCATAACCATACCATACAGGCCCTGATGAGGCGCGTGGGCGATCAACAGGTGCAGCCTGCCGTCCTCTGTCCTTTCATTCTTCACCTAACTAAGGGTTATTCACGAAATATCTTGCGCATATCTCACCCCACCTTGCCTGGATGGACCTTACCGGACAAAGGGATTTGAACTTGGAGTCGAGCCGTCTTTCCGCCTATGTCCTAGGACTCTTTCTTCTCGATAACCCACTTGCTCTCTCTTAGTCGCTCAGCTTTCGATCCCACCCTTCAACATCACCCACTTCGCGCGGTCATCATCCCGCACTCGTATCCCCAGAAGGGAAGAGGCATAGGAAAGAAGACACTGCTAGTCAAATCCAGTTGCGTTCTGGTTCAGTAAACCGAATCAATCTTCACGCCTTCAATGATAGCAGCTCTGTCCCTCGGACCCTCTATATCTTGCTTGTCTCTGGACTTCTGTCTTTTGAGCGCTTGATGCTCTAATCCTCATTGTTACTCGCACTGCGATCTGGCATTGCACTGCCACCTGAGCACCGCTTTGGTCGTTGAACAAGCCATACTAGTGAGGTGTGTTCCCCAATCCGACTGCTCCGTTACTGGTGCCCTACTGGTGCCTAAATTTTTACCCTGTGCCTATACTCCGTGTGTGGAAGTTTGTTCCGCACCGGGTGTCCCTTGACATCGAGTTACTGAGACGAGGACATAGCTCGTGGCGGTATGAGCTCGACACATCCTGCGCCGACTGCGCCGACAACCTCTGGACCTTCGTCTTACGACAAAGTCATCTCTAAGCCCCGTCCCCGCTTAGAACCTTCGCCTTTACCTCTGCAACCCTTTGAAAATGTATCTTCGGGCCAAGATCGTGTCTTGAATTCGACCTCTGCCACGTCGCACAAGGCCTCACCCATGAAACCTATTCGAGGTTCAAGTAGTTTGCTTTCTGGACGTGGGAAGCTGGGATTTGTTTCCATCACCGCTCCCCCCCCGCCAGCGTTTACAACAGATTCGCCGTCCAAACGGCCCCCCTTCAAATACCGCCACACTGCAACAGCACCAACATCATCGTCAATGCCCCAATCCGCTTTGTTCACGACTTTCTCGACAGTCGACCCTGGAAAAAAGCCACCAAACGAAGCACGATCTTCAGATGAACCCAACAGCGATAGTTTTGCCGACTTTCCGGAACCTTCATTCATATCTAAGCCTCTGAAGAGGACGCTTATGGAGGCCGCGCCATTGAAGGAACGACAGACCAAAAAGCAGAAGCGAGAGGGTTCTCATACTATGCGCTTGCCGGAACCTCATGAAATGCCTCCGATAGAAGATGACGGAACAAAGCCTCCTTATAGTTACGCGACGCTGATCGGCATGTCTATACTCCGCGCGCCCAACAGGCGATTGACACTAGCGCAGATTTACAAGTGGATCTCGGACACTTTTTCGTACTACAAAAATAGTGACCCTGGCTGGCAGAACAGCATTCGGCACAACCTCAGCTTGAACAAGGCGTTCATCAAGCAAGAACGGCCCAAGGATGACCCAGGTAAAGGTAACTACTGGGCCATTGAACCCGGTATGGAAGCCCAGTTCCTCAAAGACAAGCCGCTGCGCCGCGCGACCATGTCCAGTCTTCCCCTCCCTGCAGCGCCTCCAAAGGAAATTGCACATTCGCAAAGTTCAAGCACTACTACCTGGGCAGTCCCACAACCCACATTTCAAGCAGCAGCAAAGCACTCGAAGTCAGTGGATCTATCTTCAGATGCCACACTCCCGGCTTCCGATCCCGCTCTTCAGGAAGACACAAGTGATGAGCATCCCAATCATTCTATGCCGCAAACTCTTGGTGCCCGTTCCTCCCCACTCCAGCCCATACACTCCTCACCTCCCGTCGTGCCACCCCGTTACACCCGACAAGGGACTCCCCCAACACCGTCCCAACCTATTACGTCGTCGGGAATCATCTCTATTTCAAATAAAAGGAAATCAACCACAATGAATGATAGTGGGTACTTTTCATCGTTGGAGTCTTCCGCTATGCGACCAAGCAAGGCTGGGCATATCTTGACTTCGGACTTGGATGTCGACCCGCCTCGCATTAAACGTGGCCGGGCAGAGGAGGAGATTGCTCGGATTCGAAGTTCTTCCCATGACATTAGCCCAAGTCAGTGTGGCATTTTGAAGGATTCGGGCATGATTGTCGGCTCGTCTCCACTCCGTGGTGAATATGTCAGCATGCTACCACCTCCCATCACGCCTGTCATCAAGTTTAAGAAACCTGCAAAACCACCGCCTTCAGTATCACCGAACACCAACCTTCGAAACCACCGTAAAAAGATTCAGCAAATGGTCAATTCCCCAATAAAGCACCTAGGTCTCACCGACGAGGATCTTCCGTGGAGCCCAGCTTTCAATATTCAAGATGAAACATTCACCCCAAATGAAAATTTGCACACAACCTTCGATGTCTTTGCGGATCCTGCCACAGAAAATATCTCGACATCAACATACGGGTCGCCAGAGAAGCGGTCTGCCAAGCGTATTCGAACAGACGTTGGCGGGTCAAATGGTAACATACTGGCCGATATCACGGCTATGAATGTCAACAACAGATTGGGTGTGCAATCATTGCAATCATCGACTAGAGCGAAAGGTCTCCTTTTCCCCGAGTCTCCCTCCAAAGTGCCCGACACAGGGCGTTATCTTGACTCTTCGCATGAGGACTTCTTTTCATTTCACCTGTTTGATGAAAGCCCAGGGGAGGTCGACGGCGTGGATCTTCTCCAAGGGTTCCAGAAGATCGGGGGTGCGAGCAAAGAAGAACCATCAAGGTGTAAATCATATCCACCAAGGCCTCCGTGTAGTCACCGAAACAATACATCGCTGTTTTGATGCTCAGGAGATATGGGTTTGAGGAACAAATAGGAAGGGATAATATCAAGGGGGAACAAATACGAGATACCAACGCCGAAACATCACTCAATATTTCTCAGTCGGCGCCTCGGGGGTTTTGGTATTTTCTACTTGGATGGCGTACTGATTCGACAAGCTACCGGGGTTCGAAGGGTAGTAAGTGACTTTTTATGCATGTTCGCTTTGTGTCGTTCACTTCGTTTTGAGCACTTTGGATTCCTGGAGTTTTTGGGTTGGGTGGCAGTCGGTTTTGACATTTACCGAGCCTGGGATGACCTTGTTACGACCTTTATGATGAAATTTGGTAAGATGTACATGAGTATGTGATGTCTAAACGAACCTGAATATCTGCTGTTTTGCCTGCGTTGTTGATATTGGTACTTTCTGCTTGTCGCCGTTGGACTATTACAGAGCTCATATATTAGTTAGCTTCCACCGCAAGAGGGCCGAATTTGCATCGATTCTCAAATATTTTTTGGAAGCGTGCGGGTCCGTAATGCATAAGTTCGTAAGCCAAAAGAGGGATACTTGGCGACGTACATCTGAGTATTGCGCTGCCCTCTAAGGCGAGGAGGGCCCAATAAGCCGATGTAGTCTATGCTTGGAGCAATAAAAAAGGGAAGATTTCCCCGAAGGGCAATGACGAGACGGAGGAAACAGTTAGTAGAAGGAAAAGATATCAAGTTCTCAATTCCTGATCCAACGCCAAACCCGTAAGGTCGAAGCCGCAAACTGTTTCCCTCAATTGCCCAAGTAAAACCCGAATCCGCTAAAGATATTGACAAGACAAAAAGTTCATTTTCGCAATTATACTAGTCACTGCTAGCGCAACCTCGACATCCACAACTGACACATTGGATTGTTTGATCCTCCTTGAGCTGTGCTTTGGGTACCCGGCAGATGCAGGTTGCGTTGAAGTTTGTTTCCTTCGTCTGGATGCAGCGGAGGCAGCATAACTAATAGGTCACAGATATGAGTCAGCTCATTGACCGACAAGATATGTATTGACAAATAATATCGGTGATATTGCCAACGGCATGGGGATGAGAGAGATGGAGAGATAGAGAGCTGTTGGAGAGGGGTGGAAGAGGTGGAGTGAATGTAGGAAATACGTTGATGGTAACCTTTTCATAGCCTTGCTTCTTCCATTTAGCAATGAGGTTGGCATCTGCGTAGTTATTTTTCAGAAGCCACTCGTAGAGCTGCTTTGAAATAGCCTCTTTCTCGTAGTACAAGTCGTATATGTACCTTGACCCTATGCGACATGCTATCAGCGACTTGGGAATCTTGAAATGTCTAAAGCGCATTTTCCAGGAGGCCACGTACTCTGATGGCTGATCTGAAATATGGGCCAGAGCATCTCATGTTTCTTTTTACCGTCATGAGATGCATTCTCTGCATCTTTCATCTTATTGCTGAACTCGAGTAATGTATCCTCTATGTCGTCGAAGCCTGCCGGAGGCGGTTTGCGAATGCGGGAGGTCCGTACCGGAGGCATGGTAGGAATGTGACAATCAATTGGAAGGAAGGTGGGAAAGCCCTGCGCCTACGCAGAAAGAAGAAGAACTCGATATATTTGGAGAAACAGGCGCCAATTCCGCTACGTTCCCGTCACTGCTGGAATTATTGTTTCACGGTAGATGCGCGGGCGCTCCAAGCTTGCGGCCGCATTTGCCACTCCATACCGCCTTCAATTCTTCCGGAGACTCGATCCCGGTGGTTGAGAAAAGCAACCTCTTCTGCTGATATCGATCTTGAGCCGAGTATACTCGAATTCGTGGTTTTTGAGCAATCAGATTTAGACACAGTCCACGACAATTTTGTCTTTCTATCCCTTCCTCCTCTCCCGACTACACAATGGACGCACAAACCCAGGTCGATGTTACCAAGCTCAATGAGGCCGACAAGAAGGAGCTGTCCCAGATCCTCGCGAGCGAGACGCAAAAGGCTACTATCCAACAGAGTAAGTCAATATACGAGTCGCTTGGTCTGCCCGAATGAGTTCGCGTCTCGTACTGCTCTGGCGGATGATCTGCTAACCGTCATCATTCAGCTGTTCATTCGCTTTCCGACGTCTGCTGGAAGAAGTGCATCACCGGAAAGATCACATCCGGTCGCCTGGATCAAGCGGAGGAGACATGCGCACAGAACTGCGTGGAACGGTGGATGGATGCGAACCTGACAGTCCTGAAGCATCTTGAAGCCCTTCGTGGTTAGGTGTAACCGCATTTTCTACATTCCCCATGAAGACTGGCGGGCTCGTCCATAGAGCACGCCTGCCCTCGCCCAGCATGTAAACAGGCGCATTATGTATAGTATAGTATTGATAGAAAAGAATGTGTTGGTCAAAACGCCTGTAATAATGATACCGCCACCCGGTAACTATAGGCGTTCTCAAGTCAGCAGTGCACCAAATCTCTGGACTGTTGGCACAGCTACAACGGGACACGACTAAACCTCGACCCACATTGCTTCGCGGAGAGGCATAATGTTAGAGCCAGCAGCATTAGTTCGAATCTACGAGGTGTAGAACCAGTTTACGAGGCCTAGAATGAGTCCTGTTCGTGGTATTCATGCATTCGAGTAATTCCCTCTGCTTTTTGGAAAGATCATTCAGCCCTCATTGAAGCACTGGCAGCTAACTTTATGACTGATATTTATGAACCACCGCGCAAAAATAAAAAATTCTCCCAGACCCAAAACGAAACATCTCTAGACGATAGCAAGCTTGGTAGCGGCGATGTCCAGAGCATCAACGTCAGGGGTTAGACGGGCGAAGGCCTTCTTCAATCCATCAGGTCTACAGAAAAGGTTAGACAATCCGAATTCCGCATTTATTTGTATTCCGGAAGTGGTTCCTCATACCTGACGAGAGTGTTGACCTTGACGGTGTCGACGTCGTACAGCTTCTTGAGGGCGAGCTTGATCTGGCGCTTGTTGGCCTTGACATCGACGATGAAGACCAGGGTGTTGTTCTCCTCGATCTTCTTCATGGCGCTCTCGGTGTTCAGAGGGTAGAGGATGACCTTGTGCGAGTCGAGGCGAGGGGCATGGGGAATCGACTTGCGGGGGTACTTGGGCGACCGGGAGAGCTGAAGAGTCTTGGGGCGGTGGAAGGTCGTGGAGGTGCGGACCTTGTGGGCCTTGTGCGCCTGGATAATCATATAACTTTCAGTATCGAACAAAGCATAGGCGAATTGGAAGCATGGTGAGAACGTACACCAGCACCCTTAAGGACTGCCTTGGCGGCAGCACCAGCCTTGCCGCTGGGCTTGGTCTTGCCTATAGATCCAGAATGTCAGCCTGTCGGCCCCCCTCAAAGAAAATCGCACAAAGTTCATGTCCCAATAAACAGGCGTGGGAATTCACGATAGCGGCGAAGGGGAAAGAAACACAGGACGTGACTCGTTGATCCGCGTTAAATTCTTGCCAATGCTGGGAGGGCTTTGTCCAAGTACCGCAACTCGTAGATGCCATTCGACGCTCACAGAACCGCGATCCGACGAGGGAAAACCTGCAACTTCAAGGGAACAACTAAACCGTACAGATTTGACCTACCTTGCTTGTTTTCCACCTTAGGGGCCATGGCTGTCGTCCGGCGCTGTCGTGGTGATTGTCGCAGTGTCGAGTGTCGAATATTTGGAAGGTATTCGCTTATTGAAAACCCTACGGTTTGCTGTGTGCGTCACCTGACCTGCCCTCCGTGCCGGACGGTTTGGATCTCTTGGCGCCCACAACTCGAAATGGCTAGTCTGTCGAGCTTCTCTTCATTGGGTATAGTACATGTACCCTCTTACTTGCCATCGCGTGGGTGCTCAGTTTCTCACGTAATGCAGCCGAATAAATTCTACAAGAGACAAATTGGTCGGTAGTTTGTCGCTCGCGCATACACCACGACACGCGGGGAATTTGCTAGATTCAGAGAACCCCAGCTCGGAATATGGGTTCTTCCAATAGACTGCGGAACAAAAGACCAGCTCTTCTGTCCGGCACCCGCCCACCGACTGTTAAGGCAAAACATGCAGCCTTGTCATCAAAAGCGACTCGGAATCTCATCCGATCACACCACCGACTACTCAAAGCGCGAGCCCAGGCTGTACAGGCTGGTGATGAAACTTTAGCTGGCATGATCGATGCACAGATCCGGGAAAACGGAGGCTTGAAAAGCTATCAGCTCGCGAGCAAACTTGGACAGTCTTTAGACCGTGGAGGTGACTCTAGTAAGGTCTTGGTCGATTGGATAGCTTCTCGATTACTGCCGCTGGAAAACACGCCTTGCAAGCTCCGAGTACTCGAGATCGGAGCTCTAAGTACGAAAAACGCTTGTTCTACGAACAAGTGTCTTGATGTCACTAGAATAGATTTGAATTCCCAAGAACCGGGAATTCTAAAGCAGGACTTTATGGAAAGGCCGCTCCCCACCGATGCGAGCGATAAATTTCATATTATCAGCCTTTCCCTGGTACTCAACTATGTTCCAGATGCCGCTGGTCGAGGTGAAATGTTGAAACGCTGCATATCCTTTATGACAAAGTCGCCTCCCTCTGGCTCTTCTCTTGCTATCACACCCAGCCTGTTTTTCGTTTTGCCGGTCGCTTGCGTCACCAATTCGCGCTACCTCACAGAAAGCCGGTTGCAAGACATTATGTTTAGTATGGGCTTTGTGTTGGCAAAGAGCAAGCAAAGCTCTAAGCTAATATTCCAACTTTGGGATCATGTTGGCGAATACATGCCCAACTCCTTCAAAAAAGAGACTTTGAACCCTGGCAAGATAAGGAACAATTTCGCGATAATAGTCAAGTGACAATGATGTCGAATGCGAGGGCAAGAAAGAGCCTCTACCCGGAGGTTCATAGTGCAGAGATGGCATCCTGCGGCAGGAATGACCATGCAGTCCCAATTAATGCCAATACTGAGGATATTATCAGAAGGCACCAGTCCAGTACTCGTTCCCTTGGACTGATCTCATTGCCAAATATTTTCAGATAAAAGGCAAGCGGCAATATGATGCAGATAGTGAAGCATAAAGCCGACCCCATCAATGCCATGATTCTGTCAAAGGAGGGGAATAGCACTGCCATGAAAACAATGATGACCACGACAAGGATGCGTATTACGGCTTTCAACAACGTCTGAAGCATGGCTTTCGTGCTCTGGGGATTTGTTTGAAGCTCTGGGTGCGACCCAAGGCCGCAGAGAACTTCGACTGTGGCCACAAGCGGCCGGCAGCTTCACCCGTCAATTAATTGTCCAAGCTTTTTTTGGAACATATAAAAAGGGCACAATCTAGAACAGGACTTACTTCAACGGCACCTTAGTGATCGGAATGATGGCGATGAATACGATCATGCAAATGGATAAAACCTGCGAGTATTCTTCTGTGCGTAGGACGTTCGCAGTGACTTCATCCCGAACTCCATCCCCAAACATCATCCAGCCCACAATAGCCATCATACAATCGAGGGAATACTAGTGCGGAGACTCGGGTTAGAACTGAATGATACCATCTTTCCCCCCTTTCTTTCATTGTTTCATATTTCATTTTTCCACATCACCGCCCACGGATTCTCATATCTAGGGTTCGGTTCAATCCCTTACCGTAAATAGATATGTCACCCAGAGACTCTTTCCATACTTATGTGGATGTCGCATGTCCCGGTATATATTAGGAAATACGCCGTGACCACCCCATGGTGCTACTTGGAAATTAGTTACCGTTCCAAATTGGTCAGTAGACAGAACTCGACTCACACATAATAAGCCCAAAACTCAGGGGAAGAGTGGCCCAGTTATCAGGCAATAAATATGTTCTGGCTGGCTCACGGAGTGACCCTGGCGCAGTCGGTTTCATGAGTCCATCAATACAAGTGATAATAACAACTATTATAACGTTAGCCTCTCGGGAATGATATCGGGTTGGAAAAGGGAGAGCAGTTACTAGAAGTACAAGACAGTATACCGAGGATACTTGTCACACTAAGAAGTCGCAATGGTAGGAAATTGAGGGGAACAAGCATGAGCCCGCATATTATTTTCCATTGGAGAAGGCTCAAACCCGGTATGAGAGCCCGTAGACTGTCTGCGAAAAGCACAACGAGAGCAACACAGGCCCCGATAAGTTCTAAGCAGAATAGGAGGCTTGTCACTAAGCGTGCGTGGTGACCGAAACTGATATATGCTAGATCAGCATAGGTGACAATGCTCCGATCAACGTCAAGGCATTTCGCAAGGATTTTAGCAGTGTAAGACGTCGTCACAGCAGCAAAGAGGAGGAATAGCAGGCCAAGAAGCCAGCCGGCATGCTTCAAAGCCAGCGGTAGGCTTAACAAGCCAACCCCAATCAAGACATTAACGGAATTGAAGATCGTCTGAGGAACAGTAGATTGACCAACAACAACACATTCCCGTGTCCCATCACCATGCTGTACTTGTTTTACAAGAATGGGCTGCCTATCGTGATCCACAACTGCATCGCCACGAGCCTGTTGCTCTCTGTGCAGCTGTATCGCATGCTTTCGTGTAACTTCGCTAACGCGGGAAGAAATCGTGCCGTACGAACCCCCAAGTGGTGGTTCTAGGATGTCTGCATGTGAGGCCCTCTTTCTCAAATCCAATTGGGGAGCCAAGACATTATCTTCTGCTTCTCCATCGATACCCAACAATGGTCGTGTTATATCGGCATCATGGTCAAGATATTCTTGAGATCTGAGAATATCGCTTCTTGAAGCACCCCATTCTTCGTCGGAGTCTGCGACGAATGAGGATCGCCGAGGTAAAACTTCTGGAAAGCATGCAGCTCGTTGCCACGACCGAGCAAAGTTATCAATACTATTGACTCCACCTACCTGCCTAAACCGCGCAGAAAAGGAAGCCGATCTGTATAATGCAGGATATCGTTATTACGGGGCTAGTAATGTCCGCATTGCGCAGGGGGTGTGACTTGCCTGGTCCTTGAAAACCCATGGCCTTCTCTTGAATCACTGTTGATTGCAAGCGCATGAGGGTATACCTCATATTCAAATGGCGAATCAGCATTCGACCTGTCATGTGTTATAGGCCTATTGGGGCCAGAGGCCTGAACATCCGCATCAGACAGCGTTGAGAAATCTGGCATTGTGTATCCTTTTCTTTCGTTCTCGAGTCCCTTGCCAGAGAACAATTGTGTCTGACTGTGATCCAAGCTACGTTGTTGCTTGGTCGACCTTCGGAAGAAAGGATAGGGAAGGAACGAGATGGAGGAATTGTTGAAAAGGCCCGGTCTATTATGTCGAATGCGGTACCCATCGACTACCTAGGGAAAAAAAACCAATCAATCATGAACGGAAAGGAAACTGGACGTCACTGTGATGGCCGGTATTGTCAGCCTGGCGAATGTGAGTTCAGTGGCCGTCGCTATCAGTGATATCTTATAGGAACAGCCAGTGGACTAGACCACACCATGGCCAGGACATAGATAAGCATAGCACAGGACTTCGTACTCCGGACCTACCAGGTATAAACAGGTTATCTCCGAGAAAGGAAAGGGTGGGAAACTTGATTGGTAAGTCCAATGAGAAATAATTCCAAGATAGAAGAGGCCTCGGGATCCCCTGCGATTTTCGGGAACGAGATGTGGGGTGGTGTTGAAGTTTGGAACAGTACTACTGCAGGTAGAGAGTTCTAACCACCTTAGTTAGCCCTACCGGTTGTTGATAAGCAATTCATGGAATTTGGTTCACCACATCAATTTATGTACTCTTTACAGGGGACTAAGATCCGTGATAACAAAGACATCTGCCGCATGTACACGGGGACTACATGATATCCACTCAACGGTCAAGCCGACACTTGCTATAAATCTTCACACGAGGGCGGGTTCTCGGATACTGAACGATTTCCGATGTTCAAGCAACTATCGACTTGTAAAGGCCCATAGATTCATGCCAGATGTGGCAGATGGAGGCAAGTAAGTATCCAGGTCGGTCGTTAGATAAGTGCATGGTAGGCCGAAAGATTCCGTTCCCGGTCAACTTCAAGAACATCATGATGAACTTACGTAGTATCAATGAGCCACGCCACCGGGTAATTTACACCCTAGTTACCTACCTTGCCATGCTATGCGATGCATATGGTACCCTGAGGGCGCCTTGAGAGCTGCCATGCGATCAACAAAGCTCCTCGCAGAATCCGCGCACGGGGTGACGGCGATTCCCCCAGTTCCAAGGCAAGAAAGTATTGTAACCTGGAATACGGAGCATACGGAGTATGTAGTATGGTATTTCCAGGAACCATACTTCGGACTGGTGGAAGATAGTACTCGTACTAGCTGAAGCCTTATAGTCACAAGAAGAATATCATCGTCGAATAATTGCCATGAAAGTCGAAGACTTCATACTGCGACCATGCCGCTTTAATTCTGATCTCTTCTCGTGGGGATATAGACATCATTTTCATTAACGAGTTGCGGTGCCTGCAGCAAGCATCCCCTTGTGCGAGGCGCAGCTTATGTCATCCTAAACAGGCGACTGCCGACCCATTCGTCGTTCTTGTCGCCGGCCGTCCCCCCCACGGTGCCTGATGAAAATTGCTTAACACCCCGCTGGACTTGGACGGCAAATCGACCAGCCCCGAGGTATGTGACTTAACTGCTTTCCCACTTCTCTTTGAATCTTCCTTTGGTCGTCTATCTTCATAGACACCGAGAAATACTCGCTTTCTTCTACTACCGCCGACAGTCTTGCCGCTGACAGTATTCTAGCACCAGCAAGTCACGCCTTTACCCTCCTCTGGTCGTATCATATTATTGCCTCGCCCAACATGAGCGCGGCTCAGGCGAACGAAGCGGAGAAGAACATCGAGATATGGAAGGTGAAGAAGCTTATAAAGCGGCTTGAGGCCGCCAGAGGAAATGGAACATCTATGATCTCCCTTATCATTCGTGCGTCTCCCAGTCAACTCGTTACTAGAAGGCCGCTAACTATGAACCTTTTCAGCCCCCAAGGATCAGGTGTCCAGAGCGGCAAAGATGTTGGCCGAAGAGTTCGTAAGTTACCAAACTGAGGAAGAGGCGAGTCCAGTCCTTGTTAGACCCCGCTAATCAAACTGCAGGGCACTGCGTCTAATATTAAATCTCGCGTCAACCGGCTTTCCGTCCTGTCCGCCATTACTTCGACCCAGCAGCGTCTCAAGCTTTACAACAAGGTTCCACCAAATGGCCTGGTGGTCTATTGCGGTGAGATTATCACGTCCGAAGGAAAGGAGCGTAAGATCAACATCGACTTTGAGCCCTTCAAGCCAATAAACACGTCTCTATACCTCTGTGATAACAAGTTCCATACTGAGGCGCTCAGTGAGCTTCTCGAATCGGACCAAAAGTTCGGTTTTATCGTCATGGATGGAAACGGTGCACTGTTCGGTACTTTGAGCGGGAATACCAGAGAAATTCTTCAAAAGTTGAGCGTGGACCTTCCCAAGAAACACGGCCGTGGTGGTCAGTCAGCATTACGTTTCGCTCGTCTCCGTGAGGAAAAACGTCATAACTATGTGCGCAAGATTGCCGAGCTAGCCGTTCAAAACTATATCACCAATGACAAAGTCAATGTTGCAGGACTGATCTTGGCCGGTTCTGCTGATTTCAAAAATGACCTGAACCAGTCCGATATGTTCGATCAGAGGCTGCAGGCTAAGGTCATCAAGGTTGTCGATGTGTCTTATGGCGGTGAGAACGGTTTTAACCAGGCCATCGAATTGGCCTCGGAGACCTTGAGCAATGTCAAGTTCGTTCAGGAGAAGAAACTCATCGGGAAATACTTCGAAGAAATCAGTCAGGATACTGGAAAGGTCTGCTATGGTATTGACGATACCCTGAAGGCACTGGAACTTGGCGCAGCGGAGACTCTGATTGTGTACGAGAACCTTGATGTCACTCGGTATGTTCTTAAGAGCTCCAGCGGCTCGGACGTTGTAATCCACGTCACAAAGTCTCAGGAAGAGAACCGTGAGTTGTTCATGGACAAGGAAACCGGCACCGAGATGGAAGTCAACGAGCAGATGTCGTTCCTTGAGTGGCTTGCCGAAAACTATAAGGACTTCGGAGCAAACCTGGAGTTCGTCTCCGATAAGTCCAGCGAAGGAAACCAGTTTGTCAAAGGCTTCGGTGGTATTGGAGCCCTCCTCCGGTACAAGGTCAACTTTGAACAACTTGCCGACTATGATGACGAGGATGAATTCTATGACGGTATGTCTTCCCAAATCATTAGTCTGTTCATGTGCTGACTTTCCACATCACAGATTGACGGTTCAGCGACCTCGCAGAGAGCGAGGATGAACGGCCAGAAGTTCCCAGGGTGGATCTTCTGACGGCTCGCCCCGTGATTCGTGAAGGCGGCTCTCCCGTCAACATGGCTGTAGTGGTACACACCATGACGTTGCCTGGTCAAGATTCGGTGAAGCTGCCTAGAGGTATTCCTGTCAACCCATGAAATTGGTTATTGTGTTCTGACGCTATGCCAGCAGGGCCATCCAAGCTCCGTAACATGTTCACTCAGGTTACTTAGGCAGTCTAGGTTGACACTAGGTTTTATATTCCATTTCGAAAGGATGATAGATCTGTTATGTGGAACCTACAGCTGTTCACCGATGATTGTCGAGCGTATAACACTTGGGGTAGTGCGTTTAGACTGTTTGGTCCAATACTTCCGAGTACTGGATCTTCTTCGTGATTTTTGCTTCTGCATGCGCTTCCTATTGTAACCAAGGGAACCCAGCACTGCTTTCCTTTCCCGTGTCACTACAGGTCCTGTAGATGTCTGTAACCCTGGCAGCGCATTACTTAAGAGGCCTGCATGGCAATCGAACTGCTTTATAGAACTCATGCTCCCGTTCAGTGTATCGATAGGATGCGCCTATACGAAGTGTGGCCGATACAAGCAACGCAGACACGCGCCACCCTGTCACTTATGCCGATGGTTAGACGGATACGAATTGGTCTGCCCATGTTCCCAGGTGTCTGCAACCCTCCGTGACCTCTTGTAATGCGTCGATTATCCCAGATACCGCACCCTGGCTTTCATTCGTCGGAACATATTGGCCTTCGACTAGGAATACGTACTTCCAAGCCCTTATCTGGCTCGGTCGTGAGTTAATGCTCGTCAGGTTCATGCCTTGATTTTTGAAGATCAAAAGGGCGTCTGCCAAGACACCCGGACAATCCTGGCGAATCATGAATGAAATTAGTGTCTTCTGCGCCGTTGGTGTAACTGAAGCCTGGCCTTGTGCAGGGGAGGAGACTTTGACATCCTCAAAGGACAGCCGACTTGTACGCCCCGAGTTCACATTCCTGAGCACAAGGAAACGCGTGGTGTTGTTGGCCTTATCCTCGATGTTTTCCTCTGATACATCCAGGCCATGATACTCTGCGGCAAAGCGACTGGCGATAGCTCCACTCCGCTCCGTGGTTCCCTTTGACACAATTTCAGCGCCCTTGGAGGTTGACGAGACATCCTGTCTTTCAATGCCTTTGAAGGTTCTTTCAAGAAAATCCTCACACTGGCCCCATGCCTGTGGGTGCGTATACAGCTTGGTTATGGAGCCGTAGTTTTGCGGACCTAGTGATAACAGACCCTTCCGAGTCAGGAGACAGTGGTGGACTGTCAGATAATGCTCCCCGCACACTTTCACATCGCTGTAAAGGCCGCTTGGGTCCGCCAAGAGGTCCAGGGTCTGGACAACAGAGCCGTTGGTTGAATTCTCGCAAGGAATGATAGCGTAGTCGACTTTGTCTGCCTGCACTGCCGCGAAAGCATCCGGGAACGACACATGGGGCACTAATTTGGCCGAAGACCCAAAGCTCTCAACCGCTGCCTAGAAGAATCGGAGTCAATGACACTATAAGATGAAGGCCGGCCTGACAGTTTGCTGACCTGGTGGGAAAATGATGCGGCAGGGCCGAGGAATGCGACCTTGAGAGGTTCCATGATGGCGCTGTGAGCAGTTCCACTGGGTTTGGGTTGCTTCTGTCACAATCCCGAACTCCTGCCAAGAGCTTGTGAGTCGTTACTGCGACAATCATGACGGCTGACATAACTAGTCAAAATTTGAACCCGTTCGCGGGGAAATTGTCTTTCTTTCGGATGATTTCACCTGTCCGCCAGGACCTGGTTCTCATACCAAATGAAGCCTATGCGTGTGTTCGCACTGGATTCCAGGCGAATGGGGCGACCTCTGGCTTCATGGCAACAGCAACAACAAAGGATGCTACCGGCTACACGGCGTGCATGCTCATCTCTTTCCGATCGACTATATCGAGACTTGACCTCACGACAGCTCCCCTTGACTTTTGATTATATACATCCCCAGTCGTCTTATCTCCTGAGCTTAACATTGGCCGATCTCCTTCCCACGCTAACCCCAGCGCCAAATGAGCTTCCTTCCGCCCGCAGCACATCTCGCATGCCGGCAGGCCACCATTTGGTCTACTTTCCTCCCCAAGTCACACTGTCGCAGTTACTGCCGGACGGTACAGATACCTTACACGCCCCAGGAAGTCCCTTCAATAGGCGGTTGTGGGCTGGGGGCAGTGTCAGATTTGCGACTTCCAACGCCCTAACTCTCAATGGCAGTCGAGCCGTTTGTATCGAAACTATTCGTGACGTGATAGTAAAAGGCCGGCCAGGAGAGGAAAAGGTACTCGTCAGAATTGAAAGACGCATTGGCGCGGCCCCAGAGGGGGAAGACAATCGCAGTATCAGAGAGCGGATATGGAGGGAAACCGAGGGTGAAACTGGTCAAGCTTCCGTCATCGAGAACAGGAGTCTGGTCTTTATGCGCGAGAAAACCCCAGAGCAACTTAATCATGACAAGGCTAGCTTTGACATGGAGACTAGGGCCATCAGATGTGCGCGATGACTATGAACATTATCAACCCCGATGTCCTTGCTAACATTCCCCGGTGGCTCACAGCGCCTTCAGATCCACACTTCCTCCACCAACTTATACCTAACAAGGTTCTGCTATTCCGTTTCTCCGCTCTTACGTTCAATGCCCATTCTATACATATCGACAAGACGTACGCACAAAATGTTGAAGGCTATCGGAACCTCCTCGTACATGGACCGCTGACTTTGACGTTGCTTCTCACGGCCCTGGAGGATCATCTAGGTAAGCTGGGGTTGGCTGCCACTGGAATCGAGTATAGAAACATAGCTCCTCTCTATGTTGAAGAGGAGCTGACAGTTTGTGGCAAGCCCAAACCCGGCAGAGGCCACGCAGCGTGGGATGTATGGATTGAGGGCAAGGACGGACGACTTGCCGTTCGAGGTACTGCCAAAACTAGCCCTGCGTAAAGCTGATGAAATTGTGGTAGTGGAGACTATAGAGCCCAGCACTTTGGTGTGTGGCCTTCGCGGGCTCATGTGGTACAATTAGTCCGCCGCGATGTTGCTCGGACCCATGGAAATGAGCGCGAATGATCATGTTAAGGCGATACTCTGACTGAAATCGCTACTTTGACTATATCTAGTTTCTGTTGCCTCTTAGGCCCGTGCAACTAGCTATTTAACGTTACTCATATGATTTGAGATAACTTCACACATGTGAGGACATTCTACCACACTCTTTGAAAGTATCAATGACCATGCCTTATTGTAGACATAGACTTCGGGCGTATTCATATGCCACGTACAAACTGCATCTAGATTTAGCATTTGAGAAAGCAAATTAATGCATAGTATGTAACTACCCGTCTTCAGTCAGACATCACGATATAACTCCTTCAATTCCCCCCTCTTTTTTTCTTTTTTCTTTTTTCTTTTCTTTTCTTTTTTTTTTTTTTTTTCTTACTCTCTTTTGGTAGAGTGAGTAAACAAAATATCTGTCTTATACTAAATAATGCTCTCTATTACTCGTTGTCGGCTTTATCTTGAATATGTCATTGCAAACCGTACGGAGTAAGACTTGGAGGCCGGAGCAATCGGAGAATCTAACCCTGTGGGTCGCACATGTCGGAACGGAGAAATAACTGTCGGCTAGTATTTCCACACACCATATAAGAACTTATTTTCTGTTCTTTTTCTTTCCGTCCAGCTCTTGTTATCTAACCACCCCTGCACCATAACGCTCTATCATGACACTTAATGATGTGTTTTGAATAGCTACTACATCCCTTAACAAAGGAACGTATCCGTGACTGCTCAGTACAGCAATTCCTTGTGAAGTACAATGGATCAGTTTTTGGCTGCTCCCCCTGTTACTAGGTACGTGGCCTTTTGCTTGTCTTCAGCCTCAAGGCTCATTGACTGATCGTTTCCCCAGAACTCTTACTGCACTTACATTTTTACAGTCTGTATTGGTCCATGGTGGGCTTCTCAGTGGCTATTATGTGTTATTTTTACCACACCTTGTCTTCAAGACTATTCCTGAAATATGGAGGCTGTTTTCGCCTTTCATGATCACCGGGCCAGGCCTTTCCTTGATTTTTGATCTCTATTTCAGTATGGTACTGCGCTGGTCTAGTGGGTAGCCATGCTAACTGCCGGTAGTGTTCACCTATGGCAGCCGCCTGGAGACTGGATCTCCTCGGTTCAGTGCACCGGGTGAATTTTTCACCTATGTTTTTTTCGTAGCTTTCACCATCACGGTAAGTTGTGGGAACATCCTTGTCCTATAACATCTCATTACAGGACACTGTCGTTTGCCTCTCCCTTGTTGCTCCTCACATCTCCTTCAATGTCATTTTCTATCTTTTTCTCAATTCACCTCGAATATCTGCCCGCCCAGCGCATACTCAGCTGAAGCGGTTCCTGGAAACGAGGAAGATCACCCTTGCATCCCGCATGGCTCTACAACTGATTTACCGGAGTTATGTGCGTTGCAGGTATGGTGGGACGACCAGTGAGATAGCTAGTGTGATGATTTCAGTTCACACTGGTGGTTATGGTGCCCTACATCTAATTATCTCTACTTTGTCAATATTTCATAGACCTTCACATCTTCCAACTACACTTGTCCATGTAGTCTCATTGAATTGCTGGTACTGACAACCCGAAGGTCACCGCAGGTTGTCTTCTGAATAATGTAATCTTTACCTCCGGTGAGCTTCTTGTGGTACTATCTTCGTGCTTGCTCATACTGATATATCTCAGCATTGATCCTGGCATTTGTTTACACATATTCGCAAGACAACCGAGGTAAAAAGGCGAGCTTCTTTATTGTCCAAATACCCGTCGAGTTCTTACCGTGGGCGATGCTCACTTTGACTCTGGTCATCTCCGGATGGCCTTCAGCGTTGAGCGACGGCATGGGCATAATTGCCGCTCACTTGTACGATTTCCTTACCCGTATCTATCCGACATTCGGAGGTGGTAAGAATTGCCTTGCCACCCCGGCATTTGTGAGGCGATTCTTTGCTGCCCACACACCGCGTCGTGAAGCGCGTGCCTTTGGAACTGCTTACCACCATGCGAACGATCAAGCCCGGAACTCCTCCATAGGTTGGACTTCGTCTTTCCAGAGCTCATGGAACCGGAGAGGCCCAGGGCGCAGACTTGGCGGTGGATAACCATGGGGGCGTCGATACCAGAGGATTGGCCACTTGACTGACTCCTGGGCGAGGACTGGGTAGGCAAGTCATACTTGCCATAATCACATTGAGAGCAATGAATGACCAGAGAAGTACGATCGTCAACTTTTTGGGGAAGATGCTTTTGGAGATACCCGAGTGAATAGTAGAAACGTAAAATGCGAGAAGTCGTGTAGCGGTTGCCGATGCGAGCGGAATGGTATGATACGCCCAGTATCCGGTATCGTATCAATTGTATTGATTATTACAAGCCCGAAACTTTCTCGTATGGATGTTACGAGATCAACATTTTTGCAATGTGCAAGAATAAGTCACGGGATGCTGGACCGACGGGGTAAAATCTCTGCTCTAACCTGATTAGTCGCAGGAGCTTTCGCCGCACTTCGAAATTTCCCAGACTTTCTTTCTCGCTAGCGCGAGAACAAAACTTTAGTTCAGAAAGTGCAATTTTTCCTGCGCCTTCTCTCAACGCGCGCACTTACCCGGCTATTCCTACACCCTTCAAGCCAGCCTGTTTAAAATGGCGGTCGCAGTGGCTAAGGAGGAGATGGACTACATGATCAAACCGGAGGCAGGTGCTTCTAAAATCGATACGTCGGAATGGCCGCTTCTTCTGAAGAATTATGACAAGCGTACGTTCACTTCGAGGCCACATCTCATATTTATGTAGCTGGTGCTGATTCTTTATATCAGTGCTTGTCAGGACCGGTCACTTCACGCCCATTCCCGCCGGTAGCACTCCTTTGAAGCGTGACCTGAAGTCGTACATCAACTCCGGTGTCATCAACCTGGACAAGCCTTCCAATCCTTCCAGTCACGAGGTTGTTGCCTGGATGAAGAGAATCTTGAGGTAATCTTCCTATCGCGTTCTTATCATGTATAGGATACTGAGACTCGTTCAATCAAGGGCGGAAAAGACCGGTCACAGTGGAACTCTTGATCCCAAGGTCACTGGTTGCTTGATTGTCTGCATTGACCGTGCTACTCGCCTGGTGAAGTCCCAACAAGGTGCCGGAAAGGAGTACGTTTGCGTGATTCGCCTTCATGACAAGATTCCCGGCGGGGAGGCACAATTCAAGCGGGCTCTCGAGACATTGACTGGAGCCCTTTTCCAGCGGCCGCCATTGATCTCTGCCGTCAAGCGCCAGCTTCGTATCCGGACAATCCACGAGAGTAAGCTTTACGAGTTCGACAATGAGAGACACCTTGGTGTCTTCTGGGTTAGCTGCGAAGCCGGAACCTATATCAGAACGCTCTGTGTTCACCTGGGTCTCCTGCTCGGCGTTGGTGCGCACATGCAGGAACTCCGCCGTGTACGCAGTGGTGCCATGGATGAGAACAGTGGAATGGTCACCTTGCACGACGTGTTGGATGCCCAGTGGATGTATGACAACCAACGGGACGAGTCTTACTTGAGGAGAGTCATCAAGCCTCTGGAAACCCTCCTCACGACGTACAAACGTATTGTTGTCAAGGACAGTGCCGTTAATGCCGTGTGCTACGGTGCTAAGCTCATGGTCCCTGGTCTTCTCCGCTTTGGTAGGATTTCATACCCGCGTATCATGCAAGTTTACGGTTGCTGACCCTTATGAAGAGGCTGGGATTGAGGTCAACGAGGAGGTCGTCCTCATGACCACTAAGGGTGAGGCTATTGCCATTGGTATTGCTCAGATGTCAACAGTCGAGCTGTCCACCTGCGACCATGGCGTTGTGGCCAAGGTCAAGCGTTGTATCATGGAGCGCGACCTGTACCCTCGCCGCTGGGGCTTGGGACCTGTCGCTCTGGAGAAGAAGAAGCTCAAGTCCGCGGGAAAGCTGGACGTAAGTTCCCTGGGTTTAACAAGCAATAACTTGCGTATGTGCTGGCTTTGCTGACAACCATTGCAGAAGTATGGCCGTACTAACGAGGCCACGCCCGCCAAATGGAAGAATGACTACAAGGATTACAGCGCCCCCGAAGAAGGTGCACAGGCCGTGGCCGAACCCGTTGCTCATGAAGAAGCCTCTACTCCCGCCGAGCCGACCGAAGTACCATCATCCCCCGATAACAAGATGGATCTCGATGATGAAAAGGACGACGATGAGAAGAAAAAGCGTAAGCGCCACGAGGGAGAGACGCCCGAGGAGCGCGCTGAGCGCAAACGCAAGAAGAAGGAGAAGAAGGAGAAGAAGGAGCGCAGGAAGTCTAAGCAGGATAAGGAAGAGAGTGATGACAGTGATTAAGCACTTTCGGGAAGCACCTTAACCTGCCTCGGATTGGAAAGCTGCCGCCATTCCATCTGTCTTCGCTTGTCAAAGCGTCGCCTGGTTATGATTCCTGTAACATACTTGTTTCTTTTTGTCGGAGTCTTGGGTTTGAAAAGGGAATCTATTTACTAAATAAATGTTTATCGCGTTTCTGTACGTCGGACTTTAGTCGTTTCAATTATCTTTCCCCTGTTTGATCCTCAAATATGAGAGTATCTTCGTAGTTGGCCCCCGTACCGAGGGCCCGTGACCTGGGCGGTGTCTCCGCATCACTCGGTCACGACGTTGGGCCACTTCCATCTGCGGCTCCCCCTCCCCCTCTCCTCCCTCTCTTCCCTACCAACCCCCATTTTCTGTCTGTAACATCCGGCTCTATTGCTGGTGAGCCTTGCAATCACCTCGTAAGACGGCCTGGCCACTAGCCATACCTCTGATCGCCATGGCCGCGGAATTGACATCCACCCGGCTGAATGCGGAGAACCATCTGCTCTTGGTAACCCACTAATCGTCCCCTCACTCTCTCGTTGGCTTGTCCCCGCAGTCTCGATACTAACATCGCCGGATTATTTCAGGACCAGCCTCTATTACGGTTACCACACGAGCTTGCTCGACGAAACTTCAAATCTGTGCAGCGCCTCGTGGAGCGGGAGAGGGAATATGTCATCCCCGTACTCAAAGAGACCGCCAATGCCTCCATGTCAAACAATCAAACACCTGAGCGAGCTCTTGCTGCGCTTGACGCTATGGTCTCTCGCATGCAGGGCCTAAAGCGGAAAATGGAGATACTGCATCAAGAGGAGAAGAAGATTCAAGAGCAATCCCGGAAGCGTATCCACCACTTGGAAAGACTTCATCAGATTCCTAGCTTGGCGGATGTCAAGTACGATCATTGGGCGAGAGTTCGCCTAGACAGGCTCATAGTAGATCATATGCTACGTTCCGGATATACAGAGAGTGCCCAGCAGTTAGCCCATGAGAAAGATATTGAGGATCTTGTAGACCTCAACGTCTTTGTACAATGTCAACGAATTGCCGAGAGCCTCCGTTATGGGGAGACGAAGGATGCCCTACAATGGTGCGGCGAAAATAAGGCGGCATTGAAGAAGAGCCAGGTTCGTACAATATCTGCCAACTGTTACAGTCTAAGTAAAACTTTTCACTTCAAACCTGATTGTTGGAAACAGTATAACTTAGAGTTCGAGCTGCGGTTGCAGCAATATATTGAAATGGTCAGAACAGAGCATAAGGAGAAACTTGTTGATGCAATGGTCCACGCCAAAAAATACTTGGCTCCATACATCGAGACACAGTCAATGGAAATTCATCGAGCTGCAGGACTCCTCGCTTTCCCTCCCGACACCAAAGCTGAACCTTACAAGGTAGCACGGACAGATCCAATGCATTGTACTCAAGCTAATCCAGCCCTAGTCGATATACGCGCTAGAGAGATGGACATATCTGGCAGACCTTTTTGTTCGCACCCACCATGAGCTATTATCCCTGTCGTCTCGTCCTCTGTTACATATCGCTCTATCTGCGGGATTGTCGGCTCTCAAGACGCCTTCGTGCCATTCAGCTTACACCTCCTCCAGTTCAAACTCACTGTCCACAACGACATCTGTTTGCCCGATCTGCTCAACCGAGCTGAATGAACTTGCTCGCAACATGCCATACGCTCACCACACGAAGAGCTACGTCGAAAGTGATCCGATAGTTTTGCCCAATGGCAGGATCTACGGTCAACAGCGGCTGTTAGAGATGAGTAAGAAGGTCGGGTGTGTTGAAGCAGGCAAAGTTAAGGACCCTACAACCGGCGAGGTCTTCAACGAGAGCGATATGAAGAAGGTTTATATCATGTAGCAGTCGGCGAGTCCCAAGGCTGTGTGAACAGTTGATGTCGGTCCTATTTTGACTTTATCCCTTTCAGTTGAGGCGCACCGTGGAACTTTGTCTGCAGTGAATGACTTTATTTGGCGCTTTCTATTCACTGTCGTCACTGTCGGACGCGTCCCTTGACCTCTTCTTTCTCGCACTAGTCTCGAGTTTGGAGGACGGGACGTTCCTCCTCCCTACTGGATGGTCTTCCTGTTTGACCTCGAATACATACATTCTTGCGTCCCTGTCTTCACCTCGCCAGCCACCTCTTCCCCCGTGCTTTCCCTCAATGTCGCCCAGGGTCCGCGCATGTGAGTACTCCTTATAGCAAGCCCACGGAAATCGGAAACTGGTGATCACCCGCAGGCCAGCGTGCCTTGCAAGATCTTTGATATTCCAGAGGGTATAAGGCTCCCCCTCGAACATTGAAACTAGGATCTGGCCGGGTTCGATTCTGGTACAGCATGTCGCCTGACCAGTGGTATTTGCCGACCGCAGTTGGTTGCTCTCCCCATCGCCGTCGCCTTCGTCTTGGCTTGTCTCAATGTCGGGATTCTCCCAGTTGTCCCAATCCTCCTCATCGTCACTGCCCGCAATTTCAGGACGATGCGACAGCAAGGGCACACACGCTTTGAAGAACGCCACCAAAAGTTCTTGGTTGGCGCGCACCTGCCGGTTGACATCGGTGGAGAGACCGCCGACGTGAGGAAAGTTGAAGCAGATCACATCCCAGGACCCGCCCTGTGATGCAGAAGACGATACACCGTTCTTTGCCTCCTTCCATGCCGGGCGTTTACGCTCCCGCCGTGAAAAGCCAGTACGGATTTCTTTCCCACCTCCCGCAGGAAGACCGAGTTTTCGAGCGTCAACAGCATAAAGGACTTTCGGGCCACGACTTTGAGTTTGGTTTTCAATGGAGTCTTGTGCGTCATGCTTTTCAATGTCATCTTCGCTGTTCAATCCTTCGTCACTGCCCTTGGTTGAATTATCCTTACTGCCCAGAACATCCGCATATGTTGTCCTTTTTAAAGAGGCATCCAAGATATCGTGGATATTGTGCTCCGCTTTAGGGTATTTGCCGTAGAGCGATTCTTTGGAATCGTAACATGTAGCCAAGACATTCTTGCAGCGGTGTTGAAGGACTAATGAGCGAGCAAAGGAGAAATCGCCTACACCAAACTAGTTAGGAATGTATCTAATGCGGCAGAAATTCGACATAATTCTCCGGCGCCTTCTAGATCAAGATGGCGGGATGCAGACGAGGACAAATGCGAATCTGGACCAGTAGACTGTAAACCTCTGCTCTGTGCTCTTTGAGTAGAAGGTAGACAGTCTGCGAAAACTTCGGAGTTCCTTCGGCCAACGCACCATACATTAGGGGAAATTCTACAGTAGCATAAAAAAGTGTGCCAGCCAGCCATGGCATAACCACTAACAAAAACAACGTAGCAGATCAAACCGAACAAGAAAGGCAAAAAAAGTTTCAACTCACCTTCTCCAACCAACAAAATACGATCTTTTCTTCCAAACGGCACCACCGGGCGCTGGTTTTTCTGCTGCTTCTGGGAAGACTTCTTCGGATCACTGCCATTCTTCTTCGCATTGGCATTCTCATTCACCTTATCCACCCCCTGTCCTTGAGAGGCTTTAGCAGCAGAACTCGTCGTCGAAAGTTTAGAAAACGTGTGCATCTTCCGGTGTTTCTTTGGATGTTGACCAGCGGATGCGGCTGCAGCCGCGGCCGGACCTCCTCCCTTTTTGGATTTGGGCATGGCACTATTTTTTTATTTGCCTTTCTCGGTTTGTTTTCCTGGGGAAAAGAAAAGTGGGTGGGGTTTTTGTAGGGTTTTAGGTGAGTGTTTGGTTGATTGGGTAGATTGTGGATGATAGAGGTTGTCGAGTTTTTGGGGGGGGGGGGGGCGTTCAAATTCCGAGGTATAATAATTCATGTACGGAGTATAATGTGCCTTGTTACCACAGCGCCCACTGGTTGGTGTTCAGAATCTTATTCTTGCTGGGCTTGGACCAGTGAGAGGGTCGGGATGATGGGGTCGATGGATAAATAGATGGACAATGTGGTTAGGACTTTCATGGGCATACGTTTTGTGCTCTATTTCACCATATATCTAGGGAGGCGCTTGGCGGGATTATCATCGCAAGCTCTCTGAACGCAGACCGGGGCGGCTTACTATTACCAAGTACGGAGTACACTACGCACTTTTGCGGTGGAATTCTCATTGCCATGTCATCCAAAACACGCTTTCTATAAGCTTATTAAAAAGACATAAGAAACCTTTTTATATACAGGCTTGTCACAGATGAGAACACAGATCATGCCATGATCAGAAATAAACGCATATCATGTGAATCCACAACATTACTAGATGATACTCAAACAAAGCCATCTGCCAGCCCGAAACAAAAAAATGAATATGTGAAAAGGGTCATGATCGGGGCAGATACTTGAAAAGACTTAAATGGCCGAGGGTAGTAAGAGAAAACCTCCCATGTAGCTCGACATGTGAAGATAAAGTACAGAACCACCAGCACCTGCCAAGGCAGGACTGATGGCTGTGATTCAGGGCTAGAAAAACAGCCCAGCCAATTACAAGGAAACAAGAATCACATATCACATGCGAGCAACGAGCAGTCTCGCTCTCGATATAGAAACTTTAACGAGGGCGAAGTCGGCCGTGACGACCGGCTGCACCATTATTCTCTAGGCGCTCCTTTCAAGATCGCAGCGAGTCTCTCATACTCTGGCTGCTGGCGCTGACTGGGGGATTGGCGGTCGGCAAAACACCAGTTCTTGGCTTAGCATTTTGTTTGATCTTGGCCACAGCATAAACGATACCGCTAACAAAGCCGACAACTATAGCCGAAACGCTGGGGAAGGTGACAGGAGCATCGAAGAAGATGAGTCCTGAAATAGCAATTGGCAGCTTGTTCAGAGCTCCAACCATGGAGTAAGTAGTCGATGAGGTGACGCGAACACACCAGGCGGAGGTGTATGAGATAAACACGGACGACAAACCGGAAAGAATCATGGCAAACATGATACTGTTGCGATCCATCGGGGGAAAGTTGCGGTTGACATTGGTGGACGACCAGTCCTCCAGAACGCCGGACAGAACGATCAGAACGGGTATCGATAGAAGGTTGTTGTAGAACATCGCTAGAGGGGCAGCAAGTTAGTAAAGGACATGTCTCTCGATCCGGGACACCTTCGATGTGAGCAACATACTGTCAAAGTCCTTGAAGTTGGTGAGCTTGATCCGCTTGCGCATGCCCAACACATAGGATGATGTACAGATGCAGTTGATCAACATCCAGATATAGCCAGCATTCAAAGTTGAGACCTTGGCGGTCGCATCGCCAGTGCTTTCAACAGCGTGCTTGATATCGGCCCAGGCGGCAATGATAGAGCTCATGACCATCAGACCGAAGGAGAACAGGGTAAGACCGCTGACCGAACCACCGAACCACAGCACCTCTCCGTAAGCAATGAGAATGATTGTCAGGTTCTTGAAAATAGTGTATACGGGAATCGAGAGGAATTGAAGGGCCTTAGAGCCGGTGTAAATCATGCCAATCAGGAGCAGAGTGATCGGAAACCCTAGTCGTGATCGAAGGCATGTCAATGAAGGGCGCGAAGGTTAGAAGGGCTTGCTGTGGACACCTACACTTTCTGGCCTCGTCCGCACTGAAGTCGCGATAAGTGATTAGGCCACATGATTTACAGGTCTGAATCGCGATGATACAAACGAGAGACTGCGAAATAAATCGAATAGCGGTCAGCCTGTGTTGTTCACATGATACGCCTCCATTCCCGAGGTCATGTGCTCCGATATCCGCCAACATACCTGAATGCAGAGGAGGAAAAAGTTGAGGTTAAAATCGGTGCCTGACAAGACATATTTGTTCATGACAGTCATCAAAATCGACGATCCACAATAGGCCAGGACTGGCAAGATGGGGTTGTTGGAAAGCGAGCCTGATGGCGGACTCCGAGGCTGAGGCGGTGGCGGCGGTGCCTCGAAACTCTTGCCCTGGTCTATCGAATCCATCTGGATCGTGTAGTCGTCCGTCTTCTTGCCTTCCGCCATGGTGATTGACTCAACGAATGTCTGTGCGGTGGGAGCAGGAAGAACGATATCGTCTGCGGGAAAGGGACGAGTCGTGGCAGAGGCGAGAGACGAAACGGGAACGAAGTGATACTTAGTGGCGGCGCCGGAGCGAAGGTCAAAAAGGAAATAAAAACCCGCACGGAGAAATGACAAGAAAGAACACTGGCCCGGAATATGTTCAGACAGTCAGGCAGGCGTCGACAGAAAAGAAGGGGGGGGAGGTGATGAGAGTGAGCCGGGGGAATAAGAAGAAGAAGAGGGTATCGTGACCGAGGACGAAGGGGGGGGAAAGGAAATGAAATGAAATTGCCATCTTGGGCTGGACAACCGCCTCTTCCGGAAGCGGCAAGGAAGCCAATCGGTTATTTTTAAAACCTGGCCGGGATTTTCATACAGACGAGCATGCGTCGTCCCCGGTGCTGGCCTTGCATGCTTAATTCTTTGGCCTAATACGATCATGAAGAGTCATAGCATGGATATAGCAATGCCCACTCTCTGGACCTAACTTCCTACCGCTGGAGGTCGAAATTCAGTGGGATCACACTTGGTATCTGACCGTACCTTGTCAGGAACCGAACCCGGCGGTACTCCGTACCGTACCAGCGATCGATACCTCCGTAGGTACGTAGATTCTGCCTCCTTGTAGATTACTTCGCGTGTCCCCCCGCTCATCAATATTTACTCACCAGGAGGCTGACGCTTTGCGTTAACGAGGATTTCTATCATAGCTAAATACATCTATCTTCTCCTATTCTCGAAGCCCTCACGCGGAGTATCCAAATATCCAAACACCCCTCCGGCCCACAGTGTGCTTCCCCTCTTCTGTTTCCACCAGAGTAACATCTATCGTCCCTCCTTGTCATTTGGAAAATCGCTCTTCTCCAGCCGGCACCTCCAACCCCGTGTGACGGGAATCGCATTCTATCTTCAACCCTCTCCGCAAACGTCACTTCTAATAATCAACCATGAGCGGCGCTGTCGAAGACAAGCCCCAGGCAAGGGACCAGGATGATATCAACGACGACGACGCCTTATTCGACGCCTTAGCAAACGAAGATGATTCAGCTTATCGAGCGCACCGGATTGAGCAGCTAAATGCCGAATTTTCGTCGGCCCAAAATAACAACCAATCCCGCGATGCATCCGCACCTACAATTGTCGGAGACAGCCTTTATCCCACTATCGCGAGTGATCAAGCCCTGCTAGATTTCACAACCCAAACCCATCGGTGCGTGATTCACTTTGCGCATCCAGACTTTGCTCGCTGCAGCACCATGGACGAGCATATTCGAGCGCTAGCGGCACGACACCATGAGGTGCGCTTTGCTCGCGTGGATGTGCGGAGTACTCCATTCGTGGTGGAACGGTTGAAGATCCGCGTTCTGCCATGCGTGATTGGATTTAAGGATGGGGTGGGAGTTGAGCGGGTGGTCGGGTTTGAGGGCCTTGCATCCGGTGGTCGAGACGGCACCGACGGGTTCAGTACCGCAACTCTTGAGAAGAGACTCATCTGGAAAGGAATCATTGCTCGGGAGAAATTCCGAGCTGGGGATGACGGCTCTGGTCAGTCGGAAGAAGAGAGCGACGATGGGGATGGCAAAGACCGGGGGAAGCGGGCTATTCGTAGCGGGAACGCGAGAAGCTACAGGAATGATGACGATGATGACGATGATGACGACGACTGGGATTGAACTCAATAGCCTTCATGAACCTGCCCTGTTGCAAAGGGCAGCCTGGCTTTGGTGGCGAGAGACACTGTTACCTCGACAAATCCAGGCAGGAATAGAAACAGGCTTATGGATTGAATATTCAACACTTGGCCGCAATCACCTACGTCGGCGCGTCACCGTCCGCAGCAGTTCTGGCGACAGATCGTGAAGTGCTGTAAATGCGGGTAACGGACCTCTCAGGTCGTGGAATCGCCTCAATGGTGTCCAATCGATGCCTTTTCATCACCGGTAGTTCGATTTGGAACGGACAAGTGAAAGGGATTGACGGGGATTGACAGTAGTATCGGGCTCAGAGTGAGAATCAACAGAAGCCCATATAGCACGGTACTGAATATATCAAGTTAAGCACTGGGAATTGGGCACATCGTAGACCAGTAAATCTAGCCCAGAGCGATATGTTCTGGGAACCAGCCATGATTGAAATCTTATTGAAGCCGAAAACGAGAGGCTACAACACTTGGAGACAAGTTGGATAAACGAATACAGCATCATCAGTGAGGTAAAGTTACAGCAATGTGGAGAAAACAGATCGCAGGTGATCATCCCAAGTGAAAAAATAAAGGCTGCTAGAAGGTGCAACGGACAAGAGAAGGAAGAAGAAAAAACGGCCACAGGAGTCATGGAGAATGGCAATGCTAAGATTTATACACGTAGGTCAGAAGAGTGTTCACACAAATCCATCAACTTCATATGGGCGCCTGGTACACTTTGACTGGGAGACAATGTCAGAAAACTCCTCATTAGAACGCAAAAGCAAGGTGCTCATGATACAGATGAAATGGGCGAGCCGGGAAAAGGAGTAAAGCGACAACCGCTCAAAACGAGATCTAGATCACCACATTTTTCATTTCACCCAAGGCCTCGGCGTCCAAGCCAGTGGCCGGGGTCGGCTGATTCGATCCACGCTTTTGCGCCTTGTCTGATTCCAATGACTGGTGGCCTTCCTCGTTCTTTGCAACTCCGTCATTCTCCTTTCCAGTGATTCGAGGAGTTGCTACCTCCATCAAGTCATCTGACGAGGGCTCTTCTTCGTTCTCATTGGCCGCCTGCTCTGGGGCCTCAGCTTCCTCAATGGTTTGCACAGGACTTGTTGCCTCCTCTGTAACACGAGCCAGCGGACTCGAGATGCCAAACTGAGTCTTAGGGCTCTGGGTAGACCCACGATTTGGGAACCGATGCGGCGACCTTCCACGCTCTTCACTAGGCGTCGGACTGCCATACGGCGATTCCTTACCCATCTTGCCGCCCGTACTTAAGCCCAGACCGTTCGCAGCCTTGCGCCTAGGTGGTCTCCTGCCATACTTTTGATCTGTTCTCCACCGTAGGATTTCCAAGTAAGGGGGTTCCACATTTTGCGACTTGAACTCCAAAAGCTTCATCTCACTCGTTTCCTCATCCACAGAGACCTTGCCACTGCAGATGTCATCCGCTAGCGTAGCGAGGAAGGCAGCCCAGGACCGAGCGACAACGTATTTACAATCGTAGTCCCGACCGAAGATGATAACCTGACCCCACTTTCCAGCAGGCCCTGGGGCCAAGTCGATAGCGACATGGTTGCCGCCCCAGTCGCGGGCCAAAGGTATCCAAGCAGGGTGGGCATAGGCCTTCTGGACCGCACCCGGGGGCTGCGAGTCCTGTCGCTCGAGCAAGTCATTTCTCCACATGGGGTTGGAATTCTGGGCAGGCGGCGCGGCAGACGAAGAACTGGGAGTGGTTTTCGGGGGGGGAGGGTTCATCATAGCTGAGCTCAAGAATTCCTCATTGACTGTCCTCCAGTTCTTCCATTCTTGAACAATCTCCTCGCAGTCCAAGAGCATACAGCCAAAGATGACACCGGTGGGAAGACCCCCACGCTCCTGACCGTCATGAACCATCAGGGACTCCCGCAGTTCCAATGGCAGGCTGCAGTCCAATTCATGCTCCAGTTCGTTGATGTCATTTTGGGTACAACCCTCGCATAGATTATCCCAAAGCTCTGTGTAATTATTCTCCAACCATTTTTCAATTTTCCTCCACGAATGAGCGATTGGTGGAGGGGGCGGAGCACCATCGTGGAAACTCTGCATCTGAATCTCCGGGATCCCGTCCGCATTGGGGTCCGCGGATTGGCGCTTCTGAGACGACATGGATCGCATGCCAGGGGAGTATGGGCGACTGGGTGAGCCAGCCCCTGTAGGGGAGCCAGACCAGCCGTTTGCGCCTTTCAGCTGGTCATCGTCATACGGAGAGGTCAGATCCGGTCGAGATTCGATAGCGCTTGTTGCAATGGATGTGAGAGGCTCGTGTCGACTTTGGCTCAGAGGCACATGCCTACCCGTCCGATATGGCGAGTCATGGGATGCATGGCGATCATAAGAAGTCATCGTATGCCAGAAGGACCGCCATGCTGAGCCGATGCTGTGGATAGTCAGAAAGAGTCGGCGGCTGAGTTGAATCCGGAGACGTGTCCGTGTCCCAAAACGAGAGGGAAATACTCACGTGTTCGACATGATGGAAATCCGGACAGGATGCGTAGGGACTGAGGGCAAGCGAACTCGATCGACTTCGATTGTTCTTTCTTATGGAAAAGACCATGGGAGGGGGGCAAAGGAGGAAGTCAACGTCGGACCTGAGTACTGCGGGTAGATGGTAGATGGGACCGAGGACCGGAAAGATTGCAAAGGCAGTGGAAGTTTTACCGGGGAGGGCTGGTGGGTAACAGGGCGGCTAGCTTCTAGAAGCAGATCCGCGAGGAGGCAGCACTAAGAAGGGCCGGCGACTGGGGAATTGGAAGGAAGAAGGCGAGAGAAAGGCGAGAGAGAAAGGCGAGAGTGGAAGGGAGGAGGGGGGTGGGTGGAAATTGAAAGAAGGCCGATGGAATGGCGCCAGGGAGGGAGGGAGGGAGGGAATGAGAAGTGATTGAAGGAAAGAAGGAAATGAAGAAAGCGGATAGGAGTGAGGGTGACGAAGATCCAGCCTGCCAGTCTCTCCTCTCTTTCTTTTCTCCTTCTCTCTTCTTCTCCCTTTTCTCTTCTCTCCGCGTCTCTGGATCCTGCGAGATAGGAATAATAGAGACGAGGTCTTTCTCAGCGTTCTTCTTGATTCTCCGTCTGCTTCTTCCTCTTCTCCTCTTCTTCCTCTTCTTCCTCTTCTTCACCTCCACCTTCTCCTACCTGTCTATTCTTTCTTCGTCTTCGTCTTCTCCTTTGGGGGGAGGGTCCTAGGTCTTCACTAGCGTGCGTGGGTGGGTTTTTGGGCGACGCCAGCATGCACGAATCGTCGTGTCCTATTTCCCCCCTGGAAAGGCGTCCGGAACCAGGGACTGGGCCTGTTACCGCCGCCCCCGATGGTGGGAGTGGGACATTACCACTTTACACTCAAAGTACCGGCGGTTACACATTCAACGCTAAGCACCACCATGACTCCATGAGTCTATAAAGTAGTATAACTACTTTGTGAATCCCTCCACACTAGTACTAGTACATAGTACCTAAGTTTCGGTCTTCCGCAAGTAGGTAGGTAGGTCGTCTTCAATCATATGGACCTATGTATTCGACTCTCTTCCTCTCTTCCCCCTCCCTTTTTTTTCACCGGGGCCGTTCGCCCAAGGGGCTTATCATCGGAGATCTCTCATGCGTCACATACACAAATACCTCCATAGTAAAATGTCCGTTCCTGCAGACACCACTTACATTCTTGACCCGCCTCCAGCCTTCATCCAGTTGGCGATGCCAATCCAATTACGGTGTGGAGTGTGATATCAAGCCTGCTGAAAATCTCTTGGGTAAGAGTGGCTACCATTTTTGATGGCCTCCTCCGCAGGCGGTCGGGATCCATAATAGAAGGCAGGGCGTGCGGAAAGTAGACGATCAAGATATTTATACTACACCCGACTTCAGTGTGACTACTACTAGCTAGGTAGTAGGTAGATACGTAGATAGTAGTACCTCCCTGGCACTTTATCGGTTAGTGACTAATCGGAATTTAACACCAATACCTTCAGTATCTCTTTAGCGATGTATCTACTAGGTATGGCACCCCCTAATCTGCAAACCATGCCACCGCGGTTACCTGGAAGTAGATATCTACTCCGTATGTATGCATTCAATATGAACGACCCCATTCCGGTACATTTTGAGAAGTAACCCACTCAGATTATTATTATCCAGAGCCTATATATAGTACGGGTCATCATCATCATCCTCCTCCTCCTCCGTCTAATTCTCTATACAAGCTTGTAACAACGAGCCACCACTCCACTGAGAATGACAATGGCTGCGATGACCCCGAGAATACCAAAAAACCAGCCCAGCCCTTCAGCATTCTGCCCAGGCACATTAACGTTCATCCCAAACAAACCGCAGATCAGGTTCATGGGGACCAACATGGTGGCAATGAGCGTCACCTTGCTCAGAACCTTATTGACATGATTCCCCAGCATCAGATTGGTCACGTTCAGTTGTGCCAGATAGTTGGTGTGCGAGCGACTGAGCATCTTCTCAAAATGGGCGAGGTTGGACATCATAGTCACAACGTGATCCTGGATGTCGCCCAGGTAAAGGCCAATGTCGCCGCGCGGCGTCACCGAGTACTGCTCGTTGCAGCGCTTCGAAAAGCCTCGGATGACGTCCGCCTTGCCTCCCAGGAGGCGCATCAAGCTCATGACCTTCTTGCGCAGCCCACCGATGCGCGGCAAAAAGGACTCGAAATCATCCATACGCGCGATGAAAACGAGGTCCTCGATGGCTTCGGACTCAACCTCAATCTCCCGAATGACAGGCCCAAAACTATCCACAATATCGTCACTGTATGAAAGACGTTAGAACCCTTCGTCCCCAGCAACGACGCTCGACTCCCATCAGACTTACATCATGGCATAGCATATCCAATCACTACTCAGCGACACATAATCACGGAGCTTTCCAATTCTCCTTCGCACATTAGCAGCGTGGGGGTTCTCAGTGAAGGAGAACGATAACACCCCGTCACGGAAAACAACCATATAGAAATTGACGGGCTCCATGAATTCCTCACTTGTCTTGTCCATCTGGTAGAAGGTCCGGAAACAGACAAAGTAATACTGTTTAAACAGCTCGACTTTCTCGCGCGCTTCTTGAGTCAAGATATCCTCCGTTGTCAAGGGGTGGATGGAGAAAGCTCTGGATAGAGCGCCCACCTCGTCCTCGGTAGGATTCAGGACATCGAGCCACCAGACACCCCCATCCGGGCCCAGCTGGAAAAGATCCCGGAAAGTGTCTCCCGGTAAAACTAGGTCGCCCAACTCTGCAGCATGCACAGTGCTTTGTGACTCGGACGAAAAGAAGCCAAACCGGGTAGGCTCATTCTCGTTCTTCAGGGTCGCCAGCAGTTCCTTCTCGTTCACAACATCGGTGAATTCTTTACCGTTCTTCTCCGAGGGCACGTCCAAGATATCATCCGAAGAACGATCAATGCTTGACAAACGTTTTACCCCATCATTTTCAGAATTCTGAACACCCGGGCGAAGGTCATAAAAGACCCGGGGCTTAGTGCTTTGCGAGCTCAGGCTGTGTCTGCGTCGGTTTGCCGTGGGCTTTGCCCTTTGACTGAGAGCAACAAACTCCTCCAACTCCTCGTAGTCAATCACTGGAATCCTGCCGGGTTGCTCGAAAGTCGGCAGGCAGCCATCATCGGTGGGCTCTAATGTTATGTCCCCCGGCTGCGGCCTGATCACACTTGCATTGCTGAATGTCGGGCGACGAGGATGCGTACCTCCAGATACTGTGCGCTGGAGAATAGCCTCTAGATCTGGGGCAGCGTGGCTTTCTAGAGTATTCGCACGTTCCCGGCGACGCGGGTCTGCGAATGCCTCAACTGAATTAGGCGGAGAAGTTGATCTGGCAGACACAGACGACTCGCGCGACAAGTTTGCAAGCTCCTGATGCGTGCGGCTATAGGTACGACCATGGCGGATGTTTCCAGTGGGGTCAACGGAAAAGCGACGTCCCATGGCATTGAAATCCTGGTCTGATCGGTCGTCGTCGACTACAGCTGTTTCGAAGTCACGCGAAAGAGAGCCGGCTTCCCGAAGTGCATCCTCAATGTTGAGCAACTCTTGACGTTGGGGAGTCTCTAGATTGAGACCCTGCGGGGCGGTGTTTTGCCGACTCAGCGGCACATCAGGAGTGGCTTCAAAGCGTGGCGGATCCAGTTGGAATCGATGGTCATCCAGTTCAGGGACTGGGGTGCTGTACCTAGTCAAGCACATGTACTTCTCGGACTTCGGTGACTCGGACATGGTGGCTAGATCGATACTTTTCTTCACGCCGGTATGTATGATAGAGTGATCAGACGGGGCTGCTGGCAATGAACCAGTATTGTTGGCTTTATTTTTTTTTTATTAATTTAGCTGCGTTGAAGAGCGCGACGTCGGGAGTCGTAGACAGGATGAGGAAGGTCCCAGGGCGATTGCTCCTCCATCCATTAGCCAGACCCCTCGCAAGGGCCTGGCATTACCGATGCGCGTCCGTGTGCCAGCTTCGAGTCTGCTGGGAGTAGTCCTATTAGGGGGGTCTGGTGTCGCCCCCGCAGAAGACCCTGAACTTGGGGCCCAGAAGAGGGTGGAGGAGAGAGGACTGGTTATAGCGAAGGCCCGCCAACTTGACTGAGTAGATTGAAAGGAGCGCCGTCGCTCCGAGAGGGTGAGGGAAAGCGCGTTGAGGGAGAGAACTCTTGCACGGAGTCCTCACGGTTCACCGCAGGATTCGACCAGCTATGCTGATGCCCAACTTCGTTTCAGCGAAATTGATAAGAGCTGATAGACAGCAACACAGGGAAGACCAATCAAGCCACAACAGATCGAGGACAGAACTCAGGCTGATTCAAGCGAAGTGATGTTCGTCGAAAAGCGCGCTTAATGCGTTTGGATGTAAGTAGCGAGAATTGTCAGCACTCTCAAAGGACGAGGGTGGGAGGCGGTTGGAAGGGGGGGGCAAGTGGAATTGGGAGGGTTTCGTGTATGATGTAGTCCGCACTACACTCGGAAAAAGGACCCCGTGGTCAAAGACGATGCGTCAAACGAACCACGAGGACGGGAAGAACACCGGCGAACAAAAGGGGGGCCGAGAAACCTCGGAAAAGAAAGAGGCAGGATGCACGATGCAGAAGGCAGTGGGAATAGGCCAAAAAGTCACCTAGAGAGGTGATGTGAGAGAGTTGTCTCAGCGGACAGGAGAGACTAGAGAGCCGAGAAGCCAGGCCAGAGAGTGGATGAAAAGACTTACCTTATATAAAATACGAGGGGCGGGCAGAAATTTCCGCATCAAGGCCGCGAAACGGGCTGAGGAGTCTGAAATTTTTAGTAGGGACGCCGCGTCGGCAAACGCCCCGAGGCGGGTTTAGTCCAGTCACTGTCCAATCACACCGGTGCCTTTTAGTCTTTTCAACTGCGGAAGTCCAACGTCCAGGTTTCCGAGTCCGTGGATAGATATCCCTTGGTCTTATTGCAACTTCCACTGACAGTCTGATACAGAGCTTAGGAAGTACTCTGTACAGAGGACTAGATTCCGAAGGTCGCTGTATGTTGAATGCTCACTGTACCTACCCGGGTGGTGATGTGGGCTTGCTTTGTACGGGCAGCAAGCCCGGAGTGAGCCGGGCACCTGTCACCCCCTCCGTGAATGAATTATTTATATCCCGGCCATCTGCACGTTCCAGATCCAATGGTTGCCGTGGAGTGTGGACAGGTCTTATCCGTAGGTATGATCTACCCACCACATCTCATGTCTCATTTCTTGCCTTGCTAGACAGTCTCCAAGATTCCCAGCCCATTCAGACTGTCTGGTGAATAGTAATAATAATAATAATAATATCTAGGCAACAGTCCAAGCGTCCACATCACAAAATTAAAATTAGTTATAGGGGTACTAGTACATGGAAAGTCCCTGGCTCACGTTCGTAATATCATGTAATATTACCCTGCCACTTGGAAGGGCCTCGCAATTCTTTATGATACCCAATTGAAGCACGTTTGATCATAGAGCAGTTTGACCCGGATATGCTTATCCCACAGGAGTGTCAAAAAGAATCCATGACTTAACAACTACTACGTATCGTCTACCAGGAAAGTCGCAGAGGTGGTTCTGTCTTGCTCGGAACCAGATCATAGTACTTTGACCCCACAGGACATGGAGAAAGGAGCTATGATTTGTCAGGTATGTCATGTTGGTTTCAAACTTTTCTATAAGTTTTCTCCTTTTACTTGTTTGATCTATCTGCGCACGTGCGCTTTTTCATCATTCAATCACCACAAGATAAGTATGATTATTCCTTTGTCCTGGCTGGAATAATGAGCTTGTCGAGTCACACCGTCGTGTTGGGCAGGTGGGTGGGAGCGGGGCCCGGAGCGAGTGTTTGCGGCTAAACAGGTCGAGACTCAAGGAGTTTGCTGTGATTTGTGACTCGTTACTGATCAGGGAGACCGATAGATGACAAAGGAATAGTCTACTGTATCTACTGGGTAACTATCAAGTAATAAGAATTTTGATAGGAGAATTTGAAACATAATCTTCGAACTTGGCTTTGTGGTGGCCCCTCACTTTCCCGCTTTGCTTCCCCTCCCCGACGTCGGCCTTTTTTTTTTTTTCCCTGGGTGCCAAGAAAAGAAAAGAGTCACAACCGTGTCGGAGCAGCATCATAATCTAACCCAATCGTAGTGACTCAAAACAACTACTACACCTGCGACAGGCCAGGTGTCTTTCCATACATACTCAAGAAGTCACCGGGGCTCGATCGTGCATCAATACGCCTGCTCTTTCTCGAATCCTTCGTCCTTGTTCTTCCACAATGGCTGCGACTTCCTTCGTCATCCGGACTCCCTGTTCTTCCGCCAACATCGGACCTGGTTTCGATGTGATCGGTCTGGCATTGTCACTGTACATGGAGCTCCATGTCACAGTTGATACCTCAAAATCATCCCAAGAGCCACTCAACTGTCTCATTACTTATGACGACCAGAGCAACAGTACCGAGAAGATCAGCTTGGACCCGGAGGTGAACCTGATAACCCGCGTAGCACTATACGTACTTAGATGCCATAACCAGAGGGCATTCCCTGCTGAGACCCGTGTGCATATCGTAAACCCGATCCCTCTGAGTCGGGGTCTCGGTTCGTCGGGCACTGCTGTTGTGGCTGGTGTAATGCTGGGAAATGAGGTAGGTAAGCTTGGTCTCAGCAAGGATCGGCTCTTGGATTATTGCTTGATGATCGGTAAGTCTCTCGTTCACCCTTCTGGTAGTGGATTCAAACCTGCGGCATGCGATCGATCATGCCTGACACCACCTCGTTTGCTAGCCATTGCTCACTCGTCCCACAGAACGACACCCCGACAATGTCGCTGCCACTCTCTTCGGAGGCTTCGTTGGCACCTACCTTAACGAGCTGGCGCCCGAAGACGTAGCGCGCAAGGAGATCCCTCTCAGTGAAGTCCTTCCCGCTCCGGCCGGTGGCATTGACACCGGAAAGAGGCCCCCCGAGCCCCCTCTCGGAATCGGCCATTACAGAAAGTTTCAATGGGCCAAAGAGATCAAGGCAATTGCTATCATCCCCGACTTTGTGGTGCCAACTGCCAATGCCCGAAATGTTTTGCCTGCTTCCTATTCGAGAGCGGACGTTGTAAGCTTGCCCCCGCTGTCATTATACTCCGAAGAGGTGCACCAGCTAATCTTGCTATTAATGTCAGGTCTTCAACCTCCAACGCGCTGCCTTGCTCCCTGCAGCTTTGGGCAGCTCTCCGCCGGATCCAGATACCATCTACCTGGCCATGCAAGATAAGGTCCACCAACCATACAGACAGACTCTTATCCCCGGCTTAACGGAGATTCTTCAATCAATGAACCCACGTACGCAACCGGGTCTCCTCGGAATCTGCCTGTCAGGTGCGGGGCCAACCATCCTGGCCCTGGCGACAGATAGATTCGAGGAGATTGCAGAGCGCATCATCTCTCGGTTTGCTTCCAATGACATCGCCTGTCAGTGGAAGCTGCTCGAGCCCGCTCAGGAGGGTACCACCGTGCAATATTAAGAATCATATTCCGGCTGCAATAAGATGAAATTTCCTCGATTAAGTACAGGAATAAAGTGATGGGGATGAAGATGACCGCTATTTTTGATGAACATGGTTCCATGGAGAAATGCTTGGGAGTCCTTTTCTATATTTGGTAAATATAATAGATGTGCCTCCCAGTAATCGCTCATGCTCATATATCCCTGTATTTTTCTTTTCCCGTCAGCCTCTAGCATGTCAATCTTAGAAAGTCGGATCAACAGACAGGTCCTAGCAAACCCTAAGACACTGTATACACATCAGCAGATTAAAGAAGCGTAGACATCTGGTAGAGCGACAACTGTTGTTGAAGTATCGATATGCGAAATGAGCTATTGAGTCACGTACTCATTAGCTTTGATTTCACCAATAAGACAGAGATGAGACTCCGCTGAAATAGTGTGTTAATGACGATAGCAAAATACGTATTGTCGATAGACCTCAATACGCAGCACTCCGTACGCAGGGTAACAGTACCCGTAATCATCCAGATAAGCTGAGGCGGTGGACATGCGACCACCTCAAGCTAACCTCATCGCCGGGACGCCCCTTCGAACAGCGACCGTCCAGATCATAGTCGAAATAACACTGCACAAAGAACATAGCTTCAAGATGGACAGTCTTCTGGCGCCGATTCAAGAAGCCCTGGAAGGCCAAATCGTAAGTTGTCTTTTCTCATCTGAGCAGCCTTGTTGCTGCTGGGTTACCATTACAGCCACCTATGCCGTTTACATGTATCCGATGGTAACTTGGACACTGTTTCTCTGAATAGGATTTCCAGGGCCAGCGCATTGCAGAACTCCTTTCCACCATCCTACTGGTTATCTCGGGTGTAAGTATCCTGCGCTTTTACTATGACCATGCCTTCTGGTCCACTTGCTTACGTTCATCGTTTCTAAAGGCCCTGGCGTTCATTGTTGGATACATCTTTCAAGACATTCATCTAACACTCTGGGTCGGATTGGCAGGCACATTGGTGACTGGGTTGGCTGTCATTCCGCCTTGGCCTATGTACAATAAGAATCCCGAGAAATGGCTGGTTCCCTTGACGGCGGGCGTGGGAGGTGCAGGGGTTTTGGTAGACGGAGTTAGGGTTGCGTGAGGCAAAGCTTTGGGCTTTGGGAGTGTTAATTTGATCTCTTGAAATCGATCACAACTTGTCCGCTTGCATATACACAACCCAAACCTGTATGGATCTTTTAAAGCCGCTGCCGAGAACTGCAAAACGAACCACAAACGCCATAAAGAGCCCTCCCTTCGGTTCTACCCAGCCGGGATACTATAAGACAGAAAGGTGACCCGCCCATAATCGAACCCTGCAATCTTGGACACATGTTTACCGGCCGTACTTCTGGAATTCCCAATCTCTGTTGTCGAGTGGGCAAACTTGACGGGTCTTCAGCCACCGCGAAATGCAGTGAAAGTGGAAGGCGTGCTAGTGGCAGAAGGGAGCGCTTCAGTGTCAGACGCAGAGTGAGTGATCGGAGAGGTAAACTTACGTTGCAGATTCCCCAGGCAACAGTACACTCTTCAGTTGTAGACGAGCCTTGGTTAGCTTGGCATTCGATACCTGTCGAAATTTTACATTAGGTCCTGTATTGCATAAAGGGAAGGGGACACAGGGCATACATAGATCCATGATGTGGTTGCGGCAGATTGCACAGTTGTCGACGACAATATCCCATGCCCACAGCGCGACCGCATTCCACTAGGGTAGCCATTCGATTAGCTTCCGTGGAGCTCGAAATGGTAGCACATGCTCATTGCTGGTATACCTTCTTGACCTCGAACTTCTTCTTGCCGTCGCTGGCACCTTCGGAAGCTTTCGACGAGCCCTTGACCTTGGAGGCTCCGGAGCTGGCTTCCTTCATTTCCACATCCGCCATTCTGCTGAGTTAGCGCGCCTTTTCCCTAAATGGCGCTTATCTGGCAAAGCAAATGGGTCACAATGCGGGATGATCACGGTCTGGGAAGGGTTCGAAGGAGGGGCAGGCAGTTAGATTGATTACGTAGGTTGGCCGAATAGGTGGTACCTGGCCTAGGTATTATTAGGAAGTTAGCTGATAGATAACCCGGGCGGTGCGGTGTACGGCCACCGGGAAATCCTGGCGATAAACCGACGGAAGAGGGGCCTGCTTACCCTATTTGGGTAGGATCTATTAACGTAGGGAATCTCTAGAGTCTACTCCGTAGGAACAGACGCTCTCAAAGAACCCAGGAGAAAAGAAGGGATCCTTGGTGTCCTTGTCAAGCTGGGTACCTTGTTGAGGGACAGACTCAACCTTTGTCCTGTTTGCAACCGCCTGCCCGACCGATAGGGAGAACAAGACCCAGCAAGGCTGCAGTGGCGCGACCAGGCTACAAGGCGACCGGCTGATTTGTGAGTCCCAGGCGGCTGAGTCATCACCGATGATCCCCGCTTGGGTGCCCCAGCCTTCTTCTTGGGTTTCGCCCGCCCTTCCAAGATCCAGTCATTCCGCTCACTTCACCCCCCCGACCACGAACGAACCCTACAATGCCCCTCCGTTTTCCCCTCTTTGTTGCCTTTATTCGCCTATCTAGACCTGAGCATGCCTAGGAGTCCTGGCTTACTTCTTTCTCTGCGCTTCCTTCGACTCTAATAATAGACGACGAATTTCCCCCCGAAGTTACCCATCTGACGTCTTTTGATTAAAGACCAACTCGTCGGGCCACACTCAAGCGCCCAGCACATAGCGACTATCATCTTGCCTCCTGATAATATATCCGGTGTTGATTCATCGAGTACGGGCTGCTGGGCAGTGCTTTGTACTACGGCCGACCTGTCGACATCTTTCACATCACTCCTATTCTTATTGTTTTTTTTTTGGCATCGTCGCCAATCATTTTCTGTTTCACTTCAAAGGCTGCCTATTTATTAAGCCTACCTATCCTCAATGTCGACTCCATCTCCCACCCCTCCAACGCCAAAGGGCCCCCGGAATAATCGGCGCAACCCAAAGAAGAACATGACCCCCGCTGCCCAGAAAGTCGCTATATTAGCAACCCCTCCATCGTCGCCGCCGAGGAACTTGAGTCCTGGAGGAACCGCCACCGATTCCTCAATCAATGTCAATGCATCCAAGAAGAAGCATGGCCGGTCCGGCAAAAAGACGCGCGAGGCGCCGAAAGCATCCCCGGCATCCAAGGGGCATCGCCACACCTCATCTCAACCTAATAACATCATTGCCACCCCTCAAGTGAAGGACAGCCCTCATTACGCAGGCCCGACCTTTCACGCGTCCCCAGCTCCGTCGGCACTACCAATCCCCAGTTTCTTCTCCAAATCTCTCCCAGAGTCGGATCTCGCGCCAGCTTTGGAATCCGATGGTGACAATCTCGATATTGGGCCGGATCTCGATAATACTCCCTCTAAACCGAAGCCACGCCCCCAAGTCCAGGAGGAGGAGCGTCAATCCACCCCATTAGATTTTCTCTTCAAAGCTGCAGTTGAGGCCAGAAACTCACAGCAGCAACAAAGCCCCGAAGCAAGCATTCGAATCCGGTCGCCGCAGACCGATTCCAAGACCCTTCAGCACCGTAAACCCAATGGCACTGCTAGTGGGCTATTCCGGCTGGAGATGGAAAGCCCGGAGTTCCAAAACTCGCAGATAGGGCCGTCATTTGCGACTTCTTATAAGGACCGTATGAACGCGCTACGATCGGCCAGTTCATCTTCCTCTTCTGTGTGCGAGCTAGATGAGCAGCAGAAAAGAGAGAAAACCGAAGCTTTGAAATCTTTGCTGCTCAACCCTCGTCCCCAAAGGCCATCTTCTGCATCTTTGGTGGTTCCAGGCCAAGGCGATGGGGCGATGGGGCGACCGACTCCGGATCCCAATGTACCTCACTTTGCAACCCCTGTGAGGACGACCTCGGGTCCGCCGGCCCCTCTTTCGCATGGCATGTCGTATGATCAGAAACAGACATTTGTTGGGAACGGCCGACATTTTTCATCATCGTATACACACTCGAATGCACACCAGCAATTCTATTCTCAGAATTCTCCCTTGAGGAAAGAAGTTTTTACATCGAAAGCTGAAAACTTCCCTGCCGTTTACGGGGAAACCTTCTATCCTCCAACTGCTTATGAGCAGCCTAAGTCTCCACCTAAGTATGCGCAATACCCTATGTATTATCCTCCCCCGCACCATCAATCTCCCGTTTCAAGGAGCGTGTCGATGAGCACCAACGCGCCGGCCTATGACACGAAAAAGATGGAAGATGATCTACGGAGGATTTTGAAACTCGACGTGAGCCCCGCAATGCCATCAAGCGGCATGCAAAGCTCTTTCGCTTAAGGCATTTCTTATTCACGCTCCAAAGCTCTTTTTTATTCTATTCTCACTCCACACGTTCGTTTTATTATATCAATATATTACAGGGGTACAGTCTGGACGAACAATGCTTGAGCGCACATCGGACCCTGCGAATCAATGCTTCGCATGGCTCTCATCTTTATTGGACTGTTCCAATTCTCACATCAATTCCTAATCATTTGCCCTCTATGCCCTATGTTATGTTTGCTGGTGACGAACTGTTTCTTGGTCTTATCCTGGTGTTCTCCGTGGTTCCGTGTTGGTGGCGGCTGTCCTGATGATTGAAGGAGATTATCTATCCCCTTAAGTTGTCTTTGTACCCCTATTTGCATTGAACCCGGAGTCCGGTTACCTTTCGTGTACCCATTTCGGGACTGTTGGTTTGGCGAAGTTCCTTGATAACTACGAATATCCGTGGTACCGCTCGTTGATGTCTTTAGTGTCTATTCTTTCTGTTGTCCCGCTTGATGCTTATCATTTTTTCATCTTTTATTTGCCCTGTCGTTCACGCGCCCCTTTGACCATCCATTTAGTCCCAGGTCCATAACTGCTTTACACCTTTTTGTTGGCCTGCTTTCTGTGCCAGATGAGATTTGTTAAGGCAGGCCAGTCCGGGACTGATTACTCCCGGCATGTGTCATGAAGGCCTTTGACGTTTCCATTCCTATGCGACATGTATCTATCTACGCTCATTTCGAAGCCTCTCGCTCTTTGCCAGGCACTGTCTATTAAGTTTGACAGGCCCCCCTGGAAAGGTCATCCGATTCATTGGTTTCCCGGCTGTCTGCTATCCTTCTCCTTCTCTGTATCTACTACTTCCGACGCTATATATGGTAGGAGGATATTGTGATTATTTCCAGCCATCATATATTTGCCGGGCATTCTGTCTGTCTTTGACGGGGTATTCGAGGGATAGCACTTGATTCTGGGGTGAGTTTACACTTCTACATACGCAGGGGCATGATAAACCCAGCCAGCCCCTACGTAAAAACTACTAGTGGTATATATGCGTACACCGTACGGAGGAATCCTGTAGGGAGTCCCGAACGGAGTCCAGAACCCGGATGGGAGCCGGGCGGCAAGACCAACCCCAACGGCGAATGGGGAGTTCCCGAAAGTGCCCACTTTGGTCCGGCCCCACCCTGTACTGCAAATTACGAATTACGCGGCTAAGAAGGCCCCCAAGAGGGGAGGGCCATAAACCACTGCAGTTATTCTTCCGCCTCTCTCAAATGGTGAGGAGCATCCTGTGATAGCGGCCAGGAGCCAGGAGCCAGGAGATGAGGGATTGACGAGGTTCCATGGTTATCGACTTCTTGGATGTCGATGTATATCACCTGAACCCTGAATCCACCGCTCATCCAATCGGAAAGTCCTACTGAATACATATTGAATATCTCACCAGTAGGACCAGAGTAGCAGGACTCCTGACTAGGACTAGATCTTGTGAGCGATCCACCGGTTAGTTGCTCTAGTCTGTACCCAAATAACGGTCTATCTACTAGGTATGTAGGTCTCAAGTGAATTGGACAAAAATAGCCCGCCATCGGATAATGTCTCGTGCTAACGTGGAAGGAAGGGGAGGGGGCGGGGTCCCTGGAAGGAATTTATAGCGTTGACCCCCGTGAGATGAAAAGGGTATCACTCGAGGTTCTTTACTCTCAGCGGATCATCCTCGTAGATAAGGAAGGTGACGGGAGGAGGTATGTTGGAAATATCAATATTGGTACTTCGTATAGTGATGAGGATCCAGCCTAGCGGATCGAGACAGAAAGCTTGAGTAAGGCAATAGCAAGAAGGGGGGGAAATACCGGATTTACTACAGGTCATAAAGAGCATACTTATTACCTACGCAACACTTATCATACCCAGGTACCCTGTACATCTGGGCTATAGAGTACATGAGTAGTAGTACATAACAGCTGACGTGGCTGGAGGGTGGATAGAGGTGGCGGCGCCAAGGGAAGCTCCGCTTTGGCGAGACCGATTCGAGGCACCCGACAGAAAAACCCACGGCCAGTCCAGACCCGCTCCAGCAAGAATGAGCCCAGACTACTACAGAGTACCACCACCCAGACAACCGACTGGAATTTCCAGCCCCGGGCTGATCGGACTCGGAGATTCACGTCCCCCAGGGCAAATGCGGTTTATGTTCATGGGGTAGCCCCGATCCCACTCCCATCCTCTGGACCTGCTTCTCTCCCTCGCGATTCCGTTGGCCTCTGCCGTGAGAGGACGCTGTTCTTTGCCAGCAACAGACCGTTGGTGGACGTCAACTCAATCGATGACCGGTGCTCCGAATTGATATTCGACCCCGCGCTCCTACTACTAGCCTGGATGTTCGTTCGACTCGTACCGCCACACCTACAGTGTCGCCTGGGTGTGACGGTCCGCGCGGCACTTTACTGCGCAATCGGCCTGGCCATTTGCGTTGGCTCGGTTACTGCTGCTGGTGACGACTTCGATTCTACGTCCCTAGCCTCCAAAAATCATGGTCGCTTCATCTTCGGTGATGCTAGTCCGCAATTTTCCTTCCCACTCGCGTCATATAACGGCCTGGATTTCGAAGACGCTGTAGATGAGAACGGGGATGCGCGCGGACTCGACCTGGTTCGTCGGGCTCCTGCTGGTGTAACTTCCCTCGGCAATAATCAGTATAAGCAGAGTACAATCAAAATGGGCGAGACCGAGTGGTGGTATTTCCCGGTGAATGGCGATGAGGCCAATAGCACCGCTGAGAACCAGAGCCGTGACCTTTCGAAGCGTTCCATAACCGTTTACCTATCCCTAACGGCCTGCTCGAAGCCCAGCCTCAACAGAACGGATTCAACCACCACAGCTGCCGTACCGCAGCTGACCGTCTATGCATCCGAGTCGGTACAGAAACCCGGGCCCGACAGATCCGATTCCGACCAGACAGCACAATCGGCGGAAGAAGGCTACATGGGCATGGTTCTGTCGGTGGATGGAGATATCTACATTGGAGTAACCGCCCCCAATAGCACGGAGTACTCTGGATCTTTTACCTACCAGCTTGCAGCCTCGACCGATGCTTATTTCCACGGCGTTGACGACACCGATCAGTCCTTGTTCCTAGTCGATTCGGATACTAACGCAGCACTTTTAACGACGAAAAACCTCACCACTACCGATCTATCACCGCAGAATTACAGCTACTGGATGGATATGACGCCTTCATACACGATGTTCGCCAACAATCTCAATAGTGCCTCCATATCGGGTCTGGAACGGTCATTCTGCGCCCTCGAACAGCTTGCGCAGATCGGGGAAAGCAACATTGAGACGAGCATGGCTGTCCAGGGCTCAGCGGTCAGGCCAACAGAACAGTTCTACGTCACCGGCCTCAACAAAACCTCCACTTATTACGGGATCATGGCGCGATATGGTAATTCCACCAATGCGGGCAACGGGATCATAGGAGGTGGCGGGAAGGTCTGGCCGCGAATGAACTTCACAACCAAAACAGGTACGGGCCTCTATTCTAAGCTCCGTGTTAGCTCATACCTAATGCACAAATAGATGACAATTGCGCCGTTGTCTATGACCTGCCATTTTGCTCCGAAGTCGCCTACGCCGTGCCATCCAATCCATCCATGAACATGACGGAACTCCGAAAAATTTACGACGACAATGCAGCTTCCCTGTACCAGAACTTCAACTTCTCCCTGCAACAAGTTCAATGCAACACCTCAAGCGAGAATATTTTCTCGCTCGCCGTAAGCTGCGATGATTGTGCCAAGGCATACAAGCAGTGGCTTTGTGCCGTGACAATCCCTCGTTGCGCGGATTTCTCCAGCAACGCAACCTTCCTCCAGATCCGAAACGTAGGCCAAGCTTTCCTCAACGGCACTTCCATCACTGACTCATCCCTTCTGGACAAAACCGCAACCAACCGATCCCGCAACCACCTAATAGACAAGGAAATCCGTCCGGGACCATACAAGGAGATACTTCCCTGCTTAGACGTCTGTCACAGCCTGGTCCGAAAGTGCCCATCTGTTCTCGGCTTCGACTGTCCAGTGGGCCAATGGGCCGACGTCTCATACGGCCTACGAGATCCCAACGGTGACATCACATGCAGTTACCTCGGAGCCGCATACTACCTGAATGCCGTCTCCAGTCTGCACGAAAAAGTTAGGATACCTCTATATATGGTGATAGGGGTCTGGACATCATTCTGGGTCCTCGGCTAGGCAAATCCAGCCTGGATAATGCCTTGTTTTGGCTCATAGATAGATTGCTTGCTGTATCTGGATTGGAGATATAGATGGTTGGTTTTCATGATGACAGATCAGAAAGGCCTGGAAGGCATGACTGTTTACTCTCTGACATGCACAGGCCAGTAGAGACCCTCCCCTCCCTTTACTTTTGACCTGTTACTCGATGATACGGCATACTTAGAATCTGGTACCCAGTTATGTTATATCATATTTGTCTGCAATGTTTTAAGATGCCATGACTGTGTCGAATTCTTCTCAACATAGACCTCCAGCCAGAGAGAATGGATTGGACACATGATCTGTGATAGACCTATATTTGACAGCAACCCTGTCTCTTCACATTAAGCGCGGCAGATTATTATATAAAGATTAGCTTACTTGCCTGAGATGGTTGGTTAAATGGTTAGAGTCTAGAAAGCTGGTAAGCCAGCAAGCCGTCATGGGGTGATATGTGTACAGAACAATTGACAGGGTCCCCAATAGGTGACCTGCAGTGAAAAACATAATTATCTCATAGCCGCATTAAACCCCATCCCAACACCATTTCAAATGCCTAGTATTTAAGGTGTAATGTAAACGCTAAGGTGGAGTGCACGGAATAGAAAAGAATAGCATCAAAATGGACACCATTTTATTTGCCCCTTCTCGGAGTCGGTGTCCACATGTTCCTCAGTGATGAGGTCGCAGACGACCCAAGACGAGGGGTGCTTCCCACCTGATGAAGCAGCTTCTGTGCTGCAGGCGTCAACGCCTTGTTTGTTCTTCCCGGTGTAGCCGCACCGAGTGTGCGCAACCCAAAGTCCAGTCGTGGACTACTAGCGAACCGCGGCGTCACGGGGGTTTTGGCCTCACGGATGGATTTCTCCGCACGCCTTGACCGCGCCACGAGATCTACCATGCGATGATGGATATCTTCTCGCCTCCGGTTCTCCTTAATCTCGAAAGGATTCGGAGTCGCATCACTGCTACCAAGCAGGCGGAGATCATCCAAGGAAATTGCATGGCCATCGTCTTTAGATGAGGCAACGAGGTACTCGGGCTCGTCTTCATCGACAAAAGCGTACCCATTGACTCGGGGCGTCTCACTCCCTGTGTACCCTGGTTCGGATTCGGTTGGATGTGGACGTCCGGCAATAGCGTCTTTGATGGCCGATATCGACGGCGAGGGCGGAGGTGCAGTTGCATCAGATGACGTCTGATGAAGGACCCCGTCTGGCAGCCGTGTGTTCTGAAAAACGACTCGTTTGGGCCCTGCCCGCGACGACGCTTCTGCTTTCTGCTGGGTAGTCTCATACGAATCCTCGACGGATGAAGGCGTGAACATAAGGGAGTTCTCCGGTCGGCTCTTCCAAGTGTCGGGATTCGCAGGCCGGACGTCCAAATCCGTCTTGATGGCTACCTGTTTATGTTGATCTGCATTACCGCCCTGGGCCTCGATCCGTTTGACCTCTCGTCGCCGATGCGCAATCTGTCTTGCAGTCGGGATTTTATTTCCACTCCAGAGCCACTTATACCTCTCGCGATGCTTTTCGTTCTGTTTATCGAGAGCCTTATTAAAGGACTCATTGTCTTCGCTGGTGTATTTGGCCTGAAACTCTAGCAGTCCAAGGCGGGAAACATCCGGGGCCGAAACATGGTCATTGTTCGGGGTTGTTGACGAGGAGGCTGCAGACATGACTGACATAGGTGTATCCCCTCCCCAGCCCATGGGTGTATTCCCTGGCCGTCCAGCACCGGTACGTTGTGGTGTCATGCTGGCTGAGCCAAGGCGTGATCGGGCTCGTCCGGGCGTCCTCATGAGACCGGTCAACTTCTTCTTCGAACTCGCGATCCATTCCTTGTCTTTCGAATCCAGCGCATCCAAGTACTCCTGTTTCACTTGAGCCTCCAAAAGGCCGGGGAAATAATCCCGCGCAATGATCTCAGATAGAGAGTTGGTATAAACATCCTCGTCAAGCACGGTTGCCGCCCGTTTAATGCGCTTCGGCGGGGGTGGCGGGGGCATGAGGCTGGTGTCGCTTTGACGCTTGGTCAAAGCCTGCGATTGGGCGGACATGGCTAGGTATCGCTATGGGGGCGAGTGGCAACGCCGTAATCGAGAAGAATCAGGCGAGTTGGTAAAGGAAAAGACATGCTCGCCGGAAGGAAAGCAAGAGCCCCGACGTCAGGAAAGGAAGGCGCGCCCGTCACGGGGGATTGCTCCGGCAGAATCAGGACCGCCCGGCTCGGCGGTGACGGATTACAGTCACATGGCAATGGGAAAGAAATAACTAGCGACAGTTCGATTACCTACACTGGAATCTGATCAATGAACGGCGCCGCTCATGCTAATAGTGACAGGAATCCCCAACATTGTAATCATCACTTTTCCTTTTCACTGCTTGCCCAAGTGCAACCCTCGTATCGAACAACCCTTTCCTGCTCTATCTATATACTGAGACAGACCCAAATCGGCAGTGGATGCCGAACAAAAGAGCCACTGCAACCAGCAGCCGCCCGAACCAAGACCAAGACCAACAAAAAGAAAACCCGAACGAATGTCGTCCGACTGAAACCCCATTCACTGCCCTTTTCCAATCCTCCATACCTGAAAAACACCAAAGATTTTTTCTTCCAGAGGAAAAAGTCGCTGAGAAATGCACCAGAAAATGCGTGTGGAGAAACCCGAGGTAAAGAGCAAATGACAAGAAAACATAAGCGCATAGCCCACAAGACTCGACTGAAGGACTGTTCAAGGAGATGATATTCATTGCAGAGAAATCGAAACGCAAAAACAAAACAAGGCTACCGCGATAGGAAAGGATCATCAAGTCGTTGAAGAAGTTCTATAAGTGAACGGATGAGGAATGGAATGAAGCAGAATGCGGAGCATAAGGGGTCTGTATGAGTTCCTTTTGAGTGGTGCATGTTGTCTTCGGGTTCATAGCAACTCAATTGGCTGCAGTAGTAGGGAAGAGGGAGTAAGATGCCCGGCCTTTCCTCCGAGGCGCGGCCCGGGAGACCTTGTCATTCTTGATGGCCCTGGCGATCAACGGACCCGCCTCCATTTCAGTCGTGGACCTGGCCCGATCGTGGATGGAAGGGGCCATGGTCGCCGCATACCCGGCAGGCTCGGGACTTCCGTCGTTGTCAGCTCGGAACAAAATTTGGGCTTCAAGTTCGCGTGCCAAACTCTTCGTCTGTCGATGGTGGGAGGATTCGGGGCGTCCCATCCCAGAGAGTTCGCCGGAGAGCCTTTGCTCCGATGGCTGGAACTCGCGGCTGCTTGCTAGACTGTGTACCAGGTCGGGGACGCTGGCAGTCGAAACGGAAGACCGATGTTTGCGGACGACAGACGCTGCGCGGGACAAGATCAAACTTTCCTGTGAGTTACATTTGCTGATGGGCGAAAAGCTGCTCCGGGGAGACACCGATTGCTCCATAGGCTGGATCACACCTGGCTGTGAGTAGAAGGCGAAGTGTCGTTCTGACTCTGTGTCCGCCGTCAAGTATTCCTCGTACAGCGAATCGGGATTGATGTGTTTACCCAAGGCGGGCGCGAACCTCACCGGCTGGAAGTAATCGCTGTCCCTCTGTGTGACAGCTATGCGAGCGTCATCGTCCAGGGTGGAAGTCACTACTACGCGTGAGTTGGTTACAGCGGACAAGGCCGAGGCGCTCAGATGCATCGACCCAAGCAACGCATTGCTCCCATCTGGCCCGGTCACAGTAACTTCCGCTTCCTCCTGCCGAGTTTCGTCAAGCGAATTGCGAGTCCAGTCAAAGTTGCAGTTCGACTCGGCAGCATGCTCATAGCAGTAGTCAATGTCGGCATCCCAAGACTCATAGATGGTTTCATGGATGGCCTTCAGGTTGACGGAGGATCGTCTTCGGACTGGCTCTTGAACCGTGGGCGCTTGCGGTGGTGCAATCGTGGCCAGACGATGCTGTGGAAGGGTGGGTGACCCGAGTGCCTCGGCGAACTTTCTTGACAAGTCTTCGGCCACAGAAATGGACAAATCAGACCTAGACCCTGTCATGGAAGCAATGGAAGGGGATTGCGCCACAGCTAAAGGTGAAGGGAATGCCCGAGCAGGCGCACGAGGGGAGACTTCGTCGTCATGCCAGGAAGTGGGCTCATCTTCTTCTGGCACATCTTCCAAGTCCGACGATAAGGTTGGTAAGGACATTGACGAGGCGCGGGCATCCAACGCTTCATTGCTGATGGTGGTCGTAAACACATGACCCGAAGGAGGATGGAATATGTCTTCTATGTGGCTCTGAGGCCAGGATGTGCCAGGTTCTACATCGTCTGTATGCGAGTACACATGCTCGGGGTAGGTTGGCTGAGTCGACAGGCCCAGGATTTCGTCAATGGCGCGAGCTGGTTCGGGCAGGTCTGGAGAGGATGCCAATTTTGGGGACGAGGCCCTTGGCGGCGGTGGCGGGGTAGTCGATCCCAATTTGGGAAACCTTGGAACGGGTCGCGAAAAATTTTCGACGCGCGATTCTCTTGGTGCTCTGAGCTGCTTTGGACTCACTGTGGAGGATCCGCTTGGCGATGCTGGGGGGCTTGTTGGCGGAGGGGCTACAACTTCATCACAGCCAATGGCCGTCCCGCACTGGGTGAGATCTTCCGTTGAGAAGCCACGGAAATGCAAATCCTCAGCCTGAATGCCTTTTAGGTTGGTGACAGGTCTCTGGGAGGCACGGATGGCAGAGAACTCAGTGACTAGGTCTGTTTCCCGGGCCCTCTCCAATGATTGGAACTGAGACGGACTCGTATGAGTCAGATGGTGAAAGTCAAAAGGATCCGAGATGAGACTCTTCAGTTGGTCGTCTGTGGAGAGTTCGTGGTATGAGCATTGGATATAAGCTGATTGGTGTCTACAGCGCAGTTCGCATATAGCAGGGGAGACTTACGCGCATCACTCTGGCGTGACTTGCTGTTGCGGCTGAATATCTCCGAGACTTCGAAGCGAGGTTTCTCACGCTCCATTTCATCCTCCTCGTCCAGCGTGGAGACAATGTGGAACTTACTCCCCTGACGACGAAGGATGCGGCTTCCCCGCGAGAGGAGCGACTTTGTTACGCTCTCGGGCCGTTCATGGCGGACACCGGCCGCAGAGCCTGTGCGGTCGTCATGTGAGGGCAGCGATGCTGCATCCACAGAGGTCATGGAAGAAGCAGGAGAACGGCGGGAGGAGGTGGTAGAGTTGGTGGTGTTGCTGCGAGAACGGCCACTGAAAACGGACAGCCGCTTAGGGCTGTGCGCATGGGCAGTCGACCGGGAGCGTGTGTGAACCAAATGTTGTTCGGGGGAATCATTATTCGGCGCTCTAGCATAAGAACGGTCCAGATCCTGCTGTGACATGGTGTGGATGGATACCGGTGGGTGGGAAGTGTGCAGGGGGGGAGGGGGGGAGGGGAGGAGTATATATCAGTCCAAGCGGCGATGGCAGATTTGGGGGCCAAATAAGCAGGCAAAGCAAATGAGCGACCGTTAAGCCTCCAATTGTGATGGGACGGTCCTATCCTTGATCATGGTAGGAAGGAGATCTGGCGCGCAAGAGGCCCGGGGATTCAAATGAGTCGGAGAGCCGACGAAATGAGGCAGGCGGGTTGGTTTTGAAGGTCGAGGTCGAGAGCACAAGCCCCGTGTCGAGCAACGGAAAGTTTGTCGAGTGTTTTAGATTGACGGTTGAAACGGCTGCGAGAGACAAAATTGACCACGAGAGACAAGATGAATATTCAGAAGGAATGAGGCGAAGGTAGGAACACAAGGAAAGCCAAATGATGGATCAATTGCAAAGAGAGGGGAGACGAGAGCAAGGTGGAGAGAGGGAGAGAAAGAGAGGGTGAAGATACGGAGGCAGCTGTGGGAAAGGATGAAGTAAAGAGCCGTAAAGTAATATAGTAAATAGTAATAGTAATAACGGGGGTAGTGGTTTACTACTACTTAGTAGTAGCCGCAGTACCAATGAAAGGAATGGGTCGGGGCTGGGTAAGAATAGCACGCGGAATTGATTAAATTCTGGGGAAACGAGGGAAACTCTTGGGAATCGCCAGAACGATCACGATCAGGGCTAAAAGAAGAACTACTGCTAGATCAAACCGAGGCGACGCGGGAAAGGTGGGAAGAAATGGGACGGCACAGCGTCCAAAATAAAATAAAAAAAAAGGAAGCGAGAGAGAGCTGGAGAAATTGATGGTGGAGGGAAAGGAGCGAGAAAAGACGATCATCAAATACTGATGCCAATCCCAGCCCATAGTACGGTACACGGGACGGCAAGGATTGCTCCGTACTGGGAATTACCAATTACCAGGTACGTGAACCCAGTAACTCACTGAAAAGTAAAACCAACGATTGGTGTCCCGCCCACGTTCGCCGTTGAAACCTTCTCTTCTTTTGTTTTCTTTTCTATTCTGACAGATTAAGCTGGGCGATTTTCCCATTGGCCCTGCAGGCAGACTATGAACCTAGTAGTACAGAGTAGTACTTGATGAAGCATTATTACCGTTGTCAGGAATTCCTCCGGGAAATAGCGTCGTTAGTGACCAACCTTGGGAACCTAGACCTCGTTCCAAAAGGGCGACGACCGAGTCCCTGCTTAGCATCCTAGATCCTGGTCGTAGTGCTGCTGCTCCATCGAGGATCTATCTACTCCCCCCCCCCCTTCCTCCCGCCGGGAGTGAGAGGAGACTGAGACCAAGGCTGGGAAAGGTCCCTATTATTGACTGCGTCTGTCGTGTCCCGTCGCAGTTCATCGTCGCCTCCAAGTGGCTAGTAGTTCAAAAAAGAAACATGGTTTTACGATCGGGATCGAACAGGAGCAGGAGGAAAAGGGATCCCCCAAAAGAGGCAACGGGGACGACCACTCCCAAGCCATGTCTCTAAGTCTACCTATTTACCTACCTACCTAGTCCGTCCGAGTTCCATCGTGCCCCGAGACTGTTAACCCAAAGATAGACCATCCTTCGTGGGGACGATGCAATCAGGAGAGCGAAAAGAAAAATTGAATAATAATAAGACCAACAAGAAGCGAGAAACATCCATGAACCCCCAAATTCTCGATCCCTACTGAACCAATTGCCCCTAATCTACAGTCTCATACGTATCGACCTAAGTAGCAGGGGCCAAAATAGGAAAGGGGGGAGGGGGAGGGGGAGGGGAGGCTTGCAGTTGGATTGTTTCCCCTTTTGGCTATTTTGGGGGTTGGAAAGAGAGAAAACAACGCAGAAGGACTCCAGCCATCCTTCTAGCGGCTTCGGTCGATGGGGGCAAGGAAGAAAACAATGCGAGAAGATAAAAAAAGCAAGCATGGTGATTAGTACTATTAGCGGCCGGAAATCGTCTCCTCGCACACAAAGCTGTTGTCAACCTTACGACTCATGGCTGCTTATGAGATGATGATATGATATGCGTGCTTACTCTCCGACAAGATAAGTGCCGCAAAGACCTGCGGAGTCCACTTACTACAGATTACTATGGCACTATTATGATAATCTTACCTTCGAGCCCCGGCCCTCAACCCTCGGCCTGAAGTGATGATCTCACGGGCACTTCCGTTGGGCAAGTATCGGCGGTGGATTCGAGGACTTGATGTAAAGGCTTCGGAGAGTCAGCTTTTTGCGGGGGGGAGGCAAATACCGAATACAATTGATTGCACATTCTTTTCAGTTTCCTCTGCTGCAGTTTCTCTAGGAGTCAATTTATTCACTCGTTTGTTCGGGATATACTCCATAGCAGGCGAGCATCTGATTGACGGGTTGACTGTGGACATGCATACGTACCTACATGTATGCATGCAACTACAGACAACCTACAGTGCCTAGTGCATAGGCTCCCCAAGGACATGAACATAAAAAGCATCACATCCGAACAGCCTCGAATATCCGAGGGGCCCGTCCGTCTCCCTTGCCCCGACAATAATACGAGATGTCAACTCAGGCACCACCGGATCTTCATTCGCTTAAGAGGGCGTGTCGGACCCAGTGTAACGTTCTCTCCACCGGGCACAGCAGCAGTCGTGCTAGTAGCCTAGTAGTAGATAGATTCCTAGCCCCCGGTTCCAGGCTTGTTGACTGGACGCCCGGCGGGAGCTTCTCGGCCTGGCTGAACCTTGTGAGGCGCCCAGCGGATCCTGTGTGTCGGGACATAGATACCTAGTTCTGGCTGGCTGCCACAATGTCAATTCTGTTTGGTCGAGGATGGCCCTACGACTCCATACAACCTGGGCTGGAGGGGGGTTCGAACCACGGTTCTGGTAATTGGCATCAGGAATGAATGGCCGCATCCAACATGACAGGTACATAGGTATAACTCTAACTCAATAATACCTCCTCCGAGGCTCCGACGGAGCGACGGTGGGAAGCCGTGGACGGCGCACCGAATCTGCCCAAGCGGTGGTGGATATCCACTCGAACGTGGTGAAATCGACTCATCATATTAAATCGACACGCGACCATCCTGGTCGGTCCCATCGTAGATACTAGATTCATGCAGTGACCAGGATGTCTGAACTTGATGGACCCAGTGAGGCATTGACAATGAGATTAGTACTCTGTTCCACTGACTGGACCAGTGTGTGTACTGTGTACTGTGTACTCCGTACCGAAGGTGAAAAAAATACCATGCCAGCCACGACCCATTCGTCCCGGAGAACTCACAGGGATGCGAGCACAGTCAGTCAGCCAATCCATCCATCGGGCCTTGCCTCGGATCCGAGAGGAATTTCTGGTTTCCACATATGCTTCGGCAGTCCACAACCGACTGACAACAGATGGATACCTACAGAGTCCGTCAAAGTCAATTCGAAACGTCATATCGACTGCCTCTGGCGCCTCCCCCAGATGGAGGAGAGGCAAAGAATGCCACTTCCCGAGGCCTGGAGTAGGACTAACGACTATATGGGGCCGAGGAACCATCGTAGGAACTAGGAACTACCTCCTACCTACTAGGTAGGAAGAGGGGGAGGGGGAAGGATTGATGGATTTACTCGATTGAGTCATCCAAATCTCATAACTATCAAGTCATGGAACAACAGCTACACCGCCGGTATGTACATACACTTGCTTAAGTACGTAGGTGTTTCGCTCATGTACCTGCATCTCTCGTGCAGCCGTCACGTTCTCCTCGCTTTTGCTTTTTTTTTTTGGCTTCGGACCGGCGGTCTGGATGTGCCTACTGCTCGTGGTTGGGTTTTCCCAGCCGTAGGCTTGATGGAGCTGCTGTGAACCAAACACCGCATGAGAACCTGTCGGACGCCGTCTCCAGCACACTACATCGTAGCAAGTAGTAGTACTCCGTACATTCTCTGTCAAAGTGTCAATAATATGCCGCAGCTGAGGCTCGTCAGCTGATCCACCCGATGTCTCTCCTTACGTATATTTTACATACATGTATCTGGTCATGTCGATACACTGTTACCTACTGTACTCAGTACGTACTGCTGAGTACACCATCCTACCCACAATGATCAAGTTTCCATAATTTCATGTGTATGTCTGTGTGTGAACCCCATCAGATAATATATCGCAGAGATAAGAGCGAGACTGACTGACTGACAGTCAAGATACCCCCCCCCCCCCTCACCAGAATCCAACACCAACACCAAAACCAACAGGTAAACAACAAGTCCCTCAAATTAATTACAGTTCCCCTATCCAACATCCTCAAACACCTCTGCCACAAAGCCTGCCCCTGTTCCCCCCAACAAGGCAACAGCAAACCTAACCTCTGCCACACCACTGTCTCGGATCCAACCTTAAACCTCCCTCCTCTCCTTTATCCCAGCCCTCCCCTAGCGTGTAGCACGGTAGCACCATCCCCCTCCCCCCTTCCCTCCCTCGACGCCCCCAACTTCTCCATCGTTCGAACTCCTGACGATCCCTGGTGTCTACTGTCTAGACTCTAGACCGGCAGCTATCTAATAGTAGTAGCACTAGCCAGACCACCCACCACCCTCCGTCGCTGTTATTGTGGGTGGGGGGGGGAGGGGGGCAGTGGTTTAGTGCTGCTTAGTCTGCTGTAGGCTGGTCGACTAGGGCACTAAATCGGGGGCAGGTTTCCCTTCCTTTTTCTTCCTCGTTCCTGGTTCCTCCTGTTTTGAGTAATGTGATATGTATGTATGTATGTATGTATGGTAATTGTGTATTGTATGTGGGATCTTCCAGTCATTCCTACCGAGGTCCTTCTCTGTACACTTACTGACCTGCCTATACTATAATACTATATCCCAGCCACGCGGATGGAGAGCTGACATGCCATGATATATATTTACGTATATTACCATGTTGTACGGAGTACTGCTATGGCAATTCCATATCCTATCCGCAGGAGAATACATCCCAGCCCTCGCTTGGTGTAGCGATAGTTTCAGTTGCTGATAGCCAATTCCTGGCCCCATAAACAGTAGAATCTGAAAATTTGACATCCAGTCGCAACGCCATCTTTTTCAAATACACAGTGGAAGAGAAGAAAGTAGGAAAGAAAGAAACAAAGAGAAGTTCACAATCCCATAAAACTACAGTTGGGTTCAAGGAAAACCAACTCCATCCAACAACTGAGAGGAGAGATCACTCCTCATCTTCCTTCATCTCTGCGTCTTCGCCATCATCATTAAACAGCCCATCATCCTCATCCTCGTCGCCCCCATGCTCATTCTCGCCCCCGGCCCCCGTCGCCCCTTCTCCTGATCCTGCGCCCCCTCCAGCCACGGCCAACTCGTCCTCTTCGTCATCGTCATCATCGGCCACCCGCCGGGTCGCCTTCGCCCGGCGCCGCTGTACCACCTCTTCCTCGTCGTCGTCCGCCCCAGTATCACGCATCTCATGATCTTCACCGTCGGATCTGCCCGCATCATCGTCATCATCCGAATCCACCACCATCTCGCTGCTCTTGTACTTGCCCTGCGCCTTGCCGCCCGACCGACGCTCCAGGCGTCGCCGCTTCTTCGGGGCTGTCTCGCCATCGCTTTCGGGCTCCGTGCTCCTGTCCGGGCCAGGCGAGTCGCCACCGTCGTTGATGAAGTCGTCCTCGTTGCGCTTCTTCTTGCGTTTTGACGACGTCTTCTTCTTGCGCTTGACCTTGGTGCCGGTTTCTGACTCTGTCGTCATTTCCGCGTCCTCGCGTGCGCGTTCCTCTTCCGCCCGCTGCTCCGCCAGTCGCTGCGCTTCTTCAATCATTCGGTGGCGCTCTTCAGCCACGCGCTGTTTCCGCTCACGCTCAGCTTCTTGTGCCTTGCGGACTTCTTCCTCCCGTCGTCGCATCTCCGCTTCACGGGCCTCCCGGGCTTGCTGGAGTTTGGCGGCGTTCTTCTCTTCGTAGTCCTTCTGGCTCTGTAGGGCACGCTCGAGTTGCTTGATAATCGTTCGGCCCATGTTTGCGCGCTGCTCCAATGCGCTAGCTGGGTAGGGCGGGTTCTTCGCTTGGGCCACCCGGTTGAATGTCTCCACAGCTTGGTGAAGTCCCTCTGCCGCTTCCTGTACGTCCTGGACTGTCTTCTGCGTTTCTTGGAGACCATACGTGAGCGAGGCGATCTGGTTCTGCACGAATGCAACGTTGAACTCAAGGTGGGTTTGACCCGGGGCAACCGCGTGGGCGCGCTGCGCGTAGTCCAGGGCGGTCTTCATCGCCTGCAGGTTCATCTCCTGCTTGCCCTTGGCCAGCCAAACCCGGCCCAGACAGGCCAGAATCTGCGCGTCTCGAGCACGGTCTTTCGACAATGCCGCCTCGTAGTGCTCGATCGAGCGGGTGTACTGCCGCAGCTCCGCGTATACATGACCCAGGTTCAGGTAGACACTCGCATCTCGTAACGTATCACGGACCTTGGAGAAAATATGTACTGCTGAGGCGTGGTCTTTCTTGTCATCCACCAGCGCGATAGCGATGCCCTGCGCTGCGTAGGCGTTGCGGGGGTCCAGCTGAAGCGCCTTGTCAAAGAATTCGATGGCCCGTTCGTACATCTTGCGGCGCTTTTCTTTGTCCTGGTCGTTGTCGCGCCGCATGTCGCGCGCCGTCGACAAGTGGATGTTGCCCATGCCGGTCAGCGAGTACCGATCATGTTTGTCATAATATTGCAGAGTATGCTTGTAGTGTCGCTGTTCGTGGTCCTCTGCCAGGTTGGCTGCGCGTTTCTTTGACTTGCTGAGATACCAGCCAAACAGGGCGCGGACTTCGAGGTTTGTTGAGTCAGCCTCGTAGAGCTTGGCCATTTTCTTAGGACCTTCATCCGTAGGGCTCTGGCGAAGGGCAATGTACGTCAACCGCGCGTTGGCTTCCGTGTAATCGGAATGGCGCTCCAATAGGCCTTGGTACACCTTCTTAGCCTCATCCGGCATGTCGGCTGCCTCGTAGGTCCGACCCAGGTTGAAGCTGATGGTGGTAACAAGCGCATCGGTGTCGAGCTCGATCTCCTTCTCCTGCGAACGAACGCAAGCATCTAGTGCCGTCTGGAACATTGCCCGGGCTCGATCGACTTTCTCGGCCTGGTACAGGAAGCATCCCATGTTGTTGAGCAGCTGCGGAGGGAGGTGGACGCGGAGAGCCTCCTTGACTTGCTCTTCATCCTGGAGGCCTTCAGGACGCTCCTCCTCGGCGACTTCCGCCAACTGCATCTCTTCCAGCTGGGTGAGGCACTGCATGCTCTTCTCAGGCGCCGTCTGCTCGTACAACCGGGCTAGGTAGACCAAAACCGACTCGTCGGGAGAGATCTTCTTGCTCTCATCCTTCCAAAGAGCGCGGACAGACTCCAAAAGATTGATGGCCTTCTTTATTTCGGCCGTCTTGTCTTCCTTACTGCCACTTGCCTGCACTGCGAAGACTTCCTCCGCATGGAGCGCGCCGAGGAGCACCATGCATTCGGCGTTCTTTGTTTGCTGAATGATCTTCTCAAGCCGGAATTTAGCTCCGTCATAGTCTTTGCTGGACACTTGCATCTGCACTGTGCCAAATTTGGCGGGGAGGTACCCTTTCTCACCGCCACCACGAGCCTGGTCAGAGCGGTTGTAGTACTCCGCCGCGCGTGTCAAGTCGCCTTCGTAATGGGATTTTCGGCCAAGCAGATACCAGCCATCGCTAGCAATCTGCATCACATCAGTGTGTTCGATGGCCTTGCGGGCCAGCGTCTCGACCGTGGCATATGACTTCCTGAGAAGGAAATAGCCGCCAAACAAAGAACATGTCATAGGGTATTCCTTGTCCAGCTTAAATGCCTTCTGCGTGTACTGGGTCATTGCCACCTTATACAACGAACCGAAAGCTGGGTCCGTCGTAGCATGTCGTGAACTGTCGTAGAGATAGTATACTGCAAGGAGAATGTTGGCGACCTTCGAGTCGGGGTTCTATTTCGCCGAGATCAAGCAGTTAGTAAACACGGATTTAATGCAAGTCAAATCTGCATCCAACTCACCAATGCCAGAGACCGCTCCCAAGCAGCCTTTGCCTGTTCCTTGAAGCCCAACTGCCACAAACAACTACCGATACCGATGCGCGGGTCGGGATCGATCAAACCGGGCATCTTCATCAGGACTTTCTGATAGCCTTCCAGGGCCTCGGCATATCGCCCAAGCAGGTACTGCGTCCTCGCGCGTCCAAGGATAGCCATTACATTCCGACCGCCGAAGGCCTTGGACGACTCATCGAAACACTTGAGGGCTTGCCGCAGTGACTCCACCCTCTCGGAGGTATCGACTGTCCCGGGACGAACAGGGCGTGGCGGATGTAGCGAAGCGCGCAGCAGCGACAGGACACCTCGCGCCAGGAACAGAGGGGGAAAGGCCGGGTTCAGTCGTGAGGCCTCGTTCAGGGTCGACGTCGCGAGCTGGAGATAATGGTCCTTCGTTTTGGCCTCAGTATACAATTCTCCCTCGGGTGCGACGCGGGGGGCTTGTCGGCTCTTAAGCATCAACAGCCAGCAGACCCATCCCAGCAGGCCGAGTTTCTCCTTGGTGGCTCCATGAGCGACCGAAGCGAGGCCTTTGTTTAGGATGTCGATGGCATGATCCAGTTGCTTCTGCTTGGCGTACGCCAGAGCGATTGTGACCCAGAAATTCTTAGCCGCTTTCTCGTTCTCAAGCAGGGTACAGAGCTCGGTAGGGTCATCCGGAAGTATCTCCAGACTAACCTCGACTTCACTGTCGAGGGTGGACGCGGGAATGTCGATGGCGGAGGGAATGTCAGAAAAACGAAGATTGGGCACCGCGTTGGCGGCCGGAAGAGAATCGCCGTTCGTGCCATTGGCGTGACCAGTTTGGAGGGCCGCCATGGCTTGCGCGGGAAGTGCCTTTAGCAATGTATTGTAGATGGGGACCGAGGGGGAGATGCGACTGATCGGAGGTGAAAGGAGCTTGGGAAGTGGTTCAGCTCAACTCATGATCGGGATGAAAACAGGTGGGGGAGGAGGGAGAGATGGAAGAGTGTCTTCTTGCCGGAGAGATGAGCAAGAAGAACGCTCCTAGAATTGCAGCGGCCGGAGAGACGACAAAGTCTGCGGTCACAGCAGGCTCAGTTGGATGCTCTTGTCGGGATGGGGAAGCGCTGCTGCTCCGTTGGATGAGCGGCGCGAGCAAGGCTGGCCGGGCCGAGTGTTACACCGCCACCACCTGTGGCTTGCTTTTACTCACACTGGTTGGTGAATTGGCGAATAATAATCGGATATTCTCTATCTAGCTGTGGCATTTCTCGAAAGAATCTACTCCGTAGTCCTGCATGGAATAATCAGAGAGAAGCATGCATAGTCCGGTTATTATGTCGCTTCTAATTCTTGTTCAAGGCGATCCGGCTATCCACCCCCGGAAAGCTACTTTATACTATTAAGAACGAAACGAAGATCACGGGTGTGCTACCAAAAACGGAGCGGGGAGGTATCTATCCTAGCCAGCCCTATCACGCCAGAAACAATAATCATAACAATACTCTAAGCGCATCTTCTCGTATCATGCAACTTTCGGTAAGAGTGTCGGTCATAGCACGTAACGGCAAAGCCAACCCAACGCCCCGCGGGGGAGGTGAGCTCCGCATCAGAACCCCAACAGCTTGGGTAGCTTGCAGAGAAACACAGCGCTCACCAGCACCATGAAGATCCGCCCAACCTCGGCCCAGTGCCGCAATCGCACATGCGTCTCAGCATACCCTGCAGCCGCGGCAGTTCTCCGCTCCTCCGGTTTATGGCTGACCTCGATGGAGCCAGCCAATTCGGACGGAAATCTCCCTGTTTCATAGTACTCCTCAAGCAGTTGGTCCTTCTCGGTCCAAAGTTCCCGGAGCCACGAGTCAAACTCTTGCTGATCATCCAAAGGAATCTCGGACACCGCAAACCGTCTCCAATGCATGTTGACAGAGGTCGGCGGTCGCCCTTGCAGATAAGTAGACCGGAGAGTAAAGTACTTGTCGGGAAGGCTGCCCTTTCTGTTAGGTATAGCCATAGTAGTCAGTTGTATGCTCAGCATATATCTCACGAGAGCGCATTTAATACTTACGGAGGTCCTTCGTAAGCTACGGTGCAGTCATAGACCCATTCCACAGTCCCTCGCAGCTGCTGTAGACAGAAAAACAGACCAGTGGAGCGGGGAAGAATCTCATGTTTCAAAGTAGACAGTCCCTGCTTCTTCGCATACTCCACGCTCCGTCGTCTGGTATTGATGGAGAGGTTCGTGCCCTCGGGGAAAATCAATAGCCACATTGGGTCATACTGCGGGGACCCAGACTGAGATCCCGTGTGCTGAGTCTTTAACTTCTCCAAGCGATGTTGTAGGCGGGGTTTGTCAGATAGCCATTTGCGAGCCATGAAGATAAAGCCGTAAAAGGTCATTCCTTGGCCGATGATAGGGATATACTTGAGAGATTCCTTCAAGATGATAAAGATGCGACCGTGCATCGCGTTCGTGTATGCCACCCACCAAAGATATATCCAATCCGTATACACCTGATGGTTGGCAATCAACACCAGCCGCTCCGGGAATTGTGTCTTCAGGCGTCCATCCTCTGCGATGTGAATCTGACCCCGGACACTCTTGTCCCCACTGACTCGCACAAAGGTAGGGCAACCCCACTGAGTAAGAGCCGTGATGACCAACCCGAAGGACTGCTTTGTGTATGCCATGTACGAGTAGTACCAATCCTTGTTGATCACGTATAGCGGGGAGCCGATGATCTGGGTCGCTAGAATGGCAACGCAGCAGCAGTTGAACCATGTTGCCAGGAGTAGGGAGCGGAGAAGCTGCATTGCGATGCCATGTTTCAAACGTGGCTCCGCATCCTGGTAATTTGGGAGCTGTTCCTTTGAAGCAGCTGTGTGCTTGAGTGGCGAGTCATGCTTCCGTGGTCGAAGCTCGGGGGTAACCATGGCGATCTAGATCTATTGCTGACGATGAGGAACACGATGGGAGTACGAGCCGACTTATAACAGGGGCGGGGGGATAAAGTTCTAGAGATATTGGTACTGAATCGGACCCATATTAGCTTTCTAGCCCATGATCACGCGAGCAGTCTGACTAGGTAGAGTCTGACAAGTGGATGCAACACTGTACCAAGAAGAGCGGTGTCTGCCGAAAACCCGGTAGGAGGAAAGCGAGGCCGTCGTTACAGGCCTGGAGGATATAATGAAGAGAAGAGGAGGTCGCTTGATAATAATATTAACAAAGAGGTAAGGTAACAATATATGGAGTGATTCGAGCCATGCCCACTTAGCTAAGAGGAGAGAATATTAGGTTCCTGGCCAGCGCAAGAGGGGGAAGAGTGAGAGGGAAGCTTGAGCCGGACAGAGCTGTGGAAGCCTGGGGCGCATGCTCGCTCGAGCCATCCATTCATTGAACTACGTCACTCAAGGCGGTCAGCGAGAAATCCTGGGGTTCTGCTTGTGACACTACTTATTTATCAACATTCAACACTGACATTTTTTTGAATCAACGATATTCACGACCCTGGTTGTCCTTTCCTGCGGGCCACATCCTTAAGTAGTGGTAATACGACGGATTCGCACTAGCATTGAAACTATATAGATGCAGATGTGTACTCCGCCGAACTAATCCTGCATCTCAGGTCAATGCTGAAATCTCACATGCTGGTTTGGGACAATGAATGAGACCTAGACTTAATAAAGTGAGCGCTCTTGTCCGGATTGGGATCCACACTTAATGTGAGCTAATGAACGTGTTCTAGAAATAGTGTACATGACCATTCGGGGTCACATCCAACACTGAGATGCATTTCGCGACTATCCGACTACAACCTGCCCGGCTCCGGGCCCCGAGTCGGATGCCTTGGACACGGACCTTTTCCTCATCCTCGCAACGCTACGAAATTAGAGATGTCGGGCTGCTCCCACAGCGCCTGATACCCAAATATCAAGGTGTGCGTCAACGCAGTGCCGTCTGCAGGACCCCCTCAAGCCCTTCGGTGGTATGCTGACCGGTTCGTGTGCCCCGAGCAGAATCCCAAGTGGGCGATCTACTGTCCCTCCAATGGCCAGCCCCCCCGCGGAACATCTTTTTGGTGAAGAAAGACTATGCGCCCGCTGTTACTGCATCTCTCATCGAATTTGCCAAGTACGAGGACCTGGAACTGGGTAGCCGAGGAGCAATGTGCGCTAACAACTCGCCGCCTATCTAGTCACGCGACGTCTACCTATCCATCGACCTCGATCATTCTAGAACCCAGTGTCGCGGAGGAAGTACACTCATTACTTCAATCGCCAGTCTACTCCGCCTCTTTAGACCAACCATGGCCGGTACTACATGACAAGGTAGATCTCACCGTTACTCTAGGGGGAGATGGGACGATCCTACATGCTTCATCCTTGTTTGCCACGTGTTACAACGTGCCCCCGGTACTGTCGTTCAGCATGGGTACACTGGGGTTCCTAAGCGAATGGAAGTTCGCCGAATACAAGCGCGCATTTCGTGAGGTATACATGTCCGGCGCGGGGGCCGGGGATCGCGGAACGGTGCTGGGTGACCCCCGGCCGGCCTCTGACGATGAATCGCTGGAACTCGGAGCGGGCCCCACTGGATGGTCGTCGGTGCGGGGGAAGTCGATGGGCTTGACGCGCGGGGCTCGTATCTTGATGCGCAATCGGCTGAAGGTGGGATTATTCACTGCAGATGGACAACCGGTACAGCGTGGATCCAAATCTGTCGGCATGCCAAACAGCTTGGATGAACAGGGAGCGTACGTTATGAACGAGGTGCTTCTGCACCGCGGCAAGGAGCCACATCTGGCCGTGCTGGACGTCTATGTTGGGGGCCGGTTTCTGACGGAGGCCGTTGCCGACGGAATCATCATCTCAACGCCGACGGGTAGCACGGCATACAGTTTGAGCAGCGGTGGCAGCATTGTGCACCCACTGGTACCGGCGGTTCTGCTGACTCCGATCTGTGCGCGGAGTCTGAGCTTCCGGCCCTTAGTACTGCCATCCAGCACCCCGATCACACTACGACTGAGCGAGAAAAACCGGAGCCGCGAGTTGGAGGTTAGCATAGACGGAGTGAACCTGGGACAAGGGTTGACTGCGGGGATGGAGGCCCGAGTTTGGGATGAGGAGATGCGGCATGGCAAGAATGAATGGCAAAAGGGTGTGCCATGTGTAATGCGGAGGATCACGGGCGGAGAGGCGCACGATGGATGGGTGGGAGGCTTGAATGGATTGCTGAAGTTCAACCATCCGTTTGGAGAGGAGCGGTGATAAGAGAAGGACATATACAAGGTTAGATGGTTGCCCCTGGGGGGAGGGGAAGGTGGAACCTGTAGGCCATTATGGACTCAATCTGTACCATTATACGGAGTATGCGAAGAAATGGGATCTGCTCAGAGTTCTGATCTATTCACACGGAGTATGAAGATGCATGTACAGGGTATCTGGTCTTGCTGGGTTGGTGGATGGGCACTTTTGGTTGCCCTGAAAAAGGGGCGGGAATCAGGGCCGGAGGTGGGCCTCCCTTCTTTCGGCCCTCTGGCTCAGCGACCCGTGGGCCGCTCACTGCGATCCTTGGGAAAAAAGATTCCTGGATGGCTGCTATTGTCCAGGATCCAGTTCAGGTGTGCACTGTTGTTGGTTGGCTGCAGAGCGTACCACACGGTATGATTGGGATTCTTTGTTTACCTGTGGGACGGTTTGGCGCCGCAAGGAGACCCAGCCCTGAATAGCCTCAGAGGGCGAGGTCCATCATGGCCATCGGCCCCATCCGCGCGGGTGATGTAATGGTCTCCTGCCCATTAATCAATTCGAAGTCCGTCACCTGGATCGGAGTGGAGTTTTCTGGCGTACGCATTCTGGCTCCCCTTAATCTCATAGTTATAGTAGATAGGAAGGATACTCTGTACGGAGTAGGTAGGTAGAGACAGTAAAGTCCAGCAGGGCTTTCGAACCCGTGGCTGTTACATACTACTATCTAGTACCTATAGGTAGTACTACAACCTAAGTAGTACCTAGTACAGATGCACTGCCCGGGGGCCATTCCATCCACTCTTACCAAACCCACCAGGGTTTGATGTTATATCGCATCCACCCAATGGGATTCAAACTGGTCGACAACAACCCCAGGGGTTCTCTTCCACGGTCTCAAGTGAGGGCTGCGTGGTCTAGGGTTGTCTTTGGGAAGTGATGGTCGCGCATCGATGGGATCGGGAGGCTTGACTGCGTAGAATTTAGCTTTGTATATGAAACCTCCCAAGACATCCTACGACAATCCATTATGATGAAAGTCAAGGACCCGTCAATCGTTGTCTAGTGATCGTATGGTACTAGATAGGCGCGAGCGGTCCAAATCTCATTGTCGCCATGATTCTTATTCCAGGGGGGCAGTACTATGCTACTTACTGTACTTCGAATTAATTTCGTCACCTTCTTCTTCTCCCCCCTCCTGTTACTCCTTCTCAGCACTATCATTATTCTTGGGGGTTATGGGTGAACATCCTCACCTTCGAGAACAAACCCTCATTGCTTGCATATCACTGACAGAGAGCCACGCGCCCCTTGGGAGCCGCGGGTGGTGAAACCTCGAGTGCCTTTTGTCGACGGCCGGCCTTCCCTTTTTGCCGCCTCCTCTTGGTGCTCCTTCTCTCTCTCTCCCTCTCCCTCTTCTTCCTTTACTCCTTTCACGCCCACATTTTCTACCTCTTTCACCCTCCTGTTCTCCTGGCTGGTGAACTTCATTTGTTGGCTGCACCGCTGCCTCCTCCTTTCCATTCAACTCGTCATTTCTGGCACACCTCGTGTGTCTCCCCCCTTCTCCCGTCGCCTGCATCTCTCCTGTATCGCGTACTTCGCATTTCCGCCCCATTTGGTACCGCTGGTCTCACAGCGCCTGGACAACAGGGTAGCCATCTTCGAGACTTACCTCCCACGCTTGGAGCTTCCTCGCGGGCGCGAGGCTTCCCTCTTGCTGATTGCTCGACGAAAAGCCTACCCTCGCCGTCCAGGTATGTTCATGTCCCATACTGTCTACATCCATCTCAATCTACCCGCCGGTTGGCCGGTGGATCATAGATCGAAGCCTTGGACAAGAGGCTCTTCCCCGTCCACGGGTCCCAAAATGACAGACCCAGCCTTGCTCATGCCACAGTTTGCTTGCTGACCACCCTGCAGTGAATTACAGTAGTCTGGGTGTGTTGTCGGGGCCACCCTTTCACGTTGCTCCGTGAACTTGATTCACTGCCCCCCCCCCTAACGAAACCCCCCCTTCCCCTCGGGTGTTCCGCGTCTCGGTTTCCAAGCCGGCCCAGCTAAATGGCCTCCTACGAAAAGTGAGTCGGACTTTTTCTTCCTTTCTGTTCTTTTCTTGACCCCCCACCCCTTTCGCATTCGATCTCGATCTCTTACAGGCCCTTGCCTGCGGTTATTCTGGGCGCTGCTGACGCTGGCCGCAGTACTACCATGTACTCCCCAGATCAGTTTATGAATCCGGGGCCTGCCCCCCGCCCCCCAGCCGATCGCCCAACGCTCAACCTGCCTTCCAACCCTTCCAACGTGGCCACCTCCTTCAGTCAGATGAACCTGAATTCCCCAAGTACTCCCGGTCCGGCCAACCTGTCTCTCTTCCCCAATACGAGTACCCCTTCGCTCACGCGCACCAAGACCGAGCAGTCGGGTGGGGGAGGCGTCACTGTGATCAAGGAGGGGTATGTTCGTTGCAAGGAAGATAAGTTTCTGGCGACCTGGAACCAACGATACCTGATCTTGCGCGAATTCCGCCTTGATTTCCTCAAGAATGAGACCGGGAAGATCGTGTTGTCCATTCCCCTGACGGCGGTAACGGGCGTCTCTCGATCGGAGGATACTCGCATGGCTTTTGAAATCATTCGTCTCGCCAATCCCAAGGATGCGACCTCCAAAGCCGCCGTGATCACCCGTGATGTGCCCACCAAGAGCATCACTTGCGAAGTCAAGAGCGATGATGAGATCTACGACTGGATCGATAAGATCTACGAACGATGCCCCGGTATGGGAGGAGTGAGTAATCCAACAAACTTCAGCCATCGCGTCCATGTTGGATTCGATCCGCGTACAGGCGCCTTCGTGGGCTTGCCGCCGGAGTGGGAGAAGCTCCTAACCGCGTCCGCGATCACCAAGGAAGACTACAAGAAGAACCCCCAGGCGGTCATCGAGGTTCTGGAATTCTATTCCGACATCAAGATGCGTGAGCAGAACCCCCAGTACTACGCTGGACTCTCCTCCCCGCCGAACCAGCAAGCGAAGCCCTACAGCAGCGGGTCCGTAGGAAGCTCAATTGCGCCCCCGAGACCCCCACCGCCTGCTCCCGCGCAACGTTTGGATAGCGGTGGCCAGTCATACTCGAGCCACTCCGCTGCCTCACCTCCTGCGCAGGCTAAGTCGGACTCTGACCGTGCATTGGAGCAGCAGCATCAGTTGGAGCATATGAACGAGCTGGCGGATAAGGAGCGACGCCGGGTGGAGGAGGAGTCCCATCGCGCCCGCCAGCGGGAAGAGGAGCAGAACCGGCTCGAGCAGGAAGCATATAATGCCTCATTGCCCAAGACCCGCGTCCCTCTGGCCAAGCAGGAACTTGGTGGCTACGGCCCGTCGTCTGATGACCGTTACAAGCCAAGCCGTCCCGCTCCGCAGGCCCCTGGATCCTCTCGCCAGGACCCTTCGCGCCAGCTGACTGCCCAACGCCCTGCGCCATCGCCTCCGACCCCCGGACAGCGACCCGGAGATCACGCCAACGGCTCCGCAAGGCCCGAACAATCATCTCCGAGCTCCCGACATCCGCCTCAGGCCCAATCCCCTGCACGGGTTCAGAACACCAAGGCGCAGCCAGCTCAAGGCCCTCCTCCCAGCAAGCTACCTGCTCCGGTTCAGCCCGTGAAGCCCCTCAACATTGCGAACAAGCAGGCGACAGGCAAGTCCAACGTTCCTGATGGAGTCCGCCAAGCCGAGGCCGCTCTGAGCAAGAAGGCGGAACCTCGCCAGAGGGAAGTGCGCATGTCGAACATGAGCGAGAACGAGGTTATGGATCGACTTAGGTCTGTCGTCTCCAAGGATAACCCAAACGAATCCTACAGCAAGCAGCGCAAGATTGGACAGGGAGCCTCTGGATCCGTGTACGTGGCGCGCGTTAAGGAGCATGCCACGTCTGGTGTCGCACGTGAGCTTTACCGCCAGTATGGTCCTCGAACCCAGGTGGCGATCAAGCAAATGGACTTGCGTAGCCAGCCACGGAAGGAGCTCATTGTCAATGAGATCATCGTCATGAAGGACAGCCAGCACGCCAACATTGTCAACTTCCTTGACTCGTTCCTGCAGGAGCAAAGCAACGAGCTGTGGGTCGTCATGGAATTCATGGAAGGTGGTGCGCTTACGGATGTCATTGACAATAACCCGTTGATTCAAGAAGACCAAATTGCCACGATCTGTGCAGAGGTATGTGCATGCAGAATCATATGCCAGCGAAAACCTGGATCGTGATGTTAATTCGAGTTTTTTTCCAGACCTGCAAAGGATTGGCTCATCTGCACAGCCAGAACATCATTCACCGTGATATCAAGAGTGATAACGTCCTTCTTGACCGGGCGGGCCACGTTAAGATTAGTGAGTAGCCTTGATGACATGCTGACTGAGATGAAAAAGAGATGCTAACGACCTCTTAGCTGATTTCGGATTCTGCGCCAAGCTGACCGAATCGAAGAGCAAGCGAGCCACCATGGTTGGTACTCCGTATTGGATGGCGCCCGAGGTGGTGAAGCAGAAGGAGTATGGCCCCAAGGTGGATTGCTGGTCACTGGGTATTATGGCCATTGAGATGATTGAATCGGAGCCCCCGTATCTGAACGAGGAACCGCTCAAAGCGCTGTACCTCATCGCCACCAACGGTACCCCTCGCTTGAAGAAGCCGGAGAAGCTTAGCAAGGAACTTAAATCCTTCCTCAGTGTCTGTCTTTGTGTTGATGTGCGCAGCCGTGCCACCGCCGATGAGCTGTTGGCCCATGACTTCCTCAAGCTGGGCTGCAGCCTCGCGAGCTTGGCGGAGTTACTCCGTTGGAAGAAGAACAGCCAGTGATTGCCCGTGGAGGGGAGTACGTGCGCTGGCGGGGATGGTAACTACCAACTCGCTCCCGGTCGTCTTGTTCCTCTTATGATTTACACCAGATCTTGTTTTCACGCACATATGGGTCACATTTACGCGCCTCCGGTTGATTTTGCTGCCCCCTAACGACCTGCATTGCAACTCGATTTCTTCTTGTGATATCCTCACTGCACAGCTTTGTGGTCTGCGGACTCGGCATGGATAATTTGGCGTTCATCTTGGTGTCTATTCTCCTTTGTGGTCCTCTTCTCCTTACATTCGTGAATAATCTTGTTACCCGCCCTTTCCGCTGTGCGGTTATGCTCCTACCGATGATCTGGATCAGGCCGGCTAAGCGAAACCACATTTGATGATGTGTTAGCCGGTCTTCGACTGTACTGGGAAAAGAAGAAAAGAAAAGAAAGACAGAAAGACAAACAAGAGGTCGATCGGTAAAAGAAGGATAGAGAGCCGAAGACCGATATGAGTTGGGACGCTCCGACATACGGACGTGCATTGAAATTTTTGTTAGCCTCATGTACCCGCCTATGTCCGTTTCGATTGACGAGTCCATGATGGAATACTTGTGCATAGCGAGCAGCTACTTGAGAAAAAACAACACGTGATCGTCTGCTGAAGCAGCCCCATGAATTGAGCTAGAGGAGGGCACTAGGAGCAAGGGGCCTACCAAAAAGAATACTTGCCTCTTCTTCTTCTTCTGTGATAATAATAACCACTACCAGACCGAAGGTCAGTGATAATAGTATAGTTGTATATGACACGGTCAATAATAGCGTACAATCGTAGGTATGGTAATCGAATACTCCGCAGAACAAGACACAAGGACTGCCCCGCATTCCGCATCCCGCATCCCGCAATCCAATCCAACCCATCATCTCAACGACAACCACATCCAATGAATGCAATGCAAGGCAAGACAAGGCAATCCATAGTAGTAGCCAAACAGCAGGATCCAACCATCCATCATCCGTTAATCATCAACCTCTAAACCCACCACATACAATCTTTCCAACAACTAGAAACTCATTGAGCAGCAAGCAATCAGAACACATTGAGACCCATTCGTTCGTTCCATGCAGCGTAGAGAGATTTTAGATGACCTCCTCGATGGGTACTTTTGTACACATGGTCCCGAATAACACCCTATCTAGAACCGACTCGGAGTCGTCGGTGGACGCCTCGTAGCCTGCCTGCGTGAGCTGGAGGATCCAGCGCTGGCGAATCTCCGAGGGGAGGTCTTTCCAGCGGTGATGTTGATGCTGGGTGTTGGAATCGGATTCAGCTAAGACCATCGGGTCTGCGGTGTCGATGAGGAGGGTATTTGTACTTGGATTGCAGTGGATGAGGGGGGGTTGCTGGGATGAAGTGATGAGGTCGTGGAGGGTGCGGATCTTGGGTGGGGTGTCTAGAGTGGTTTCTGGAGATGGGAAATGAAGAGGAGGAGGCGGGGCATAGTATGGGCGGGCGACGGCGTCGCGGATGCTAGGGGGCAGCCAGTCCGTGGCGCCCAGATAGGGGGGCATGGCGCCGCGGATTTCGGTGAATGCCTGAAGGACGAAGCAGACGATGAGGATGGAGAGGAGGGCGGCAAAGCCGCTGGTGAGATTTGTCCAGATCTCGGACTCGCCGGGCATGGAGAGAACGTAGCGCGGGTAGCGGTTGGTGGGTGGACAGGGGGAGAGGGGGAGAGTATGCACAACGACGGTGTTGCCCATGCTAACCGAGGCTAGTTTGATGTATTGTGGAGGGGTTTCGGGGGAGACGGGATGGGATGGGGGGTGGAAAGGAGAGAAGCAGAGCTTGGTCATGGCGAAGGGGTGAACTTCGCGGAGGGATGAGAAATGCTGGAGCACACCGTAGCGACTGGTCATCGGGTTGAAATCCAGCGTCAGGATCTCGATGGACTGGTCACTGCCGGAGATGGCAACCACGGCCTGCTGCTGTTGGTTGTCCGGGTCGGAGCCGGGGCCCAAGTTGCAGATGTCCAGGCCTAGCCCGATCTTGATGGTTTTGCGGAGCTTCTTGCGGCGGACGATGGGCGCCTTGCCTGCGGGGGTGCTTTTCTGGCCGGAGGTGGCCTGGCGGAGATCCAGGAGGACAAGCTCACAGCCCTTGCGGTCGGGGGCGTTTTGGAGCAGCAGCAATGTTGTCGGGGAGAGGAAGCGCAAAGCCCGGAATTTAGGCCGCGCCCGGAGCCCCTTCTCAGGCAAGGGCGTGGTGTAAACGCAATGCACGTCGGGCGAGGCGTTGGAGCGGGTGTCGGCCGAGATCTGGCAGATGAAGACGTCAACGCCGTTGGTGTAGGCGACGCGGAACTGGCCCTTGCTGGGCAGATCGGTTATGTCGACGTCCTCGGCCTCCTCGTCGCTGTTGAGACGGATTCGTCCGATGACGTCGGATGTGCTGGGCGTAGCGGTTGCGCTGAAGAAGACGACCTCACCGGCGGGGGCCAGGCCGGTCGCGATGGCGGCGACTCGCGGGGATTCCGAGTCGGCTTTCCATGGGGAGAGGCGCAGGGTGCGCTGGTAGGTGTCGGACGAGGCCTTGGTGCCTTTGAGGGTGCGGAAGAGCGACGCCCGTGATAGCGGCGTGGTTTTGCCGGGGGAGGACGCGGCCTTCTTCTTTTTCCCTTTGAGAGAGCCGGATTTCCGGGGGGGATAATCGATGCGGAAGGATCGCAGATGTTGGTTGTTGTCTCGCTTCTGCTCGGCGACGGAGCTGTTGATGCCGGCCAGGGCGATTATCGCGTCGTCGGTGGTCTGGGCGGCGGCGAGGGAGGTGACTGAGTCCTCATCGCGCGACAATTCAATGTCGACGACTTCGGAGATCTCTTGGCGTTTGGAGGTGTTGAGGAGGACCTGAGGGGGAGCTGGGGTGTTAGCACGGGTCGAAGAGTATCAAGAGATGGGCAGACTGGGCAAACTTGCGATCTTGTTGCCAACCCCACTGCGGCCCTCACCACCACCACCAGAAACCAGCAGAAAGCTGTGGTTGCGCGGGTCGAAGTCGGCAGCAAAGAGCGGGCACGAGAGGGTTAGCTTGGCCGAGGGGATGGTGGGAGCCATGCTGGCTGGGCCCTGGAGACGGATTGATCCGGTGGGAGGAATAAGAATGGCAGACGTGGCAGCGAACGGATGGGGAGGGCGATGCAGCAGGGAAAGGGAGGGAAGAGAAGAGAAGAAGCCAACATGACGAAGAGACGGCGAGAACGGGCGGCCGCGGAGCTTCTCTTGGCGATCGGCCTCGATGCGGCTCAGATCTACGATGCATACTCCGTAGTACAACTACATATGTACATAGGTAGTAGTACCCAAGTACGTCTAGAACATTCTCGCCGTATATTGCGCGACCGTCTATGGCCGGAGATCGGTTTGTCTCTAACATGCACACTTTTTTGAAGATTCCTTTCATCCTTTACTCCACCTCCTGGCCGGTGAACTCCGGCAGGCGCTGGCGCACGTCCTCCCATGTCTCCTCGCCCTCCACCAGGGCCTTGATGGCCTGCGCAATCTCGTCCTCGCTGGCACGCACCTGCTTCGTCGAGTCGCGGTCGCGCAGCGTGAACGTGTTGTCCTTGACCGATTGGAAGTCCACCGTCACACCGAAGGGCGTGCCCAGCTCGTCGTTGCGCGCGTACCGCTTGCCGATACTGGCCGACGAGTCGTCCACCCGGTTGGACACACCCATCCGGCGCAGCTTGGTCGTCATGCGCTGCACCAGAGGCGCGAAGGACGAGTGCGTCGACAGAGGGACAATCAGCACCTTGGTCGGGGCAATCGCGGGGGGGAAAGACAGAACCTAGGGATCACATCTATTAGCGTCTGGAGCGGTTAAATACGGTAGGGGTAAATAAATGGTTCACATACACCACGGGCCTCATCGCCTTCACGGGACCAGTAGACCTGCTCAATCATGCTGTACAGGATACGACCGATACCGAAGGACGGCTCGATAACATTAGGCGTGTACTCGCGCACATTCTCCACACGGGTGCGCTTTTCGATCTTGATCAGCTCCTTGTCGAGCTCGACCTTGCCGGAGGGGACACCCTCCACCTCCACCTCGATCTTGCCGGTCTGCTCCAGGTCGAGCGCCAGCTTCTCCCGCAGCTCCTGGGACAGCGCGTCAATGGCAGCAGTCACGCTCTTGCCGTCCTTCTTGAAGCGGGGACCGAACTTCTTCTTGTCAAGGTCGATCTGCCACTCCTCGACCCGGAGGGGCTCGGCCCGGGTCTCACGAACGACCAGAGGGGCGCCGGTCTTGTTCTTGTGCACGGTCAAATCATATGCACTGCGGTCGGCGCAGCCAACGCACTCGATCCAGCCGTAGCTGGTCTGCAATTCCGCATCCCAGCAGTCGGCGGCGTAGTGGGCCATCTCATTAGCCATGTGTTGGCGGAAGCGCAGCTTCTTGGGGTCCACGCCCAGCTTGAACAGAAACTGCTGGATACGAGCCAGGAAGTAACCCAGGGTCTCATTGTCCACCAGGCCAGTCTCAACCGCCTTGCCGATGGTCATCTGCTCCGTCTTGGTGCTACCAGACAGCTGGATGTCACGGTTGAGCAGAGTCATCTCGACGTCCTTGACCTCCTCGAAGCGAGTATGCTTCTTGCCACCCTCAGGGTCGACGAAGTGCTCGATCTCAGCCATCAAGAACTCACGCACACGCAGCAGACCGGCACGGGGGGAGATCTCATTCCGGAACGACTTGCCGATGGAGGCGGAGGCGAATGGCATGGACTGCTGGTTGAACTCTAGCAGCTTCTGGAAGTTGAGGAACTGTCCCTGGGCGGTCTCCGGGCGCAGGTAGCCGGGCATGTTACTGCTGGGTCCGATGGAGGTCTGGAACATCAGGTTGAAGGCCACGGGGGGCAGGAGGTTGCCATCGGTGGTGGGGTTGCGGATGTCGTACTTGGTGATGATCTTCTCAAGGGCGGGACCGTCGAAGTTGTCGATCTGGGCCAGAATCTCCTCGTACTCCTTGACGACAGCGTCATCCAGCTTGACCACCTTGGTCTGCTTGACCTTCTTCTTCTTCTTGGCCTCCTTCTCCTCGTCCACCTCAACCTTCTGGCCACGGGCCTCCTTGTCACCCTTGAGGCGGCTTTCAAGCACTTCCTCCACCAGGTGGTCCGCGCGGAAGATCTCGCCGGTCTTGGGGTCCTTGCACATCCAGTCGGCGAACTTGTCAACGTGGCCACTGGTCTTAAGGATCTCGTGCGGGGTCAGCATAGAGCAGTCGACCTCGAGCATGTCCTCCTCCAGGACGAAATGCTTGCGCCACAGATCGACAATGTTGTTCAGGACGGCGCAACCGGGCGGGCCATAATCGTAGAGACCGGAAACACCGCCGTAGATCTCGAAGGAGGGGGTGTAGAAGAGACGGCGGCGCAGCATAGAGTCCAAGACAGACCGGTCGACGACCTGGCCGGTCTTGGTGGTGACGGAAGCCATTTTTGACGACTTCTTTTTTTGTCCGGAGGATTGCAGATGGTGCCTGGCAGCGAGGGGCGAGGACGAGAAGGAACGGGGGTGGAAGACGGGGGGAAGGCTTCGAGCGCAAGTGGAAGTGGGGGGAACGCGAAAAGGAAGAAGTTGTCGGCGGGGACGAAAAGACGACGAGGGACCGCGACAAAGGCGCCGCAGCCACGGAGCCTGCCAGTGACTCATCCGCCCTCCTCGCTGGTGTGCGCGCTGCTGCTCCCTCTCGCCAACCAAAATGCGGGGAGCGAATGGGCTGGAAAGGCCGAAAGAATTGCCGGGCGGTTTTTTTCGACTGGCAATTACCTGCTGGCAATCAATAATCCATAATCCATAATCCGGGGCTGCTGAGAAGCAGACCATCACGAGTCCCGCTGAGGTAAGCAGCCCAGTCCCAGCTCACCGCCGGCCAAACCGTTGATCCGCCAGATTTTTTTGGCCCCGTTTGGGTAATTGGCATCATTCTCAGTCTCTCCAACTTCATTTCCTTCATTTCCATCAGCCACCATGGTTTCCAGAAAGTCCATGTCCCGGCCGCCGCCGGATGCCGGTCTTGATGTCAAGCCCCGCAACAAGATCCAGCGCAAAATGCTCCATATCAAGCGGAAGCGCGCCAAGGACGCCGCTCGTCACGCCGAGCGACATGCATTCAAGAAAGAGGAAGCCAAAAACCCCAAGCTGAAGGCGGACCGCTTGAAGCGCAATATTCCCTTGACCATTGACCGGAAGCGTGTCTGGGATGACGCTGGCAGCGACGTGGAGGATGGTCTGGGACTGAGTGTGGACGTCGAGCGCATCAAGCGGCGCAAACAAGAAGAGGAGGACGAGCTGAACCGGCCCTTGGACGAGGATGAGAAATCATCAGAAGGAGAAGAAGAGTCTGATGATGATGAAGACGATGATGACGTGGACAGCATGCTTGCCAGCAGTGACGAGGAAGACGAGGGGGTGGATGGCGATGATGATGATGACGACGACGACGATAACAACACCAAGAAGTCCTCGGGCGACACTCGTGGACGCCGCAAATCCAGCCTCCCCTCGGCTACCGAGCGCGCCACCAGTCCATCGCAATCTACCAAGAGCACAAACCTCACTGCTGTTCCAGACACTCTTGCCGCAAAATTCCCTTCCCTCTTCAACACCGAGAAGCCGCCCTCCCCGAAGATCCTGATCACCACTTCGCTCAACTCAACCCTGCACCACGAAGCCGAGCTCCTAACAGACCTATTCCCCAACTCCGTCTACGTGCGACGCTCGCGCCACCGCTTTGCGCACCAGTTCTCCATCCGCGAAATCTCCAAGTTTGCCTCCAACCGCAACTTCACGGCCGTGGTCATCCTGCGCGAGGACCAGAAGAAGCCCACAGGGTTGGACATCGTGCACCTACCCACCGGCCCCATGTTCCATTTCTCCATGACCAACTGGGTCGAGGGCAAGCGTATCCCGGGCCACGGTAACTCCACAGAACACTGGCCGGAGCTGATCCTGAACAACTTCCGCACGCCGTTGGGTCTTTTGACTGCGCATCTCTTCCGGACCCTGTTCCCCCCGCAGCCGGACATCGAAGGCCGACAGGTGGTTACTGTCCTCAACAGCCGCGATTACCTCTTCTTCCGTCGCCATCGTTACGTGTTCCGCGAGAAGCGCGAGACCGAGAAGGCCGTTGTCGGCGCCGACGGCAAAGAGATGAAGGGCGCCGAGGGTATCCGCGCTGGTATGCAGGAGCTGGGTCCGCGGTTCACTCTCAAGCTACGTCGTGTCGATAAGGGCATTCAACGGGCCAGTGGACAGGAATGGGAATGGAAGGGTGGGATGGAGAAGACGAGGACAAAGTTTCAGCTTTAATGTCAACCCCCATTTTCCCTCTTTTATCACCCGCTTTACTACCCCCACTATCACTCCCACTATTATCTTGCTATTCCCAGTAAGTCTTGTTCTTGTTTCTAGCCTTTTGTCGTTGCTCGACTGCATTGGGTTCGGACGGCGTTAGGATCAAAAAGGGTCTGTCTGTCTGTGTTTCATCTTATTCAAGCCATTATGGTATGCTATGTATGTATGTATGAATATGTCACGTTTGGTGACTGGCAGGCTGGCTGTCTATAGAATCAGATACATAAGGTCTGGTCTGGTCTTCATCGTGGCCGGGTTATATAATGTCATTTCTTTGAGCGAAGTCAAATTTCCGAAATCAAACCGGATTCAATCCGACATTGTTGATATGTCCAAGTTTCTTTACTGTTGGTTCATTGTAGTCATTAATAATAGGTCCACGTAGGTAGGTAGGTACTACCTATCCAACGGCTTCCGACCCGTGATCATTCGAACGCTCACACTAACCCGATACCCGCCGGAGAGGATCTCCGCGCGCACCTGGTCACACAAATCTCGCACCTCCTCGGGACCCCAACCGTAGGAAGCTGTCAGCAGACGCAGACTGATTGCTTCCAGGCCCTCGAGGAGGGCAATGAGGCCCATTTTGCCTAGGGTGCGGTCACGGGGATTTTCGGGCCACAGGCCAATGGGGAAGGTGTATTCGTGGACGTGGATGTCGACGAAGCCGTGGGCGCTGAGGAGGTTGGGTTGGAGATGGGTCATATCGCGCAGGCAGCCGGCTGATTCGGCGGCGGAGCTCAGGACCGAGAAAAAGAGACGTAGGTAGGAATTCGTCGGCAGGGAGGTGGTGGTCTCCGCAGCGAAGTCGGTATCGGCGACCTCGAGATACCCTCCGGGGACGAGGTGGCGGAAGGCCTGCTGGTAGATGAAGGGCCAATCTGGGAAGGCGCCGGAGAGGCCGCGGAGATGGATTAGGTCGAAGGGGGCGTGATAGGCCCAGTCATCGCGGGCATCGTCGAGGCGGAAGAACACGTTGGGGAGGTCGACGTGGCCAAGGCCGTTGTCGAAGACGCTGATGTCCGAGGCGATGATGGTGCCGTGGGGGTAGGCGGTGCTCATCTCGATGGCCCAGTCACCTGGTCCGGTACCGATGTCGAGGATGCGCGGCGCATCTGTGGCGATGGGGGCAGCGGTCAGATGGCCGTCCAGTAGGATGAGGTAGATCTGGTGAACGATGTTCAGACGGGTTTGTTCGGCTTCGTCGTTGGGCATGTAATAGGTTTCGTTACAGTATCGGCGGTCGTTCTCCTCGACGGAGTCTATGTATTGTGCCTCGTAGGAGTTGCTGTCGTCGCGATTAGCAGGTCCTGCCAAACATGGCCGAAGGATAGGGGAGATGGTGCTGCCTTACATGGAGACTTCATCATCGGAATCTGGCTCCGGAGGCATAGCCCATGGTTGCTTTTGCGCATGCTCATTCTCGTCCACATCGACAAGAGGCACGTTTTGGCCTAACGGCTGAAGATCTTTTGCCGCCATGACATGACGAACTTGAGGGTCGGTGAAGGGAACGGCGCATCAAGATCGGTGTTTATAGAGGGTCTTCTCCTAGGGAAGGCCGACGCACGCCCGACCAGCTTAGGGCAGCACTTCCTGCAATGGTTCACGTTTGCTTGTTAGGGTTGTAACCAGGGGTAAAGCCATGCGAGTCCGTCGAACATGAGCCACGGGTCCTGATATCGAGCTTCGGTGACACGTGTGAGATGAATAGTTCATCGTTCTTGTTCGACCCAAGGGGACAGGAAGAAAAAGCAAAGATGGCGGAATAGGCCGTGAGTGACGCAACTGGTTAAGCACCGAGTCACAAACACGGAGAATTCTCAGCGGTTTGCAAAAATGGTCGGGACGCACATTGGCCTAGCGAGAAAAGCTTCGCGCCAGGTGCCGAGGGGAGGGGAGAAGGAAGTCGGAGGAAAGAAGGACGGATTAGGAGGGCAGTTGATCAGCGCGAGGCCGTGAAAGTCCACGGAGGCCGAAGACTAGCCCCTGCAACGAGCATGCTGAGAGGCTGAGGGACGTCTCTAGACCCATCAATGCAGGCAGCCTGAAGGGCCGGTTCGATCGACCGGGACCGACCATTTCCTGGGAATCCAACTGCAGTGCAATTAGCGAGGCACACGAGACGCCATGCAGCGGATAGTCCTTTCATTTCCCTCTTTGGGCAGCCCGCCCCATTGCAGGCACTGAGAGGTCCGCCGCTGTTCCCTGGTACTGAGTCAGGCTTAGGCTGGTAGTCAGGGCGAGGTGATAGCCTGATAGGTGGCTTGCAGGCGCAAGCTGGTTGAGGGGGGCGTCTGGCTGGACTCGGGCATCCTGAATTCTGACGCTGGCGGTGCCAGGTTGCTAGCTGGCCGTGTAATGCTAGTGAGGCAGCATTATTGCAAGGATTCGCATCCGTTGCTGGGATGGATTAGCATGCGATAAATCGACATTCTGAGTCAGAACGTGAGTACTCAAATGAGTCAACTGAGGGAGGCGGAGGTGAGGGTGAGAGGTGGAGGAGGTACTGTTTAATGGGAGTACTAGTATTGATAAGTATGGAGTATATAGAATTCAGAGATGGGCTATCAGTAGAATCAGTAGTCTCACGAGAAGTATTAATCCATGGAGAAGTCGAAACCACGGAACGGGCCCGACTCCAACCAACCACCCGAAAGTCAACCACAACCACAACCACAATCGCCCCATCCTCTCATTCCCCCTCCCCGTCCCCTCCCCCTCCTCTCCTCTCTCAATGTCTCCCGCCACGCCCCCCTCCTCAACCTCCCTCACCCTCAAAACCCCGCGCCGCTTCCTCTTCATCGCCTCGATCGGCAACCCGCGACCCTATCGCCAAACCCGCCACAGCGCCGGCCACATCCTCCTCGAAGCCCTCACACCCCTCCTTCCAGCCCGCGCACCCCTCGTCTCCTCCCTCTCTTCCAATGGTCCCCTCTTCTACAAAACCTGGCACAGCCCATCCTACATGAATGAGTCCGGCCCCAAACTTCTCCGCCAATTCCAATCCTGGCTCTCCTCCACCCAAACCGAAACATTCAAGTCCGTCGTACAGCGCGGTCACGTTCGTGTCGTCGCGACCCCCGAGCGACAACATCCCGAGTGGCAACATCCCGAGTGGCAGATCCGCGGCGTGGATCCGGTTTCTCTGCGCCAATTCTCGCCTACATTGGTCATTCTGCATGATGAGTTGGAGGCGCCGTTGGGAAAGGTGCGCGTGAAGAGGGGGGGCCCGAGAAGGCCAGTCTGAGGGGCCATCGCGGGCTGATTAGTGCGTTTGAGAGTTTGAGGGGGAAGGGGCTGTATCCGCCGAAGAAAGGAGGTTTGGGGGATCTGTCGGTTCTGCGCATCGGCGTGGGGATTGGGAGGCCCGAGACGAGGAATCGTGGGGATGTGGCGGATTATGTTCTTGCGGAAATGAGTCCTGCGGAATTGGCGGCCGTGCGGGCCGCTGCGGTGCCGGTTATGGAGGCGTTGGCTGATGAGTTGTACCGGGAGGGGGGGGAGCCGTGATGGTTGTGATGGGATGGAATGGGATATAAATATAGAGGTGGTTTCGAGATACCCCTGTTATTAGTTTTTGGATTTCTCACATAGATGGATGGTCTACATATGTAATCATGGATGGATATGGGAATTCCAAAATAATTTAATGTAATTTTAACAATGAGTTCCCCAAGGCTGTTTTGATGCAGAAGCAGAGATAATTAGAGCGGCTATCAGGGAAATCGACAGGCACGCAGGGTAATAGAACAGATAAGCAAGAAACGAACCCACCCAAAGCAATGTGACACGATTAGACAGTTCCCGCTATGCTCAAATCCCGAATCTCTTGCAACACCTCTTCCACCCGGTTGTCCAGGTCGCCCCGGGCGTACTGGTCCCTCGTCTCCGCATCCAGGTACTGCTGCACCTGCGCCATGCGCGAGTATGCCTCGGCACAGAACCGCAGTTGAATTTTTACCAAAGCCTCGAAACTTGGGTCCAGGTACGGCACACGCAGGTCGATAAGCTGGGGGAGTTCGTTGAAGAGCTGTTCGTTCAACTGTTCATAGGCTTGCTTGGCGATCTCCGTCTCACGCTCCGTCCGGGGAAGCTTCGTGGCGTCCTTGTCGGGCTTCTCGACCAACTTCTTAACCTTGGCGCGCATCGAATCGTAGTCCAGTAGCTTGTGGTTGCGCTTCTTGATGCACTCGTTGATGTCGGGGAAGTAGGCACAGAAACGGGAGATCGGCTCCAGCACGGTCGAACTAAGTGGTGACACATTAGTCCACATTCAAGACCCCACCATCGCGAGGTCGAACATACCGGTACGGTCCATCCAATGCCTTGATGGTTTCGGCATCGAGATCCTCCACGGCTTGCTTGTAGCTTCGACTCACGCCATCATTGGTTCCGGCATCCCCATAGAAAGCATCGATGGTCTCAGCAATACGCATCTGCGATGCGGTCATAGCTGTCCAGGCATCAGCATCCCTCATGCTCGACCGGCATAGAGCTCGGAAGAACCACCCACCTCGTAGCGAGTCCAAGTATCCTTTTGCCTCCTTCTGTAACCGATTGGCGGCAGCTTCCATCGTCCGGTACCGACTGTAGCCATGGCCGTTAGCGATGAGGTTCCAGGCCCCTTGTCTGCCCAAAGGACACCATACCGCTCTTCAATCTCATAGTCGCGATCGTTCGTGCGCTCCACGTGTCCTATTAATTCCAGCACCAGGGGTCAGTGTACGGGGTCGCATCGGTACCCTCCACAGAGGAGATAGGATATATCGGTGATGCTCGTCGCCGAAGCAAGCGGGGAGAACGATCGCGGCGGGGGCACCAGCATACCCGTCTTCATCATCACCTGCGTCGTAGCGCGGTTGACATTTTTCTTGAACCCTGTAGACCATAGATTGACATGTCAGAAGTATGCCCTCGGATACATGCTTCACAAGATGAAACGGGTATTCTGCGCACCTGCCCAGGACATGATGGCAACTAGCGGTCGAGTAGAACGTCGGGGAGAGTGTGAAAGGGTTTCGGAATCAAAAGCTTCGTTTGGAGCAGTATGCGAGGGGGTACCCGGGGAGAGAAGTTGGGGATGATAGTGGCGAGATGAGACGAGAGAGACAGCCCGAACGAATGCGAAAGGCCTCAGAATCCAGATGCCCGATGCGGGACGGATGATGTTCGGAGACGTTCGATTGCAGTGGCTGTGCCCATCTGCCCCCCGTGGCGGTGCCAGGTTCAGTTTTACTGTACTGCGTACAGCCCTACGATGGAACAATACGGCGCTAGGTTGTAAATTACTCGGAAGTAACGGCTGCTCTTTTGCGTACCGAGTTCCGGTCGGGCTCTGACGTCATCCAGTCCCCTTCCACGAGAATCTGGCAAACAGTCTTCATGATGTCAAAGAGTGGGAGACTCGGCTTGTGCCTGAGTATCTGAAGAAAAACGTCATGAAGGACTCGCTAGCCTATCGTTGCGCTGCTATTTCAACCAGTCCGTGCCGCATAATACATCTAGTGCATTATTGGATTTGGCAGAATTGGCACGAGAATCTGGAGGAAGTCCAAGGTCATAAGGAGTATGGGATCCGGAGTACATGCTGCTCCAATGTACTCCGTACATAGGTATCTACTAGTAGTATATGATTATGGTTGCACAAACATTCTTCGGGCTTTCCGAATGCCAGCCGAACCATGATTAATGATTTGATGTCGGGGACTAGCCTATTTACGTAGCGTTTAATTCAGTATGCGACGAGAACCGCGTTTCCCCGCGTTTGTCCGCAATCTAGTGAGGCGTTACTCATGAGCCTGCAGGCTGATACCAACTAGGTGGTCAGATCGATCAATTCACGACTCGAAGAAGGATCGATAAGCGCTTTGGCACACATGCAAAACTCAGTTACGAATCAACTCTCCAATAGATCCTGTCGTACTCCGTATTAGCAGCAGCTTCATCGGGCTGCCTGCACTCTAAACCAAGACATGCAGCTATTGTGTACCATACCAGTTTTGACTTGCGAATGACATTTTGCTCAGACCTCATGGATATAGATAGACGCCTACCTTAGTTCGGGGCTCGGCGATCTCGTTGGCGAATCCCAACCAACTCCTGCTCCATCGGGCTAGTAGATCCAGCCTTGCATGGCTGACACCGACTGTCGATTGCCAATCGAGCTAACCCGTCAGAGTCGTGTGTGTTGGAGGTCCTGTTTTGCCCATAACTAGTCCGATTAGGTAAAAATGGTGCTGCCTGTCCGGGTTGTACTGCATGATCCATCTGGACAATTCCAGCTGCATAGGGCTGGCCAGACTGCCGATGCTGGCATTCCACAACGGGATTGGGTAGTGCCTCGAACAAAAAAAAAAAAAAAAAGGGGGGGGGAGAAAGGGGTTGTTCGATATTGGGTAGAAGACAATTAGAAGATAAATTCAGGAAGAAGAAATGATCCTAGGAACAGGGCGTGCTTTTAACAGCACACAATAAACCACACCACACCACGAGCTATCAACGGTGAGACCGACCACCACCACCACCACCATCAGCTGCTGAGCTGTCTGATCTCCACAAAACAAGGGTTTCAGCAAGCTAGCCTTCCTCCGAGGGACGCTTCCTATTGACCAAGGAATCGGGCTCCTTTTGGGGCTGCATGATGCGCCAAGCAAGCTTGATCTGGCTTGCGTCCGGTGTCGCCCCCGTTTGCAACTCGGCACGGGAATGTTTTGGTGTAATGACACGGTCCATTGGCCAGCCGGCCTACCTGAGGCATCTGATGCATACACAGTACATCCACCCCAACGTACCTAGGTACATGATTTGGGGTCTTCCAGACCCCCTCCGTGTCATCATTGGTTCGGTCTGGCCAGCTGAGGGTGGGAGAATGCAGTGCAGTCCTCCTTGGCTGCCTAGGAATCTTGGCGTCGATAGAAATATCGTCCCAAGACAATAGTAGGAGGTCGCTCGTGCATCGGGCCCGGTGCTAGTTGTACTTTTGATTCACGCGCCCAGACAGGCCTTGGATGGGCCCACAAACAATCATCAGCCTGATGTGCTGTGTAAGAGAGGTCCTTGTCGCATGAAGAATCGCCCCGTTGCAGATGTCGGCGTGTAAGTGTCTCAGCTGCATAAATGGGTTGACAAAAGCTGGGATACATTGCACAGCCGCGGGGAAGTAAGATTGTTACTGGCGTGATAATAATACGATCGGGCAATATCGCGTCCATTTAAGGCAGGGTGAGTATCGTGGCAGCAGCAAGGAAAAAGGGGCAGCTAACGAGTGCCGATGCCAGTCAAGCCATGTATTCCCGAGTCCAGGCGGGCGCTCCTAGCTGTAAAGAAGTCATCGCTTGGTAGCTCCTTGGAATAATCCGCTCCGGACCATTCATAGATGCAGCGACAAGACAATGATAGTTAATCATAAAACATACTTCTTATCGCTGACTCGGATCCGACCTCTGCTAGGGTCTGAATCATCGGACATTGGTCAGATTACTCCGTAGAAAGGGGAGTGAATGGGCACAATAACACTGGAGAAGAACAAATAATTAAAGGCCAAGCTGTGCGGCCGGTGGATCAATCAATCAATCAGTCATATTTGCTGGCATTGCTGCGGTGTACTTAAGATATTCCGGATGGCCAACTCACATGCCGGCAGTCGCCCGGCAGTCGCCCACTTTCAACTCTCAGAATACATAGGAAAACATGACGAGGGTCACATTGGAATATATGCTGCGAAGGGTATCCCAAGAAATTTCACCCTCCCATATTGATACAACCTCCCTGATGCTACATTCCACATAACCCATGATAAAATAAAGAACCACGCCCTGACTAAAGAAAGAAGAAGACTGTCAGCATGATCAACACAACCTGAGTAGAAAAAGATGGTCCCTGTCGATGAGTGTCATCCAGCCCCCTGACAAGACCCATTAAATGTATTTAGAAAACGAGATGATATCAATGAAAGCCTGGGATGCGTGAACTGAAAGAGGTATAGAACGTTGATAGGAAAGAAAAGCTGGAGAATGGAAAGATGGCTCATAGGTCATGACTCTTCGTTGCATTGACATGAAAACATGACGACCAAACTAAGCCCATAAGCTAGTAGGCAGATGGAAATGGAACAGAAAACATGCGCCGGTATAATAGTGTAGAAATCAATGGTGCCTCCTTCTATAGAACAGTCAAGAAGGACCAAATCCCCCCAAAATAAACGGGAGAAACACATGAACCACCCGGGTTTATGGTTTTAGAAGACGCAAGAGGCCGACAGAGGCAGATCCCTCACAAGGGATACACAGTCCGGAACAAACGTCCGATCAATCCGCCGAGACCATGTCCCCCTTCCAGATACGCCACCTGAGCCTCGAGGGCCCAACGGTACACCCCGTCGGGATCAGTATCCTTCTTCGCCTGCCTTGCATAGCTTGATCTCGCGAACCCATTCGGACTTTAAGACCTGCGAGGCATTGATGCGGCGAGAAGGGTTTGGGTCGAGAATAGAGTAGATCACGTTACGGCAACGGGCCTGCGAGACTTGTCAGCTGCTACATCAGGTAATCAGACGGGGTCGGTCAGCCCTTACCCGATGCAAGGTTTCAATGGGAGCGTAACCATCCTCATGTTTACGACCCTCCAAATAACGTTGATAAAATTCATCTTCGTCCTTCCGTGCAACTCGCCAGAGGTGGCGCCCGGTCCTCATGGCCATGTAGATGACACCAGTGGCCCAGACATCAACTGCTCTTGGGTCAAATTCTTTTTCAATATATTCTTCCGGGGCGATGTAAGGAGCTGAGCCACAAAGGCCCGCAGTCATATGGGGTTCTTTCTCCCACGCCATACGGAAGCATTCGCCATTTCCAAAGTCTGTAATCTTCAAGGCTCCGTGGGTGGTCAACAAAAGGTTTTCGGGCTTCAGGTCCCGGTGGGCAACACCCATTTCGTGCATGTATTCAACGCCACGCATGAGCTGTTTGAAGAAGCAATCTGCCTCGGCCACTTCAAGTTTCCCGGCTGCCAACACCAGAGTGTAGAGATCGCCACCTGCGCAGTATTCCATCACTTCACAGTAGTCACCTTTGGCATCTTGCAGAAGATCGAGGGTGTGAATGACGTTAGGGTGTCGAAGGGAAGAGGAGATGCAGAATTCCGAGGTTAACCGCTTCTGATACTTCTTGGTAGTCTCTTGAGGACGGCGGCGGAACTCTTTGACCGCGTACAGCTGCTCGACCTTGGAGTCTCTTGGGTCCACCTTGTGGGATATCCGAACAATACCAAAGGCCCCACGACCAACAATCTCCTGGCATTTGCCGTATTTATCAACGAGCGAAGCGGTGGCATTCGGGCCGCCCTTCTTGTCAGCAGCCAACTTATCCCGTTCGTTCTTGAATTGGTCGATCCATGTTGACATGAGCGACAACTGTTGCTCGTCGACGTGATCTTCCTTCTTCCTGCCGCCGCCCAGCATGTCTCGTAGTAGGTCAGTCAGCTTCTCCTGCCGTCTTGCGCTCCTAAGGTGATGGCTGTGGGTGCCGTCCCCGGGCAACTCAAAACGCTTGTGAGCGGGTGGCCCTTCCTTTTGATCTTTGCCATTGCTAGACTTCGGTTTTTTCTCATTGTCTTCTTTCGTAGACGCCTGTCGGGACGGGGCTCTGGAAGATGGCTTCGAGGATGGCTTGGAAGAGGGTTTAGAGATGGGCTTGGATTGTTTAATGCTGGCATTTGAGGGGGCTTTGACACTCTCTGTGCTGCTATCTGAGAAGTCGCGATGCGACTCCGGCTCTTTCAAGGTGGACTTCCCGGTATTGGAGAACATGCGGGAGATGCGATTGGCCATGGTAGGTCTAGTGGTCTTTGCGGGGGTCGGGGGAACGGGGAGGACATCCCCATTCACGGCGGACATATTCATGCCCGCTAAAGCACGTGTTACCTGAGACTCTCCATCGCGGGAATCGTTGGAGAACTGTGATGCTGCGGCGGAGGAGACTGCGGAAGGTACTGGCGAAGCCGATTGTGGAGTCATGTGCGGTAGTGAGAAGTGGTGGGTGCACGGAGGTTTGAGAGGAACGAGAAAGCCCCCGTGGCAAAGTGGGAGATTAGAAGCCTACAGCGCGAAGCTGCAGAGGCCAGCGACAATGGCTTTTGGAAAGAAATTGAGAGATGCTGAGGAAAGTTGGGAGGACGGGGGGAGAGGAGAGAAAAAAAGTTGCGGTGGCCCCAGTCGGTCGTGGTGATTGTGGCCTGAGGCGACGGTTTTGACTTTGTAAGGTGACGGATGGAAATGACTTCGGATGTGGAAATTACAATAGGAGTTTTTGAGTAGAGAAAAAGTAAATCATGCAGCCAAAGAAGAAAAGAAAAAAGAAACAAGAAAAAGAGAATAAATAAAAAATAATTAACTAAACACAAAAAAAAATTTAAAGAAGAAAAAAAAAAGCACGGCGCAACAAGGCACGGAATGCCCAGATGGAACGGTACAGACTAGGGTCCTCGAAATAAGACTTGGCTCGTTGCCTTGCGAATTCCACTTAAAGTCAGGGAGGAACAGGTGTGGTGATGAAAATTACCCCGGGGGAAGGCTGCGTATGGAGGAACTACTAGTAGTAGTAGGGAGACGAGACGAGGAGAAGGAGGGCTCCTTTCAGGGCTGCCTACCGGGGGGCCCAGGTTGAAATACCCTAACTGGTACCGTAGTCCGCCACGGGCGTTGCAGGTTGGTTGGTGCCGGTAGGTAACCTAACCTACTATGATGGAGGAGGCAGTGGTAAAGTAACCAAGCAAATAGCTGAGGAGCCCTGATGGGGGTGTGGGCTGGCTAGTTCGCTTTGCTTTCTCCTCCCAGCTACCAGAAGCAACCAGTCCTTTTCCTCGCTGGAACGGCGATGATGATTAACGATTATTATTACTGTTGTCTTATTAATAATCCTCAAATTGTGGGAACAGCTTCTGGTGACTCGGTGAGGTTACAAAGATGAGGGACTTTCCCGTTGTTACCGGATGTGGAAGAAAGGGCAGCGCCCCTCTTCTCCCCTCAAGCCTCCGATCAAGTCTCTGTGGTGCTGGAATATCTTTCAGGTTCTCGGGTCAGCGTCGAGTAAGAATAATGAAATCAAGCTGAGTTCCAGTAGGCAGGTCCTCATACGCTCGCTACCGCCTCCCGTTCGCAGGTCTGAGTTGGCCTTTTGGTACGGTAACCAGATGGTATCATACAGTTGCAGCCACACTGTTCCACTTCCCACCCACAGAACAATATCCCCTAACGCCTAGGAAGGAGGTACCCTGAATGTCCAGGGAACTTGACGGTGTCTCATCATCATGCTTGCCTTTACGGATGTAGTCGGCTGTGTTCACCACGCCCATGCTTGCCACTATAAACATATCTATGACGTCATACAGATCCCGGCTCAAATTAATAATAATGCCCTGTCCTCGGGGAATTCTGGCAACCAGCCTGCGGTGGAAGCCCCCATGACTAGGGTACCTGGTACGGGGGCAGTACTACTGGTGGTAATAATCAATCCGCAATCGGCTTTGCTGACGACCTGAATATAATACCAGAGTGGCGCGGGCGTCTCGCTCGTCTCGTCTCCTCCTCAGTTCCTCCAACAACCTTCTTAACCTGGCTAAGGTACAGAAGAAGAGTCAGGGCGTGTTCTCTCCTGCGACTGCGCGAAGTTGCCATCAGCTGTCCGTGGGGACTAACTAATCGTCCGGACTGGGTCTGCTTCCGCGTTCACATACATCAGCTCCTCCTAGCCAACTATCTACTCCGTAGATACCCCGTCTCGCTTCGTTGTCCCGGCAGTCATTACGCGCAACCAGTATCAGCATTGCTGGCTGTGAATGGAGGATTGTTCTCCCAAGAAAACAGCAACTTCCCCTCATTTCCTACACGAAAATCAGTCGGATGACGTCCGCCTCCCCGGCCAGTCTGAGGCGGGATCCTCCACGCTTGGTCTCGCTTGGTCTCGCACATTCCCCAAAATGACGTTTGTTCCACGGCCGTATTGAGGACGCGATTAGTCACTGACTCCTGACGACCTTAATTTTCGGATCCCAGCACTGCAGATGCCGCACAGCCTCAATCCAACCCTCGGTCCCCGCACACCCATTGACGGGAGCCGATGGCTTGGGTGGCTCACTGGCTCGATGCACGACTGGTCGGCGAGACGAGTTAGTTCGACGCTCGTCGAGTCTAGTCGAGTACTCGGATGCCTCGTGCAGGACTATCTATGATGGATAGGGAGTAGGCCGTAGCTTGCTGCTGTGGCGGCTCCTCCATGCGTGGCAGGGAGTTCCACCTTCATCTCCGTCGGCGTAGGTTTACCTACTAGGTAGAACTTAGAAGACGATACTCTAGCAGAGTCATGCTACCCCATGAGGGGTAATAGCCCAAGTAAGTAATCACACTCAGGTCACTCACATCGAAGCCGACTCCGCCAGAGAATCGTAAGTAGATACTAGATGATTAGCGGCCAACCCTCTCGACCCCCTCAGAGAACGGTGCCCACCAGTCAGTGGTCGCAAATTTCGCAAATTTCGCAAATCCCGCATTGTACCTTCATATGTTTTGGCGGGCACTGATGCCAAGCATCAATCTTGTCTGCCTACAGGTGAATCTCATGCGATCCTGCCGATTCTTGGACCCTTTCTTGAGAGACTGAGGGTTGCCAGTCCATGCCACTAGATAGGCGGGAAACACTCACTGCTGCTCGGGTATGTGGGCAGGATCCCTCGGTGGCACCGATATCCATGTACAACATCCCTTCTGTCGTGGAACCCTCCCGCGTCAATAATGGAAGCGACTGCATGAACCTCATATAAACTACCTACTCCGTACTGCCTGGACCACGAAACGGGGCTGGTTCTAGTCAACAGCCCCTTGTCTGGACACGGAGAAAACTAGTATACGCCTTCGCAGGCCCCTTACTCTGATGTTCTAACCTGTGATCGGATCGAAAACCGAATCCCACTCGAGTTGTTAGCCTGAGATGGAGGCAGCTTTCTTTTATGCACATATCCCGTTTGGGTGCCGATGCTCGAGGGTTCCGTGTGGGGGGTCAGCAGGTATCGAGAATCAGGGCGAACGGATGTCTAAAGTTATCAACCCTCATTTCGTTTTAGGAGCTGGTCGAGAAAAGGAAGGAGGAGCAGGATTTGGAGCAGCAGCAGCAGCGGCGGCGGAAGCAACAGCGAGGCCAAGGTGGACGGTGCCTCTCGTACCCCCAAGCCCTTTAAACAAGCAACTATAGGATGCAAGGCAGGTAACTCTCAAGCCGTCTGGCGGTCATTGCTCCGCCGAGAAGGTTTATCATTGGCATCCAAGAAAGCAGGGTAATCAATTGCAGCTCTAGCTGGCGACCACTCTCAAGAGTTGAAACCAACCCTCCGGTTCTATCTAGGGGTTGCAACTGACGTGGGTTCTCCGTAACGGCGTAAACAGCTGCACCGGACCTCGGCCATAACTCTCGACTCTTTACGGCGTAGGTTGATGGGCCTAAAGAATCAAAGGAAAGAAGACAGGTGGCCGACTGGGGGGGGTGACTGGGGGTTTGCGCAGTCACAGTGGGCAGGTAGGGATCGTTGATTGATTGACAGCCACCGTGTCTAATTAACAGCCCTGATGTTGATTTGCGGAGATCCGCTGATAACCATACTACTAGTAGTGCTACATGAACATGCCTGACTGCTGCTCCTCGGAAGTACCCTGTACTTACTCCGTATAGTACATAGAGCTAAGATAGCGTGCTCTCTTTGAGAGGGCAATTGTCAGACAGTCCGACCTGTACTACACCGGGAAATACTATTACTACTAGGTAATAGTATCTCTCTAGCATTTACTTGGTCTTGAACCGAGACAGGGATTCCAAGCTTCAAGTTCCCACGCGACGAGCCAAACTACGACTAAACAGTTAGGGCCAGACGAGAAATGGTCTGCAAGTGCTAGATACCACTGGCTAGATACTGCTGCTATCACCACTTACATACTACTAGTTAGTAGTGGGCTACCAGGTACCAACACCGTCAGGGAGGGGAAGGACAGAACCTCCAGGACTAGGAGAGTTGAACCTGACGGTGCGGCGGAGACTCCATGCCTTTTCTGCATGATGTACGGCGTACACGGTCGAAGCCGAAGGATAGCGTTGCGACCCATTTGCACGAGGGATTTTTCCCGGCCAATGGCAGGACACACGATCTGATGAGAAGAAAGGAAGAAAACGGTCCCGTCGAGATTAGGATGATTCCTGTCCACGATGGATGCACCAGCAGGTGGGTCGGTCCGAGGGGCCTTCATGTCTTGTCTACATTACTAGTTGGGGGCCACTAAACCTGGCCGAGACTTGGTGGAAAGCTAAGTGTTGATTTGGATTAAATAATGATCATTCACTAATCCATTGAACTGTCACGTTACTTGATACTTGATACTTGATACTTCGATACTCGATACGGAGTACATCTTGTCGTCTTGTCATCTTCTTCCTGGCCCCATGGCTACGGTGCAAGTCAATAAGTAGCTAGTCGTACAGACCGACCGACCGACCGACCGACCGACCGGAGAGGGAGCTCTGGATCGGCCAGGACCTAGACCTCAGCAACTGCAGCCAGTCCAAGCTCGACGGGATAATCAGCTCTTCTTCCGTACGTACGTTAGGTCTGCAGTGGTGATTGTGATTTGGACCGATCGCTGATAGCCGTGGAGGATTGGGGGAGGAAGCCAACCCTGGCTCCGGCTGCATACATCTGCGGGCGCAACAAAGCAATCGGGGCAATGAACAACAGATCAGCGTCGACTAAACACTCCCACGAAAGGTAATAATAATAATAATCAATCATGACGATTATGAAAAAGAAAAAGAAACGGAGGGGAGGATCGGAACGCCCAGCAACCGCCTTCCGATACGCAGCTAAGAATACCACGAGTATGTATGTATCGATGGATGTAAGGATGTATGGATGTATGGATGTATGTATTATACTTGAATTACTATACTAGGCCTACGTAAGTGACGGTGCCGAAAAAGACCCGGCCGAACCCCAGGCTTGGATGCCTGCAAAGATGGAGAATAAGTCCGGAGTACTCCGTACTAGGCCAGAAACTACAAAGGGCCCTGTAGGGGTCTGGCTTAGGCACCGGCGAAAGGATGGCATGGTGCGTAGGCATAATACGCATTATAGGCAGGTAGGTAAGTATTCACCAAGTCAGCCCCAGTTCAACGGTTTGATGGTTTGACCGCTAGTATCTCGATCAGACAATCATTCCGCTGCAATGGAGGGTTAGTCTCAGTCTTCACGGTGCACCGATGGGATGATCAGGCTGGACACCAGAGCCATCTCGCGTAATGCCAATAATGATTACGGGCCCCCCTCCTGGATGAATTGGAATTGAGGGTTGACCATCCTGGTGCGGGAAGACACTGCCATGTGGTATGATGAATGATGATAATACGGAATGGATCCCGACGTCCTTTAATTTTATGGTCGCTGTGGGACAGCCACCGCATGGGGATCACCGCCATCAACCGGTAGCAGATTCCATGTCATTGGCTCTATCTAGCAAAAACAGCATCCCCTTAAGTTCGTATCTCCCAGACGATCTTCCCGGACCCCATCTCACCTCCTGGTTGGGCCTCACCTGCGGAATATGACTTCACCAGGCACGGACTCCGCGCATTCCGTCCACACCACCGTGATACAGAGAATCAGAGACGGTGTCTTGGAAGACGGATTCATTCGCCGGGCACGGCAGCAGTGGGGAGTTACACTCCCTAGTCCCTCTCCACGTAAACTAGCCGAAGAGGCGAATGACCGCGCAAAGGGGTGGGTTCAAGCTTCGTCGCATCCGCGTGTCCTTACACAGTACTCCTTCCCGAGCCAGATTAAGCTGCTTCAAGCCCCATCTTCTATACAGATTGCTGCTGCGCCAGCCGCTGTGGGTGAAACTCAACTTAAGGTGGGACCATACCCAAAACCTGACGGGAACCACTGCTGCAAATGCTGCTGTGTCAAATCCATGCACATGCCTAAATATCTGGCACAATGAGGACAACTCGCTCCGGCAACACGGCATCCTCAGTTATCAGATGATTGCTGGCGGGTACAGAAATCTTGATCATGCGGAGACTGAACCGCAATAACATCTTGAAGATCCCCTCGACTTGCTCCTCGGCGGCCCAGCAACCCAAATCTTGGGAGCTTAAGCTTCCCCATTACGAAACGCGTCGACCTATCAAGTCTGGGTTGAGTCCAGCTCGCGTGCAAAGAAATCAACAGCTATGGTGCCCATGCTGCGCCAGCTCTCCTCTCTGACCGTATCTTCGTCGCTCAGCAGCAGTTGTTAATCACCCCGTGAGTCACTCCGAGCTGAGCGTGCTTGGCAAGCAAATCTCGTGTTCTGGCGCAGGCTAACCTTATCGAACCCAGCCTCTCCAACAATCCTCGCGCAAGGAACAGTCAGACGGACCATGCGAACCCGCAGTAAAAATAGGATGGAGGATGGAGGATGGAGGATCGGATCATGCTGTGCACACCTGCGCGACGGATTAGGTAAGGTAAGAATAAGATAACGTCAGCCATGCTGAACTTTATGCAGTCCATCAACAGGAGGGAACGAGTAACGACACCACCCAGTCCTTCACGTCGCCCTCTGGCACCACCCCATTGGTCTCTTCAAATCGCTCACCAGCTTCAGCAACTGTCACACCGATAGACCGCCGATGATGGAGCGGGCGGCGGTGAACAAAGGTCTCCGTGCGATCCAGGCCGTGGCGAATTACTTCAACGTGAGTCAGGCCGATGTCATCGACGCCGTTGAGTTGATTTTTGGCTGTCCAATATCGACCCAATCTGTAGCTGGTAGCTGAAGCCTGTCTTCCTGACACCTCCTTTCCATTGTGCAGAATGGCCCCAAATCCAAGCCAGCCCTACCTTACACATACCCAATCAATCTACAAGACCCGAACAAAGCATAGATCTAGATCTCGATATGGCGATGAAGACCAGGATCTCACACCATCCTCTCCAACGCCATACTCCACTCAACCCCCAATCACCTCACCTTCAACCTCTCACCTCTCACCTCCTACCTCCTCTTCCATAGTTTGTCTAAAAGTAGCCAACACCATGACATCTTCAAACTTAATCTAAACCCAATCCAAATCTTCAATCCTTACACAAGCTACATAGCACACAGTACTATGTAGATACAACTACGTAGCCTTTACTATGTACCAGCAAACCTGACATCAATCTTGCATCAACCCCTTCCAATCGCACTTAAATAACCACTTCTCACCACGCCCATCACGACCAATCCATATTCAAACATACTTCCACAATACACACACCGAAGACCAATCAAACAAAAATGTCCAACCGCTACGAACGCTCCGCCGAAGACGCCTATGAGGCGCAGAATGACCCGTCCCCGGTCTCAGGCACTTACCGGGATAACACGTATGCGCACGAAACGCAATCCAGCCTGAGAGGTCAGGTCCCCGTTGCCAAGGACGAGGATTACTATGATGATCCGATGCAGCCCCCGTATTCGAACTCGGATCAGCAACTTGGTGTGTTTCTTTCACCTTCTCAGAACAGGGTGTTGGTGTGTATATGGCGTGGAGAATGGTTGCTAACTTGAGACTGTGTAGCACGCGATGAAGACGAGGCGCTTGATCAGTCAAATGTAATCCAGGGTCGAACCCGTGGGGCCAAGCCGCAGACCAGGAATCTGTATAATGAGGGTCCTGAGGAGGATGACTTGCCCGATGAGGTCCTTTATGGAAATTCAGGTGTGTCGAGTATCTAGGTCTAGTTGAGCGGCTTGCATTGTGTGATATTGAGGATAGGATTGATTTGATTTGATATTATATATATTATGTAAAGTATTGTCTGAGGGGAGTAGGTAGTGGTTCAATTAGAGACATGACTCGTAAATCGTTGATCCCTGCATTACTGACAGACTGTTCCTGGCTAAACCGGGTGTCAGTGCGAGGCGGCCCGGGGTGCTCCATTAATTCGGGGCTTTGCAATATGCGCTGAAGTAATTCCCCAAATCCATATATTGCTGGATAAGCTTGCAGCATGTCTCGGCGAAAGGATCCAGGGGTTATCCTCGCCGCACCCGGTCTATCGGCTGTATGACGATATAATGTAGTCATATAGACGCGGGATGGAGAATGGGCCGACGTTGACGCTCTGTGATAAGCTTCGTGGTATGAGCTTGAGTCACATTGCAACCCAGGTTCATGGGTGAGTTAAGTAATCATGTAGATTCCTGATTTCAGGCCAGCACACGAGTCTATTGCCTTGTGAGATGATATCCAACTAAACGAAGACGAGGGCACATACCACAAACTGTTCCAGAGACTCTTCAAAGAGCTCATTGTTCACCCCAATTCCACCTGGGTGCTCCACGGGTGACAATGGGTTCTTGACCACTGGATATAAACAGTCAGCCCAAGCTCTACTATATGGTGTTCGCGTTCGGACCAACAGCATACCGTATTCGACGTAGAGATTGATGTAGATCTGCTGGAGGGCAACCCGCATGCTTGGACTTTTAAGATCCGTAAGCATCACGAACTTGATATTGGTCGGGGTCTCGTAGTAGTGTAACTTGTATTGGCTCGTCCGGTACGTGACGAAGCTAATCGTGGTCGATCGTCAACGACAGTCCCCACTCGGGATCCCTCGCAGCCGTGGGTGGAGAGGGTCCTTACTTATCGTCCTCGCCTCCTAGCTTACGAGCCATGTTCCGCAGGGAGAAAACCGTCCCGAAGATGAGCTTGGCATCGTCGTCGGTGGTGCGCGCCGATTGACCTAATGTCGTGGGGAGGCCCGGAGCCGACGCCTCGGAAGTTGGCCGTGAGGATTTGCTGCCCACCACGGAGGCTGGGCGCGGTAGCCAGCGCCGTTTATAGATGCATTCGGCTAGCAAAGAGAGCAACGATTAGTATCGCCAATTAGGACCGATAGAGGTGGATACGGGAGAGGTACCATGCCGGTCGAAGATGTAGAAGGAGTACACCACCATTGCGCCAAGGAAGGTATAATAAACACTATTTTGGAGTTACCGGGGAGCTGGGAGAAACTGAATTTATCCTGAAGAATGAAGAGAGCAGGACGACCCAAGAAGGGGGGGGGGGGGGACGGGGAGAGGAGGATGGAGCGATCGGGATCAGTTGAATTAGACTCGGGGTTGTACTCGTGGGCGGTGAGCAGCTCACGGGGCCGATCCACGGTTATCGATAAAAATATCCTCGCCGTACCTCGCCGTCACAACAATCTTATTATTATTGTGAGATCAAATATGATTCTTGTTTAGGAAGCATCCCTTGTTATTACAACAATATAATATCTGTGGGCCTGGAAATGAAATTTCCCCGAACAGGCAGGTGAAAACACCCACCTGAAAAACAGAAGAAAAAGAAAATAAATAGATCCCTGGACAAGCGTTAGGCCTACGTACTTAGTAGTATCAGCCTTACTTTAAAAAAACGATAGACGGGGATTAATCCTTCAGCGCTCCTTCCTCAGCTGGGCATCCAACACCACTTCGACCACTTGCCCCCTCTCGCCGACGATCTCTTCCCCTCTCCTCCTCTCTCTCTTCCACGGTTTCCTTCTCGGATTTCGCACCCAACATTCCATGAGAGGATCGTTGATGATCTTTTTCCCCTCCTCCTCCTCCTCTCCTGTTTGAGCGCACCACCACCACCCTGAACCCTTTCTCGCCGGACCCTCGGCGCAACGGCTGCTTATCTCCATTTCCTCGTAATCCCCGATCTTCCCCACACTTCATCACAGGCAACCGCCATTTTCCTCCCCCTCATCGCTGCCGACCAAGACAGCCAAGGTCCGGTCTTTGTGTGAAACCCTCGGCATCCTTGATCCTTTCCGCTGCTGTCCCGTCGTCTGCATCCTCCAATGGCCCAAGGGAATGCCGAACTTCCCCAGCAGGATGCCAGTCCGATCATCACGGAGCGGCCGCCGAGGCCGCCGCCCTTTCGTTATGGGTGAGTTGGACTTCTCTTTGGCATGATCATCGGAAAGCCACCCAGCCTTGGGCCGGGCCTCTCTTCAGCGATTCATCTCCCCCCAAAGTTTATGTTCGGGATACTGATTCGGACCGGAATTCAGTTCCACCCCTTCATACGAAAGCCCCCAGAGACATCACCGCCGGAACCCAATAGTCAGGCGTCCAGTCAAGGTAGATCACTTTGCTCCACTGCCTCTCAATTCCTCCAAAATTATTTTATCCCGTCATTTTGATTGTTTCCTACTGACACATCCGACAGGAAACTCTTAATGCTCGATCCGAATATTATACAAGCCAGGATGATGGTACTGCTGAGCATAGGATTAATCAATATGTGATCAAACAGGAGATCGGCAGAGGATCATTTGGAGCAGTGCACCTGGCTACTGACCAGTTTGGAAACGAATATGTACTCCCCCTTGTCCCGTGGTACCTTCACAAGATGTTTCAGGGCCATTGCTGACAGAGTTTGCGCCTATTTAGGCTGTCAAGGAGTTTTCCAAGGCTCGTCTACGGAAACGTGCACAGTCGCATCTTCTGCGCAGGCCTCGAGGCCCCAAGCGTCCTTCTGATGGGTTCAACTCCCCGCTGCATCGCCGGCCCCCAGGCGATGCTGAGCACAGAGAGAATGCCCTCTATCTAATCAAGGAAGAGATAGCCATCATGAAAAAGCTGAACCATAATAACCTCGTGTCCCTAATAGAGGTTTTGGATGATCCCAAGGAGGACTCGTTATACATGGTCATGGAGATGTGTAAGAAGGGTGTGATCATGAAGGTTGGGCTCGAGGAAAGAGCCGACCCCTATGATGACGACCAGTGTCGCTGTTGGTTCCGGGATCTGATTCTGGGCATTGAGTACCTGCATGCACAGGGAATCGTACACCGAGACATTAAACCAGATAATTGTCTTTTGACGAGCGACGATGTTCTGAAGGTCGTGGACTTCGGTGTGTCTGAAATGTTCGAGAAAGATTCGAATATGTTCACCGCAAAATCGGCCGGCTCTCCTGCATTTCTCCCGCCGGAACTATGTGTGGTGAGGCACGGAGATGTCTCGGGCAAGGCCGCAGACATTTGGTCCATGGGTGTCACATTATACTGCCTTCGATACGGTAGATTGCCCTTCGAGATGCAGAGTATTTTCGAGCTCTATGAAGCCATCAAGAATGACCCTGTGGTTTGCGAAGGTGAGAGCGACGAAAATTTCAGGGATTTGATGTCACGGATTCTGGAGAAGGACCCCACGAAACGGATACAGATGGAGGAGTTACGAGTAAGCTAAGATAGATGCTGTCTTCACGCCATTAATTTGCTTATAGATTGCATACAGGAACACCCATGGGTGACGAAGAATGGGCTTGATCCTCTATTGCCAGAAAGCGAAAACACCGTTGAAATCGTCGGCCTCCCCACAGAAGAAGAAATGAACTCTGCCATTACAAGGACTATTGGTCACGTCCTCGCCGTGGTGAGTCAACATTCTCCCCAACTCACGTTCTCCGACCGGACAGCTGCAAGCTAACAAGGATTATAGATCAAAGCTGTCAAACATTTCAAGAGACTCATCGACCCGGCAAAGGCGGATCCGCCCATGCAAAGTATCCTAGGTCAAGAGTATGAGACCCACTTTGTTGAGCCTCCTATGGAAATGGAACCAGACGAAAGCTTCTCAGCCGGCAATATGTCTGTCCTCAACAACAAGAGCCAGAGCCTGAACACATATAATAGGAGACCCTGGGAACGCGATAACGTCCTGCAAGGATATCATCGGCGGCGCGAGGATCTTATCTTCAATCAGTTCATAGACAGTAGCGAGTCTGTCAGTTTCCAAGGTAAACCTGACCCTACTCCGGGCAGCAACAGCAGGAATACGCCCAGGCTCGAACCTGAGAGGAAGGATTCTGGGTCCTTTCGCAGCACCAATATCGGCGGGGGGTCTATTGATGACTTACAACTAAACTCCACGCCTCAGTCCCCATCTCCTTTTGTCCCTCTGTCTCGAGCAAGCTCAGTCACTACAAAACGCAGTATTGAGGGGACTCGCGGGCATGCACGCGATCCTTTAGAAGAGGAATTTCCATTTTTGTACATCGGGCCTTCAACGTATACTGGCTCCTCGGAAGAAACCAAAGAGGAATTAGATGCCGACCCAATCTTCGAAGAACCAGATACCATGATCTCCACCGAACCTGCCGAAATGGACACGGATCTGTCCTATCCAATTGTGAGCGAATCACCGGGCGCCGCCGAATTTGACATCTACGAGACTGCATATCGACAAGAAATAGAACGCATCCGGACACGTACTCTCCCAAGACAGGGCACGATACCTAAGATGTACCTTACTCGTCGCGTGGAAGGTCGAGACGATGTGAAGAAACTAGTAGGGCAGGATGCCCCTGATCTAAACTTCGGGGCCGGCAGAAAGAATACCGGCTTAAGCCTGAGCTCTGCAGTCAGCGCAATTCGGCTTCAGCTGGAGCAGCAACAGAAACTAAAGGCTGCACAGAACCAAAAACCAGCTCAGCCCTCTTTGCCATCCGCATCTATCTCAGAACCTATCGCATCATTGTCTGCGGCGACCGGTACCGCAGCTCCCGATACATCGAACTCAGAGGCTTCTTCAATCAGGTTAAGAAGCTTGCTTGATCGTGTCAGAAGTAGTCAGGATCCATGACGGAGAGAGGTCTAAACGGGTCCCGGGTCAGGATTCTTGGGTACGGGTTGACAGTGGCAGGCCAATGAAAGGAAAAATTTCCGATTCAACAGACAAGATAAGAATCTGGCGATACATCCCATGTCACATATTCCTGGCAACCTCGTTTCATACTGTAAACGTACATGCAAAGGCGCTTCGTGTGACAGCCAAGCGTCGTAAATGGAGAGTATTGTAAGTCAGATCGTCGCGTCTATATAGCCGTATCCTACAATAGAAGATGCTACAATACGACATGGTCATATGTGGTGTCAACATATGGCGCCTTCTCTGCTCATTTCCTGTCTTCCTTTTCCTTTCTTTGATTTTGTTCCCCCCCTATTTGCCTTGTTTTTCTATTCCAATGGCACGGCGATCTTTCGAAGAAGAGCTCAAGCTGTACATGTAACCCGTCAAGAACTGATCACTAAAAATTAGTAATTATACAAATTATTGGGTTCTAATGATAGAACTCCGCGCCTGAATATTGCGAAGAGCGCCAAAAAGAAAAGAAGACATGACCAGTGGGAAGGGGGCCACAATGGGAAAGGTGAAGAGAAGATGACGGAGGACAAGGAAAGCTGTATCCCAAACAAGCAAAGTCAATAGGCCACGTAATATTCATTATGTTCGTATGGATCGAAATTTAGGGGGGGGGGTGCTCCCAGAATTCGATGATGTGCAGAATCGATATGCAGGAAAAACCATCAACTCAGTGCGTCATAAAGCAGCATGTATGCATATAGAGAGAAGGAAGGGAAATCATGAAGCTTAAGAAGAAAAGTAAACCAGACAGACCCTGGGGATGACGTTGACCGACTTTTGCATAAATGCAGGTGTTTGCCGTGTGCGCAAGACATGCCAACTAACCAAGAGGAAAGAAATCGGACCTGTCTGTCCGACGCTTCAACTCGGACATAGGTAAGTATATCGATCCACCACGTATGAGCAATCAAATTGACAATCAAGCCGCCCCGCTGAAGAGTGGAACTCCGGTACGCGAGGATAAATGGAGGCTGGAGTAGGAGAGAACGTCTATAGTATGCAACGCTCGTTGCCTTGTTTTCGTTACAACTCATTTCGAGTTACTCCCTGGAGGAGGCTTCCGGGTCAATGCTATCTATCGTTCATGATCAAGGTTGTCGTTCATTCATCGTGCCAATAAGACTTGTAGAATCAGGTATGCTTTTAGTTCCTGGCGTCATTCTGGTCTGGTCTCAGGCGGTCTGGTCATAGGTAAATCCGGGGCTGAGGTGGGCGGTTCGTCTGGGAATCTGCTGGTGGGGTGCATAAGAATCCTTCGGTTGCTTTGCAAGAACGGGTTCCTCTCTGGTGGAAGAGACTCGAAGGACGGTCCGGGTTCTCTTCGTGTGAGTGCCGTTTCTCTATGACCCAACTGTAGGGCCTGGGGGGAAGGCAGCGTCTGTCTTATCTCGGGTGGGCGTGGTAGCTCTCTCATTGTAGGGCTCATGTCTTGGTTTGGCAAATCCCTTGGTCGCTCGTCGCTACTCGGTCCCATCAGTGCCACTGGTCTCCCCGGTGGAAGAGCATAGTGCATCTCATGCCGCGATAAGTTTGGCGGCCGACTGCTGCTGACCTGGGGGGGGAATGATGGCCCCCCCGTTCCAATTCCAGAGGGGCTAGTAGGAGTAGATGACCCTTTCACCTTGTTAGAGCCAGATCGTCGCGGGGGCGGATATGTTTCTCCTCGGGCCTCAGCAGCTGCTTTGCGCCGTTCCGATTCAGCCTTGCTAGGTCGTCCTCGCTTCCGTGGGGGCTCGCCTCTGGCATTAACGCTCTCCGAGCTTGGGGATAAAAGGGCCGAAGCACCACTCTCGCTACTGTAGGAGGCGGTGCTGGTCGCGGGACGTGGTTGGATTGCGCGTGGGGCACGGATGACCTTGTCTGAGGGAAACAAAGGCCTCTTGCGCAGAACGCCACTGCTTTCCGGGACCGTTGCCGGGATAGAGGGCTCATGGGGTGGCGGAGGAATCGAGCCAAGGCTTTGAGTGACCGAGATCTGGACATGTTGACACATGTTATAGAATGCCTGCTGGCAGGAGTTGAGGGAGCGGCCTGGACAGAACTGGGTTAGCAACGCTAACTCAATTATGCAGTCCAAGAAAGGCCATCCTAATGAGCAGCCAATACGAACAAGACATAGTCGCATCAACTCAGGCTGGCCCAGGGTAGAGGACGAGCAGAAGGTGCCGGCGGATCAGTACCTTGAGGAAGGGGTATATCCGCCCAGCCTGGGATAATATTAAAATCCCTTATGATTCTCACAAGATGATGCGACGGAACTCGAGCCTTCTTCAGGATTTCCGTAAGCAGAGTGTACTAGAGTCGGCCACAATCCCGTCAGCTAACAGCACATCGAATTCCGACAGCAGATGGGTTTTCGTGTCCAGTCCCATAGAATGATGGGGAGCGAAAAAGAATAAGCGGCCCTACCTTCTCCTCCTCAGTCCATGGCCTTTCTGGTAGATTCGACATAGCCAGCAGACCATGGAAGTATAAATAGGCGGCTTCCCGGCTTGACAGACAACCCAACAAACGAACCGAACGAAAACCGACGCCAGAATACAGACTGGAATCAAGCTATAAAGAGTGACGCGTCACGCGACTACGGATGTAAAACAGTATAACGAGCAAAACAAAACGCCAACCAGGACGGGACGCACCAAGCAGGAATGGACAGGGAATTCGAAGGGAAATAAAAATAGAAATAGAATAGTGACAAGAGAAACAGGAAAAAGGACAGAACTGTCACAGAGCCTCCCAAACGGAATGATGCGTCTACACCGGTGTATCAACACGTGGGCTCTCAAGTAGAGATGCAAAAGTGAGTTAGGGGCACAGTGAATAGAGACCAAGAGTGAGGTTCAGTACAAAGGTCAGCAAATGAACGAAAGGAAGAAAAGCTGTTGCATATGGGTTGAATAGCAGACATTGAAGGTTGGGATAATGTTCAGTGGTGAAGTGGGACACATGAGAGCCCTTAAGCAAAGAAGCCAAAATTAAACAGCGTAAGGAGAGGCTATAGAAATGAAACAACACAGTAGAAACACCATAAACTGAATAAAAAGATGTTTCTGTCCTTCTGGTTACCGCGTGGAACAAAGGCTTGGGAAAAGTCCAAAAGGAGGGATAGGAAAGAAGAAAAAAAAAAAAAAAAAAAACAGAAGGGGATTTTTTTTTAAAAAAAAAGGGAATGGAGATAAAAATAAACGATGGGACTAGAGTGGATCGTGGCCCTAACAGAGAGACGTCAGGGCAGTTGCCCGTCGTCGTTGCTGGAGATCGAATGAATTTCTGGGAAGAACAGTTTCAACGGTGCATACTGGTACCACACCGAGAGGTAAGAACGAATGTAAGAAGAGGGAAAGGGGGGAAACGAGAGACGCTCGACCAGTAGCGAGGTAACACTGTATCCTCCCAGGAACTTTTTCTAACCAAACGGACTTTTTAGTTCGGGACTGCGCAGGAGAGAACTGGTGCAGATGCCACAGGCATGCGTCCGGTTGGCAAGAGGGAAGCTGCAGGGACTCCTATTCTTTAGTTGCCCTCTGCCTTGCGACTTTCGAGGGCAGGACGAAAGAGCCACTATGGGTCAGAACTTAAGTAACTCGAATAAAGGATGGCGGACCTAGCCCAACCAGCCTGAGTGGGATTAGACCGGAAACTACCGAGAATAGGATAGTGTTTCAAGAGCGATGGTTTCAAGATGACTTCAAGTGTCGGTGCCATTCGTAGCAGAGGGGGAGGGGGGTTCAAACCGCACTCTCACGAGGGAGGGGCGCATTAGCTCTGGAATTTCCGAGCCAGTTTGAAAAGGACCAGGAGGGGTGCCAAATGGTAGGGAAAGGCTAAGGATGCATGAAAGCTGGGAATTGATAGGAACCCGAACGGGTTACAGAGCAGGGGGGGCACAAGACCAAATTGAACTCGGCGTGAAGAAGCAATGCAACAACAGCCTGCGGCTACTGCTGTACGCCCTGGCTACGGAATCAGACCAAAGTTAAAGCCCTGTGCGTTAAAAGGGGGGAATAGAATTATAAGAAAATGAGAACATAAATAGAGAACGAAAAAATATGTGAAAAATAAAAGAAAAAAACAAAAACAAAAACAATTGAAGAAGAATAATAGTACTAATAAATAAAATATTAAAAGAGGACATCGTCTAGCCATATCCTGAAGGGCAAGACTTGCCGCCTCTGGGTCAACAGGCGTTCCTCCGGGGCAAAAAAGACCCTCTCGCGGGAAGCAGCGCGTTCTAGCTGTAGGTATATCTTGGACAACAGACGATTAATGATGGGTGGATACCGACGCCCCAAGACGTTGGGTCGGTCAATGGACTAGAATCGACATGTTGCTCAGATATGAAGGCTCCAGAGGGAACGAGGTTCGGGGCTGGGTCCCGGAAGCAGGTAGTGCGGTCGATCCATCCCGACAGCAACTCGTTTCTGTGAGCCTGTGTACTGTAATGCATACAGTTACAGGAAAATGCAGAGGCGTGCATTGGCCCTATTCACGATAGCGGGAATGCATCCGGCGATGACTGGCAGAAAATTGATAGCAGCGGAGGCAATTGATAACCGCAGAAGCGGGGTGTTAGTCTCCGCAATAGGCGCGGACGAGAGCAAAATCCTGGAGGCTGGGTAAAAAAAAAAAAAAAAAAAAAAGAAAAGAAAAGAAAAGAATGGATCCCGTTAGTGCAGAAGGCGATGGAACGGAGGCTGCAAGGATGTTCCGGAACGGCCAGGCCAGCACTAAGCCGTCAGACTGGATCCTCTCAGTCCACCCGCGTTACTCATTTGGTCCACCATGAAGGATATGAGTGTACGGAATATTGTGTATGAAAGAAGGATGTCTGTTAGACATGAACTGGAGTGATGCCCTTAAAACTCAGCAGCATAGAAAAAGAGAAGTAACCCGGTGAATGAAAAATAAAGATAGGTAAATACCGGCGTAGGTATGGATCATTAGACCGGAGCAATTGTGTTGATTTCATCTTCCCTTCTCTATTTTCCCTTTCAAATATTTTATTTCCTCTTCCGATTCTGTTCCCAACACTGGTGGAATGGTGGGTGCACAGGGACAGAATCTGTCAGGAAGACATGAAGCAGACTGGCCAGACGATTCTTCACACAAAACAGGCCGGGCTAATACCACCGCGCTTGTGAACTTGCTAGACGGCTAGTACTACACGGTACATCGTCGGGGCGTCGTGGTGACGATCAATGTTGCCGCAAATTTTCATTTGACGGGTCGATTGTCGGGTGGCCAACAGGTATAATTAGTAGCAGTCCGAGAAGCAAGTGGTCTGCACTCTGCATCGTAGCATCTGATCGAGACAGACAATGGCCCATGCACGAGAACCATGCAGGAGCAGCATGGCCCCGCCAACTTGAATCAACCGTCAGATGGTAGTGCGGTATAGTCCTGCATGGACCTGTCGCTGAGGCCGATGGGATTCTCCCGGCTCTTCGACCTTCCCTGGTGGTCCCGGATCGCGGCCTTTCATGGTCAGAGCTGTGGCTGCCATCCATATCCATTGATCGACCGCTTGCATTCTGGGGGGGGGGGGGGGGGGGGGGAGATGTCAATCGACCGAGGAACGAAGCAGGTTGTGTGAAAGGGGGGGTGTGTGGGAAGATCGAACAAAGGGAGTTCTGGAGCGAAGATGGCATGGGGAGTGGCAGAGGGGCCTGTGGCGCAGTCCGTAACCTTACCGAGTCACCGCTGACCGTAGGACCGTCGGGGAAGAGTCAGCTTACCCTACGGAGTACGGACGCTGGTAAAAGTAAAACCAGCAATTCGGTACCCGCCGCGGAGGTACCGGCGACTTCCTGGCAGGCGGGAACATTGTGGCAGCCCCACTCCTCAGGTACCCGCTGCGCTTGTAACTGGGAAACCCAGACTGCGGCAAGCGCTGCGTGAAACTTGCGGTGCGTAAAGGTGGTACACTATACTGAGAGCGGAGTAATGGCCTCATCATTACCAAAGTCAAGGCAGGCATCAACAGAGTCCTCTACAATCTAATGGCATCACACGTTAGAACTATATATTCTTGTGAACATAGCATGGTAGTCAGTTATTCGTTCTGCTGGTTCCCGCCCTCTTAGCAAGTTTGACCATGATGGTGCTGGCGTTTCGCGCACTAGGCGCTCTAGTAGGTTAATTAACTTCAGACCAAGGTATCTTCACCCTCCTCCAGGGATGGATATTGTAATATTTCTCTCATGATATTACTAGTAATAGAATGGTCTTGAGTAAGAATTCTCCTCGCCGCCTCTATCTAGTTCTTCGACTAAATTTCAAAGAGACTGGCAAGAACGTCCCAGAGATGTATAAGATACTTCAACGGAGCGCTCCGTTTTGGGTTACTTGCTGCTAGTGGTATAAGAAGAAGGCAACTAATAATATCCACCGGAGATGATCTGGGTGGAAGACCCATGTTCTCTGCCTGTCTGCCTTTTCGGTGCGCACAGATGTGCTTTCTGACAACCCACATACAATCTGCATTAGTTGGTTAGTCGCTTCGTATGCTTATTCATGAGACCATCGTCCAAGTTCCACTCCCCCTTCGATGCCGACTCGCTGTCCTGCTACCTAACTGTCATCGGAGAGGGCTTTGATTCCTCGTTCTTCTCCTTTTTCGTAAACTCCATGCCCGAGTGTTTTGAGGGTATTGGTCCTAGCAGAGCAGCCATGAGCGCACACATGGGGCGAGTGATCCTCGGCTATAGGTACCGAACACGCACTGTGTACCTACGGGGTACGGGGTATTCCGGAGGTACAACCCACTGTCTGGGAATGAAATGGGATGCTCCGAAGGGTACCTAGTCAGTATCTCGGAGGCTCTCTGGAATCTGGATGTAATGGCCCCAACCAACCCATCCCAATCAATACCATACGATACTAGTAGTACGTGGCAACCCAGCCATCCTTCAAGGCAACACCGGTTCATGCATGGCTTGAGTCCGATGCTCCGTGGTTTATATTGCGATCAATGGGTTTCACTTTGCTGGAGGGCCAAGCTCTGTCTCACGGTCTGTCTCTCCTCTTCCTGGTGACTGGTGAAATCATGGATCCAAGGTCTCACAGAATCAGCAAGTCAGTCACAAAGCACGGACGTCGTGAAGGATTGGAGCGTCCCGTCCGGCATGGGACGGTTGGCATCTCATATCATCGAGATTATTAGTCCAGTAAGTGCTCCTCCGTGCCAGGTCCGACCCTGCTCCGGATGGAGGTTCCGCCGACCTAGTCCTGGAGTTAAAACAACAGCGATCCTATCCCACTCCATCCATCCGGCTAACTGGCCACTCATCGATCCTTCTAGGCTACATACGGAGTACACATACATCATGCATTGCCCGAAATGCGACGCCCTCGTCCAATCGCTAACCGCCCCGAAGCACGCCAGTCTGGAAGCACGGTAGAATAGTCCTGAATCTGACATGTCGTCCGGACAATCATTGCGGTGCATCTTAATGCTTCTCTTGCAGATCTCGACTGCGTTCCCCACTACATGTGAGTATGCCGGCCGTGGTACGGAGTATCTATGGTGCAATTTGATCTTCCGGCGGCGCTCCCCAGCCATTGGATAGGAGGATTGGGATGGTGAGCTGCATGGCCAGGAGGACCCTAACCCTAGCTCTGGTGATTTGGGCGTCTCGTGGCCTATGGTTTTGACTCCCGCATAAGCGAACCACAAGTTGGTTGGAGGACAGTCTCCCCGTCTCCCCGTCTGCAGGTGCCGGTCGTCTTAGCCTTCACGCGCTCTTCCTGCTTCATAACTACCCGGTGCCCCGTCCTCGGAAGATGGGTCAGGAAAGAATAGCTGAAGTGCTGTACAGCAGATACCTAGTATGTTTTTTTCCCAGGGCCACAAGTGTCAGGTCCCAAGTCTCAAGTCCCTCCGGTGCTTTGACCTCTGCACTCTCATTTTCTTCGTGGCCTGGCTTTTGGCGTTCTATTATGTTTCCGTACACCGGTATCCCGTTCGTGGCTTAATGTTGGCTTCGAATAATGTCCAGGTTCCATACCTCCATATTAATCCCGGTTTGCCCCAAAAAACGGCGCCGTTCTTAGTTTTCTTGCTGACGCTGAGGAATTTACAAAGGAATTGCGGAACATATAACCTGCTTAAGGGCTCTAGACAACACTGACAACCCAGATCAGCCCGTCCGGGCACCATGGAGCCATGAAACCGAGTGCTCATAACTTCATATCCTACGATAGTCAGACTGATGGGAAGGACAAACTCACTGCTTAGAGGCCAAAGTAGTAAGGATGGCATATAACAAGTGACTGTTGATGAACCCGCGTCAAGCATTGGAAGCCATGCTGTGGCGAGACTGGGGAGTGACCAGGGGGAATGGAAACCGTCTCGCTGAGGTGATTGCATCTGTGGAAGGACTTGATGTCCCCGTCACAGCGTTGACGACAAATAAAGTCAAGTCCATGCCTGGTTAGATTCGCACTGTCGAACAGGGCACATTGTGATTGAAACAGAGAACACATTGCTGGGAGGGAATATTGTCATGGGTTGAATGAAAGGGCGCTGCGCCGGGGGGGTGGGAGCAGTACCGAATGGGTGCAGATTGAATGGGCGACAACAGCCTTTAGTCGAGTGAATATGATAGACCGCCTTGGCTTAGAATACATTGATTGAATGGTCGACCGCAATGGAATTGGACGTTCTCTTTAGAAGTACTATTAGGGGCGTTGTTGGAATTTTGGCCCTCGAGGTGTTCTTGGCACCCGCGGAAAACGTGGGCGATGCTTTGCTTGGACTTGCGCCTTTCTCTGGTCGTTCCTCATCGAATTATTCTGCCAGTCTTTCCTCATCGCTTCACTTTCCCTCCTTTGCTCTCTTTTCTTTTCTCTTCTCTTCCCGCCCCCCTTCTTTTCTTCCTCCATTCCCTTTCTCTCTTTTCTTCACCCGACCTTGAAACCTGCACCGCAGCCTCTCACGCTGGCTCCGATCTAGCTAGCCACAGCGCATATCCCAACGGGCACCCATAGTTGCGCGCCCCGTCCGTGTCGTCATGTCCCCTCATGACTACGCGGACCATCAATCAGAATCCGTCGCCGATGCGGTGACCGCGATGAAGCTGGAGTCCGACATATCGCCCGAAATCTCAGCCGTTAACGGTGGAGGAACCATGATCAAAGACGAATCGTCGAACGCGGCCTCTAACGCCTCCCCGATCCCTACCCCGAAGGAACAATCACGGTTATCCTCTCGATCCCCGGCCAAAAAGGAAGAGAGTGAGGAGGACGAGCAAAACTCGACAGGGAAGGACGACAACCATGTGGACAAACTGGAGGAGAGAGTCGGGGGCGACATTATTGTCAAACTCGAGCCCGGCCAGCCTCCCAAATTGACACGGAGCTCCTCGCAGAAGGTTGTTGCGAGGCCGCCGCAGTTTTTCTCCCATCTGCCGGATAGCACAGCTGAGGCTGAGGCGACGTTTGACCTGTTGGATGCATGCACGTACGCGAATAAGTTTATGGGTTATACCGAACATGCGATGGAGTGCGATTGTGCAGAGGAATGGGGTAAGTCATCGTAAATCTCCTCATGCGCTGTCTATCTACTCGGTTCCCCCCCTCGCTGGCTTCTCCTTCCGGCTACTCCTACGCGTGGCGGCGTACCTCGAACCCAACGTGAAGGGATCGGGGCGACCACTTTTTACTACACTTCCCCCCTTGGCTTCCTTTTCTTTTATTTTCCTTTTGCTTCTTCTCACTTAGTCTTGTTATTTGCCACATTACTTCTGCTTTTGTGTACTTCCCCACCCACCTGGCTTTCAAGGACCAAATTAACCCAATCCAGAACCGTCGGTCTCCAAGAATCTGGCATGCGGTGAAGACTCGGACTGCATCAACCGCGCAACCAAGATCGAATGCATGGGGGATTGTGGATGTGGGCCAGAATGCCAGAATCAACGGTTCCAGCGAAGGGAGTATGCTCCGGTGGCCGTGATCAAAACGGAAAAGAAAGGTTTCGGTCTCCGGGCGGAGGCCGACCTGCGACCGCACCAGTTCATCTTCGAATATGTAGGTGAAGTCATCAACGAGGCCCAGTTTCGTCGCCGCATGAGGCAGTATGACGAAGAGGGGATCAAGCATTTTTATTTCATGTCCCTCAGCAAGGGTGAATTTGTCGATGCGACCAAAAAGGGTAATCTGGGCCGGTTTTGCAACCATTCGTGTAATCCTAACTGTTATGTCGACAAGTGGGTCGTGGGAGAGAAGCTCCGCATGGGCATTTTCGCCGAACGGCACATCCAGGCTGGCGAGGAATTGGTCTTCAACTACAATGTCGACCGCTACGGCGCAGATCCTCAACCGTGTTACTGCGGCGAGCCTAATTGTACCGGCTTCATTGGGGGAAGAACCCAGACTGAGCGGGCCACGAAGTTGTCGAATGCTACGATCGAAGCTTTGGGCATCGATGATGCCGACGGCTGGGACACTGCCGTTGCTAAGCGGCCACGCAAGAAGAAGATGGGCGAGGATGATGAGGAGTATGTGGATAGTGTGCAGCCGAAGTCTTTGGAGGAAAACGGCGTTACCAAGGTCATGGCGGCTCTCATGCAGTGCAAGGAGAAATGGATTGCGGTCAAGCTTCTGGGACGGATTCAGCGCTGTGACGATGAACGAGTCCGAAATCGAGTGGTGAAAATGCACGGGTACCAGATTCTGAACTCCCAGCTGGGCATGTGGAAGGACGATTTCAACGTGGCTTTGCAGATTCTGGACATCCTGGACAAATTCCCTCGTCTAACACGAAACAAGATCATCGACTCCAAGATTGAGTCTACCATCCAACCACTCACCAGCTGTAGTGATGAGCGCGTGGAGAAGAAAGCAGCCATGTTGCTGCAAAGCTGGTCGACCCTCGAGGTGGGCTATCGCATTCCCCGCATGAAACGGGATCCCAATGCCACGACGCCGGCTGTCAATCAGTTCGAGCGGCGAGAGATCACTCGGGATGAGCGACGGCGGTCAAAATCTCGCTCAAGGTCAAGGTCGCGGTCAATCGAAGCGCCTCGTGGCCCGGCTGCCCAGGCACGAGGCGGACATGGCCAGAGGAACACCCATCATCACGGTCCCCGGCCCTTTCGTCGACAGTTCAATCCCCTTCCGCCAGGCTGGTTCGCAGCTGAATCGAACGGGAGGACATATTACTACTCAGCTCGTGGCGATACTACTTGGACTCGACCAACCAAGCCCGCCCCTCAACCGCCCCCGCCCCCGAAGGAGTCGAGGGACAAGGCCCTGCAGGATATTATCGACGGCATTATGAACGCAAAGGAAAACACGCCGAAGGAGAAGACTGGAACGCCAGTCACACCACAGGCTTCCAGGCCAACGCCGGATAGCAAGGATGGCCAAGAAAAGTGGAGGACCTATAGCGAAGAAAAGCGGAAGAAGATCTATGAGAATACCGTGAGTCACTGCTCTGAACTTTGGACACCATATGAGCAGGTGGAAATAACTGACCGGACGCAGCTTTATCCCCATGTCAAGTACGTGGTGGATAAGTTCAAGCACAAGCTCCCGAAAGATGACCTGAAACGCTATGCCAAAGACGTGAGATGATAACTTCCCCGAGGCCGATAATCAAAGATAGCCAGGCTAATCGATCGCTGGCAACAGGTGGCTAAGAAATTGGTTAACTCGGATTTCAAGAACAATCGCGTCGGAGACCCTACCAAAATCGACGATAAACAGCAAAAGAAAGTCAAGAAGTTCTGCAAAGAATTCTTCGACAAGGCCGTTGCCAAGCACCGCGCATACGAACAGCGAAAGACAGAACGGCAGTCGAAGGGGGCGGACTTGAAACCGGATGTCGAGGACGAAGCGCTGGACGTGAAGATGTCTGACGATGAGGACGACAGGGCTCCGGCGCAGGCTCAAGAGACCCCTACGACCATGACGGACGAACTGCAGGGGAACCTTAAACGCAAAAGAGAAGAGCCTAGCACCGGTGATGGAAGTACCACCGAGTACACCACCCCGTCTTCAAGCAAGAGACAACGGTCCTCCACGCCACCTCCACCACCGCCTCCTCCGATGAGCCCCGGTAACGAGCTGGCCCAAAGTGGCGACGACAGCAATATGAAAAGCGATACAGACGAGCCCACCCCGGCCGACAAACCACTCTTCGACTCTCCCCCACCACCACCTCCCCCCCCTCCATTTCCCGGGCAGAATTTCGATTCGGAAGAAAATGATTTCAACGGCGAAGAGGGGGTCGGCGAGCTAAACCCATCACAGATTGGTATCGAGGGACAAGTATAGCACGGGTGGTCTAGGCCAGCTAGCAATCAAGCTAGCCAGCTATTTCCCACCATCCACTCCACCCAAGGGGGTTCCAGCATCGAAACCGGTGTTTAGGAGTTCACATGACATGATTATTGGCAGCTGCCTGCTTCTCTCTTTTATCCATTATTCTTCTTCTTCATCTTCTTCTTTTTCACTGGCTTTAGGGATCCATTCCGGAGACATCTGGCTCGATGTGATGTGATTTGATTTGATTCGATTTGGCCATCTATCTTGTTCTTGTTCTTCTTTTTCTTCCTTCTCTTTCACTTTTCTTTATTATCATTTTTTTTCAACATGAATACCCCCCCATCGTACCCGCGATAGCTATGATGATTGCATACCACCCAGTATTAGAGGCGAGGGAAGGCCAAAAATCAACAACAAGGATATTTATTAGGTTTGAAAGAGAGAGAGAATAACGAGACGATGAGTTGAGTTGTCATCCGTCCCAGACACATACATACATGATCCGGCTGGGTTTGTTGTGTTTGTGTATGTGTCATTGTATTGTATAACTAATTGAGGTCGTGTTCTTTCTTGATTGACATCTTGAGATAGATGGTCGATCTTTTGGTCTTTGGTCCCTGATATCTTGGGTCTTGGTTGTCGAGACTGGCCCAAGACGTTTAGCACTCAATCATTCAATCAATTCACATGCTCCCGTAATACAGGATTGTCTGTCGTGCAGATGACTAGTACTATATACATACCATACTTGTCGGGTCATGTTGAGGTACTTACTCTGACGGTACTCTGTACGGAACTAATGAGCCATGAGTAATGAATACTGGGAATTGACTGGATCGAGGGGGTCTCGGTTAAGACAGAGACAGACTTCAGGAGCATCTGGACTACCTTCATTCACGGCACATTACGAAGTCTCAATTCAGATCTTCACACCCAAATCTACCCATTCCATTCATTCATAGCACAATAAGGATATTCATGTATGTTCGAGAGAAAGCACACAAGGAAAAAAAAGGTTCGAAAAAAAGGTCAAAAGGGGAAATAGAGAAAAGGGGAGAGAAACTCTAGTAGAAACTTTCCACAATGCTCTCCTTGTTGGCACTACCCACGCCAACACCACGGGGACCCATCTCACCCAGGCGAAACACACTCTCCATGACACTCAATTCCGTGGCCGTGGTATCCAGACCCGTAACAGCGAGCCAGTCGTTCACGACCATGCCGGCTCCGACGACGGGGCTACCGCGGTTCACACTGCCAGCAACGAGAGGCACCTGCAGGAGGGAGGAGAGTTCGTCCTGATCGCGGATGGAGGTCTTGGGGTGGACGATACCACCTTGGTTGGAGAGAGCCATGTAGGAGCCCGTCAGGACGTTGTCGGCGACGGTTTGACGGAAGACTTCGACGCCAAGGACATCTGCGATACTGTTGGGGTTTGCATGTCAGTATGGGTGGGCGGAAATAGCTGGGGGACATGGTTGTATATGTAAGCATCAAGACGTACATCTCTTCGGTTTCCCGCTCGAGATCCGGGTGGATCAGCGCGACGTGGTCATTGCAGCAAATGACGTTTCCCAGAGCCGACAGTCGCTCCTCTATACGTTGGATCTTGACCGAATCGGGCAGCGTATTCCGGAGATGTTGGAGTTCTTGGTCTGTCGTAGTGGTGGGGACGAGGAGACCTTTGCGGTTACTGGGGACGGGCGCATGTTGTTAGGGTTTGAGTGATATGGAAGGACTGAGAGACATACCCAGCCGTGAGACGGCCGACAATACGGGTTCCAGCAATGGTAGCGTGGCAGATTGGGATGACATCTTGCAGCTCGGCCTCGAAGACACTGCCAATAAGTTAATCAAACTGCTCGTCGTTCTGGCATGGACGGGGATATATGCACCTGTAGAAGTTCTCGGAGGCACCGATGGCAACGACGGCGTATGAATTGGTGAGACGGGCAAAGACACCCACTCTAGAGAGCAAGTTGCGTCAGTTTGGAGTCCGAACAACAGCGAGGCCTGGCCGAATGGCCAGGCAGGCGAGCAAATATTCTCCGGGTTCGTCTTACTCGTTGGAGTTCTCGAACTGTGCGCGGACGGCCATGATTCCTTCTGTCGGAGTCGGATTACTGGTGGTGAGAATGGGTGAGGGTTTGACCGGGAAGCAAAGATGCCGATCGAGTGTCTTGTAGAAAGAGACAAGATCGCTGCGAGAGGAAGATCGAGGAGGAGGAGGAGGAGGTGGTGGTGGTGGTGGAAAGGCGGGGTGACGTCGAGGCAGAACCTGCCGGGAAGAGGATCGTCGCGGGGGAAGGGCGAGAGGGGCACGAAGCGCAGGAGCAGAGAGATGCGACTCACGATTGACACGGGCAATCGAACTCGAGCAGCAACAGGGACAGGGACAGTAGTGCCAATAATAATCGTAAGATGGCAGCGATGGAGGAAAAGCCCGAGGAAATAAAAAGCTTCGAGCGCCAGCCCCGCCCACGGGGCTAGGCCCGATCGGGGCGGCGGGCGGCGAGGCCAAAGCCAAGGAAGAAAACCAACTAACGAAGGAGTCATCGCCCCGGCGTCGACTCATCGCCATGCGCCATGAGCCATCATGATTCATCCCCCCCTCCGCTCGGTGGAGCGGTGGATCATCGGCCCTCACTGGGGTGGTGCCTCATCAAGCCCATCTGATTATCCTCATCATCCTCATCATCCAACATGCCATTTGCCCACATAGTTTCATCGCAGATTACACACTCCAGTCCATACTTTCTCTCCCCTCCCACGTTGCCCTCGGAATGCGGATTCGATCACTTCCACTAATAGGTAGCCGAGTCGGGGGTCTTCTATAGCCCGGAAAACATAAAACAAGACAAGCACAACCATGTATGTATATGAAGCGAACCTGTGCAGTAAACGCCTAAGGGGAATCCTCCGTAGCTAAATACATAACCAGTCGCTCTGTAATCGAAAGAAAACCTTACACATCCCAACGATATGGTCTACTGCAAAACTCCGGGCTCAGAACCTGATGAGAAAAGACAAGCAAAATCCACATGCCCCTCCTAGAAAGGAGGGCGGGGTCCCGGCGGAGGCGGCGGGGGCGGCGGATAATAGAGGCTAGGAGGATGATGTCCTGTCAAATAACCAGGCAGAGGAGGTCGGTGGAAGTTGGATCCCGGCGGGGGAGGGAGGTGAGGCGGTCCCCCCATCGCTGCAAAGGGATCCGGCAGGCCGAGCTGTTCATTGATCGGTGGGATCTGCTGCCCGGCAGGCAGTAGTCGCCGGGGCTGTTGTCTTTGAGGGGTTGGCGGAGGCAGCACGAATGGTCGAGGATCGGCAGGTCCATGCGGCAATGGCGGCTGAGCAGGCTGAGGTAGGATTGTCCGGTGTGTCGAGAGCCGGGGGGCAGCTTGGGAAAGAGGAGGCCGTGGGGGCTCTGCCGCTGCAATATCTGCCAGAGTGGACAATGCTCGGGGACGCATATCAGGCAGTACCGGAGGGTTCATCTCCGCTGGCACACTGTTCCGATGGACTTCGACCACCCCAGTCGCTTTCACCAGCATGTCCAAAATTTGTTCGGCTGTCATTCCCGCAAAGGGTCCTGCGTCGCGGATCTCCTTCATCTGCGGGTCAATGTCGTCGCCCACCTTGGCCCGCTGGACAAAGTCATCCCAGCCAAAACAAGCACGGTCGTAGGCAGCCGCCCCAGCAGGGTTCCTAACGAAGGTGGAGTTGAAGCCTCTGAAAACTTCTCTGGCAGGTGGCACCACCCGCCCGCGGTCCGGCTCGGTTTCGGAGTCATCGGTCTATAAAGTAGCATTAGTACCAGTTTTTCTTCAGGCACATAGGGAGAGGCCTGCCTCAGTATGCTCATCATCTTCTGCAGCACGGCGGCCCTCGACAAATGTCATGTACGCCCCCTGGCTAGCCAATAAGTGCTCTTCCCGTATATTGCGGCCTTGGGCCTATTGTTCGAGCGTCAATAAACTTTCAAGGAGAGCAAGAAGCATCCCTGACTTACCCGATACCGTTCCTCGATTGCTTGCTTGTTGGCCTCGAATATCCTGTTTTCTTGCTCCACCTTGAGCTCATATTCTCGACGCAGGACCTCCTTCCGTCCGCGCAGCCTTTCCATTAATTGCATGTTGATTTCTTCAAACTCGGGGACGTGCTTGTGTGCGTTCTTATCACGAGCCAGTCGCTTCTCGGACTGCGTGGCTAGTACTGCTAGAGCCAACCGCTGAGCAGCAGCCACCTTCTTAAATGCCTTGTCCAACTCCCGTTGCCGGTCCCGCAGCTTTTGAGTAGCTGCACTCGGGGAAGGGGAACGGTCAGGTTCCACATCGCTCGAACGATCCAGCTGTCGACCTGTGCGGCCACCACGACCACTGCGAGCGGCGCCACGTCCTCTTTTGTTCGTCGTAAAGCGTGCTGAGCCGCGACTGCGTCCACCACGGCCGCGGCCCCGAGTCCGACCACCGCGGACTGCTTTACTAACCGTCGATTCTGTGGCGACTTCAGGTGTTGATCCTTCGATCTCCTCGGTCACCTGGCGGGATTCGCCGTCAATTCTGGATTCGGGGACAGCCTCCGCAGGAGATTGTGAATCTGGTTTGCCACTGGTTCCATTCTGCAGTTGTTGTTCTAATGCGCGGCCCAGCTCGCCCTCTTCCAGCTTAGGCTTCTTACTGGGGGAGTTGGAGACGCTCTCGTTCTCAGTCGCACCAATATCTCCCGGTTCAGGTGACTTTCGATTCTGATATGTATCTGAATTTGGGGTAGTCGCAGAGGCCAGGGGGTCAACTGACTCGGTGACTGTCGGTCCGCTTACTCCATGCTTATCCTCATCAACAACAGTGCCCTTAGGTGACTCTTCTTTCGTTGGTTGTGAAGTCTCCGGTTCTGGACTCCGGGGCTGTTCTTCCTCCAAAGGCATTGGTTCCCCGACCGGTACTGGAGTTGCCCTATCTAGAGAAGGTGACTTGACAACTGGTGCAGCCGGAGTAGCGCTGTGAGTAGTGTCAATAATATTGTCGACGAATTGCCGACTCCTGTTTCTCGTTCTGCTGCTCGGGGCAGCATTGACGGAAGGACTCGGCTCTGGCATTTTCGGTATGACGGCCATGTCATTAGAGCCTTCTTCAACAGATGTCGGATGCGCATGTGCCCGGAGCCTCGCCGATTGCCTCGTAGTCCGAGGGGTTTCTTCAACCGCCGGACCTCGCTTAACGCGCTTGTGCCGAGGGGTTTCTGGAACAGTTGGTAGTGGAGCATCAGTCTGAGTTGTGGACAACTGGGCGCTTGACCGTGTCCGGGTATTACGAGTTTCACGAGTGGTGTTTTCGCGGGCTACATTCTCACGGGCTGCATTTTCACGGGCTGCGTTCTCCTGGGCAGTGTTCGCCCGGGCGGCACGAGTACTGAGTGTGATGATGCGTGATGGACGACTGGTGCTATTTCTTTGGTTGATGTTGTTGTTCACACCGGTGGCAGCAGTACTGCTGTGGACTCTAATATCATGCTGAGAGGCACGTGCATCGCGACTCGAGCGTAAACTCCGCGTCACACGGATATTGGAAGTATCATCCACGTTGGAGTCTGAGGGCTTATGAGAAGCTGTTGCGGTAGTCAAAAGAGTGGAAACTTACTAGTAGCACTCTGGGAAGCCCCTGCGCCAGCGTGACTGCTGCCAGAAGGCGCTGTAGCTGACGCTTGGGTAGTTTCGTGTCTACGTTTGACCCCCGCCATTGCTATCCACTGTTAGAGACAGAAATTTAGTAAAAGTGATAGGACATGGGGTGAAAGAGTCGAAGAAACAAAGTAGGCGAGATAAAAAGAATATAGAAGGAAAGGGGTAAAAACGCAGGGTAGGCCACTTGGGCAATAGGCTGTTCCAACTATGGGATCCGAAGTCGCTTATAAAAAAAGGCGGGGATGATGAGATTGAATATCATGAAGAATTCGAGGAACCGGAAACAGCAGGTGGAATGAAAACTCAAGGTCTGCCGGTTAGAGGAATCGACAGCAAGAGCAGGTGATGGAAGAGTAAAGGAGGGAAAAGAGGGAGGGAAGAAGATGAAGAATATGGGGGTTAAACAGAAGTCCGGGACGAGTGAATACAAATGAATGGGGGCCAGGCATCAGCGAGCATTAACACCAAAGAGATGCCATGTTCAACAAAATAGGCAAGTATGGTAAATGGAGAGCGGAAGGGTAAAAAGACTAGACCCATGGAACATTGGTCAAAACAAGGTTGGAGGGGGAAATATGCTGGGGCGAATACATCAGAAGTTACAGGGAGGAGGAGGATGGAAAAGTCAAGGCTGGAGCAAGACAAGTGGCCGAGATGAGAAGAGGTATGCGACGATGAAAACGTGCCGGAGGATCGATTCCAAAGGGAAAGCTGGGGGAATCGCGTGGTTGCGGGAAGGGGAGCACAGAAGAGTATCCATGGGGAAGAAAAAAGGTGGTGGTGGTGGTAGTAGTGATGGGGGAGGAACCTACCTGAAATCTCCAACAATGTGGGATTGTGGCAGCAACAGCGAAATCAAAGTAAGTCAGTCGGTCGTAGTTTGTAGTAGATTGATTCCCAGGCGGGACGCGAGGGTGGATTGGAGAAGAATGAAGTAAAAAGAGGTTCGGCCAAGTGGATCAAGTGAGCGAAGCAAGAAAAGCCGCCGCTGTTGGTTGGCTGGCCGCCGGGCGAGCAGTACAGAGAAGTCGAATCGCCGGATGTAGAAGACGCCCAGCAGAGCACGTCGTATTCGATCTACCAAGTCGCAACCCTACTACTCGACTGGATTCCAATGCCCGTCTTGACCGAGGGAAGGACTCGCGTACCCCCCAAGAGGCATACAAGAGCCCGCGGGTGGTTAATTCCAAAGGCTGCGCCGCCTTCTTTCGCGGGCAGAGAAAGTCCGGTGTTGTTGTTGTTGTAGAGCAGGAAGGAAAACCCAGGAAAAGAAAGGGGAGCGAAACAATTAAAAACCCACTAGGCACAAGGGGCACCGGATTACAACACCTCGATGGAACAAGCAATGTGTGGGAAGAAGGGAGGAGGGAAAGAAAGGATCAAAAATGAAGATAAAAAAAAATTAAAATTATATAAGAAGGGAAGAAGGAAAAGGAAAGCAATGACCGCAATGACCGCAATGACAACAACAACAATAAGATTATGGAGAAAATGAAGCTGATGGAGGATGAAATCGGCTGGGAAGATCAGCTAAGGCCAACAGCGAGGAATTTGACTGGGCCGTTTGGCTGTCCCGGCCGCTTGGAGTGGCGCAGAAGCAGGAGCCAGGGACCGACCACACCGGCCCACGTTCCCAGTCGATAGAGACTGTTAGTTGTGTGACTGACTGACTGACTTGGTGACTATAGGACTTAGTAGTGACCTAGTATATTAGTCCCGGCCCAAGAGTCAAATAGGTAGTAGATAGAGGAGGAGATTGGGAGGGGAGAGGAAATGTCACGGATGGATGGAATGGGCCGGAAGGATGTCGTAACTCGTAACTAACTGTAGGTAGATAGTAGAATTCCATCCCAGCCAAATCTTACCACTAACCCGAGTAGCTCCAGCACTAAACCACCACTAGGGAAGCGTGTTCGGACTCCGGACCACCACTCGCGAGATGAGATGAGACTTGACTTGACTACTAACCAACTATCTAGGTACCTAGATGTATCCTTATTATTCTCCCTCTGGTCATCATTTATCCGCCCCTTCAAGGAGCTCACAACCAAAACCAAAAAAAAAAAAAGAAAGAAAGAAAGAAAGAAAGAAAATAATAGAAATCAGGGTATATACATAGTAGTTGCGTGCTCAGTAACTAGGTACCGGGGCCCCCTCGTAATCGTGGTGCTTTGGATCCCCCAAATTAGAAACTCTCCATGACGCGTGCCAGTGGCAGTTCTCCAATCCTTCTCCTGGAACCCTTATTTACTAATCACTGTTGCGGAAGAAAGAAATCAATCGCCACTGGTCGCGATGCCGCCTTAACTGACGCCTGATATCAACCGAGTAACCCCTCCGATCACTCCCAGCCATCAAGACGGCCGTTTCGGGAACCTTGATATCCGCTTACTATTAAAGGTAAATTGACTGCCAGGGAGCATCTACCCCGGGGGGAGGGATGATGGGAACCAGCGAGACCAAACTCATTACCGAATGATATCTGCACCTCGCAAGAGTCTGACCTTGACAGGTGTCCATCTGCATGGCTATGCACACATCATCCCCCAATTAGGTTCACCGTCAATTCGGACCGCGGCGCTGGCAAGGTCAAAATACGTAGGAATTACATAGGCATCAGCGAGCGTGCTTGGACGTGTTTTGCCGCCTAACACGTTTTTTAAAGTATGTTGAACACTATCAATCTCGACTGCTGATCGGGAAAGCAGCAGAAATATGGTGAACCCTCTTCAATCTTTCAGGTACACAATGACACCCGGTTGCGGTGCCGTTGAGGGAGGGGAGTGACTGCTACTCACCCTTTCTTTGGTTTCAATCACTCTACTTATGCAAAAGAACCATGATGCACTGTGAGATATATACTTGTCAGAAGAAAGTACTTGCTAACTACATCAAACGCTATGTCCAGGATATCTATCAACATAGGAAACAACAAAGGAAAGACATCTAAGGCAAACCTGGAATTCGATGGCACCCGCCCCTACTTTCTAGCTAACTCTCATCCGGAGATTCATTTAGGTCATATTTCTTTTCGTACCGCGATATACTGCTCCGGACATCGGCCGCCATTATGAAGCTGGGCATGGGTGACCCTCGACCACTGGGTTCGGGGGACTCGGTGTTGCGCTCTATACTGGTGAGTGGCTGGTCGAACAGCGGTGATCTGCTTCGTGGTGCTTGGGAACGTAGCGAACGCGTGGATCTCACCCGGTTCAAGGCCTTCACGGAAATAGTCTGGCCCGCTGCCGGTGAAGCAATCACGGTGGTACCTGGCATCGCAGTCGGAGGCGGCGATGCGCTATCGGAGCGGAATAGCGGGTGAATAAAGCTCTCGTCGGGAAGTTTCAGCTTTGGGGGGGCCGGTCTGGCGGGAGTTACCAGTTGTGTCGAAGACGTAGTCGGCGATGACCGTGTCGAAGAGGGCTGACGAACCAAGCCATCCAAGGACCTCTTAGTATCGGAGTAGCTTCGTCGAATCTTTGGCGGCTCACTGCGAAGTTTGACCCTAGGTTGCAGCCGGGTTGGTCATCTGGATGCTCCTCTAACGTGGCCTGCGTGACGGTGCAGTCCCCATGAGGCATATATGATCGCTGTAGGTCAAGTGAGCTTTGCTTGGAGTCGTGCTGGAACAGGGTGCGACCAGAGTAGCGGTTCGAGGTCTGCGACTCTGCGTTCGACACCGATGGTTGGATTGGCGGCACAGTGTCAGCGTTCGTCTTCAATTCAGCAGATGGTCGTTGAGACTCGCTGGCAATGGAGGTCGATGTCACTGTGCTCTCGTCTTTCACACTGGCTTTATCAGAAAGCACCTCAAGCTCCTGCGACACTGGTGGGGACCATTTCGTGGTAGACTCCCGTTTCGTCAAGGTTGTCAAGAAATGGCCTCCTAGTATCCCTTGACTAAGGACGGATATCGCCCATATAATACAGCGGGCGATTAGCAAGGACTGGTGCTTTGGAGCCATCGACGTCTTTGCTGCCATGGATTGAGCTGCACTCCAGGCTATCCCTCCCGCAGTCACGCCTGTGGCTATCGAGAGATACGCGGCGATGAAGCCGTACGTGACTGCTCTGTGGCTTCTGGGCTGTGTCTGTGCCTCTCCCTTGATATCTTTGACCCAGAGAAGCAACAAAGATGCAAGTGCAACACAGCTCACGGCACCGAGGCTGACAATGGCCGACTCAACCGAGGAAACATGCGATGAGAGGGATCTGGAGATTGTGTAACACATGCCATCGAGAACAGTGGCGATGAACGTTGATAATAAAGTGATACCACCCAGTATCCGGGCCGGAAAGGCCCTGGACATGCTTAGAGACATGAAATAAGGGGCAGGACTATACGAAGGAAGGATGGTGGGCACTGGTAAAGGCAATGTTCAACAATCAACTAAAGAGACAGGAACATATGCCAGGGAATGCGAAAGCCTTCCAAAGACTGAATATGAGATTTGGAAAGAGTCGGGTCTGGAAACAGTGTTCGACTGGAGCGATTCGGCGTGTCGTTAGCAAGCCCAGACGGCCGTCGTCTTTCTAGGGACGGATGGTGACGTCGAAAACGTTCTGGACTCGGGGAGCCCCTGGAGACAGCAGAGACAACGTACGAGCGAAGGAAAATGGTGTGAAGAGGTCTCGATGGAAAAGATCGGACGGACAAATTCGTGGGCGTGACAAGTTAGCAATGATAAACGAGGGACGGTGGTGGACGAGGGTCGAGCCGGAGTAAATACCCAGCAACCCGGAATGAACGAGAGAGTCAATCAATTAAGCTAAAGAGGGAAGGACGGGGGGGAATGCTTCCCCGAGGATAATTGAATAAGGATGCATGGATTGTTCGAAGAAAAATCGCGTATGCAATTGCCAGGATCAACATGACAGGGGGGCGTTGACTACTTCGAGCTATGGTCGAATGGCAATGGCGAATCGAGCCGGCGCCGAGGAATATACGCCCAAGGGTCTCGATCTCACTAGACTAGGGGCTGCCAGAGTAACAGATGAGAATCATACCAATCCTAGTGCGGATCGGTAGGCGCGGTGATCGAGATGGCTTCTGAACGACGACTCCATGCCCTACCTAGTCTTCTCAGCTATTGGGAGACTTCGCCCCTCTCGATTGCCTCGAACAGGAAGAGAGGAGTAGGGGACCGAAAAAAAAAAAAAAAGAATAAGTAAAAAAAGGGAACAAAAAGAGAGAATGGGGAAGAAACCAGGGTTTCAAGACACTGTCAGGCTGACTCATACCTAAGTACTTAAGTACGTCAATGGAGAGCTCATGGTATTGCGATGACTTCAAACGGCCAGGGATGGATGGTATGCCCTTGACAATACAACCTGACATTCGGCTTCCCATGCAGCCTCTCAACCTACTTGCCTGATTATTACGATCAACTCCGGTACGGAGTACACTGGGTCTCAACTTCCAGTTCACTATCGTAGGGGGGTGAAGAAAACGGTGGTTAATGTTGCATGGCACGCCTCAGAGGTATCCTCGTCACATGGAACAGGTCTAGAAGACAATTTGTCAAGAGTAGGTGACTTCCTGTGCGAAGCGGCCGGGATGATCTCCCCGGAAAGCCTTAATTGGAAGATCGTCTGTTTCGATTCCTGGATTGGAATCGGGGAGCACACAGCATACCTAGATACTAGATAGATCCAAGTAGTAAGTAGGTAGATACCTAAGTAGAGCTGTGATGTATCACTCCACTCCCGGGAGGGGCCGGCCTGAGGAACAGCGGGGAGAGCCGAGTTGCATCGGACCTCCTACAACGGTTCGGAGGGGGAACAAACAAACCAGAGGTAATTAATGACCAAGGCTTGGTCAGTCCAAACAACTTCCGTCGGTTTCTTCCCGATGCGTGTTAGAGAGGAAGGTTCATGCCTATCTCCAAGGTGGCAGTGGTTTGCGGACTCTTGATGGTTTTCGTCGGTTCTCTCCACTGCATCACACGGTGTGATACATCCATAAGACAGGTCTATAGGGTTATCCCCCTTGCCACGGGAGGGACGACACCCAAAGTACTGGGTACTCCGCTCTGTACGGAGTACGAGTTACGGGACTGTTATTATCCACCAAGAAAGAAAAGCAAAGCAGAAAAGGAAGGCCAACTCACCCATGGGGCGTTGTATCTACTCCGTACAACATGGTAATGGAGCAGTCGAGTCTGTGGGGTTCTGAAGGACCATTTGCCTGATATTAACTGACTTACTGAGTAGAAACTTGGAGGGTAATGTTTACTGGTCACAAGTAGTAAGTCGAGACCAAAATGAATGGCACCTCTACGAGTTGTGTTTGGGATCCATTCATGGCGAGAGGGGAGTTTATGAAGTAAGTATATTTTCATCTCACCGTCCCTGAGTAAGAACTTACTATCCTTAGGGGGGAGGGAGTGCTAACCCTGGTTGACCGTCCTGCGAGCTTACAACTTCGGGAGATTGATTAATCTCCAATTATTCCACTAAGTTCCACCAAATAGGTAGGTGGAGCCTATGTGTATGAGACCTAGTATCTAGTAGATAGTCTGTACTACGTACGGAGGTAGATACTGACGAGCGGTGGCTGAGTCCATTGACTAGCGAGGGGAAGTGGCTGGAGGACGGCCCGGGTGGCTGGAGGGACCGTGACCGCCTCCCGCCAGCTCCTCCCTCCTTCGGCGTCATGATTGTCATCATCATCATTCGCTGCTCCCCTGGTTCTTTCGCAGCTTTCTGATTCTTCCCTTTCTAGTTCACTCCTCCCATCAATTTCCATCTCCCCGTGCTTTTCGTCCACATCTATATTTCCCCTCTCCTACATCAGCGTGCAGCCTTAAAAGACCCCCACCGAGTCGTCTCTCATCCTTCGGTGGCGCAAGATGAAGCTCACGTTCAAGGTATGCGTGATTCTTTACCCCACTCTCTCTACTCGTCCGCTCTTCTGACATGTATTTTTCTCCTCCAGGACCTGAAGCAGCAGAAGTTTGTAATCGATGCAGAGCCCTCAGAGACGGTAAGGCTGATCCTTTTCCCGAGCGTTGAGACCTTGCCAGCGTCAGTGCGGGGCTAAATGAATTATCCGTTAGGTCGGGCAAGTGAAGGAAAAAATTTCCAAGGAGAAGGGATGGGAGGTTCCTCAACTGAAACTCATCTATTCTGGTCAGTAAACAAGCTCTGCTTCCTGCAGTCGTCATCCCAGCTGGATGAATGGCCTCTGCCAAGATACTTTGGCAAGTGGATGCAGCGCTGACCGTCCTTGCCACAATAGGAAAGATTCTTCAGGATGACAAGACAATCGAGACGTACAACATCGAGGAGAAGGGCTTCATAGTCTGCATGGTGTCAAAGGTATCCAGGTCTCCGTGCGCATATACACCCTTGGGCAGAAACTAATCTCTCTCAAAAGCCCAAGGCTTCTTCCTCCGGCACCTCGTCACAAGCGCCCTCCACCCCTTCGAGAGCAGTCACCTCAACCCCTGCTGCGCCTCCCGCACCAGCCCCATCTGCGGCTTCTACTGCACCGGCAGTACCTTCAACCCCCTCTCCGGCCGCCACTGGGGCTACTCAGGCACCCGGTTCTGCATTCAATGATCCCTCCGCATTATTGAGTGGCTCTCAGAGCGAAGCAGTCGTGGCTCAGATGGAGGCAATGGGCTTCGCCCGGAGTGATGTCAACCGTGCGATGAGGGCCGCTTTTTTCAACCCCGACCGTGCTATCGAGTATCTTCTGAATGTGAGTCTGCGACACTGGTTGACGGTCACCACTTGCCCGATCTTACGCTGACCTCCAGTAGGGTATTCCGGACAACATCCAACAGGAGCAGCAGCAGCAGCAAGCCGCCGCTGCCGCCGCCGCGAGCGCACCCCAGTCCGCAGCCCCCGAAAGCACCCCCTCCACGGCTGACGACGAACCGGTCAATTTGTTCGAAGCCGCCGCTCAGGCTGGTGGGCAAGAGGGTGGAGCTCGAGGCGCTCGGGCTGGAGGTGCATCTGGCGAGGGACTTCCGAGCCTCGACTTCCTTCGCAATAACCCTCACTTCCAGCAGCTTCGTCAGCTGGTTCAACAACAACCACAGATGCTCGAGCCCATCCTTCAACAAGTTGCCGCTGGTAACCCTCAAATTGCGCAGCTTATTGGTCAAAATGAGGATCAATTCCTTCAGCTTCTCAGTGAGGAGGATGACGGCGCGCTTCCTCCGGGTACGCATCAGATCCACGTTACTGAAGAGGAAAGAGATGCGATTGAACGCGTACGTATTTTATGACCTAACTATTTCACGTGAGGGTGCAACTGACCTGGTGCTGCTAGCTTTGCCGGCTTGGCTTCTCACGGGATCTGGTCATCCAGGCCTATTTCGCTTGCGACAAAAATGAGGAGCTCGCAGCCAACTATTTGTTTGAGAACCCGGACGATCCTGAAGATCTATGATTCAACCGCAGCCTCGTGTATCCTCGGGCTTGAGTGACTGCCCAGCGCTTTGAATCATCTTCTCCCCTCATAATTAACGTCGCAATGTATCCCCTTTTCTCTTCATCACTTCCCCTCAAGACATTCTGAGAATCGACTACGTAGATCAAACAATGGGCCCAAATCCATGCCCCTGGCTCTCTAATCCTAAGTCAGGCTGGCATGTATCTTTTTACCACGTGCTCGATTCGAATCTGTCTTCATGCCTCAATACTGGATGAGTTCTAGTAAGCCAGTATTTTGATGGATGATAGTTCCTTTCCCGCTGTGCTATCTTTCTTTCCCTACCCTCTCAACAGTGACGTTCCGGTCATGTATCTAGTTAATGAGAACAAGGCAAGGTATTCTCCCTTGAATTCTACGACCATCCGTCTCGATGTATTATGTTATGTAGCTCTCTGGGGTTGTCATGAAGCACCCTACCCTGATCGTGTAATGGTTTGTAAAGGATGGGTGGCGAGGGTTAAGCCCATGACAGATCAGCAGGCGGTCCCGAGAGATGAGATTGATCCTATGACCGAACACACTCACATACCAAATAAGATTACGCTGCCGTTCCCGTAAAATTCCATCCGTAACGAATTTCCCCTTTAGGACCGGATATACAATTCCGGCGGGTGATATATATCCTGTTCCAGTATTCCCCATACTACCATTTGTGAAATGAATAGTACTCCAGTACCGGTTAAAGCCAATACGGGACTTGATGCCCAACAGGGATGAGATTAAGATGTGTACTACATAGAATGGATAATAGGATCGAATGAAGAAGTGAGTCATGAGGAAATTTTGCACAAGAAGGTACAAAGAAAAGAAGAAATTCTTAGAAAAAAGAGAGAACTTGATTTCAAGGGTGGGGTATATTCTATTGCCATGGAAGTGTGTGATACGGTACAGGAATGCACGCGGGCAGACTTGTACCGACTAAATGATACCAGAGGTCAGGGTTAGAAAGAAATGAGATGAATTGTTTTGAGGTGGGATATAGCATAGGTGGTAGTATGTAGATAGTATGCGATGAAGAACGGAGCGAGGTGGGGTTAAGTCAAAACGAGGGGAAGAGGGCTAAACAAGGCAGGTGTGGAATGTAATGCCAAGAGAAAAATTGAAGAGAGACCACTGAAGTATATAAGGATAGGTCAGGGGTAAGGGAAAAGAAGTGATGAAGGTTGTCTCTGCCCATGCGGGGCCTGAATTGTTTTGCGCTCCCAGCTGACCGAGTGAGTTTCGGCGTCATCTGATCCTGAGTGAGAGAAATCCGTCAAACACAACGGGTTCTTCGTGCTGCCCAGACAGACAACCCGCGCCTACCAATGACTCGTCTAAGAGTTGGGAAGATGCCGTCTGTGCCGAAGTCCAGGTCATCCAAGTTGATGTGATTGCGCCAGGTCCATAGCTCGTGCAGTGCAAGATCCGATTCATCGAACAAGGGGGTTGTATAACGGTCAAGGAAAGTAGCGGATTTGGGTGCGACCACAAAGACATAATGTCTGGACGCATCTGAGCTATCAGTGTTATGTGGACATCGTGGTACCAATCTTTCGAGCTCGCTGGCCATTTCAGGTCCGGATATACCCATCAAGTCTCGCGTTTCGATGTCCAGCGGCGTAGTGCTGTTTTCTCCCAGCAGCCATAAGGGAGGGGAATAAGTCTTCCACCAGAGCACAGTGACAGACCTCTGGGAATCATCGCCAGAGATAACGGGGCCTGTCTCCAGGACGCTCGTTGAGACTATCGAGGGTATTGCAAGCTGAGCAGGCACTACACCACCTTGATGGTAGACCCCCATCAAGAATCCGAGAGAGGCATTAAAAACCACCCAGGTAGCCAAGAAAAGGCGCGATTTGCGCACTCGGAGGCAGCTCAAGAGTAGAGGGACACACGGAATCAGGAATCGAGGTTCCTGGTGCGGGAAGATGGAAAGCATAACGGTTGCTGATACGGCAGAGGCGGCGCGCATGTTCTTTAACCAAGATGGAATAGCTGCCGATTTCCATACCGAGAGTATTATCGCCACGTACGCAGGCCCCAGAAGTTGCGGTAGATTGACTAGAAAGTGGTGATAACGGGGATGGAGTCCATGGAGAGCTAGATTGGACTCATCCGTGTTGTAGAGCAGATTGTTGAGGGGCGTGATAACAGGTGCGTGAAGGGCGTCCCAGATCGATGCAGAAGGATTGTAAAACGATGTATCGACAAGGACAGCGATGCAGAAGAACAATAAGCCGAATCCAGCAAAAGAGAGAAAGGAATATGGCCTACAGAGCAATGTTAGTCTTACGGGGAAGATGGAGTAACGGAACCCCGCGCACGACTTACTTGCGCCAAAAATGAGGCAGTAATCGAAGGCCTGGGACAAGGAGAAAGGTAGGGAATGTGATCCGGTTGAAAACGCCCACGACGGCGATCAGCGACAGCAAGGCGCATGCGAAGAGAGAAGAGCGTCGCTATAAACAGCGATTAGCCAAACCAAAACCGTTCCTCTGGTTCCACATTATCAAGCCAACCTTATTATCAACTATGCGCTGGATCAATACCAAGCCCCAAGCCACTAACAGGGTCTCGAGGGAGTTGGAGAATGTGTGCGTCTGATATGTCCAGGTGACATACGAGGATGCAACTAGGACCACTGTCGCGCGGCGATGGCGCGGCAGGGGAACCAGCTCATAGACGGCCCAATCCTCAAGCACGAAGCTTAACAAAAACATGCCCCCTCGCAGCACATAGTAAACCAGATGTGGAGGAGGATTTAATGTCCTGCTCTCTGTATAGAACCCCTTCAGCAGGTTCATCGGTACGTCGTACGTTGGCCATAGTGGAAAGACGCTACGGATAGGCTTCTCGGAGGTGAATTCCCAGGGTAACTGTGATGGATAAGAGAAGATACGACCTATAGAGTCATTGGTGAGTTGTGCGCATTCAATCCCAGGGCAAGGCTTTCGTTCGTGGGCGGGAAGGACAGGACATCTTCCATGTGCGGAAAGCGTCGGAAGTGCGCCATCGTCATCCGTGAGCGGTCGCACCGCTCGAAAATCATCAACTCGAATGGCGGGCGGGAGATAAGCCTGCGAAACCGTTTGGATTCACTCACCAGCAAAAACCTCCGGGCCTTGGAAGTTCTCATCCGGATGTAGGTAACTTGGCGAAAGTGCGAAGTAAACCCGGATCACCAGTAACAGCAGGTAGGTTCGTCTCCACATGGCTTGGACGGGGTGGAAGCACGGGGAAGCAATCTCAAGGCAACAAGGGACCAGTCCGATCTAGTAGGATACTGCACATGCCGGTTGCCTGCTGCATCCGAGAGTAAGTATAGATAGTACGTAGCTGACACGGAAGGAGGAATTAAGGAGCGACTTGTTGGGACATGGGGGGCAGGCTATCCAGAAGTAGAAGCAGAAGCAAAAGCAGGAAAGGGAAAAGAAGAAGTCGGATTCCAGGAGATAAATGTTTATCCCCGAGAAGGTCGAGTCGGGATCGCTGGCCTCTGTGGACGGTGTGTCGCGTCGTGGGGTGATATCACTGCCTGCCCTGCCAGGCACTATTGGGTCTGGGTGAAATTACTCCGTCCAGCGCAGCCATGGTGGGTCAGATCTCCATCGATCCTCAGGAACGGAGCCATCGGCCTTTGACATCTCCCAGAGTCGCGAAAAGGAGTTCGCAGCATGGCACCGATTGAACCATCATCCGTGCACCCCAGAGTTAGTGCAACCGCCGGGGAATGTTGTGTTGTTTATACAGCAGTCGGGTCCAGTACTAGGCGGCCTCCGGAGGAAGGAAAGGAACGAACCATACATAGTACGGAGGATGGCGTCGTACAATGCCTCAGGGTTCCATCTCTACTCCGTCCTAGTAGTATGTAGGTAGTAACAAAGAATGAACTCAGCCGATAGGCTCGGTAAAATACCCACTTCATACAGGGATCTCCAGCGATTTGAGAAACTGAATAATGGACACTTTGCTGAGCAAGATCGGGGGACTGATCTGATCGTATAGGCTACGATGGAATCTACCGTACGGAGTAATGAAGTTCTTTAAAAAAAAACTTACCATCAATGAATGGATGAATCACTCAATCAGACCGGCAAACAAAGACAAAGATGAATTCGACGGTATTATCAGCTTCGATCTCCTTGCTGCCTTCCTCCTCAAAGCCATTGCATTGCCCCTTTCTGAATGTCGAATGGTCAAAGGAGGAAGGAAGGAGGGAGGGAGGGAGGGAAACTCGCTGGCCAGCCAGGCACCCACCAGGCAGCACAAGCAATCTGCCAGGCCACAACCGCCCAGGTGGGGCATGAACAACAAATGACGGCGGACATTGGCGGACCCTCGTCAGCCTCAGAGCTCGGCCATTCATCCGCCTTTCTTTCGTCGGTCTCGGAAACTTCCACCCACCACTCCCCTTTCACCTCGGAATCGATCTTTGTGTCTCTCCCACTGCAAGCCCTCACTTCACAGCCAACTAGGCTATTTAAACCATCTCAATCCCCGCTTCAATACGCCCTTCTCCCAACCCCACAACTCGTTTTCACTCTTACCACCCAGAACTTGTAAGCAAGCGTGTCCCCCGCCTGCCTACCCCTCATATAACCTTGTTGGAACTGCAACCCAGTGACATTCCCGGCGTCTACAGCTGAGTTATCTAACAGAGGAATCCAGATCTTCCAGAGTCTACTTCGCATCCTAGAAATGGCTGCCGCTGGGACTCTTCTTACATTCGTCAGTGCCGACAACGTGCACATCGAGGTTGGTAAGTACAGCGCCTTTGAAACCCCTTTGAAGAAACCGTGACTGTGTCTATGCTTCCACAAAGTTTACATACTAACGCATCGGAAAACACAGAGCGCGATGTCGCCGAGCGCTCTCTTCTTATCAAGAACATGCTGGAGGACTTGGGTGATGCCACCGAGGAAATCCCCATTCCCAATGTGAGTCATCCGCTAAATTGTCTAGGTGTCTACCGGCAAAGATCGCTAACTACTTCCGGAAACAGGTCAACGAACCTGTCCTAAGAAAGGTCATTGAATGGTGCAGACACCACAAGAACGACCCCCCTTCTACTACTGAGGATGAAGACTCCCGCCGCAAGACCACTGACATCGATGAGTGGGATCAGAAGTTCACGCAGGTCGACCAGGAGATGCTGTTTGAGATTATTCTGGTACGTTCTGGGGTCTAATGTCTACGCAAGCCTACCAGCTAACCCGTCTTTCAACTACAGGCTGCGAACTACCTCGACATAAAGGGTCTTCTAGATGTAGGCTGCAAAACCGTGGCGAATATGATCAAGGGCAAGTCTCCTGAGGAGATTCGCAAGACTTTCAACATTCAAAACGATTTCACTCCCGAAGAAGAAGATCAGATCCGTCGTGAGAATGAATGGGCTGAGGAGTAAGCTGCTGAGAGCCTACCCCCGCCATGTAGCCGCTGGCCCGCTAACTTTGCATCTTACTGTAGCCGCTAAACCTACATTGATCGTCGACGTCGCCATGCTTGCTCTCCCGGACTGCTTTCTATGGAACGCAAACCGGGAGAGATGAGCCCATATGAGCCCATATCCTGATGTTTCGGCCGGGGCTTAATCTGGTCTAAACTTGTTTGCAGTTCACGGCGTTATGATATTTTTCCTTCATGTCAGCGGGTTTTCTTTGTCACTGTCACTCTTTCCGTCTTGGCTTTGTGCACTTGTGCTTCACGGCCAGGGGTAGATGTAGCTTATTACAAGGTTAGGGAACTGCTGTTCCTTCGCTCTCTTATCATCCTAAGTTTATCTTACTACCTCGCGGCTCGCATTTTCCTGGAAGAAAAATTCAACCAACCGGGTGTTCGCCTCCCGGCTGCCTATTAATTTAATTGCCTTCACTTGCCTGAATTGCCCTGCATAGTGGATTTCCCTACTGGCTCCGTAGAAATCTGTGGGATCTTGTAGACCGGGCATATAGTTTGCCCAGGTAAGACATGAACAATATCGACGTGGAGCAGCTGTCCCGTACAGCAACCGGGCTACTTGTATACTTCGATGCAGGGATGGACGTTACACACAATCGAGCTGCCCCTTCTCCACACGAGTGACATACGACAAAGAGTATAACATAGCCTTACCAATCACCATTCACTGATTGATGTACACACCCAGTGTCGAGAGCTTCAACCGGAAGGACCGAATATTTTCATGGGCTTTTCATACGGAGCCATGATACACAGCATCATTACCAGTTCCCCAAGAAACAACCTCATTCAACTGCTCATTACCCATCATAGATTTTCGATTTTTGTCTTTTCAGCTCGTGTACACAATTTGCAGAAGCACTGCTGCATCACCAGAGACAGCTCCCCCAATCAAATCACCGCTTGCCCACCTCGACCACACACCAACCACTATCTCCTGTCCGGAACACAAACACACACACGCACACATCCGGCCCCATCTCAAATCGGTCGATCATTTGAGACGAGATAGGCTTTTAAGAAAAACCAGTGTCATGTTGCTGATGCTGCTGGTACTGAAACAAAAGATGGCAACAAGTATGCGGAGAAAGAAAACCGAGGAGGGACGGGTTTCCGAGAGAGAAAAAGCGTAAGAGGTTTGAGAAAAAGATGAGAAGCGGGTTGTTTGAGGAAAATCAAGAATGATGCAGGGTTTTTGTCATCATCGCGAGTAGCAGCGGCACACAAGAGTTGGCGGTATCACGACTGAACGAAACATTCCCGGCGATAGGTAGTAGCCATCTCGGGCGAAATCGAAAAGTCGTCGGGCGGTGCTGATAAGACGAGTTTAGATGCCGAGGCGGGTCTTGCGCCAGTGCCTGCGCTTGGCGTTATATCTGGAGAGAAGAGATGGGAGGTTAGTTCTTGTATCTGGTATTGTGTATAGAAACAATGTCCTCTGATATCCCCGCCAGAGCCTATGATATTGGTGCCCTGGCGAATACTCGGTACAGAAGCACACATGGCAATCGTTCCCTGAATCTTCCTTGCCTCCTTTTCTTTTTTGTCGGTGTTCTTTCGCTCAAGTCGATCGAGGAATGACGGGGTGCATGTGGATGGAACGGTGACGGTTCTATTTACCTGATGGTGTTACCGGTCCTGAGACGAATCCACTGGGGGATAGGACGGTTCTGTCTCTGAGCTTTGGCAAGCTTCTGCTTGGTGCGGAAACTCTTGTGGCTCTAGATTGAAGGAAAAGTGAGCGTTAGCCTGGTGTCATCATCCCAACCACCACCTTCTATTCCATATATTTTTCATTTCCAGAAGAGATGTGGTATTCATGGTCGTTCAAATGTCAAGGGGGCTGCTAACCGGCATCTTGAAGGCTTGTCGCGACGGCGAGTGTATGGACTGGCGATGATGAGGTTGTCGACCGTCTGTCAAGGCGCCGTTCAGTAGTGGTGGTTTTTTTGTGCGGGCAGGGCTTAGCGTTTCGCTTCCGCCGGGTCATGTGACTTATGCCTAAGGCAGACACGTTTATTTGACGTGTAGGCGGTGCTTGGGCACTTTGGATTCATCCAACATAGCTGTGCTTGGTTGTTGATCTATGTTAAAATACGTAGAGTTTGTCATAGGTTGAAAATATGGGGTATGCAGTGGCTATCGTTGAGTATATCACTGGTGTGTATACTCCATACTCGGTCTTTGCGAGACTGTCTCTCCAACGGGAAGTCACATGCCTTGACCGCCAAGCGGCCTGCTGGACTTGACCAATTCATACCATCGCCGTCTACCTAGATACGAGATTTCCAATACTCCGTACCTATATGAAGAAACATGGAATGCTTGGCGCTCAGTGCATCTGTTCAAATTTGGAAAGCCTTGTATACACAGTACGCGAATACATTCCGACTGTTCTATAAGATAAGCCTACCAATGCACCTCGCGCGGTGTTTTTGTTGCGGACAGCAAGTACTCCATAAAGATGCAACCAATGTCGGAGGTCCTACACGGTATCTGGTTGTCAATTCGCAGGTGATGACGATACAGTGATTCCATCTCACATCTTGATGCACTACTACTCCGTACTCAAATTCTTTTCCAGTTTATTATGACCCTCAGCATGATGGCTTAGCAGGCACCTACAATGGAGATACAAACTCCCGTCAGGTAAAGGTGTCGAAAGTGTCACGGACCTGTTCTATGAGCCACCAGCGTGTCTGCTGAGCAACGAACCAGATGTGAGAAGGGAGGAATCTTTGGATGTCAAATCGATAATCTCCGGTTGTGTCAAGCCACCGAACTCTATGGTAGCATTCAGCATATCCGCCCTAAATCTTCCGATCCAGCATGGACGAGGTTATGCTCTGGAGGAGCCCTGTCAGAATCGGCTTCGGTACCCTATGCTTCCGTCGATCAGTCTTATCGACTCCGTATACGACCCATGGCATTCGTTCGGAACACCTACCTTCCGACTTAGCGCATGCGGTATCTATCATATACCTAGCGTTCATTCCGACTCCGTGTGGAGTTTCACCTAGATATGGCGGAGTTGACTAGCATCAGTGGCTTCAAGGATTAAGAGTGCCCTATATAGACTATGCAGTCGTTGGGGAAGCCAGATATTGACTATTTAGGTACGGAGTACCTACCTACATACTAGTAGCAGGTCGATAGATATACGGAGCCGTCAGGTTATTGATAAGATAGCAAACGGGTCGGGTCAATCACCTCGTTGGACTTTGGAGGAGGCGGAGTTGATAAGTATCAAATGAATCAACAGAAGTAGCGAGATCGCAGATGCCGAAACTACTACACCGTAAAATTGATTCCTATATGACAGGTCAGAAGGGGCGAACGCCTGGATACAGCTGCGAGATAGTACTCCGTGGGGACCCAAACAGGTCCGAACCCGAACACGAAGCTATGTGTCAGATGTGAGTCAAAGTTGACGTGGGAGAGAGTGCCATTAACATTAGCAGCGGACTCCGTCCGTGGTAATGCATCCAGCGGGATGGCAGATAGACCAATCGAGGCGGAGGTAAGATTATGGTGTCTGCGTTCCAGATCAGGCATCGATTGCGATCGGGAACGGGCGACGGTGCTCGGAGTGCCCGACTCCGACTACTGCATAATGCCATAACACTAGCATAGCGGAGTAGAGACGGAGCAACTGGGCCCTCAATAATCCGGTGTAAGGACTAAGGATGCCACCTAATAATATGAAAGGCATTGGAATCCTCTGACCAGTGACCACATGGACTGTGCCCGCTCGGACTTGACACTATTTTGGGCTACGTAGTATGTACATTTAGGAGCGAAGATACTAGATCCTCCAAAGTATTCAGTCTTCACATATCTATCTAGATACTAAGTTTGAGGAGGCTATGTGGCATGTCTTTGACGTAAGTTACATTTTCCCTGGAGGCCTGTGAATGACGTGACGGCCATGGAAATATGGGAAGATGAAAACCCACCCCTCCCCCCTGAATTCCTGACGTTTGGCGAAAGCCGGATTAGAGTTTAAAGAGCTGGGCCATCCATCGAAGCACAAGTGACTAAAGTTGTTTCTGGTATGAATCTGCATACTTCATGCCTTGGTAGTAGTGAGTGAGTGTGAGTATCTCCTGTGTAGTAGTAGAAGCATCGAAACCATTTAGATACTACGGAGTATTATTAATAATAATCTTCAGTTCGGTACCCAAATAACCCAAGCGGGTCTTCGGTAAAACATCTCGAGTCTTTCTTCTTTGTTCGTAGCGCGGGACCCCGCCGATTAGTAGTATGAACACTAAGCCCTCTAGGCAATAATATTATAATAGGCATATACGACCGGTGTCGTATTCGCAATCGATTGGTACACGCGAGGTCCGAACAACCAACTCCTATCTGGCCTTATACGGAGTACGGAGTACGCTGTACGCGGTGGTTCTAGAAGTCTAGGTAGAACCAATCCGATGTGTCCAATTGAAGAATTACGATGGGAATATGACTAGTATCATGATTCATGACTCACAAACAAGTTATGCCACTGATTGATTATTACTATTGCCTTCTTCGTTTATCACCCGCCCCCTGAATCCACCAATGGTACGTGCCAACCTTGGGGGAAACAACATGGAAGCTGGGAGCTAATAGCGCTAATCCTAATTCTTCACCTTCTTTTGTTGTTGTTGAATGATGAATGTTGTAGTGGTATTTTTTTGGTGGTTTTCTTTTTCTCTCCACGGGTTCACAGAGTATCCGACCGGGATCCAAGATCTCTTACCATCTATTGTTGATCTGCGGTGCAACAGAATACTGCTGCTATCCATAAGGGAAGTTAAAAGTGAAAAGATAACTTGATAGGCTACCTCCTGGGGAAACAATACGCAGCTCTGTGCAGACTGCAGGCATCCATGATCCATGATGAACCTGATGAACTGAAAGTCGTTACTTCTTCTCAGATCAGGCTAGACAGCATCAAGGCCCGTCCCATCTAGAATTATTGATTATTTTTATTTCCGGTCATAAAGCATGGGGATAACAGCAGGTGGAGGCCCGGTGACCAACGGGGTTCATGCATAAAATCGCCCTCGGGAAGTCGGGGCTCCGACCAGCAAACTAAACGACGGAAACTAAAAAGGAATCTTTCTAGTTTCTTAAGTTCAACAAGCAAGATGGGGCACTGCACTGATGGAGACTCTGGCTGACGCATATACTACTTTAGTTCCAGGTCGTCATGATTCGAATTACTAGTATTATTAGAGCCTCCTCCCCTTTTTTTAATTTGATAGCTTTTCCCTGGTTTTCTGGCTTTATCTATCGGCCCCCTCTTCTTCCTCCACATAAGTAGTTGATCATTCCATCCCTATCTGCCGCGCGTGTGGAGGAATATCTCACAGCAGGGACACCAGCCATCCATCTCGCCCTACAACCCACTCCCCACCCCTTCCCTGCGCGTGCATCCCTTCCTCGCGTCCTTTTGGGGACAGGTTAGCTTCCGCTTGAAGCATCTTGAATCTTTCTTTCAAGCTGTCTGCCTCATGGAGTAGAGCGCTCTCTGGCTCTCCACCCCCCCCCCCCCCCGCCACACACCCTTTCCTTCTTCGACCTTAAATTATAGAGTGAGACTTTCGGTTCGACGCCGCGAACGAAATGTCCCACCCGGAGAACGAGCGCATCTCGGCGGAGAGATCCGTCGACGACGTCGAATTGTCAGCCATGGAGCGCGAAAGTCCATCTTCGGCGGAGCTGCGCAAGTCAAGCGGCCAGTCGTCCGTCACCAGTACGACAATGGTTCCCGCTGCAGAAAAGAGCCAGGCGTCTCCTGCCCAACAATTAGCCCGGGCAGATGATTCCGACGCGTTGTATGCTCATCTTCCCGAACATGAAAAGCAGATTTTGAAGAAACAGCTGGATGCGGACGATGTGGATGTGTCGTTCTTTGGTCTGTTCCGTTATGCTTCTCGGTCAGATATCGCGATCATGATTGTGAGCGGAATTTGCGCCATCATCGCAGGCGCTGCTCTGCCTTTGTTCACCGTGAGTGATATCCCTGGTCGCATTCTATAGTTTGTCTAGATGGACCTCCTTTGACTAACTCTGGCCTAGATCCTTTTCGGTTCCTTGGCCTCGGCCTTTCGAGGCATAGCCTTGTATGAGATCTCATACCACGATTTCTACCACCAGTTGACCAAGAATGTCCTCTACTTCGTCTATCTCGGTATTGCAGAGTTTGTCACAGTATATATCTCCACTGTCGGGTTCATCTACACCGGTGAGCACGTTACCCAAAAGATTCGCGAGCACTACCTCGAGTCGATCCTCAGACAGAACATGGGATACTTCGACAAGCTGGGTGCAGGTGAAGTCACTACTCGTATCACTGCCGACACGAACCTCATCCAAGACGGTATCTCAGAAAAGGTTGGACTCACCCTGACGGCTCTTGCTACGTTTGTCACCGCTTTCATTGTCGCTTACGTCAAATACTGGAAACTGGCACTGATCTGTACCTCGACGATTGTGGCACTGGTTCTGCTCATGGGAGGTGGTTCTCGTTTCATCGTCAAGAACAGCAAGATGGCTTTGCAGAGTGCTGGTGCTGGTGGTACGGTAGCAGAGGAAGTCATCAGCTCCATCCGCAATGCGACTGCATTCGGCACCCAGGACAAGCTTGCCAAACAATACGAGACTCACCTCGCCGAGGCCGAGAAATGGGGTGTTAAAACCCAAGTGACCCTTGGTTTCATGATTGGCGGCATGTTCGGTATCATGTTTTCCAACTACGGCCTTGGTTTCTGGATGGGCTCTCGCTTTCTCACTGATGGAGAGGTCAACGTCGGCCAGGTTCTGACTGTGTTGATGGCTATCCTGATCGGCTCATTTAGTCTGGGCAATGTCAGCCCCAACGCCCAGGCGTTTACGAACGCTGTCGCCGCAGCTGTCAAGATCTATGGCACCATCGACCGCCCTTCACCCCTAGACCCCTATTCCGAGGAAGGTGAGAAGCTTGAGCACTTTGAGGGCAACATCGAGTTTCGTGGGATCAAGCATATCTACCCTTCCCGGCCGGAAGTGACTGTCATGGATGGGGTTTCTCTAAGCATGCCTGCCGGAAAAACAACTGCCTTGGTTGGTCCTTCCGGTTCTGGAAAGAGTACCGTTGTCGGCCTGGTTGAGCGCTTCTATTTCCCGGTTGGGGGCTCCGTTCTCTTGGATGGCCATGATATCTCGACCCTCAACCTTCGTTGGTTGCGTCAACAGATTTCTTTAGTCAGCCAGGAACCCGTCCTTTTCGGCACCACCATCTATCAAAATATCAGATACGGACTCATTGGCACCAGATTTGAGCAAGACCCCGAGGAGAAGATCCGGGGCCTGATCGAAAATGCGGCGAGAATGGCCAATGCGCATGATTTTATCACGGCACTCCCTGAAGGCTACGAGACGAATGTTGGCCAGCGCGGCTTCTTGCTCTCCGGAGGACAGAAACAGCGTATTGCAATTGCACGTGCCATTGTCAGCGACCCCAAAATTCTTCTACTCGATGAAGCTACATCTGCGTTGGATACCAAATCCGAGGGTGTTGTACAGGCAGCACTTGACAGAGCCGCGGAGGGTCGAACCACTATCGTGATTGCTCACCGTCTATCGACAATCAAGACGGCACACAACATCGTCGTCATGGTCAATGGTAAGATTGTGGAGCAGGGAAACCACAACGAGCTTGTCAGCCGCAAGGGTACCTACCACAGCCTTGTGGAGGCGCAGCGTATCAATGAGGAGAAGGACGCGGAAGCCCTGGTTGCCGATGAGGATGTCGAGGAGGAAGACTTCTCCAAACAAGAAATTGCGCGCATCAAGTCTGCAAGCAGCGGCTCTGGCTCTCTCGACGATGAGGATGAGAAGTCACTCGCTGGGAATGGATTGAACCGCAGTGGAACGCACAAATCAATTTCCAGCGCCATTCTTGCTAAGCGGGAGCCCGAGGTCGCCCGGAAATACTCCCTCTGGACATTGGTCAAATTCATCGCCTCCTTCAATCGTCCCGAGCTTCCATATATGCTACTTGGGCTGTGCTTCGCGGTTCTTTCTGGTGGTGGTCAGCCAACTCAGGCGGTGCTGTACGCCAAAGCTATCAGTACGCTTTCATTGCCGACTAGCGAGAGCGCTAAAATTCGGCATGACGGAGCCTTCTGGGCCCTGATGTTCTTCGTGGTTGGAATCGCTCAATTCATCAATCTTTCGATCAACGGTGCCGCGTTTGCTGTCTGTTCAGAACGGCTGATCCGCCGGGCTCGAGGCATGGCCTTCAGGTCGATTCTCCGGCAGGACATCACCTTCTTTGACAGGGAGGAGAATAGCACTGGCGCGCTGACATCATTCCTGTCAACCGAGACCAAGCATCTGTCTGGAGTCAGTGGGGCAACTTTGGGAACTATCCTGATGACTAGTACCACCCTCGGCGCGGCCATGATTATCTCTCTTTCCATTGGGTGGAAATTGGCTCTGGTTTGTATTTCGGTCGTTCCCATCCTCCTCGGGTGTGGTTTCTACCGTTTCTACATGCTGGCCAGATTCCAACAACGGTCCAAGACTGCCTATGAATCGTCTGCGAGCTATGCTTGCGAAGCGACTTCTGCCATCCGCACTGTGGCCTCACTCACGCGGGAGCAAGATGTCTGGGCAATCTATCATTCTCAGTTGGAGGACCAGGGACGGAAGAGCCTGTTGTCTGTGCTGAAGTCTTCTATCCTTTACGCGTGCTCGCAAGCCCTAGTTTTCTTCTGTGTTGCGCTTGGTTTCTGGTACGGAGGCACACTCCTGGGCCATCACGAATACTCTGTTTTCCGCTTTTTCGTCTGCTTCTCGGAGATTCTTTTTGGCGCCCAGTCCGCTGGTACTGTCTTCTCTTTCTCGCCTGACATGGGAAAAGCGAAGAACGCTGCGGCTGAATTTCGGAGGCTGTTTGACAGAAAACCAGCAATCGACACGTGGTCGGAGGAGGGGGAGAACCTCGCCTCAGTGGAAGGCGAGATTGAGTTCAAGGATGTGCATTTCAGGTATCCTACCCGGGCAGAGCAGCCTGTCCTACGAGGACTGAACCTGACCGTCAAACCCGGACAATATATTGCCCTCGTCGGCCCCAGTGGATGCGGCAAGAGTACCACCATCGCGCTCCTTGAGCGTTTCTATGACGCCATCGCTGGAAAGGTTCTGATTGATGGGAAAGACATCACCCAGCTCAACGTGAATTCATATCGCAGTTTCTTGTCGCTGGTCAGCCAGGAACCTACCTTGTACCAAGGCAGCATCCGGGAGAACATCTTGTTGGGAGTTCAAGGGGATGGTGCGACCGAGGAGCAGCTGGTGAAAGCTTGCAAGGATGCCAACATCTATGACTTTATTATGTCTCTTCCGTAAGTCGACTTAGTTGCTTCCCTTTTAACGACTGCGACACTAACGCAATCCAATTCCAGGGAGGGGTTCAACACCGTGGTTGGCAGCAAGGGAGGTATGCTTTCTGGAGGCCAGAAACAACGAGTGGCAATCGCACGTGCTTTGATCCGGGACCCCCGAGTTCTGCTGCTGGATGAGGCTACATCTGCTCTCGACTCGGAATCCGAAAAGGTTGTGCAAGCTGCGCTGGACGCCGCGGCCAAGGGACGCACCACGATCGCCGTCGCACACCGACTGAGTACCATCCAAAAGGCCGATATTATCTATGTATTCGACCAGGGTAAGATTGTCGAAAGCGGCACCCACCAGGAATTGATCCGGGTGAAGGGCCGTTACTTTGAGTTGGTCAACCTGCAAAGCCTGGACGGTGGCCATTGATATACCATTGCATTCTGTCTAGATCCTTTAATGTCCCTGCTGTCTGCTCTGCTTATACCCCTTTCTACTTGCATTTTTACTCGGCTCTACTCATCCTGTAATGTGTCATGATTCCTTCACCAAAACTATGCCGGGGGTGGCCTTGATCCTCTTCTCTTGTTTCTTGCTTACGCCCAAGCTGCATTGATCGATGTGGAGTTGGCTTGCATTGTGGTTTAGATTGGAGAATCTCACAATTGTACTTAGTTGTTGACGACACTTTCCTCTGTTGTCTACTTGGGTCTGCAAAGTAGGACTTTGGATATTCACTGACTGTCCACATAGTCTGGTGGCTTCTGCTTCTGCTTCTGCTGTCAAAAGTGTATGTATTGAGAGAGCTAGGAAAAGCTGGAAAAGAATCCGTTATCACTTGAACTTCCCGCAAGAAACGCGGAAGGTATCTTGGAACATTCGTCAACGCCCAACCGTATGAAGATGATCAAGACGCCCGTTGAACTCCGAACGCAGTAAATCAACCCTCCGAGGGGAGATAGAGTTGTAGACCCAACCGCAACTCGTACTAATCCCGATCATCTACCCCATACTCTCGTTGCACGTCAACTTGCCGTACCCCGCGGGCATCCGCAATCAAGCCCATGAGGCCCTGGGCGATATCCTTGATTTCATTATACTCGTGGAGAAGACGGATGTGGTGTTGGACCGTCGTTGACGGGTCGTTCCTAGCCGTAGCATTGATCAATAAGAATAATTCCCCATTGATTGACACAGTATATCACAGGTCTGCTGGTCATACTTCAACTTGGTCTTGGTCTGTGCGATTTGTGACTCGATCCCCGTGATCTGGGATTGCAGACTTGCGATGGATGCGCGGAGAGTGGACTGGAATTTGTTAGATGTTGCATGCCACTTCTGGGTTGAATTTTTCCCTTTCTTTCTGTCTTTCTTTTTTCTTTATAGATTTTCTGAGATGTATGAAGAGAGAACCAGTACCAGTTTCTTGTCCCTTTGGGTTTGTTCATCAGGGGAGAGGGTTGTTAGTGCTGGGTCCTTATCATTACTAGTTGTTATGGTGGTGGTGGTGGTGGTGGTGGTGGCTTGCTGGTGCTGTTTGGAGGGTGGCATGATGGCATGCATGATGTCCAGGAGTAGCAGTGTGTCTGCCTGGGTGTGGGGAGGTGGAGAATGCAAGTAGATACTACATAGTACTATTATTACATACGTACGTACGTCCGTCCTTTTGTAAGAGTCTGTCTGATCGGCAGTTTCGAAGAGATCGCATCCACCGTGTCGACTGATGAAATTGTTTTACGATGGGGCTCTACTCTTCTTTTTTTTCTTTTTTTTTTTTTTCTCTATCTTTGTCATGAAACTTTCTCCTCTGCTTGAATAATGAATGTTGTTGTGGTTTTGCCATACAAAAGCCGCCGACCAATCCGATTCGTCCGATTCCCCCCGACCTTGTCTTTCTCCCTTAATAATAATAATTCCACCTCCACCTCATCATCGTTCATCCGTCTGACTCCCTCCATTCGCTTTGCTTCCCTCTTCATCCTTTCCCTCCGCGTGAAAGGAGAAGACGATCACCGCGACAATGAGCCGATTCGGTCTCCAAGGGTTGCTGGCAGCCCTGCTGCTGGCCTCCCCCGCGCTGGCCCACGGCGGCCACGAGAGCGTCCCCGAAGGTGCCGCCGTCTCCGATGATCCAATTGTATGTTGTCGCACCTGGCGGTCTTCGATCGCGGTGATCTTCCCAGGTACTGACCGGCCTTCCAGGACTCAACATTATGGGTGCACATGATTCTGATGGGATTTGCCTTTGGCCTCATCTTCCCCTTGGGCATGGTCCTCGGAGTAAGCAAAACCCTTGACTATCCATTCTATCTCCGGCCAACCCGGTCGGAGGCAATAAATCCATTGCTTGCCTGGACCAAGCTGCGTATCTAACACTTCATCTTCACAATCACAGATTGTGCGCTCGCGCTGGCACGTCCCTCTCCAGATCGTCGGAACCATCGTCGCAGTAGTCGCATACTTTCTCGGCCATGCTCACAAAGGCCGCCAATTCTCGAAGAACGTCCACGCGTCGTTCGCAAACACCCTCATGCTCATGATGGTCGTGCAGATTGTTCTCGGTTTCTATCTCAAGTTGCACCTCTCCAAAGGAATCCATGGCCGTATCCGCCGGGTGATCGTGATCGCGCACGGAGTTGTCGGAAAGGCGATGCCAGTGGCGAGTTGGGTCCAAATGCTCTTCGGAGGAATCACCGCCATGGGCTTCTGTCGGGATGACCACTTGGGACAGTGTCTGGCTCATTTCATCATGGGCAGCGCTTTCATCGCCTATGGTATTCTGCTGACAATCCTGCTCCTTGTTGGCCAGTACTGGCTGCGTCGCACTGGCCGCAGCCAGGAGTTCTTCGACTCGTTGATCATTGCTGCGTGGGGATGTGTCAACACCTTCACAGAACACCGCTGGGGAGGTCCTTGGGTCCACAACGACTTGCAGCACACCACTATGGGCATTGTCTGGTGGTGCGCTGGTCTTTTGGGTATTTGGATGAGCCGGCGGCGCAACGGCCGGCCCAAGCGGAACTTAATCCCAGCCTTGGTCATCCTCCTCACCGGTTATGCTATGTCTGCCCACCCGCAGACCCTGATGATCAGCACTATGATCCACACTATCTTCGGCTACACGTTGATGGCCGCTGGTATCACGAGAATCATTGAGATCTCCTTCGTGCTGCGGGACAAGGGCACCCTCAGTGTGGACGGTACTGATCCCAACAGTTTCCAATATCTCCCACCCTTCGTGAGTCCCCATAACCAACATATTATCCAGAGGCGTGGCCTCGTGCTAACTTGCCGCAGCTTCTGTACGCCTCGGGATTCCTTTTCATGGGAGCCACAGAGGAGCAGATGCAACTCCTGAGTGACGCCGGAATAACCCATGTATCATACGTCTTGATCCTTTACAGCATTGCCTTCATCCTCTTCCTGTGTAAGTTCCGTCTAATCAAGCCAAATGAATCACACTAACCCGGTCCCCAGTCGTCAACGTGCTCCTGCACATCTACGCCGTCCACGCATGGCCCGAATCCACCCAAGCCCCCTCCCACTCGCGCTCCTCAAGCACTGCAGACACCGGCGAGGGCTCCTCCCACTACCGACAGGCCGCCAATGGTCGTCTTGTGAACGGTCATGCCCGTTCCGCATCGGAGATCCAACATGTCCACGACGCCGAAGAATTCGAACTCCAAGGCCTCATCTCCGACGAAGACGACGCCAAACCCCTCGGCGACGACGGTCACCCCATGGGTCCTCAAAAAGTCGAAGATGAAGAAAACGCCCCCTTAGTTGCTAAGGAAACGTCAACGCGTTAGTCCCTATTCAGGGAGCTATACCGTTACTCATCGTTCTACATTCTTTCTCTTTTCTCTCTCAATTATATTCTATCTCTACGGAGTATATCCCGCTCTATACATATCTAGTTCGTATCTTCTTTAAGCTTCTTCTGGTTCCGGGTGTGTTTGATTTGATGTGATAAAAAAAATCGGTTGCATCTGTACATGTGCATAGCTCCATTTCATATAAATTGATTTTATCTTTCTTTACCTACACGCCCACTCCCCTTTTCTAAGGGTATTTCTTTATTCTTGCGTATGGATCAGGAGGAAAGGAGGGGTATGGTTGAATGAGATATAACGCTATCAGAATCAATGCTCTTCATCCATTACGAATCACTCACTGTACAATAACGTAGGAATAATAGGGAAGTAAAGTAAAGTAAAATACTCAAGGTGGGTTAAAATAATGCCCTGGAAAATCGCTTTATCAGATCTATCGTACACGTCGTGAGAGGATCCCACCCCACCTAGGATGGAGGGAGGCCCTTATGCAGGGAAAGAGCGTCGAAGAATTTCCACTGCCATTCTACCCAGACCGTCGCTCAGCGGGAGGGTAAGGAGGGTACCGTGGCTGGCTCACCGTCCAATGAGATTACATTGGAGGTTGGAAGCACGGTCGGTAGGACGTTCTCGACTTCGGGTGGGAAGAATGGATGTAAGGGATATATGGGAGCGGTGGATCGTTCGCCGTCGAAGAGGAGCATGTTCTGGAGGGGTTGCTCTCTTGCGCTTAAGACGTTGATCACGTCCTGGGCGAGGTTGCCGCCTACGAATGCGGCCACGGGGCTTAGCTCGCTTCCCAAGTTCTGGAGGAAGGTGCGTAGGAACCCTGCGTCCAGGGTGGTGATGTCGAGTTTCAATTCCTGGTGGCAGTCACGGGCATGTTTCGTGAAGACTTCCAGGTCTTGGTGGGAGAAGGTTGGCAGGGCGCCGGCGGATGATTTCTGGTACTCCCATAAGGCACGAAGGCAGGTGAGAAGAGGTGTCACTTGTTTGCGTTTCCGTGCGACCCTGGTAAAATCCTCGGGGAGGGGTGAGGTGTTGGCGAGGATCAGTGGGGAATACACCTCCCGCTTGGTCACCATCTCGATAACCTTCTCATTTTCCTTCTTCGTCGTGATGTTCAGGATGCTGCGAGTGGGAGTTTCCTGCGTTGGGGACGGGACGTTCGATTTGGAACGCTCCATGACGAAATCGTGAGAGATCAGATCGGCGAAGACGAAGCCGTAGAAACCGTGCAACCCTGCGGCATAGAAGGGACGATTAGCGATGCGACACGCCGCATTGATGGTTGTGTATGTAGCGAAGTCGAGCTCAGTTGCGATGGTGATGTCGAATTGAGCAAAGAAATCCGGCTGTTTTAGATGGACATCCTCGGTGTCAATGTGAAGGTGGACCCGAGGGTTCATGGCACGGACAGAGGGTGCTGCCGCTTGTGCACGCTGAGATGCGTTTAGTTGTATGGCCAATGCTTGCTGGGAAGGAGACAGCTCACGTTCTGGCCCAAGTGTTCCTGGTTGATGAAGAATTGCGCCCCCAGGTCCTCTTCTTTAACAAGTTCATGATCGATGATCGTCAAGGAACCAATGCCTGCCAACACCAGATTCTTCGCAACTTCGTTTGCCAGCGCTTTGAACGTGATAAGGAGTATATTAGCGGATCGTAACCTACGGAGAGCATTACGATCAGCTTGCTGATGTGTGGTGATTGGATGGTCGAAAGAGCTCACTTTTCTTGTGCCTTGACTCCCCAGAGGCGGATTTGGCGATCATACAAAGCGATCTCATCTGTTTTGTTTCACGAAAAGTCAGACATATCCTCGGTCCAATAGTAGCTGCCTGCCAGATCTGAGGTTGGTTCCCTTACCCGCGCTAATTGACTGGGCTGAATCTGCCTGAGACTCCATTGCGATTGTTGATGGAGACGATTAGTATGCGACTTGCGGATCTCGCCGTGGAGAGGCGCTGGATTCGACGGACTTCACTCGGGGATAGCAGTGAGCGGTACTGGGTAAATACTTGATGCGTCAAATCGTGGCAGTGTCAATGAATCGCCAAATTCCCCGGGGCAAATGACGGGGGACTCGGAGTGGAGTGAGGGGAAGGAAGTATGGGAAGCAAGGCGTCGGAACGAGAAAACCGGAATGGGAGTGAATCTGCTGGCTGACGTGTGCCCGGCATGCATATGACCGTCAGCAGCAGGTCTGTAGATAGGTAAACGAGCCCCGGTTCAAGCAGAGGAGGAGGGGGGGGAGGGGGAGAGGGGAGAGGGGGGGAAGAGGAGAAAGATGAGGAAGAACAGAGAGAAGCCAAAGAGTGCGCGAGCTTCCCCAGCATCACGTGCCCGGTGCGGCCGATAAAGCAAATCGAATCACTTATCGGCGGCCGGCCATTTCACCACCCATCGTCATCCCATCATCCCATCCCATCTCATCCTATCTATCCATCATCCCCGTCGTGCCCTCTACTACAGTGCTATCCTTGGTTCGCTATCTCTCTGCTCCTTCCGGCTACTTGGGCGGGGTCCCCGTCCGTGTCTTTTGTCGTCTGCCTAGCGCATCGTTGCACCTGATTAATCTCCTATCGGTCGGTATAGTTGCTCTGCTTCCTCCGCTCCCGCTGCCGCTGCCTCTCCCTCCCACTGACGGTCAACTCCCTCGCACAGGATGGTACGTTTGTGACTATAGCATTCTCTTTACCACCAATAGGACCTTGGAATGTCCCAAGATCCCATCAAACACCCCGCTTCTCTGCAGGTATTGACTGGCATGTCCCACTGTAGTCGGGAAATTACGACTACCCTCCTGCCTCTCGCCATCCCTCTCGCGGGGCTCGGACCAATGACCGACAACAGCTGCCGCCCGCCAGTCGATTGCAACATCTCCGGGATCTGTTGAATTCGGAACGTAACCGCAGTGACTTTGCCTTCGCCCGCGCAGTAGAAACCTTGAACCAGGAGATGGACGATTACCGCTCTTCACATGTCTGGGACCGTTCCAGCTTTGAGCAAGCCAGGGCAGCCGTGGATCTTCAGATGCAACAGCTCCGTGCAGAACGAGCACTCGGAGAGGACCGTGCCAACGGGGCCAGCTCGCCGATTCATCCAGGAGCACCAAGGTTGCAGCCTTTGAATGTCCCCCTAGTGAACCCAGAAGAAAGCACCTCCGATCCCTCACGTTCAGGTAGCAGAACACCAAGACCTCGATCCGGGAGGGGTAGCGACCGGTCTAATCCTGTAAGACGGAGCAGAGATTCTAATCTGGCCTCTCTCCTGGATACGCCCGTACCTCGTCTGGGCTCGCCCACTGTCACGCCTCAGCAGTTCGAAGAAGAGCATCCGATGGACCGTGCAAGGGCCAAACGTCGAAAGCTTGAGTCAGATGATAACAGGGAAGGACTGCAGGGATTCCGATACGGCCAATATGGCCAGGTCGTACCTGGGGCACTCAGAATGGAGTTAGCTAGCTGTGACGGAGGGACGTATGAGCCCAATGGCGAAAGCTCATGGCCAGAAAACATCCTTCGCAATGATGCTTCCGTATACTGTACGAAATCAGACCGATGCAATCTCATTCTGAAGCACCACGGGGAGTCCCCATTTTGCTTGAAGAAAATCGTCATAAAAGCACCGAAAACCGGCTACAATGCCCCGTATGTTTCAGCTGAGTTTAGAAACTCCTTCTTGAACTGTCACTAATTGTTTTCAAAGGATTCGAGAAGGCATGGTTTTTGTTTCAATGTCATCTGATGAACTCCTAGCTCGTACAGCTGCTTTCGAGGTGCAATGCGAAACAGCTCGATCGTTCGCGCGGAATCGGCCCGGGGGAATGCAACCTTCTCAGGAGTATCTTAATGCATATCGACCTCCGCTGCAGAGTCTAGACCGAGGGTCTACCGCCGATCAATCCTCTGACTCGGAATCAGATAGTACTGGTGGGCCCGGTGGCGCTGTTAATGAGCCTGATTCGATGTCCGAGTTCCGAATCACTATGGAGTATGATGAGCAGCCGGGTGGAAGGCTTGATCGTGATGACCAAGATGATGATGACGAGCCTCTCTCTCTTACCGATACCGATAGCTTGCGGATGGGGCGAATGGAAGATGACAATATTGTATGCTCCGACAGTGACGTGAGTTTAAGTGATGACGATGCCTCCGGGTTGAGCACATTCGCGCGGCGTCGCCAAGAGCTAGCACGGCGTGTTCGAGCCATGCGTCGCCAATACATTGGGGAGCGAGAGGGGCAAGTCAGACGACGGCCGACCTCAGTTATGCCAAGGCCAGGCCTGCGTACTGAACCAGCACTTGGTTCGGAATTCTCACTGATGAAACCGCATGCTCGCTTTTTCATTGAGCGAAATAAAAGCATGGTCAGCGTAAAATTCGACCCTCCTCCGTACGTTCTGCCCCATCACTTCCTAGAAGATGGATCTAACCATTCACTACAGCTCAGGTCGATACATTCTCGTCAAGCTATGGAGCCCTCACAGCGGAAAAAACATAGACATCCAAAGTATCATTGCTTACGGCTACGCCGGGACGAGATTCTTCCCTGCCCTAGGTTTCAGGTAACTTAAACGGCTTCTTCCAACATCTGAGTTCGCTCCTGTAGATTTGCTTGCATACAGCAGAGCTAGACTAAATACACACACTAAACACGTCCGAACCCTTGATTAGGGTTTCAGGAACATGACCCGCTTTTATATCTCTAATGACCCTTACTCTCCTCTTTCCCCTGTCTCGCTCCAATGGGTTTTTTTTCGCTCCCATTGGTTTTTTCAAGAGTAGTTATGTTTGTTGCTCAATGTCAAAGCCATAGAGGAGTACGAATCATTGCCGATCCACGATTCCCTACCTTAAGTTGTCTCTTTTACAGAAGGATGTCAGTTAGTATGTTTTTCAATGAAACTCTTACCAGCTGATGTAGACCTTTACTTTCCCTACCATTCCAGGGCTTGCTTACCATCTACCGAGCCCTAAACGAGCACACTGGACAATCATATCAACGATAAAAAAGGGTGATTGAAAAAAAGGCTATTTATCACTTGAATGCATCATTCGTCAAAGGTTACTCATGAAGGAGGTAACGAAGAAAAAAAGAAACAATGGACACCAATCCAACTAGAATACAGTAGCAAAGTCACCTAACAAAACCCAGAGAAGCATTGCGCCTTTTTCTTCCACATAAATGGTCACATAAAATGGTAGGATGGGGGAACCTGCTTAATCAGCTGAGGTTTGGTTGGAATGAGTGAGTGAGGGTGTGAGTCCTGATTAGTTGTGAGTGAAGACCCTGAGAGCTTCACACAGTGTTCTGGACCCCACCGGATCATGGATTCATGAGGTAATATTCATGTGAAAACAAGAGATATCGATTCAATTCACAAGGGTCAGAACGGGGTGTGTCAGGCCTTCGTGAGCAGCCCGCCGCAATGGGTGGACCAGAAGAGAGGTGATTTGTGAGTCGTGGGTTTTCGTTGACATTAAATGTCGATGATTAGGTGGACCTCAAACGATGGAGGCAAAAAGCGCAAAAGAGTGAAGACATTAAAACGAGCGTATGGAAAGGAAGCGCAGGGAAATAGTTCCACGACAAAAATGACCTGGGAATCATCGGCAGACCGAAACATATGTACAAAGACGGACTCGGTCTGTTGTAGTCACAATAGTGGAAGTCAAACAAAATAAGGACAAACGGGATCAACCCGCTATTAGATGTGTGCAATCGCTAACCTGCATCGACAGCATTGCTGTAGGCCAACGTAACTCGAATCGATGCTGTCATTTCTCGTCTCTCGTGCAAAGATCGTCGAACGCCGAGCTTTCCTCTGAAATAGACGTAAATAGTGATCAATCCAAAATGGTACTCCTGAAAAGAGAATCCAACTCCGCCCATAAGCAAAGAAAACGAGGGTTTTTCCAAGAACGAAATTCAAACGGATATGCAAAGGTAAATTATATGACGACGACATCTCCTTCAGCGTCTGCTGGATCAGAGACCATCATATCACCATATTTACCCACGGTCATCAACATAGAATCGTCATCGAGGTCAATGGCACTGTCGTCGTTATTTGGAGCCTGGAAGCTAGCAATGTTCTCGGAAACGCCGCTAGGCTTCTCAGCTTCCATCGTGTTTGGGTTCGACTCGGCTTCCATCTGTGAGCGATTCAATGACGTTTGAGTTTGCGTGAGACTGTCGACGGAAGTCGGACTAGCAGCCGACCTTCTTCTCGAATGAGCGGTGTGCTGTGACTCATTCTTGTCAGGCACTGGGCAATTAGACGGTTTCATGAGAAAGTTGGTCGGCCCTTGCTGGTTGGAGCTCAAGCCGGCGCAGTGTAACGTGCTCGGGGTGTAACGCATGAACCCCCCTTTCTCGGCCTGCCATAGCATCATCTCGTGGAAGAAAACCTTGGTCATCCACCAGGCACTAAAGCTCTGCGCCCCTCCTAGGGTCAGCCGCCGTAGTATACAATCCCATAGTGCATCAACCTTTTCGATGACACATTGCGTGCTGTGGTGAGGGAAAACGGAGGGAAGATTGAGTATGAAGGAGATCCACTTGTCCGGGAAGTTGTAGTCGTCACCTGAAGCCGACTCCACAGGGTATCTAGGTGTTTGGAGATCCTCGTCGGTATCAGGACGGGTGTAAAAGGGGAGGGCAGCAGAAGGATTCATATCTGTGACGGGAGTAAGAAGCGCTCGAACATCGTGTTTCAATATCTGCTCCGCTGCGCGTTCTGCACAGCTTGGGATGTTGGCCTTGGAGATCATCTCCTTCGGATCCACCAAGGTTTTGAAGTCGAACCACATCTGGTTTCTGTTGTCGGGGTGGCACAACCAGGCCGCAGCGGCGTTGGCGGATTGGTTCACATCCAGCATGTGCTTGAGCAGGTTGCAGAAAATATGGGCCGGTATTAACCTCGCTAATGAAACATGGAGTGGCTGGGCTTTGAAAGTTTCGGCAATGTGGGCTGTAAGTCGCTGCGAGATTGAGCTGAAAGCATCTAGCACAAGCTTGGGAACGACCTGCGTCGTGAGCGGCGCCACAAAAGCAATCATCTTCTGGTACATGATCCAATCGCATTCCTTGATCCACGGAGCAAGGTTAGGATGCGTCAGGAGCTTCTGGACGGGCACTGTCAAAGTTCCATGGAAGGCAGAGAAGTATCGTAGCATATTTCTTTCCTTGCAGTATCTGAAACTGTCAATGACCGAGATGCAGTGGGAGCGATAAAGGGCTGCCAGCGCTGCCGCAATCTTCGAGTCCGTATTGGTTGGCAGATAGTCGCTGATATCAGGGAGCTGCAGAGACTCGTTGTCAATGGCGGGAGAATCAGAGGAGGGTAGCTGGAGCATCTGGTGGATGATTCTGCCTGATTTACTAGCGACATTGTCAAGCGTGATTGATGTATCACCATGGGGGTGAGATGGTGAGCGGCAGCCGCATCCTGAAGTAGGGGCATTCGTAGTGAATCTTGGGGTGAAAGAAGTAGTAGGGGACGGGAATACGGCGGTATCTGCGGGAGGCTGTGGCGCAGCACTAACACTGTTGTGCATTGCATAAGTACTTGCTTCATTCACAAGTCAACCACTTGACGTACCTTTTCTGCATCATAACATCGCTGGCTTTGCTTTCAGCTACACTTGCTGTGCTGTTCACGTTAGATGGCAATTGTGGATTAAGCGGTGGTGGCTTCTGCTGCTTCTCTTCGATCACTGTCAGATCGACATAATGATACTTTGATTCGCCCCGAACACCCAGTCGTCTGGTCTGCACATTGGGAAAGATGATGCGCACAAGCTTCCCAAAAGAAGCCGGGTTTAGCACCGACACACGTTCTGTTCCACATTTTTCTGCATAGCAGCAGTATACACGATCGCGTCGGACGGAACCGCTACTCTTCCGACAGTTCTCTTTCAACCTGAGTGATGTAAGCAACAACTCCCATGCATGGGACAACCGGAGCAGAAGGAGGGCTTACCAAATCATGGCAAAGACCTGCTTGACCTTCTCAGCCTTGCCTCCAGCTCCTTCGTGTTTCAGGACTTCGGCTGCCATCTGCTTCAGCGAATACCCCTCGTATTGCCTTAGCAATTTGCGCAGTTCGTTGTCATTGGCTAGCGATGAGCTGGATCCTTTCTTCTTCTTCGCGCCAGCCTCGGAGATGTCGTTGTCTTCTAGTACATGCTCAGGCACATGGTTCTCAAGGCCACTGTCATACATGGGCTGGAATTGAGGCATCTGCACATTAGGCAATCCGTGGCTCGGCATGCCAGCGGGGAGGGAGTGGTGTGATAGATGATGACCGTGCATTGCATGGCTGGAGAACTCTTCTGCTCTGGGCATGACAGGGTGGTGAGCTTCCTGCAAAGTCGGATCGAGGGATGCTCCGTTGACGGGGTGCGACAACTGTTGACCGAATCGCATGATAATTTCCTCCGGGTTAGCGCCGAATACGTTGTGACCGGGTGTTGATTGGGTGGGCAGGAACTGGGAGAAGCCATCGGTGAGCTGTTGGTCCTGGGTCTGCTGGGTGGTGGTGGAGTGGATGCTAGCAGTCGAGCCTCTGGACCGGGGGCGGCGACTGTTTCTGGAGACTACAGTTTCGGAGCGTGACCTCATCAGATCTGCTGTCCCGGGGCGACTGTGAGGTGCTACTATCTGCGTGGCCTGGGAAGCAGCACTTGAAGCTTGGGAGGCCGCTCGGGCTGCGGTTCCTGCAAGTCAGCGGGCAATCCAACATACGTACAGCAAGCAGATGGGATTAGGTGCGGAGGAGATCGGATGAAAAGCAGACAGGTCGCCTGCAGGAGGGAAGGTAGCTTCTTACCCATCTCAGGAGGCATCTCTTTCTCTTTTCGGACCTGCTACGCAGCACCGTGTCTGGGTGTCCTTGTTGCTGGGCGAGAGGCGATGGTAACCACGGGCAATAGCGTGTGTTTTGATCCTTCACGGAACCACCCTCGACCGCACGAGGTCCACACCGCACAAAGAACAGCAGGGACGGGAACCAAAGAAGCTAGGAGAGGCAGTGTTGTCGTCAAGGCATCAAGAGGGGTCGTCGGGCTGCAACAGACTGGCTATGGAAGGCTCATAGCGGCCGCGTCTAGAAGGTCGAGGTGGTGAAGGTCGAAGGAGGATAAACAGAGAAATCGGTTCCTCAAGCAACGACCGGGCGCTTGTTTGGGCCGCCGGTCACGTGCGGCTTACCTAACTGACATTCCACCGCGCAAAACAAACACACTGCAAGTATGCACGGAAAGTCGCTTTCTCTCGTCCTGGGACCCTACGTAGGTAGGTAGATAGGTAGGTAGATCTGTTAATCCACTAGTCCTGTTTGATCCTTGCGCATGCCTGGCCATTAATTGGGATGTTTTGCTCGTTGAGGTCTATTATTTACCATGAAGTATCTCAGACTAGGTGTGTTGTGTTTGTTTCCCCATCACCTGCTCGTCATCGGCGGTCGGATTATCTAAACTCGGGCCCGTGACCATCTCTACTTCCACCGAAATGCTCCCTTTGATCCATTCTCTCTCAATCCATGGATTCGATCACGAAACTCTATCGAAGCTTCTCCTCAAGAGTCAAATAGAGGGAAACGCCAACTCTATCATTTCAGTTCTCTCTCTTAAAGAAAAAAAGTCTAATCGCTATCGCTTCCAAAACAGAGGTATCCAACAAAAATCGTGGGTATAGAATCAAGAACATCCACTTCAACTGTCGTCCGACCTCAACTTTTAACATCGCTGCGCCACCTATCTAGTTGCCGTTGGCTTTAGCCTTGAGTCGCCTTTCTCGGGCATGTCGCCAGGAAGGACCCCATCGATCCTCGATGTATAACAACGGAGTCATCGCAAGAGTAATTCCTGCAAGCAAGATGAAGGTGTACTCCGCTGTCAACGCATCAATGATGAGCTGCACGACAGCCACTCCGCCCGCTCCAAGCAAGCACCGCATCAGGTTGTTCACTGCTGTCGCACTGGCGCTAGCCCCGGGATAGAGGTCAATGACCAGTGCGCTGTTGATGGTGAAGAGCCCCGTTGAACAAAAGGCAATGAAGTACTGTAGGATGATGGGGACTGCCAAGTGTGTACGCAGAGACACACCGTATAGAGCGGTTGCCACAACAAAGATGGCAATCACCCACCACGTATTGCGCATCCGGGCAACTTCTATGGGGAAGTCGGAGTGTGATTTCAGATTGACCCGCGTGCCGGCCGGATATCCATGCTGCTCACAGTATTCGCGCTCGGTCAAACGGTGGTTGTAATCCATGAGATAGCCGACCAAGTACGATCCTGACATGCATCCAAACCCTAGGCAGTGCATGAGCAATTATTCAAGTCAAAGTGTGTCCGAGTGGGGTCATCATGCTTACCGTTGCCCAGGAATGTCAGCCCGATTTGCAGAGAAGACAGGCCATACACTTCGCTGAAGAGGTCGGTGGTACTAGATGTCACCATGCTCCACACAGTGTACACAACACTTCCAAAGAACAAGGTGATGAAGACATCTTTTTCGATAAGGAACGTCAGGGGGGCGAATACGGCCCGCCAAGTGACTTTGCCCTTCCTCGCATCCGGTTGCGCACCTTCGATAACACCCTTCTGGCCGGTGATTGAGTAGATGATGGGCTTGTGCATTCCGGTGAGCTTCACGGTGCCATTTCCGGCAATCGGCCTCAGCGTCTCCGGGAGGAGCACCATAATAGACAAAAGACTCACGCCCCCAAAAGCCGTGAGGAACCAAAAGATGGATCGATATCCGAAGTATTGGGTGAAAATGCCGCCGAAGACCGGACCGATTCCCTGTCCGAGCATGCGAACTTCGTTCTGTCAGCCTGGCCATGTTGGCAACCAGAGGGACTGTTCTTACCTCCGCCGAAGATACCCACTAAGCTACCTCTCTCTTCCGAGGTCGTGATATCACCGATAACCCCGGCGCCTAGCCAGTCGTTGGTTAGCTGGATGGTATGTTCAGGAAGCCATGAGGTCACTCTTACCGATCGATATGGTGGCCGCGCTACCAGCAGCCTGCAAAGCTCGGAAGGCCATGAGCTCACCATAGTTCTGAGACTCGCCGAGAGCGATGTTGGCTATGAGGTAAACAATGAACGTTCCAATGAAGACTGGCCGTCTGCCCGTGGCATCTGACAGGGAACCCCAGAAGCTGGGTGCCAGGCCCTGGACGATCATATACACGGTAATGGTGAGAGTCGCGAGAGACATGCTGATGTGGAGAGACTATCCGGGCTACAGTCAACTCTCCGGGGCTTACGAATGAGCTATGGGACCAATTGACGCACCTGTGATACATCGTCGAGGGCGGGGAAGTAGATGTTGGAGGATAGCGGCGAGAAGATGGCAGCTAGAGAGACGATTCCGACCATCTGCAACTTGCGAGATCGGGTGAAAATATGATGGGGTGGCTTCTCGGATGGTTGAGACTCGAGCATTGAAGGCTCTGGGGAAATGGAGTCTCTTTCGGAGTCGTGGTCTTTAGGGGTGACCTGTGGTTCGGGGACCTTTTCGATATCTGTTCTTGAAGACATGTTCGAAGACATGTTTGAGGACATGGTTGCGGATCTGTCTCGGGGGCCAGCCTCGAAGCAAGTTGCTAACCCTATAAAGCACCTGGGGGGGGGAATGCCAAAGCTGAGTTTGGCAAGACAGGACGAGGGAGGTCAATGCCCTTTATGTCCGGGAGATTTGTATCTGATCTGGCGCTGGGCCTCAACATCGTCGGAAATCCGATTAAAGAGCAGATGTAGGTATGCTCCACAGCGGAGCATCCTGGCCGGACGGGGGCTATCCATCGACCTTCCCAAAGCGGGCATTTGTGGGTGGCAAGCGCCATTGTTATCGCCAAGGTATGAGCGGCGACACGATTTAGGAGTATCTCTTCGGCCGGTCTTACTTGGCAACCAGTAGTCTAGGTCACACCCGAGAGAGACTAAGCCGTCGGGCAGCCGACGAGGACAAAAAGACGAAAGGGCGGAGCTCCCAAGATCTGCATACATGACGTGGGCCCGGCGCGGTGATGAAATTCCAGAAGCAGCATGCTTTCCAGGCCATCCTGGACTGCGCCTAGCGCCTGAACCTTGGGAGCTGGCCGATTTAGTCACTTTGCCATACAGCTGCCCGGCGAATGAGTTGTTTCAGGGACCGGGCACGGCTGTCATGCGCAAGGGTCTAGATGGAAGCGGATCCGGTGATAAGAGCGCTGAGGAGACTCTTCGGCGACGCCATCACGGCTGCGGAGCGTTGGGCTACATGATATCCGTAGATAGACTGTCGAGTGTCCAGGCCAACATCTCCCACATGTGTTCGTAGGAGAAGGCTGCCGCTCGAGGGTGATCAACACAGAGGCCGATGCAACGCAAGACGGGAAGGCAAGTCATCAATTGACGACTCGGGATGCCAGGGTCCCTGTTTCCCCCCCCCCCCCCTCCTCGGGATGTGCAGTGTCGAAATCAGGGAGCATGCTGCCGCGCCAGTATGAGTAATCTGAGATCAGCCTGATTGGCAAACAGCTCTTGCGTGTGGATTGTTATGGATCTCGGGGATCTACATCGGGCCCATCCGCACTAAGAAGGGGAGGGCGAGGACCAAAAAAGTCGTGCCCGGTGCCCAGACAGCGGGTTTCTTGGGATGGGTCCTGACAACCTGGCCAGCCTCGCGGGGCCGGTTGAGTGGTCCACAGCGTGGCTGCACCAGGTGGCATTTGGGGGGGGAGGGTGGAGTGAAGCTATACCAAGGCACCCTGGGGAAATCTCGGAAGACTACCACGGGAGGTTGCCAGCCAAACCCCACCGACCATCTGCCCCTGATAGGGCCAGTGCGGATGGTCTACGTAACAGAGTCTAAGCTTAAATATGAGACAAGTAGGGAATGCAATAAGGGGGGGAGCAGTTGCGCAAGCAGAAACAAGGCAGGTGAAGCAACGGATGGAGGGACGATTGCCAGGCGGGTGTGCATAAGAATAGAAAGTGATGACGAGGACAGCGTGAGGATTGAGGCACCAATGCATGTAACTCACCAAAACGGATAGTGTAGGAGACTGATTGATCGCAATAGTGTGTGGTTGACGATGTAGATCCCCGATGGAGCACGATGTTACTAAGTAGGTAGCTAGCTAGTATCTAGCTACCGAAAATCAAATTGTCTGTCTGTCGTCTACATAGAATTTATATCCTACTTATCTATCTCCAAAGAACAGAAGGAAAATGAAAAAAAAAAAAAAAAAAAAAAAAATGAGAAAAAAAATAAGAATAAGAATAAAAATCAAAATAAGAAAAGCGCCACAGCCAAAAAAAACAAACTTGCCTCAAACTGCCTGCCTGCCAAGGATCACAAAAAAAGACTCGAGAGGGGGATGCCAAGCCACGACCGATAAGAAGGTAAAGAAGGTAAAAAGGTTCCTACTGATTGACTGATTGACTGACTGACTTTGAAAAAAAAAAAAAAGTAGTGCTCGCTGCGTCCTGCACTAGCGCCGGAACCGCGACTGAAGCAACTCTGCAAATCAGGGGTCTGGAACTACTACTACTACTACTACTACTACTACTACTACTACATAAGTATCTATCTAGTATCACTATCTACCTACTAGATACTATCCACCCAAACGGCCCCCCCTCACAACGATCGGCGCGAACTGAAGCACCAACATCCTAGTTGGCGGATATCATAATAATCCCCCATTATACGACTGTCTTCAGCTGTCTAGCGGCGTGGCTCAGCGCGAATCTCGGATTCAAACTGCCTAGTACATTCCTGAGACTTACCTAGAATGAAGTGATAAACCTAAGCCGACTCACGGTTCCGACTGGTTAAAGTTCCTTGGGTGGAGGCGATGATCTACGCCGGCGCGCCACTGAGACGGGCGGTCAATCTGTGGTTCTGGTTCTCTTGGCAGGTCTTGGAGTTGCTGATGTTTGAGATTTGTGTATGATTATAATTATTGTGTTGAGACGGTGAAGGTTGTTGATGGTTGATGAGAAGTTCGGTGGGGGGGGGAAGTGAAGTAGGAGTTTCTGTAGTAACAGTCTAGGTAATACCTATATAAATTGTAAAGTACTAGTTAGAGTCTATGAGTCTGTGACTGAGTCATCTCTCAATCTAGCCAACCAAATAAATAAATCCAATAACTACCTACCATAAACTATCGAGCCTGTCAACCCAAAACGACCCGATATCTCCCGTCCCGACATACAATCCGTCGTTGTGCAGTTGCATATCTATCTAGCCCCGTGTGGCTCTGGCAGGCCAGGACCTGCAGCAAAGAAAAGAAAAGAAATTGATTCACCAGTCACATTGCGTACCCGAACCACCTGCATGCACGCTTACATACTATTGTTCATTCACCGTCCACCAACTCCATCTGTCTAGCCTCTGGACAAGACAATAGCGTGACAGTGTGCCTTATTGTTCTAGACTCGGTACTGCAGCCAAGACAGTGATAGAGTCACAAATCCTGTTGTCTCCGAGGGATTTTCAATCTCTTTATCGATCGATCTCTCGTCCTGAATGGTGTCAGTCTGCCATGACAGATTGTCATATTCGTCACCTCCAGCCCACTCGGCGCCAAATCACCGTCTGGATCTGTGTGCATCAAGACCATCTATCTACATAGATAGTAGATACCTGTCTACACTATCTATATCTATCCAGTCTAAATTAGCACCGCCGTCTGCAGCACACTATAATCTAGTTCCAACAACACCGTCTGTCTGCACTTCATCTATTTTAATAACCACAGGGTCACAACGCATGAGCAAGTGGTTCTTATCTCTGCATCCATGTATCTTCACATGGGATCTGACTGACGTCCATTCTCCCGACATCCGCACTACTGCCTATCAACTACATACTGACATCCCTATCGACCAGTTAGATCCTTAGACATAAACACTTGAATACCTCGATAAACGACCACCCACACCCCCTCTAGATACTGAATACACTGAATACCACTAGACTCTCTAGACGGCTGACTTCCCACACAATCCCGGCACAACAAACTACCCATGCAGATACGTCTTGGCTGCATCTGCAAAGAGGGGCAATTAATCTATTTACTTTTTTTGGCCCTTCTTCACTTCGTTCCTGCTAGGTAGCCGAGTGGTACAAACAGCCACACACACACACACACACACACACACACACACACACAAACGTACGGAAGATAATCCCTGCCTGCTTACCGACCTATCTATCTTGACAGAAAAAAAAAAAAGAAAGAAAGAAAGAAAGAAGGGAATCCTGCTCGGGACGCCCCTTCCTTGTCGGGATCTTACTCCAACAAACATCATCAACCACAACCACAACTGATTTTGAGATACTACCTATCTACAATCTATTTATGTATTTAAGTTTAGAAATACGAAGTGAGGGATTTACTCACTCACCTACCTAGTGCTCACCTAACCTACACATCAAACCAAACCATCTATACGGAATTATCTATCCATCTATCCATCTACCCACCCATAGACTTCGTATCTAATACAATACCCCCCCTCCCCTCCTCCCCCGGGTCAGTCCAGACCATCCCATCCCGAGCCCAGTGCAATTCCCCTCGGGAAGCCGACGGCACACCCCCTCGCTAACCAAGCCACCCTTGTCTTTCTTGGCCTACTTCATTGTTTACCTAGTTGGTTAGTTAATGACCACTCTTGGGCCGAAAGTCTCACTGTAATAAATTGATAGGTAGATGGCAGAAGACGGCACGGCTGCAACGTCTTTCTGCATGAAATCAAACCAATTCCAATCATGACGCAATCCTCGTATAGTCTGGATCTATCTCCTCCGTACCTATTAGTCGTTGATTACTGAGCTAGATACCTACAGTCTACCTACAGGGTGGATGATGTAGATAGATACTACCTATGTACATGAGTGGGTAGGATGACCCATGCATGGCAAAGCTAGTTGACCAGCAGCTGAATGTTTATTATTATTATGTAGCTACTAGTAGTACCCATGTAGATACCCAAGAGAGATTGATTGATTGATTGATTGATTGATCGGGATGACGAGGAGGTCCGGGCCGGCGCCAAGACCAGCCTCCCGAAGCACGGTTTATCTGCTCGGGCACCCTGGCAGTCGTCGGGTGCTGCTCCGGGTATGTCCGATCATGAGGATTTTGGCTATTGCTATTGCTTACAGGTTTGGGGACTGGGTACCTTAGGAGGTAGGCAGGAAAGGCAGGTAGGTTGTTCAGGCAACCATTCCTTTGGCTAGGGTGGCTTGCACGTGTGCATGTGCCTTGATTCTGTCGACGCTATACGCTCTACTAGTAGAACTACCCTACATAGTACATACCTACTAGGGAGTGAGTACGGTCTATGCAGTACACGCATCTACGCCAGATCAAAAACAATCCCACAAATTTACAAGAACTAATTACTTCCTTGCATCTCTAAACAAAGGAGATATATCGACGAGAAAAGGGAAAAGAGACCGAGATAAAGAAAAATACAGTGGCCGCCATGGCTCAAGACATAGAAAGGGAGTCGTCTAATGATAGAGAGATGAGGGGGAGGGTGCCCGGCCCACAATTCGGCAGGGTTCAGGTCATGTCTCCGCCTGCGTGCAGATTGTTGTTATCATTTCATCTAGACCAGGTCCCGCTTGACGAATTCGTTGAGCAGCGCCTTGCCCAGGGAAGCGGGGCTTCTCTCGACAATAACGCCAGCCGCCTCCAGAGCAGAGATCTTCGAGTCGGCGCCACCCTTGCCGCCGCTGACGATGGCTCCGGCATGACCCATACGACGGCCCGGAGGAGCGCTAATACCGGCGATGAAACCGACGGCGGGCTTGTTGTACTTGTTGTTGGCCTTGAGGAACTCGGCAGCATCCTCCTCAGCGCTACCGCCGATCTCGCCGATCATGATGATACCGTCGGTCTCCTCGTCCTCGAGGAAGATCTTCAGGCAGTCGATGAAGTTGGTGCCGGAGAAGGGGTCACCACCGATACCGACGACCAGGGACTGTCCAAGGCCAGCCTGGGTGGTCTGGTTGACGGCCTCGTAGGTCAGGGTACCGGAGCGAGAAACAATGCCGATGCGGCCACGCTTGTGAATGAATCCAGGCATGATACCAATCTTGCATTGGCCCTAGTGCAGCAAAGTCCAGCATTAATATCCGACCCTTGCCACAGGATCGTCTAGTGGATGCGACTTACAGGAGCGATGATACCGGGGCAGTTAGGACCCACCAGACGGGTCTTGTTCTGCGTCTTCAGGATGTCCGTGATACGAACCATGTCTGGTCAAGTGGTGGTCAGTCCTGCATTTGACATACAGGGATCACCGGCGCTAAGCGGTGGTTGATCAACATACCGTGCTGAGGGATACCCTCGGTGATACTATTCCAAAGTTAGCACATGCTGCTGTCCCACACGATCGACGAGACGCGTACCAGACAGCCAGAGGAATTTCGGCCTCGATGGCCTCCTCGATACCCTTGGCGGCCAAGGGGGGACTACAGTCAAGTATTAGCAGCGATTCCTCTATCCTCGATTAGGCGCCGGGTGCATACGGGACGAAGAGCGCGGTGGCAGTGGCCCCGGTCTCCTTCACGGCCTCGCTCACGTTCGAGAAGACGGGACGGTCAAGGTGCATGGTGCCGGCCTTCTTCGGGTTGGTTCCACCGACGACCTTGGTGCCTAGCAGTTGTGAGTTTCCCATGTGAAACCGCCAGAGACACCGATCTGATTGGTGCGAGCGTAGGGAGAGATAATACCATAGGCGATAGCTTGCTCGGCGTGGAAACTGCGGACGGGCGAAAAATAGCAACGTCAGCGTTTCATGCATGATAAACCCCCTCAGACCGGGGAAAAACTTACGTTCCCTGCTTTCCAGTGAAACCCTGGAAGATAACCTTGGTATCCGCGTTTATGCGAAGGTTCTTGATGGTCTCAGCGTAGGCCGGGCTGGCCGAGGCTGCGTATCCCCGGCGCTGCGTGGCAGCAGCATTGCGAAGGGCAGAAGCGGTGTTACGGCGGAAGGCCTGCATGATGGCTGGAGAAGGGAAGAAACCCGGTTGTGGGGGGGGAGGGGGAGATCAAGGGAAAGAGGGGAGAGGGGAGAAAAGCACTACGAAGGTGCAAAGAGGCAGCGGTGGTTGGAAGATAGAGAGAAGAGAGAAGAATAGCCGTTCAAACGCGCGCCGGACAGATTCGCTTTGGGGAATTTCGGGACAAAGCTTTAAGCGGATCCGAATTGTCACGGGCGGTCGGTGGCCTCCCGAGGAAAAAAAGGTTGCGCCGCTGTTGCTGTTGCTGCTGCTGCTGGTGCTGCTGGCTTGTTCACCTGCTGCGCTTACATCGAGCCCTCAACTCGGCTCTTCTCTGACCGACTAACAATCCAATCAACCAACCAACCGATCGTTTGACTGCTTGAATTTCACCCCGTCGCGCACGCAGTCCGTGAGGTGTGCGCTCATCCCCCCTCCCAAGATGGCAACCGTCACCATGACTATGCCGCCACCCCCCAAATCCAAGAAGAATGCCAAACTTCCCCCGGAGAACGAACGGTTCATGAGAGCCTGTTCCGATATTGCCAATGCTTTGATCCAGGAGTATGAGGCCCAGCGGGATCCCAAGAAACCCAAGAGAGATATCAACCTCAACAAACTGCGGGGTCAAGTCGCCAAAAAGCATGCCTTGGCCACCCAACCCCCCTTGACGGCCATCATTGCGGCCGTCCCTGAACACTACAAGAAATATATCCTACCCAAGTTGATTGCAAAGCCGATCAGTATGTCTGCATCTAGCCCACCTTGAGCCCGGGCTTTCTAATCTAACACCCCGCTAGGAACGTCATCTGGCATCGCCGTCGTCGCGGTCATGAGCAAACCCCACCGTTGTCCTCATATCGCATACACCGGAAACATCTGCGTTTACTGCCCTGGTGGCCCCGATTCCGACTTCGAGTACTCTACGCAGTCCTACACCGGATACGAACCCACGTCGATGCGTGCGATCCGCGCCCGTTACGATCCGTTCGAGCAGGCCCGCGGTCGAGTGGATCAGATCAAGTCTCTCGGTCACAGTGTGGACAAGGTGGAATACATCATCATGGGTGGAACATTCATGTCCCTCCCGGAGGACTACCGCGAATCGTTCGTGGCCCAGCTGCACAACGCGCTGAGTGGTTATCAGACGGACAATGTCGATGAAGCGGTCCAGGCTGGCGAAATGAGCAACGTGAAGTGTGTCGGTATCACGATCGAAACGAGACCCGACTACTGTCTCGATCAACACTTGAGCAGCATGCTCCGCTATGGATGCACGCGATTGGAGATTGGAGTCCAGAGTCTGTACGAGGATGTCGCCCGAGACACGAACCGAGGCCACACCGTTGCGGCCGTCGCAGAGACGTTCAAGCTTGCGAAGGATGCGGGTTTCAAGGTAGTCAGTCATATGATGCCGGATCTGCCCAACGTGGGCATGGAGCGTGATCTGTTCCAGTTCCAGGAGTACTTCGAGAACCCGGCTTTTCGGACGGATGGTCTGAAGATCTATCCCACGCTGGTTATCCGTGGAACCGGTCTCTACGAGCTCTGGAGGACCGGTCGCTACAAGAATTACACCCCGAATGCCCTGATTGACTTGGTCGCCCGCATTCTCGCGCTGGTGCCCCCGTGGACCCGTATCTATCGGGTGCAGCGTGATATCCCCATGCCCCTGGTGACCTCGGGCGTGGAGAACGGCAACCTGCGCGAACTGGCCTTGGCACGTATGAAGGATTTTGGAACCACTTGTCGCGATGTGCGCACCCGTGAGGTGGGTATCAACGAGGTCAAGAACAAGATCCGCCCTTCGCAGGTCGAGCTGATTCGTCGTGACTACACGGCCAACGGTGGCTGGGAGACGTTCCTCGCCTACGAGGACCCGAAGCAGGATATTCTGATCGGCCTGTTGCGGCTGCGCAAGTGCAGCCCGACACACACCTTCCGGCCCGAGTTCACAGGTCAGCAGACCAGTATTGTGCGCGAACTGCACGTGTACGGATCTGCTGTGCCGTTGCATGGACGTGACCCGCGCAAGTTCCAGCATCGTGGATTCGGAACCCTGCTCATGGAAGAGGCGGAGCGGATTGCCCGCGAGGAGCACGGCAGCCAGAAGATCAGTGTTATCTCCGGCGTTGGTGTGCGCAGCTACTACGCCCGTCTGGGCTACACCCTGGACGGGCCGTACATGTCCAAGATGCTGGACCCGATCGAGGACGAAGGGTTCTAAACCAAATACTTATGAATGATGCGCACGGATTCGCGAGTTATCCTGGAAACAAAAGTTCTTTTCTCTTATCTGCATGCGGCGTTGCAGGGGTTCCATCCAGGCAGGAGGCTGTCTATTTCTTCGGCATATTGGGGGGAGCAGTAGCGAATCGGTATATACCAAGGGCAGGATTAGAAATTGCATTGTACATACACGGCCAGCGCCGATTGCTAGGATCATTGATGACGAATACAGGTTCCACATGAGCTGGTCACCACCTGATATTCCCGTACCCATCTGATTAATCATTACATAGGATGTATGTATCAGCTGACCAGTCACTGCATAACTGCGGACAAAAGTTCTATTGAACAACACTATATACAACCCGCAACTCAACCGTGTACGCTAATACACTTAAGCGATACAAGATATTAATCCAAAATAAACTGAAAGCTAGTAATAGGGCGAATAAATTCCATTCATTCAATCCCAGCACCACGGCGAGAGAATGATCCTACGTTGCACAGCACACGCAGACAGCATCTCTCATCTTATCTCAATCTCAATCTCAATCGCATCATCTCCTGCTCAGAATAGAACAGAACACATAGGAATAGGAAGTGGAAGTATTCCATCCCAGACCCATCCACCGCCATCAATCAAACCCTCACATCTCTATCGTAGCAACCCACACCACATCCGCAAATAACAGCAATCAATCCAATCCAATCCGACGAATTTCAGTCCCGAACAAAGCATGGTAAGGTGTGATCTAGCTCAACGATATAGCTCCACCCCTTCGACTCCTCATATGAAGATAAGCCTGGAATCCACAGAAGACGAAGAAAGCCTATTCCCCGGTTGATCGATTAGCATCATTTCGTTCATTTTTCATTGTATCCTTATCCCCCTCACACCACTCTGCATAAGGGGGGTATGTATGGACCAACGTACAAGATACACCAGCACAGCCGTGAAAATCGATCCCGCGACAGCGGCGCCATCTTCAGGTTCGCCTTCGGAGCCGGTGAAGGAGGGATGTTCGCTCTATGGAGGCCATTCCCGGTGCCATTAGCTTTCTGAATTTGATGTGTAGATGTGTGTGATTGGTGATAGGTGAAAGTATAGATGCAACGAACCTTGTATAGCGAGCCCAGGACGGAGAGAATGACGATGGCGAAGAGGGAGATGACCACGCTATTATTTCAGGCATTAGCTCTCTTGCGGTGGGGATGGGAATTGGGGTTGAAATTGGGATTGGGAGGGTGTGCATGTATGCATACCAGGACCAAGCGTTTAGGACGGATACGACGGGCTTCATTTTGGGATGGGTTGGGGGTGGTGACCGGTGGGTGTGTGAGTGGGTGCGTTGGAGGTAATCGGGGGTGAGTGTGACGGGTGCGCGGGCCGGAGGTGAGGAGGCGCAAATCCAATCCGAGAGGAAAGGTGGGATGGGAGATCGGTCGGTCGCTGATGGAGGAGAGCTGGAAGTACTAGCCTACTTGCCGGTCCGGGCTGGGGTCGAGGGGATAAGGAAGGCCGTGGACAGACGATCCCGAGGGTTGCAGTGTAGGTTCAGGTTGAATGGTTGATGATGTCGAGGATCGCAGGCGCTGCCGGTGGAGCCCTCCGGTGTCGTGGCGCTAGCCCCTTTGGGGGGCGGTGGTCGAGACTCTTTCTCGTCCGCCTCATTCTTATATTATTATTTATGAAGTTGAGGTTTCAAAATCTGTTGTAGATGTTTGTTTTTCTTCTCGGTTGAAGATGTTTCCTTTTTTTTTGTTGTTGTTGTTGTTGTATTGGGAGCAGTACTCATGTCCGCAACTAGTAGTAGCCACAATATATATACATCAACTGTCTCACGATCAGTAGTACTTAGTAATTCAAGTATACTATACCGTTAAATATACTTAGATTAGTAGTAGTACTAACCTACTGCTACTAGCCCATCATTCAATGCGACTTGTTCCACCCAATACACTCGTCAAATGTCACACCAGATCCACCGAAAATGTCCAGCGCACTTCCAATCGTCAGATCCACCTTCCCTTGGCTGCTTCTGTGCACCTTCTCCAGATCCTGAAGATTCCGAGCACCCCCAGCGTAGGTGATGGGAATGGTGCACCACTGGGCCAATCTAGATACAAGCTCCTCATCGACACCCTGTTGCAGACCCTCCACGTCTGCAGCGTGGATCAGGAACTCGGAACAGTAAGGTTCCAGCAACGAGATCGATTCTGCTTCGGTTAGTGTTGTCTGATACCAATGACCGGGAAAGTACGAAAGAAAAGCAATGAAACAATCGAAGTGATAACAAACGAGTAGAACTCCAATGCTACGGGAATGCTTACCCTGGTTGATCTCCATCTCGGTGATCGTCTGCCACCGGTTCATGGCCACAAACCATGTGTCATCCTTCTTCCGGCAGCTCAGATCCAAGACCAGCTTGGACCTGTCGCCACCAAGAGCAGCGAGGACGGACTCTAGTCGCTCAAGAGAAAATTTGCCCTCGGGGAAGAGGAAGGATGTGATGATGACCTGTATTGGCAAGATTAGTGACCAGGATCATAATTTGCGCCCCCTTCAAAAAAAAAAAAAAAAAGAAAAAAGTGAGTAGATTGGAGTAGTGAGTCCAAAACTGGGTAACATGAGTAATGACGGTATGCGACAGTCCAAGCTGAGCTCGATGGCCGGAAGACACCCATAGCTTAATCGCAAGATCGACAGGAAGCTCACCTTCTCAGCTCCCTGGTCAATCCAATATTGAGCATTCTTGTCTGTGATACCCCCAGCAACCTGCAAACTAGCAGGCCACGTTCTGAGGGCCTCCTTTGCTGCTTCATCGTTGCCCGGGCCCAGCATTACCACATGCCCTCCCCGCAAATCATTCGTCTTGTACAATTCTGCATAGTGACTGGCGGGAAGCTTGGACACATAATTCGTCTTCAGGTCCGAAGCAACATTGCTCAGCGTCCCGCCAACAATCTGCTTGACCTGGCCGGAGTGAAGATCAATACAAGGACGGAACTTGGTCATCTTGGCCACTCAATTTGTGTCTGCAACCGACTGGCGAGGGGATTCCTCCCCCAATTTGTGGAAATCCGACGAGGGGTCGGCCTATCTTATCACACGTGACCATACCGGAGATAGCGGCTTAAGTAAGCTTCTCTACGGCAAAGGTCGTCACTACTAGTATCGCATTATTTTTTTCTTTCTAGGACAGTTACTGCCAGCCCCAAACCAATAGCAGCTCCAGACGATAGAGATGGTGGGAAAAAGGAAGAGAGACGCGGCTGTCATCTCCCGGGCTACGACATCGACAGACGAAGAGACTCCGCAAAAAACGCCCGATGCGTCTGCTAATGACATTTTCCGCAAATTCTTCGAAGCGCAGTTTCAACCATTGGAGGTGCCTGGGGGGCAGGTAGCCCGCAATGATGAATCCGAGGAAGAGAGCGAGGATGAGGACTTTGAAGGATCGGAGTCGGGTTCTGATTGGAGTGGTCTCTCTGGAGAAGAAGCGGAAGAGGTTGAGGTCGAGGTAGTCGAGCACCGCGATGCCAAAACTCAAGATCTGATGGATAAAAGAGCGCGAAAGGCGTTCATGGTACGTCTACAGAATATGCATATGCAGCCGTGTCTCCGTGCTAATTCGCAACTACAAGACCTCAAAACCGCCCTCGTCTTCCGAAGAACAGACCCCCGCCAAGAAGGTCAAGAAAGACAAAGGTGATGATGAGGACGAGGCCACCGATGCCGATAATCTCAAGAATGACCTGGCCTTGCAACGGCTTCTCAAGGAGTCTCATCTGTTGGAGTCCGCATCCGACCTTGCGCCAACCGGCAAAAACCGAATCAAGGCTCTTGATCTAAGGATGCAGGAAATCGGCGCCAAGTCGTCACTGTATAAGCAGAGTATGCCGTCGTCGCACAGGAGAGGCATCAAAGCCAAGGCGGACATGAAGGAGGACAGGCGTCGTCGTGAGGCCAGAGAGAATGGCATCATTCTGGAGAAACCCGCGCCCAAATCGAACGTCACCAACAATAAGCGACGGGAACGTGGTGTTGGAGGTTCCTCTATCGGAAAATTTGCGGGCGGTTCCCTAAACCTGAGCAAACGCGACGTGGCCGCCATTCAAGGTCCGCGCCGGTCGACAAAGGGAAAGTCCAAAGGGCGTCGTTAGAACGAGCCCGAGGGGCCTGAATGGCAATGGCCACGCCTGACAGCACCTCCAGTCAGATCATTTTACGTCCCGTGCGCGCCCGGAGCGTGGCGCGCTGATTCGACATGTCGGCTGTGAAGCGTCTCCAAGTCTCCGTAATGAATATCCGGAAGAGGGGTGTAGCGGTGTTTCTTCGTACGAGGAGCTTCTTTGCTAATCCTTCGCCTTCCTCCCGTCCTGCTGCTGTTTCACCAAGTCGCTCCGACCCCTATTTGCGAGGTGACCGTGTCCGGAGATGCTTTGATAGGTTGGGTCTGGGTCCTCGATGTGCGTCAACGAAAGAGATGGCAGAATGACACCCCCTCTCGTAATGAATGCGACGAGATGGTCCCGACATCCATGCTGCAGCGAAGATTCCACCGTGAAGCTCCTGATTTGTCTGTTCAAACCTTAATCCCCAAGTCCAGCCTGCGACGCACGTTCCAATAGCTCCAAACTAGGTGCGAGTGCCAGGACGCTGTTCCGGATGCGGTGAAAACTCCGAGTCGAGCTAAGGTTTGAGGACGAGACCCCCAAATCTGAGACAGCTTGTGGCCTTAGGACGTTTGAGAAGGGCAACCGGCATGGAAGTTTAGTGGGAATACCCCAGAGGTTGGCCAGTTTAGCCGCCAGTGCTTTCTATAAACAGCTGAAGCACGAATCCTCCTAGATAGAGCCTTGATCGAGCAAAAATAGCATGTCTCCATCTCGTATACGGAGCAGAAGGGGCCGAATGAACCAACTTTAAACAAGACTTTTAGTTCTCGCTAGCTTGTTTCCTGGGGAACTCTTACCGGTACACGTCAGTTCTATCAGGACTAGTACTCACCAATTGTTGAGTCGAGCAACTCTAGTCCATCTTCTGATCAGTCACACTCCTTTTTTTCTCTCTCTCTCTCTCTCCCCCCTCTAGCCTCGGCTTAGGACAGCCTAGTAGGGACTAAGACGGGCGACGTGATATGATTGAGTTTGCCAGACCAGCGGCTACAGGCACACCGATCTGCTACTAGCGGATAAACGTCCCACCTCCGAGCAGTTCCTCTGCCCAGTGAACCGGGGTACCTGCATGAATATCTCGATATTAATAGGTTAGCGTCGAGGCAGTCCCGTGGTTCCGCCCCTCTAGCCCAGGTACCGCTACCGTGAAAGGGAAGACTGGAGAAGCCGGGAGTAAAAACACAGTACTAAAAAGCGTCATTATTAGTGATGTGATGTATTGTTTTGCGTGCGTTAGTCATCCCCCACCCAGCAGGCCTGCAAGCTCGTGCCATTGCACGAACCACAATCTGTGAGGCGGGACAGGGAAACATCTGGGTTGTTTCAGAATCTGCATGTAACCCTTCCCAGCAGTGTATTTTGACACTTTTGCTCCCTGGTCGCTCGGAAACGTCGCTTAGCACGAGTCAGAAGTCCCGACTCGCGACTCGTATCTATCGAGTGCCCGTGCAGGCTCTAGTCGATGCAATTCAGGGGGGCCTGGAATCCCACTGACGACTTGTCATGGCCTCATGATGCATCTACTCCATAGCGGAAGTCTGCCGAATTCCGCATCAAGCCGGAGGTGTACTGCCCATAGCGTTTTTTTTTTCCCGGATAGCATGATGCGGGCTATTCCGTCAATATCTAGCGACTGGAGGTACCGCTATATGTTCCTCCATGCAGGAACGTGGGAAAGAATGCGTAATCCCCGCTGCTAGTGCTTGACGGTCTGCTTGGCATTGTGCCATTGCGTTAGCTGGTGTGATAGGCTGATAGCATCATCGTAGACAGAGAGATAGGTCGGAAATTCATTTGTGGCTCTTAATATCGAGGAGTCAATAGTATGGAGAAATGGAGCGACAAGTGTACTACACAGTAGCCCGCGTGATCGATCCATAGGCTGGGCAGAAAGCCACAACAAAATGTGGTTCATGGATCGCGAATTCGAATTCTAATGCCCGAGGTTTAAACGGCGAGGGAATAAGGCCGCTGATCAGCCCCATTATTCCGATATATCCGGCCATTTCATTTGGCGACTTGCGCCCCGAGGTCCCCCAGGAACCATTGGTGTTCTCTTGGGTCTCGGGGGGTTTATTTACATAGTCGACGGGATTCTCTCAGTTTCTGGGTTAGTCTGACTCCTTTCGGAGGTTGACTATTGTGAAGGCAGACGACAAAAAGCCTGAGCCGGCGAGGACTGTGTATCTCGCACCAAAGGACGGAATACTACCTAGGTGAACAGATACATCAGGCTGGGCGGATCAGCATGGCGACGGCGCATTCCACTAATGATATGACAGTAAGCCGATGGATGCGCCTCAACCTCCCCCGCACGTTCTCGAGTCACACCGGCAAGTTTCATCTTGAACGCTACTCCAGTTTAGCTTCATGGCTGGATGTGATACACGGGCTATCGCCAGAAGAGAAGGTAGATTTAGGAATGGACCTAGTGGTGGCCCGTCCTATGTTTGATCGTCCTGAGTTGCCTTGTGTCCACTGTCCCGATACCAGGGCAGGCAGATTCCGGCGCATTTTGCCCGGGTGGCCATGGCAGTGACGGATGCTGGAAGCCTGGAACAGTGCTGGACTTTTCTAGATGGTTTCAGGCTGGACGATCAAACCCAAGACCCGTTGTGTTGCACCGAGCGGGCCAAGCCTTTCCCGTGCCTGGATGCCTCATTTCCTGCCAGAAAGAAGAATAAGAGCACGGAGTAGATAAGTAATAATGAATAAGAATGGGCATTATTATGGGTAATAATGCCGGGTTACTATGAAGAATGAAGAAAGAAGAACCGCCGGCAAAGGGCGGCCGTAATTTACGGGCCCCATTTAGGCCGTCGAGAATTTCCATGGAATTCAGGTACAATTGCCTAATCCGGCCTGGTAGCCCCAGTTAGGGTCTGGAAGGATTCAACCGTCAGGGGAGAGAGAGAAGATACTCTCTACTAGTCCAACTACTAGTAGTAGCATCTTCCACTACTGGCACTATTTGCCTGGCTAACTCAGTCTCGCCATCTGGCCGACCTTTTCCACCCGAATCGAGCCATTTGGACTCCATCTCGACGAGTTTATCCCCATCACTTCTCCGTCATTCCCACTCATCCACCTCCGAGGCAATAGGCCCTGAGTAGTACTGAACTACTGACCGTCTTACGTAGTCTGCTCCGACGCGGCATCCAAACTAGAGATTTTGGTTCCCGGTGTCCCACGATCGTGGATAGCGAAGGTTGTCGGGGACTCTCGGACAGTCGGACTCTCGGGCTTCCCCCAAATACAGCAACCAGCCTCCGGCATTGTGCTGGGGCTTCGGAGAATTTATCAGCGTTAGCACTTAGCGAGGGGTCCTCTCCCACTGACCCTGATCGATGACAGTGCTCAGATATCAACCCGTCTATTCTTGTGCCTTCTTGGTAATCCCTGATCTCTCCTGAATCGCATCCCCATGATGCCCCCCCCCCCCCCCTTTTCCAACATCCGCAGTCGTTGCAGTCTCTGCACAGTGCACCGCGACTATGGATGTAGCGCTGCGTACCTTCAGCTTCGGCCGAAACTGTGGAGTAGACCACTTACATAATGATCCCAATGATCGGGCCAATGATCGCGAGACCGTTCATGCGCTGCTGCAGTCATGCCTCTATACCACTCTGCCGACTATTTAGCGTTTTTAACCTCCTTGAACGGGATGAACTAGACGGAGTATAGGGGGCGAATGATGCCACTACGGCATACGCCGGACTGACTTTCGGGAGACACATCCTACCAGACTCATATCTAGACCAGAGCGACTGAGTTCCATGGGCTTGGCGATTAAGCTTCGCCGTTTTTCGCATCAATCTTTTGGGTTGCGCAGATCCCCCCTGATGCTCAACGTCTTGACCGTATGATGGCATGGTCCCTGGGCATTATTCATCACCGCTTCTTTCTTTTTTTCCCCCACGCTCCTTAGCAAACAATCCCATGAATTTGTCATGGTGATTACGTTAAAAAATGGACTAGTAGCTCAGAGTGTGCGGAATATGGGATTCGACTTACTTACCGCATTTGTCTCCTATCACGTCCCTTTGATTCAGCCTGGTATGCAGTCAGGGCGATCATTATATCATCGGGGACATACCAATGATTACCCACCAAGTCAGACGACGAGGAAAGCGGAGGCAGATCTTGCTTTTTTGATCATTACACGGTAGATACAGATACATAGATACTCCATCAGCACGATCGGAACATCGATTTACATTATATTGATGTACACGGACCAAACCTTGATGTCTCAAAATTGAGCTCGGATAACCCGCCCCCATACTGTGTGCGATTTAATTTAGATCGTTGCTCGCATCTTGTTAGGGAGACAGAATGTGATCTGGTCGATCGCGATAATTTGTCCCCGATATTAATCTTTATTGGAGGCCGTCGCTGGTGGGCCAATGGGCGTAGCGCTTGCCGCCATGTCCCCTTGGGATGCTGGTGATTGTGATGGATCACTTACTGATCAACTATACTATGTATACGTCCAAAGACTCGGAATGGCAGAAAGTACCTGCCTAGTCCTATCTCGAGTAGCCCAAGCCCTTGAGCGGCGAAAGCTCAATGGTCATGCGTCCCTTGGTGGCAGTGGCGTTGGGCGCGGTAGGCTACTAGACAGTACTACCAGGAGCTACCTAAGTCTACTCTGCCTGGGAGGGGTATATTAGTTGGTGCCTAGATAGCATTCATACCCTGATCTTCCAAATAAAAGGGCCATATGCAAGCCGAAGGGGCCAAGCATATCATCTAACTCCTTCGGTAGCCCTCCCTACAGGCTAGAGACGCCCTGGTGGTACCTAGATACTAGGTAAAGACATCATTGCGCCACAGTCGAAGCAGCATGTACTCCGTACGGAGTATGTAGGTAAGATAAGTTGGTTTATTTTTGGTGTCATCCACCCCCAAGCAGGAGCGTTGTCTGTTGGACCTCTGAAGAGTTCCTTGTTCGGAAACCCGCATACAACCCTGCATACAATTCACCTGTCTGACAGGCCGGCGATACTGGGCATGCTCGTCGGACAATCAGATGAGCAATGGCAGTAATACAATACTGCCATTCCGGGCAACCCTACCAGATGATGATACCTGCCAACATCCAACCACATAAGAAGGCCATGTTGGACTCTGTCATACCGTCTGCAGACGAGCAACAAATGGTGATATCAGCCATTAGCTAGTAGCTACGGGGTCGGTACTAGGCAAGGGCACCTAGGTACTATAGTATTTCAGACTTATCTACCTACCCAGAGGGAGGGAGGAGGCACTACCAGCACCACCATCCCCATGATTGGAAAGTGGATTGCTCAGTTGGGGCCACTGAATAAGTACTAATAGTGGGTTGGAAGGGATATTTGATAACGCCTATTGGCGGAGAGTAAGCGCTCACCAGGATCCTGAAACAAGGGGCGAATGCTTCATGATTGTTTCCCGCGCCAGTTTGATCGGGTGTGCAGGCTTGGCATGGTTCGGTTCCACCTCATGGCGGCCTCCCACCGATGCGCATTTGTTGATTGCATCCTCGACCGGCGGCAGAAGAACGGCCGGCACAAGCAAGAGCTCGAGGGTTGGCCATAATGGACCACTCTGGGCGGTTAAGCAACCCGCATCCCGCTCTCATTTGACGAGACCTGGACATCATAGCCGCCGGGAGATGCAGCGCTGGTGTCGGTGGTGGGTGTGAAAATGCTTGGATAGGCCAGAAACCTGGCCAAACGGCCCCCAACTGGAGAAAGAATGACGCCCCCAAAATCGTTGCTCGACTGAAGACGGATGAGGTACATCGCCCGTGCGCACCTATGCATGTCCTACACTACACAGTAGTACTTCTCCTGATTCCCCTTTTCCAAAGCCTCCGATGGCAGAGGATGCCAAGAGATAGAGCTTACTTGCGTTAAGGCTCCTGATTTCCACCAGAGTTGTCCCCAGAGGCTGCAGGGTGGTGTCCTATTCTGGTTGCAACCCCAAATTCCCAACAGTCAGGTCGTCGGATACCGTGACCCATCATCAAGATGCCTAGGCTACCGGACGATCCCCACTTTTCATGTTGTGTTTGCCATTCCTACCGGTAAGGTTAGCCACACCTCCCCCACACATGGCAAGCCAGTAATTCACGCGGCCCATGATGTAAGATATCTTCAGCAAGCGCTCTTCATATTAAAATGATGCGGCCAAGTCGGAGTAGGTAGGTAAGCCCGCCGATTCAATTGGCTTGAGTTGGTAATTGGTAAAATCATAAGCTGCAGAATGACGAGTGACAGCAAAGTCTATGTATCCATGCTACGAGTATCCCGTAGCTCACTGTTCAGCACGATTGCAACTTTGCAACCTTCCAGCAGGTTTCTATTGATAAGTTTAGCAACGATGGCAGGCTAACCCAACCAGGAGACGGGCCCGGCAACAATAACGGATGGGAGGGATTGGAATCTTTGGAACTCGGCGGCAGCCCCACCCTCTTGTATGGTACCTAACCGTCTGGATACGGGGGGTTATCTTACCACCGACCCCACTTCTCGGCGGTGGCCTTGCTGGGGCTTCGGTAAGAAAAGCGGCCGGTACGGTATGGGTACTAGAGCGTAAGTTGGTACCGGGAGGCCCTCTCCCTCAGGCTCTCAGACTTCAGTCCTTTTCCAATCCCTCCTTCTTTTTCCCTGAAGTCGGTCCCTGGCGCCAGTCTCCGCTTTTTTTTTTTCCAGTCGAAAGCCCTACTTTTTCGCCGTGCGCGTTTCCCGGAGCCCAACCAACTAACTGAGTAAAGCCGCCCAGGAGAGACTCCAGAAGGGCGGCTTTCCACCTGAGGTGGGCGACTCGATCCGCGGGTCTCGGTCGGCGGCGCTCCCTGAATTCCTCTCCCAAGTCTCAAGTCCGAAGTCCCGTCCTTGACACTGGCTGGTCGTTTAAAATTATTATTATTCTTTTTCCCAATTTTATTATTTATTGTTAGATTATTATTTTATCGATTGGCATTATTATTATTACCGCTTACCGACTCGACTGCCTTTTCCATACTTGACCTGTACCTCATCACTGCTGTAAAAAAGCAAGTCCTACCTCATCCTCCACCTCATCCTTCTTCCTCTTCCCCTCCCTCCTCCTCCTTGGTCCCCTCTTCATCGCGACTGGCCTCTTGTTTTTTTCTTCTTCTCCTTCCTCTTCTTTTACCTCCTTTCGTTTCGTTTCCATTTTCGCCGTGCGAGTTATCTCAAGAGACCTGTAATCGGGCTGGCCCAGTGCATCTCTCTGTTGCTCTCTTTCTCCCTGCCTTTCATTTGCCCTTTGTTGACGAGGGCCGGCAAACGTCAGCGCCTAACTAGGTACTCTTCATACAAGAGGCTGGCACCTCTGCTCTGTGTTTGGATATCCCTTTGTGTTTCACGATCCGTCGTCGAACAAACCCCCCCCCCCCCATCCAAACGGTTCTATCTTTTTATAGCAATCCTCCGAATCTTTCCCCTTGATTCCTGCCCAGAGGTTGTTTGTCCGCTTTCCTAATAGGGTGCTGTGACTGTGCGTACTCCTTGCTCTGCCCAACCGGTGTTGCAACCCCCCCGTGGTCTGCCGCTCCAATGGCCCTTTGTTCGCCCTGCGTTTACAAGGAAACCTCAGTTTTAAGATTTGGCTGATTCCCCGACAGACCACTGTATCACATCTCCACTATGTATTCTCAACACGGTGCCCCTATGGCACCTCCCCAAAAGCCGGAGACGTTTATGCTTTCAAGCGAGGCCCAGCAGAGCCTGCCACATGACGCGCAAGTCGCGCTACAACAAGTGGACAATCGTAAGTTGCCTTCACATCGCGACCAGCAACGCTCTTCTTCCCTCCGACTTCCTCTGACTGATGGTATGTCGTTGCTGTAGTAAAATACTTCCTCCTCTCGGCGCCGGTGGACTGGCATGCGGATCAACTTATCAGGCGGTTCTTGCTTCCTACTGGCGACTATATTTCTTGCGTTCTATGGTTAGTGGGGATCATCGCATGCCATACGGTTGGTCAAAGAGTACATGGACTGATTTGCGGCAGGAACAACCTCTTTCACATCTCCGGAACCGATATTGTCAGATGCCTTGCTTTCAGGTTCCAGGCCTTCGGGCGCCCTGTGAAAAACTCGAAGAAGTTCGAGGAGGGTATCTTCTCGGACTTGCGAAACCTCAAGGCCGGAACTGATGCCACTCTAGAAGAACCAAAAAGCCCATTCCTCGACTTCCTATACAAGAACAACTGCATTCGAACCCAGAAAAAGCAGAAAGTCTTCTATTGGTACAGCGTGCCACATGATAGGCTGTTTCTAGATGCGTTGGAACGTGATCTGAAGCGGGAGAAAATGGGGCAGGAGGCGACCACTGTTGCGGTCAGCGAGCCTGCTCTGTCTTTCGAGTTCGATTCATCCCAATCGCTGTATGAACAACTTACGAAGGCACAACAAGCAAATTCATCATCGTTTGCTGCACACGCAAGTACGACATATGGCCAACCCGCATCCCCAGTGGTTCGGACCGTTGACGCTATGCCTCCTCCCCAGATGGCTCCCCAGATGGCTCCCCCGGCGCTACCCCTTCTCCCGGACGAGTCGGGCAATCCGGCGATGTACAACCCGGTTCACATGCCCACCACCCTGGCCCAGAGCGTTATTAAGCGCGAAGCGGAATATGGGCACATCCAGTACGACCGCAACGGAATGCCTATTGCTCGTATCCACCAGCGCCACGCCTCGATGCCCACCTTCGTCGAATACTCGCCTGCTCCCTCGTTCGTTTCGTCTCAGTACGAGGACTACAGCAACCGGGGTCTATCATTCGAGCCCGTTACGCCTCCTCAGCACAGCGCTCATCTTGGAGCTGAACCGGCATATATCGCTAACGAAGACACCGGCCTGTACACCGCTATTCCCGACATCTCTTCCGCAACCACATTCAATCCAATGATGCAACTACCCCCGTCAAATCTCGCCACCGCTCACTACCCGGCCCCTGCAAGAACCTTCCCTTCAAATGTCTACTCGGTGATAGAAGGCTCTCCTACATATAAGCAACGTAGGCGCCGGTCTTCTATACCTCCTAGTATCACCAGTATCGGTGCCACCCACGCCCAGGTGACGAGCGCTCCGAATCAGGCTGTCGCATACGCTGCTCATAAGCCCAGTGACCTTCGTCGTTCCGTCTCTAGCTCGGTAGCTCCGGTGGCGGAGGTGGATGAGTCTCACCATGACCCGTCATACAGGTCCGCTAATGCATACCGTGCTGCTGTACTTCCACAGAAGAACCTGCTGCACGAGATGTCTCGCAACAGCACCCCGCTGCCTAGCCTAGAAGAAAACCCGGAGCCGAGTTCCTTGGCCCTCGCAAACCAACCGGATGAGCTAGCGCCTCTTCCTAGTGGTGAGGCGTTGGATGCATCTGTCCAGAACAGTGTGACGAATAAGACGGAGCGATTCGTTCCTGGCCCTCTTCGTCGTGCTCGGAGCGCCACCATGATGGAGCTTGGCCCCTACCCGCAGAAGTCGCATTCTTGCCCAATTCCATCATGCGGGCGGCTTTTCAAGAGATTAGAGCACTTGAAACGGTAAGTCGCAAATTTATATTTTTAGCCGCTCCTCAATTGGTTCTGCCTGCCTGGAAGGATCTATGCAAGGTTTAATACCATTGTCTTGTAGCCGCAGACTAACGGAGCGTCTAGGCACGTGAGAACACACACCCAAGAAAGGCCCTATCCGTGCCCGTACTGCAACAAAGCATTCTCTCGGTCAGATAATTTGGCACAGTGAGTTCATCGTGTATGTTTTTTCTGCAATTGCAGGGTGCTAATTCAGGTGACAGGCATCGTCGAATTCACGAAGCTCAACAGGATGGGCAGCAGCCCCTCTCCGGACATGAGGACGACCTGGAAAATGAGGAGAACGGATTTGTTTCGCCCGACGAGGGATCCTCACCATCCGAATCAATCTCAGGCACCGTGATCAATGTTCCTGGCATGACTTCAATGCCCTCCGCAATGACCCTGCCATCGGCTATGCCTACAATGGTCGCCCCTCACATGATTGCGCCCCAACTCCTGCAGCAGCATCTATGAGCGGCCGTCCTGGTGGGCTCCTGGTTAATCGACTCATCAGTCTTGCCAAGTCTCATCACCTGACCGGTTTGTTCAGTAATTACGGGTGTTTTTTTACATCTTGACCATCGGCCAGTTATTCTCTGTTCCTGTTAATTCAAGCGAGGAATAAGGAGCGTGTCTGCATTCCATTATGTTCCTTACTCCGTTTGTGATTTACTGCATCGCCAAGTGCACGCTGTTCGGCTTTGTGGCTCCTGTCGGGTCATGCCACGTCACCGAAGTTCGTTTGACACAGCTATTGGTTTTCTGCAGGACCGAGTCTCCTGCTCCCCGGCCTGTCGCCAGAATGACGGCGGGACTGTTTCCAGATTTGGATTGAACTCTTCATTTGTCTCCTATTTGCAGTCGCTCTGGGTTTGGTTGTCCATAATAAGCGTTACATGGGTTTGTTACCCCGTGGTGGGTGTGTTGCTACCTCTACCATAATTGTCCTTGTTTCCTCTCACCTTGTTCCTTTTTTGGTTTCCGGTCCGGTTCGTGGTTCGTGGTTCTTTTTTTTTTTTTGCTTCATGTGCTATGTTGATAATGGGGTTCCTTGTACTATTTCATTTTCTTTGTTATGGGATTCTTGGGAGGTTGGATTTACAAAGATGCGGGCTGAACAAAAGGGGCACATAGCTTCGAAGGGCTATTTTCCTCGTGGGATATTTTGCCACTCCCCAGGCACACCTCAAGCGGGCCGCCGGTGGGGTTGGATTTTGAAGCTTCTTCCATTATAGATATTCCGAGAGATGGGATCTGTGTCTGCGACGGGCGTGAATAGGTTGAGCACATACATATAGATATGAATCAAACGGTAATGAAACCCATGCGGAGTACAACCGTAGTAAGCAACATGACGACGGGATGTGTCGGGGACTCGGGGGTGACTGGAGCTGTCTGGAGTTGTCAGGCGACTTGCATTGGCCTCCGCATGGATCGAGTCCAGATCGGGGTCGATCACGTGCCGGGCCTGCTGACGTCGCCCCGACTCTACAAAGTATCATCCATCGTCTTGACTCCCCGTTCGTGTGCGGCTGGGATACCTCTTCTACTCTCTTCTCTTCTGCAGTTGGCTCTTCCTCTGTCTGGTCTGTTCGTTATGGAGCACGTTTGAGAGCTAATATTTCCGCCATACTATCGACAGTATACTGCCTCAGTCAAACCCATACTCACCTGTCTACGGTGACCTCTCACGAATACCGGGGCACTCATCCAAGTTGCAGCAGCCTGGCTCGGATTATAGCGTCTACTATCATTTACTTCTACCTCTGGCAGGAAGAAGCAGCAGGACGGTTGCATTGTATACTGGACTAGCTTGTGTACCACGGCCTTCCGAACCCTTAGATCTATTGCGTCTAATCATCATATCTTATAGTTCCGTGTGCATCCTCGGGGCTTTTCCATAGATGACTAACGCAAGAAAGTCGGATAGTCTTACACGCTAACTTCCATCGAATCCCAAACTGTAACAAGAGGATCGTTGTGGCCCAGCAAAACTAGATCAATGACACAGACAGATGAGCGGTTCGCTGACGAAACGTCCCCTTTGGTAAGAGCATCTGACAATAATCAAGGACGTTCGATGTCAAGAAATGGAGACAACAACGGGTCCAGCGGGGCTGAAGATACCCACCCTCTTGCGGAGACAAAGAGCAGCTGGTACCTGTTTCTGTTGACGTTAAGCATTGGCGGGTGAGTGGCTAGTTCGTCGGCGATCTAGAACGGTTCCCGTGTGTCGTGTGGTCCCACCAAAGCTGACAAGATGGCTCTAGCCTCCAGGTTGTGTGGTCCACCGAGCTATCGAATGGATCGGTAAGCTTCCAGCGTTGCTACGTCATAAGAACATTACAGACTAACCTTGTTCTCTGAGTGTAGCCCTACCTCCTGTCACTTGGAATGAGCAAGGCCTTGCTTGCATTCGTCTGGATTGCTGGTCCTTTGACGGGTACCCTTGTGCAGCCGTATATTGGCATCTGCAGTGACAATTGTCGCATATCATGGGGCAAGAGAAAGCCGTTCATGGTGGTGGGCGGTGCTGCGACAGTTGTTTCTCTCCTGGCTCTTGCTTGGGTGAAAGAGATGACAGGAGGCCTTCTTGGGCTATTTGGCGTTGATCCAGCTTCCAGTGCCACACAGACGGTGGTTATTGTACTCGCCACCGTCTTGATGTACTGCCTCGACTTTTCTGTAAATACTGGTAGGGCTCCCCTGTGTTTCTCCTCCCCCGATCAACCCTAAAGTAACTGTGGGAGTGTAGTGCAGGCAGGCATCCGGTGTTTCATCGTGGATAATGCACCTTCACACCAG